TTATAAATCCCTTTTTATAATACCTTTAAGGTCCTTTAGCTAAAATAGTATCTCTATTATATTATTAAGTAGGCCTATAAAGCTAGCTATTATTCTAACTCTTAGGCTAGAGGCTTATTCTTTATTTTCTTATAATTCTTTTTTATTACTATATTTAAATCCTTTCTCTAAGATATTATGTAGTATATTTCCTAATAAGCTTAATAATATAATAAACCTAATTATTAAGTATAGGATCTAGGACTTAGGCTCTAGATATAAAGACTTAATAACCTTATCTAAAAGGAGAACTCTTATAGAATTTATCCTTAATTATAAACTACTTTTTAGACTTATTTTACCTTTTTTAGAGCATTTAGATAATAAAGAAGGTAAAATAGAGCTATTTATATAGATTAATATTAATTTATCTACCTATATATACTTTATAGGCTTCCTCTAAATAGCTAGAGATCTAAAGCCTAAGGTTAAGAATCTATAAGTTAAGCCTATTTAGAGTATTATAAATATAGCTAATAGTAAGTAATAGGATTATAATAGCTTTATTAAATAGTATTAATAGTAATAATAAGTAAAAAGTTATACTTAAATTTTCTTAAAAAGCTTAATATTAATAATATAATAGTATAATAGTATAATAGGGTACTAGCCTAATAGCTTTAGGGCTAATTATCTAGTAGATAGCTAAGAGGAGTAGCTTAGAGGAAGAGTATTAAAGCGTTAGATAGCGTTAGATATATAGTAAAAAATTTATTATTATTATTATTATTATTATAATAGGGAAAGTTAAGATATAAAGTAATAAATTAGTAGCTAAAGTAGGAGGGCTTATATATAGAGTCTATAAGTTATATAGCTAAATAGCTATTAGATAGTTAGTAGGCTAAGCTAAACCTAGAGTAAGTTAAATATATAGTTTAAATTATAATATAGTGCCTAAAGGCGCTAATTTAATAATAATAGCTTAAAAAATAGTAGGACGTTAATACTAACTTAAAATAATAATTACTAAATCTTAGCTTATTTTATAAAGTATTAGCTAATATTATTATTCTAATTAAGGGGGTAATAAGAGATATAAATATAGTATTATTATTACTATTAACTTAATTTACTTTTTTCTAAATAATTAATAAGAAGCTAGAATACTTATAGTAATTTAATACTCTATTTTTAGTTAATATAAATAGCTCTCTATATTAAAGTTAATAAATCCCTCTATAAGTAGATATATTATTAGTTAAAATAAAAGTCTAATTAATATATATTATTATATTTACTATATTAATTAGCTCTATAAATCCTATTAAATACTCTAAAGATAGAGATAATAATAATAATAATACTAATAATAATAATAATAAAGCTAAAAATATTTATATAAAAGAGCTATTTTAAAGTATTAAATTAACTCAATAAGCTAAAGTGCCTTCTTCTCTATAGTAACTACTTAGCTAATAAGTTTAATAAGCTAAGTTACTATTAACTCTATTTTACTATTTAGTATTAATAGAGCTAACTCTATTTAAAGAGATAGAGATAATAGCTATAATACTTATAGAAGTTAATAAAGCTAACTTTAATATAGAGATTAAAGAGTATTATAATAGTTTAAAATTAAAAATAATTATAATAATAATAAATATTTTTATACCTCTAAAAAATATAAATATAATTATAAATATATATTTATATTTATTAATACCTTTAATAAGAGTAAAAAGTAAGTTAAAAAGTAACTATAATAATTAGCTATATAATTAAGAAGTTTCTATTAGTTAAGTTAATTATTAACTTATGAATACTATAAGACCCTCTATAAGATATTAAACTAAAGAGTAATCTTATAAACTATTTTACTTTTTATTATTAATAGATATAATAAAATATAAAGACTTAATAAATATATTTATAGAGAGTCTTAAAAAGATTTATTATAGAGATTTACTAATAGTACTAAATAACTATTTAAAAGTAAAATAATACTATTTCTAGAGTAAATAGCTAATAATAATAAATATTAAATAAAAAACTATATAGAGTAAAGAAATATTTAAAATAACTTAAATTAATAATATTAAAAAAAAGTATTATATTTTACTATTTAAATAGGTATTTATATATAAATTTAATAAATATAGATATCTAAAGAAGTTTAAGATATATATTTATATAAGAGGAGACTTATAGCTACTTAATAGGTTAAAAACTTATATATTAATATTTATATTATATTAACTTTATTTTAAAGTATTATAGTAATAGCTATTTAATTTAGCTTTAAATTAATTTAACTTAATATTATAAATATATTTATAAATATAATACTTAATAAATTAGTTTATATTTATTTCTCCTTTAGTTTTAATAAACTAAGTAAATATCTTATATTATATAATATATTACATAGGCTTAGAAGATTACTATATCTCTAGTAAAAGAGTATTAATATAACTCTTTAACTATTTAATATAAAACTATTTAATAAGGATAATTATATATTTATAAGCTATAGTATATTAATCTTTATATTTATTAATAATATTATAATTCTTTTCTAAAAGAGAGATTATAATAAGGTATAATATATTATTAATAAACTAAAAAAAGTATATAAGATTATAAAGATAAGTAAACTTAATATATTTTTAGGTATTTAAATTATTTATAACTATTACTAATAAAAGATTTAGCTCTATTTTAATAATTATATTAAGAAGATATATAATAAGTTTAAAATTAAAAGAGATAATAATAAAGAGATAGTAATACCTATAAGTATTAATAACTTTATACTTAATAAAATAGTTGCTATACTAAAAGAGATTAAATTATATTAATATAAAGTTAGCTTAATTAATTATACTATTATTATTATATACCTTAATATTATAAAGACTTTATTATAGTTATTAGAGTTCCTTTTAAACCCTTTAAAGGACTATTATAAAGTAGTTAATTAATATTTTATATATCTCTAGTAAACTTAATATTTAGTAATTAAGTTTAATATTAATAATAAGGGTATACTTTTCTATATCTCTAATGCTTTATTTATTAATAGTAATATTACTTATAAGAGTACTTAAAGCTATATAATAATATTATTTAAGAGACCTATTAGTTAGAAGTTATTAAAATAATAGATTATTATAACTTTAAATATTAAAGCTAAACTTATAGCCCTTTTATAGGTATTAAAAGAGTATATTATAGTTATATAACTTATTAATTAACTATAACTATACCTTAATAATAAGTTTATAATATATTATAATAATACTTAAATATTATACCTTTTAATTACTAAAAGACCCTATATAATAAGTAAGTTATACTATATTAATATTAATAACTTATAGCTATAATAAGAGATTAAAAGATATTATATTATATATAAATAGGTTAAAATAAATAAAATAGTAATAAATAGTTTTATAAAAGTAATATTAATATAAAAATAAAGTTAATTTATTATATAATTAAGTATAACCTATATTAAGTCTCTAATAACTAATAATATAATATTAGCTTTACTAAATAATATTAGCCTTATTAAAAAGTTTAACTACTAGAATAGTTAACTCTTTTTAGTTAACTTTATTATTAAATATCTTAGTAACTCTACTACTTTTATAGTTAGAAAATATATTATTTAAATTACTTTAATTTACTCTTTTTAATAGTTAGAAGTCTACTTATAAATATAGCTTTCTTTTTAAGTTATTTAATAAATTATTATTTTAAATTTAAATATCTTATTTTATTTTATAAGTTAAGTTATTAACTAACTTATACTATTATTCCTTTTAATTATAACTTAATATTAATATTACTAACTTTATTATAATAAAATAATAAAAGAGAAACCTATTAAAATACTTTTAATATTATACCTAGCTTTAAGAATAATACTATAGATTATTAATAGAGATATTTAAACTTAAAGGCTAATAAGGTAATAAAAAAACTTATTAACTTTATAATAATATAAAGTTATTATACTTTAATAACTATAAATTTAGTTAACTTTAATATCTATATTATAATTTAAACCTAAAATATTAATAAGAAGCTTATTAAGCTTTATAGTTAACTATAAATAACTTTATAGCTAGCTAAACTATTAAGCTAAATACTCTAAGTTATCCTTATAAGGGTAGAACTTTAATAAGAGTTTTAAAAGTAATTAGAGCTATAAAGATATCTTATTATTATTATATAATATTATTTACTATAATAGGGAGTTATTATTTTATTTTATATAGCTATTAAGGTCTATTTTATATATTTAGAATTTATAATATTAATATTATAAGATCTAAAGGGATATATTAAACTTTATATTATTCAATTAATATAAGTATTAACTTAATAAATCTACTTATAGATTCCTACCTAAATATAGCTTATTTATATTAGGTATATATACCCTCCTTTTTTTAGGTGCTTAGGCTAACTTAGCCCCTTTTAGCTAGTTATATATTAATTAATATATTTAATATACTATATTGCTGGCTGTAACTGTTGCTCAACACGTCGCCACTCAAACACGCGATCACATGACTGAGCTAAGGTAGGCACCCATCCACTCAAGGTGCCGTAGGTACGTACCTAACGCGCGCTGGTAGTGGAGGCAGTGACGCGCCTGTGCTTATCGCCGACAGCGAAACCGCATTCTTTACCCTCGCGATGTAATATCCGGCACCAACTCCATCGTTCATGAGTGAACTATCAATCGAGTCGTGCCCTGTATCACACACGAAGATTCTAGGGATCGATCAATGGCGGAAGGATGCGCGGTACGTGAGAACCAGGCCTGGCGTTGCGTTAGTCATGGTCCTAAAGATGCAGCTGACGCTTCTTCGGGAGTCATACGTGGCTCACATAACTCGTGATGCACCTTGTTTTCTGTCGGTGATATCCAAGCAGCTCCTCTTAATGCTGATGAAGTTCATGCAAAATGGACTGGCGACACTTTCTCAATAGATCTTTGGGACATGGTCATGACATCCTGCAGTGCCAGATTTCAGTACGACAACCCCATTGGCAATGACAGACTTCGTCTTGTCCGCATTCTGGGCTGCGGGAGTGTAACGACCGATCGGCTGAGCCTTCTTCTCGAAGAGCACCCCCTCAGTAGTCTCCCAGCATACAATGCCCTCTCTTACACTTGGGGTTCGCCCATCGCAGAAGCAAGGTTCTCGCCAGAACCCATTCCAGTGACAATCCTCCTCAACGGCTTTGAATTCGACATTTTCCCAAACTTGAACGATGCTCTACGGTGGATCAGAGCCCGCGACTCGTGCGATCTGTACTGGATCGATGCCATTTGCATCAACCAGTCCGATACCGCAGAGCGAGGAATTCAAGTGGGAATCATGGACCATGTCTACAAGCTGGCCGCTCGCGTCGACATCTGGCTTGGCTCCGTGAGCGACGAGCATTATCCCGCCGAAGTTTCCCGGTTGATCAAAACAATGTCCGATAACACGCGCGCCAATTTCGAGTACACGTCAGAAAACACCTTCGATAAAGATGCCTTGATGAAGTACGGGCTGACGGGTATATCGGAGTGCATCTGGTACGCCTTCATTGCCTTTTTCGACAGGAAATGGTTCAATCGTGTCTGGGTTGTGCAGGAAGTGGCATTAAGCAAAGACGCCTGTGTGCTCTGGGGCGACGAAATAATCCCATGGAGGACAGTCGCGTATTGCTCCGATTTCCTATACGACAGTCGCCTGTACGAGCAGCTTTCCGAGATGCTGTACGACAACAACCCGTCCGTCAAGGGCATTCACGTAGGCAGCAATTCATCAGGCATTGTCGCAATTCAGAGGTGCAGGCACGACATTCTTACAGGCTGGGACAGCATGACGCTCGATCACATCGTCGGGACTTCCGGCAGCGTCAGCGACAATCAAGGCAACAGGTACAAAAGCGCCGGTGCCTTGCTTTTCCTGATGCTCCGTTTGACATGCGGCGTCGACGCAAGCGACCCCAGAGACCAGGTTTTTGGCCTCATGGGCATCCTCAATCTGCTGCTGGACATTAGCGGTCGCGAGAGAACAGAGTTGGAGCCGGATTATCGCGCATGCTCGACCGCCGTCAGTGTTTTCACCGACGCCGCCATGTTCATCATGGAAGAAACTCAGAATCTCACTCTTCTGACTGCTATTCCCGACGACGCGGTCAAGGAGGTTTTCGGTCTCCCGTCATGGGTACCTGATTTCGCAGCAAACGGACCGTCTGCGTTTCTAGCCTTGAGATGGCCAGCTAGCGAGGCATATTTCGATGCTTGCCGAGCCGCTCCGGCTAACTTCCATGTCGAGGATGACAGCATCTTGCACGTCAAGGCGTTCTGCGTCGGGACAGTGTCTCTGGTCGGGGAGGTGTACTCCGAACTGGCCGTCAACGGAAGCTTTACTCAATGGGCCGACTTCTTACTGCAATGCGACCCAGTCTACAAGCCAACCAACCAATGCCGCGTCGAGGCATTCTGGCGAACCTTGATCGTCGACCGCGACGCCTTTAACCACCCCGCTCCCACCAGCCTGCAGAAAGCATTTCATCACTGGATTTCAGACCACGTCGTGTGGGAAGTTTACTGCGCCATGAAGAAAGGAACAGATACCGCTGATTACATGACCCGTCTGCAAAGCATTCAGAGATTGGCAGATTCGGATGTCAGCAAGACGGTCCCAAGCTGTGAAGTCATTGAGTCCTACCTCGAGAGGCTGCGGGAGATGGACAAACAGGAAGAGGCCGAGGGCCTGTTTGAGGGGTTTCGGCATCAATGCCAGGCATACGTCAACCTCGCGTTCGAAACACTCTGGGACCGACGTCCCTTCTTGACAGATACGGGGTATCTTGGGCTTGGGTGTCAGTCATTACAGCTAGGCGACTCACTTTGGATAGTTGCAGGTTGCCCTTCGCCCATGGCTCTTCGAGGGCTTCCGACGTCTGGTTTTCACCGAGTGGTAGGAGAGGCATACCTGCACGGCATTATGCATGGAGAAGCGGTAAGTGAACAGGCCGAATGGCGGGAAATTTGTATCAAGTGATATCTAGTATCCGTCATGTAGCCAGCTGTATATGTGTATCTAATCTCAGAGAAATCCCCGCGAACCCATCATGTCTTTGATGACCACGAACTGGAGAACAAGGCAACCCCCTTGGGCGACTCTTGATTCTATGCTAGAAATCCTACCGCTTCATCGCCGCCGCAATCACCATCTTTCGGTTCAAGCCTCCGGGAACATTAGACGCCGACGCAGGGATATGACTAACTTCGTCGTTCACAATATACACAAACTTGTCGTCACACCTAGCATCTCCAAACCACTTTCTGAAAGTTGCCTCATCGTAAATGTGCTGGTTCGTCGTCTCCAGCACTTCTCCCTCGATGTTCTTGTGAGTATGTGAATGACCATGGTCATGGCTGTGCCCGCGATGATGTATGTCTCCATGAGCTGCATACGTGACGGCCAACTCAGCAACCGCACCAGCAGGTTTCTCATCGGTATCTATCCCTTCAACAGCAACAAGCACACCACCGGGCTTCAGTCGCTCAGCAAGGCGGCCCAACATGGCGGGCGGGTCGTCGAGGTGGTGCAGGGCGAGGGAGATGATGACGACGTCGAAGGAGGCTGGCGCTGCGAGAGAGTCATCGGTGGTAAGATCTCCCGCGACGGCATGAGCTTGAGATGCGGTGTATCCCAGACGCGATGCGTGACTGTTGAAGCGGTCGGCCATTGCTGGAGCGATGTCGATGCCGAGGATCTCGTCGACGAAGGGGGCCAGGGACTATGCCTCGAGTTTAGCTGAGGGACGAGCTCGGCACGGCCAGATTCCGACTCACCCACGAGGCCCCGCCACGGGCGCAAGCATAGTCAAGCAAGCGGACGGGGTTTTCTGCGTCCCGGGAGCGAAAGCCCAGATTCGGTGCTTGTGTGCGGAGGAAGCGAGTGAGTTGCTCCGCGAAGATCTTGAGCCAGTCTTGCTCGAAGATGGAGTCGGCGTTCGTACTGTATTCTGGTCAGTCGTCTGGGGCAACGATCGGACGGCATCACATACTCCCAAAACTTGCGGTTGAGTTCCGCGAGAGAGTTTGTCTTGCCTTGAATTTCGGCAGTCATGGTTGCGGATGGGTGTGTGGAAGATATAGCCTATTTTGTGGAAGAGTGCAGGCAGAGTCTTTCAACAGGGCTTTCTATTACTCTTCTTGTTTCCTAAATCAGTCTTTTTTATACTAAGTATGGTCTTATCCCGCAGACCACACGTCTATGTCATCGGAGAGTATTCGGAAACATCTCGCCACTTTCTCGGGGCATAAAAGGACGGGTGTCACGCTGCGGGGACATAACGACTGACAGGTAACAGGTGCAGGAAAAGTCTCCGCAGGGAGCGTTACACGACGGGAAACGTCTAAAATCCCATCACGCCAATACTCACATAGGCTGTCCGACGTCAAGGGTAGCAGCAGGCCGTCTTCGACCCTCACCCATCTCATACATGGCCCATTCATACACAGCCCATTGGACTGCGTTGACGACGAAGGCCCTGACGCTGCAGATTGTTAAGCCTCGGAAGAAGACTTTCATGCCGCCTTCGCGGTACGCTTCCCGGGCGATCTGCATGGCTCCGGCGCGCTTCGTGGGTTCTGTCCTCTGAGCCTCTAGAAGCGGAGAGGCTTCCGCGGGTTTCTCGAATGCTTGGGTTTGCACGCGCGTTTTGATGACGTCGAGTGGAAAGATGCTTGCCCACGTCACGATGCCCGCAAGGCCACCGCAGAGGAGAACCTTGGCGGCCTCCTCGCGCAAGTCTGTTTCGCCATTGGCGCTGGCAGTACCTACGCCCATCCAGCGCGTGCTGAGCTCGTACGACCAAAAGTAGAAGCCATAACCGATACTGTCCCGTAACGCGGTGACAACACCGCCGAAGTATAGACCCCTAATGCCCTCGGCACGCCATACGTCCTTGGTGATGGCCCAGCTGGAAGCTGGCGGGGAAGAGAGTTGTGCGCGGCACTTGATCAGCTCGGTGGGCGTGCTGACAGCCCAGGTAGCCAGGCCACCGACGGCTCCTGCAATCCATGTGGTCCAGAGACTGGACTTGACGTCGAGGGCAGAGTTGAGGGCAGCCTCGGTACGGTTGTAGGAGACGAAGAGGAGGGCATTGAGAGCGCCATAGCCGAGAATGGGAGCGGCGGAACCGGTGACCAGGGAGGCGGGATTCTCAAAGTGACGGAGGTATGAGGTCGCTGCGGCGGCGGGGATTTGACCGGGAGGAGGAGCGCTCGGCGGGGCTTGTAGGCGGACTTTGAGGAGGTCGAGTGGGTTGCCGATGATGATGCCGACGGCACCGCTGATGTAGCCGGCCCAGAAATCGGCAGACATGGTGTGTTTGGTTGGGTGATTCCTTGCTCAATAGCGAAGAACGTTCTCGGTGCTGGATCAAGGATTGCGATACTGGGGGCGGTTATCGGGGTCGCGGTAGTGGTTAACGCGGGCCTGGGCGACGGCGACGAGGGTGCTGATGCCGAGGTACGAGAGCATCCATCCGCCGCTTGCTAGGGCCCAAAAGCGGGCATTCTTCAGCGAGTTCGGGTTCGGTTTGCGGCTTCGAGCGATGTGTCGGTAATGAAGGCCTTGAGCCACAGCAGTGCTGGCGACAAGATAGATCCAGTTGTCGGCGATCCAGACGGAGCGGGCGGAGGGAGGGTCGAGCGGGGTCGTTGGATCGGAGGCGGAGGATGAGGGGTTGGGATGTGGATGTGGATGCTGTGACATTTTGGTTGTGTTTCTTGTCGTTTTGCCGCGCTTTGAGTTAGAGACTCCGGGTCGTCGAGAGTTGCCGGGACAAGGGGAAGGCCGAGATCTGGATCCACCCGACTGTTCGAGATTCGGAATTCCAGGCACGTGAAAGACGCGGGTCACGGTGTTGCGCGGGCGTCGTCGGCTGATTTGGTATGCGGGGTGGAAGTCAATTGGGTTGGAGAAGAACTGGCTCTGAGGAAGTGAAAATGAAGACGCGACTAAACGAAAAGAAGGTGCATGGATTCCTCAACAAACAATTGTCGTCGCCTGAGGCGGTTTTCTTGGTGACACTGACAAGGTCTCGTCCAGTCGTTCGCTGTGCTCCTAAAGAGAAAAGGAAAAAAAATCTCCGAAAATCACATTCGCGCCTATCTCGCCTAACCTGACGTCAACGGTCAGGAGGGTGCCCCTGAAATTATTCGCTCTTCGGGGTAACCTTGCATGCCAGCCTGGAAACGGCCTGAGCGTGCAGAGACTTTCGGCCATTCCGACTTCAGATCGTTTCGGTCGATTGACGCTATTCAGGTTTCCTGCAAGTTCAGGTGACATATTATTATCCAATTTCTCTACAACGCGATCCGAAGGTCTTTTTCACGCTGAATCTGGACTGTCCTCAATTCCTGGCAGGAGACATTGCCACTCTCAGCCTGAGACCCTCGCGAATCGACTCGATTGAACGCGCCTGCAGTTCGAAGTAGCCGTCCTCATCCGCTGGCCAGAGCACAACGTTGTCGCCCCTCTTGATGAAGTCTTCGGGTTTGGGCGCCGGACTGCTGGTGATGATGTCGAGGTCCCGCCGGATCTGCTCGCAGTAGTGATCGAGGGGCAAATCGTTGACGCCGTCATCAAACGGGTTCTCGATCTCCCGCCCGATGAGGGCGATGCCGAGGATGATGTACGCCGCGAACACCGTCGCCGGAATCGTCACCCACCCCAGGAGGTTGATGAGCTGGAATGGGAGCAGAAGGATATACACCCAAGTTATCTGCGATACGGCGATCGAGTAAGCAATCGGCAGCGGCGTGCTCAGCACCCGCTCGGTGCCCACGAGGACGTCGTTCATCTGCATGAGAAACGTCATGGCCTGTGTCTGATAAATCGTGACTTTCAGAGTGCCGTTATCGATCGACTTCTTGATATAAGCTGAGCAGTGGCTTAGGATCTCCAACGGGATGTTGCCGAGGGGCTCGCACGTCTTTTTGATGAGCTTCCGAGGGTTGGACTCGGCCATCGGCAGCCCCAAAACCCAGCACACGACTCTCCCAGCCGACGGTTCGGGAAAGTCTCTGACTGGCGCCTTGTGAGCCAGAACATTGAGGTTCTTGATTCGCGGGTGTAGGTCTTCATAGTGGGTGAAAGGCTCGAACCGTAGGCGGTGTTTCAACGCCACGGAAAAGGCAAGCAGCATGTTGCAAAAGGTAACCTTTCCGACCAGATCGTCCTTCTCATGGTCGGCGCGCTCCTCGGCATGAACCCAAACGAGGCGCGCCAGGCAGTTGATGGTATGTTCCAACTGCGCCCAGTACTTTCTGCCCTCGTTGTATCGCTCGTACGCCGTCGAACTTCGAAATGACAGAGACAGACCAACGACAAAACCGAGAACCGTAAGAAGGACATGGTTGACTCCGACTAAGACGGGGCAATTAGAGCGGCCTCTACGACGGCGGGTATGAGGTTTCTCACGGTGGTAAACGTTCTTCGATATCAGCGTGATTGCTGTAGCCCAAGAAGCGACGAAAATGATGGGCAGTATCATTAACGGTGTGACACTGCCGTACATACGCATGAACATGGGCCATTTTGAGTGATGGGCAAGGTTCCTAGGGCCTATCTGCGAAGGATGTCTTGTGAGTTGAATGTCCAAATCCCCTCGAATACTGAACCCCATAGCTTTCGCCGAGGACAGACCCTTCTCACCAAGGAAGACGTACAAAATACGACGCCCAGGTGCCGGCAATCTCAACATCTTCGTCAGATGCCGCACCCGGAGCTTTGTGGAAGTCGGTCATGGCAAACTAGCGGTATAATCGGGACGGATACGAAGTATGACGAGAAAAGACATGAAAGTCACCGGCCTTCTTAGCTTCGACCTCCCTCCCTTTACAAACCCCAAGTTTTGAGAGCTTCGGTTCCTTGCAATCTTATATATCTACATCTTTACTCCCCCTACCTTCAGGAGTGCTTCAATGGCAAGGAACCATTCTCGAAAGAGGATCCGCAGCATGATTCAGGGTACAAGTTCTGGTGGAGAGAGCAAGGGTTGACCCTCCTATGCTGCCCAAACTGGTCAAAATTGAAGAAACCACTTGCTATTTCTAGCTCAGAGGGCCAACCCGGATCCCCGCGGCCTCCGCAGTCCAGCCACCCGCCTGTCTGAGTAGGTGTGTTGAATCCCCAACAAGACCCCGGAAAATTGATCGAAATGATGCTTGTTTTCACGACCAGACTTTTGCCGTGTCTGGCTTATACAACGTCCTGCAGTCACGTGCTGGGCACTAACTGCTCTCGACTGCATGTTTATTAACCCCATAATATACTCGAAGCTTCCGTTGAACAATATTAATTCCATCCTTAGTGCCCGGGAGGTCATCAAGTTAAATCGAAATAAGGTACCCGAGATGAGTCGGAGACGGTGCGTACTCGAGTGATGCCAGTATTACGCAGTAAATGTAAAGGGAATTCAATAATGTACAATCTCAGATTCTCCGTATTCTCAACTAAGGCCCCAGTTCTCATGCATCCTGCTGTTTCTACAAACAACTTAAATGACAGACATGTCCGACTTAACAATTAGACCCCGCCAAGATGTCGGCGGAAAGTTTCTCTGCAATGCCATCTGTGACTTTACGTTAGTATTCGAAAAGAAAGAGGAAATCAAGGCAAAAATGCTCATCAGCAACTTACACACAGTTGCCATGGGCTGGCCCGGCAGCAGCAGCGGCATGATACTGGAATCGATGATGCGAAGTGAAGACACGCCGCCCAAGACACAACCCTTCGGGTCTACAACCGCAGAAGGGTCATCGCGAGAGCCCATTCGGCAAGTACCTACCGCGTGATGGCTCGGTGAGGCGACGGACTTCATCCACTCCCAGATCTCCGCGTCTGTCTGCACACTCGAGCCAGGAAGCTGTTCACTCAGAACTACACCGGTGGCATTGGCAAGCACACGTGCCCTTTTCAAGCCTTCAATGCCGAGTTGACGATCAGACTCAGTAGTGAACCATCCTACGTCTACCACTGGGTTGTCCGACGTGTCTGATGAGTTCAATGTGACAGATCCGAGCGAAGTTGGGGCGAGGACAACGACCCCGAGGCTCAACTGGTCTCCGCTTGCATTGGTCGGCAGTCCGGCCGTGTTCCAGATGTATTCAACGTGAGGCCAGTCCTCTGGAAGTTTGCTGATAGTCTCACGAGTCGAGGTACTGAAATTTGCGCTCGTGGGGAATTTCTCGAACACTGGGATCCAGGACGTCAGCCATGTGCAGAACAGCCGCATGACATGTTGAGGCTTACAGAGATAGTTGCTGGCGAAAGCCGTCAACGGTCCAGAATGTGAGTTTTCGAATTCTGTCTCAGCTTCGGCCGAGTATGTGGCGTTGTTCCACAATCTGTGTTGCGACACTCCATTGACGGTGAATAGAGTACCAAAGCCGGGGTGGTCCTGTGGATAGTATCTTTACGTTAGTTATGTATTGTTCTGGGCGGGCCAAAGAAATGAATGACGAGCGACGATAAGAAGCTTTTCGTGCGTGAAATAAGTCAAAATCCCACTCACTCTCATGTTCTGGCCAACACCTGATATGTTGCTGATCACGGGAATCTCAAACGTTTCCAATGTCTTGGCCGGTCCAACGCCAGATACAAGTAGCAGCTGCGGTGTCCTGAAAACCCCGGCCGCCAGCACCACTTCTTTCGACGCACTTAGAACGTAGTCCGTTCCATCCCCATTGACCAAAACGCCGGTGGCCGACTTGCTTTCGTTAAAGATGACTCGCTTGGCGAGCGTACGGGGATAGATCTTGACCCTCCGACGATCTTCATCGAGCTTGACCGCTGTCCTGAGGAAAGATGTCTCCGACGAGTCGCGGATCTGGGTGTCGGGATCAATCGTAGCAGGGAACTGTGCGAAGCCAAGGAGGCTACCACTCTGGATGAGACCAGTCTCCTTAAACCCTAACGCCCTCATGCCCTTAGCAAAGGCAGCAGAAACCGGTGCGTAATAGTTCCAGAAAGTCAAGTGCAACGGACCACCGGATGGCTCAAAGGCTTCAGGGTCCGATTCCACTGGAGGACCCCCGCGAAGCTCAATGTTTGCTGGAGTATACGATATGCTTCTTCTGAGGAAGCGGACCATATTTTCCCAGTTGTAGCTGTCGTCACCCACTATTCTCGCCCATTGGTCGTGGAAGCTGACCGTTGCTCTCTGATAGGCCATTCCATTACGTGCCGTGCTGTACATTAAAGTCAGTAACTCGCGTATCACGTAAGAAGACGGAATGACGGAGAATCGGTCTTCGAGAATCCTTCAACCATCAAACTTAATGACGAAATTAGTCTTACCTGCCTCCGAGTGTCTTGCCTTGAGAGTAAAGTACGGCACGGTTGCCCAATTGCTGACGAGAGATGGTCAATCAGTCACGAAGTTCAGGAATCAGGATAGGTGTCGTGGCAAGCTCAATGCTTACGGCTTGAGGAGATGTCGTGATCTTCCAATCAATACTTGGCGGTGCGCTCAAGAACTGAGATTCATACGCTGGTATCTCAGTGATGTTGCCGGCGTCATCTTGGTAGAACCCTCCGGCCTCCACAACGGCAACCGTATAGTTGCCATCGGCCGACAACCGTAGTGCAGCAACCAAGCCAGCATTTCCACCACCTACAATCTGCAGCTCACTTGTCAGCTCTGCTTGAATGGTGACGTATATGAATCCCGCCACTCATGAGAGTCTTCATGTCGATGACAATTACTTCATTTGGCTAGAACACATGAAACACCAACTTACCACGTAGTCGTACGTCTCATTGTGCCCAGTATTACCGAGTGCGTCGCCGTAATAATCCGACTCTGCAGCCGATATTGACCCTGCCAACAGGGCCACGGCCAACAATGCTACACTCTTCATCGCTTGGACTGCTATTCAAACTGAGGGGTAACCTGCAAGTCAAAATTCTGACCAGTCACTGAATACAACGCCTATCCACAGTTTCATCGACGCAGTGATGATCATGCAGACTTTATACGATCCGAATGGCTGAATATGCTGAAAGTCTAGTCTCCAATGCTCAGTTGCTGCCTTGGCTCCCTTGTCTAGATACCGCTGTGGCAGGGTAAAATGCTACTTTCGTTTGTTGGTCGACTTATTGATAGTCAGACTTGCGCCCGGCCGGGGAGTGATCCTGCGTGTCTTACTAGTATAGACCTATTACCAGCCAACAGTTGATCTTCTCAAAGATATCTGCCTATGTACCGCTACTTCTTTTCTCTAGATACGTGCTAGGCATCGGCGCGTTGCGTGGCCTCTTCGATGCACCACGCATGGTAGGAGTGGAGCTGAGGGATACTGGACTCGGGCTGTAGTCATCGGCTAACCGGAACACATCGGTTCAGAACTTTTGCAATCAGGGTAAAAGAACCTTGCATAGAACCTTGCAGGTATTCAGCGGCCGAAGTCCCGTCCCGTCTTACCTGTTGGGTCGGACTCTTGCACAAGAGCATCATCAGCGGCCCCACTGATACCAAAGAGATCCACGCCGGGCCGCGTTCCCCTGAACTTGGCTCCCGCTCTTGGCAAGCTTAGCACTCACCCTAGCCCGGATTGGCCTGATATACGAGAAGGTCATCTACGCCACACGCATGCTTATCCAAACTACTCGGGGCCCCCCTCCAGAGAGTCTCGAAAACAAGATCGGCGGCATCGAAGGAATGCAGCTTGAGATCTGCGTTCCAGTGGACGAGAGAGAAGGAGGCGCAGATGGGGACGGAAATAATGGCTCCGGGCGTTGGCGGTGGAACCGGGACTATTCTCATTAACTCCGGGCCGCGCCGCCGTACTGCTGCATAGCATGGAGGGGTCCGAGCCGGCACCGCTCCGGCGCCTTCTTATTATATTTGCAGCAGCGATTGCTTCGCTTCGCTGTATCGTTGTAGAAACAACCGACATCGCAATTTGCACGAAGACCGATTCGCAACCAACTTCTCTGCCTCTACCTGTTCCATCGACTCTAACAGGTACAACACTTCTCGCATTCATCATGGTTTCAACCGACAAAAAGATTGTCTTCATCACCGGTACGTCTTCCATTCCGAGTATTTGACTTGCATTACATGCTGACATACGTTGCTTTGCAAAGGCGGAAACCAGGGTGTTGGCTACGAGACAGCCAAAAACCTGCTACTCTCGTCTGCTGATTACCATGTAATTCTGGGTAGTCGCGATGCCGGCAGAGGCGAAACGGCTGCAAAGGAGTTGCGGTCCGCAGAAGGAGCCAAAGGCAGCGCATCCTCAGTGCAGATAGATGTGACTGATGACAAGTCCATTCAAGCGGCAGCGGATCGCATCGAGTCCGACTACGGAAGGCTGGACGTCCTCGTCAACAATGCCGGCATCATTTCTATGGCGAGCCCGCCTAGCACCGCCGCCTTTCGGAAAGTGCTGGACACGAACGTCATTGGAGCTCTAGGCGTAACTGAGGCGCTGCTGCCCCTTCTCAAGAAAGCTGCTCACACGCCTGCGCGCCTTGTTTTCGTGAGCTCCAGTATGGGATCCATCACACATGCCGCCGACCCTTCCTCTCCTTACTACAACCCCCACGGCACCGAGTACAGAGTCAGCAAGGCGGCAGTCAACATGCTGCTGACCATGTACGCTGCTCGACTGAAGCCCGAAGGATTCCTCGTTCTCGGTGCCGATCCGGGGTTGTGCGCCACCAACTTCACCGGAGACCCTACTTCTTTGAGGAACAGGGGTGCTGCGGAGCCATCCGACGGGGGTGAACGCGTCGCTACGGTTATCAAGGGTGAGAAGGATGAAAATGCTGGTCGCGTTGTTGGAGTCTATGGTGTCTGTCCTTGGTAGTATGTCACATCCTCACCTCAGCCAAAGTAGTCCTAGGAACAAACAGATCATCGATACATATAGTGCTACGATATTTGACCTTCTATTATTATGACAAGAGCTAAAATCTGAGATAAGCACATTCGTTCCTAACGTTTTGCATATGTTGATCCTCAGAATGATTCTTAGATCGTTTTGGAAGAATGTCAAGTTTCTGACTGGACCGACTCCCTCCTGAATCGGCTCATATAACATCGGAACAAGCTTGAGTACGTGTACTTCTGTCTATGTCTATGTTTCTGGTACATAAGTTTCCGTATTTCAACATAATCGTAATACTAGCTTTTATGTTTCGAAACGGTAACCCCATCTCATTCCACAGTTAGTTTCGATTGAGCGTAGCCACATCCAACTCACTCTGTCATGTGCCCAATACCGTCGAGACCAACTTAAAAAGGCATTGCGAGGAAGAAATTCTCTGACCGCTTCCCGAAAGATTCTTGAAGCATCACATACTGGGATATCTTACACTGCAATCAATCTTATGACAGCGATGTCGTCTACTACTACCACTCAGTCTCTTCCTGCGGAAGTTTCTCCTGCCGCAACCTTTCCCGAGGGACTGCCCACTGTCGAGCTTCCCCGCATCTCTCTTCGAGGCCTTCTCGAAAATGATGAGACGGAGATGTTGAAGATCTTTGACATATGCCTCACCACGGGGTTCTTCTACCTCAATCTTCAAGATCATCCCGACGGACAGCGACTGTGGGAAAAAGCCTGCCGAATTTGTGAGGTCGGCAAACAGACCCTCCCCAAGTTGGACATGGACACCAAACTGTCTTACAAAGCCAGAGAGAGGACTGGCGTATTCGATATGGGGTCAGGCAAGACATGGACGTAACATCTCAACATCAGAGCTAACGCGACTGGTCAGATACAAATGTCCCAGCATCAGCAAGACCGGCGAGCCTAAGTTCAGCGAAGCCTTCAACGTAAGCAGACCCTTGAAGAACTTTCTTCGATCTCCCCCACCCCCCTTGAGATTCTCGCATCATCTCGGAGCCCATGTCGAATAGAGCGGGATTGACAAGGGGGCGACCGCCGCGCCGCATGAGCACATATAATAACGTGGGGTCCGTCTGACAGGTTCCACTCTACGAATTGTTGGTGGATAAGACAACAAGCTTTCGGCTCCCGTCTTGGCTAGCCGATCATCAGGAACTTTTCGGCTCCATCCTAACGCACGGCAACGAGATCTGCCGCGTATTGCTTGGCGCCCTGGAGAAGCACCTTCAGCTCGACTCGGGGAAGCTTTCATCTCTGCATCGAGTGCAGGATCCGTCCAACGACTTCCTTCGCGTGCTGCGGTATCCTGCAACCCTCCCTGGCGACGACCCCAACGCCGCTAAGTTCCCACCCCATCGTGACTCCGTCAGCGTCGCCATCCTCTTTACCTGGGTTGGCGGTTTGCAGATCCTCGAGCCAGGTAGTAGCAGCAACCCTGTCACCGGCGGCTACGACGAATCTGCCTGGCGATGGGTTGAGCCTGTGGATGGACACGTAATTGTCAACCTTGGAGACGCCCTTGCCGTCCTAACAAACGAGGTCCTCAAGTCGGGATTCCACCGGGTCATCGGCGCGCCGGGGAACCAGGCCCGGTTGGACAAGTACAGTGTCCTTTTGGGATATCGTCCTGCTCTCAACACCCCCATGCGCCCTCTTCCCAGCCCCGTCATACCCCCCTTGAGCGATGAGCTTGCCGCCGCACCTATCCAGACTTGTGAGGAGTGGGGGGCGCAGCGTGTCCAGAAGGTCTACCAGGTCCTCGAACAACGCAAGACATAAGCGGGTGATCTTTTCTGGTGCTGCCATTGGTCAGAGGATGACTTCTTCGTTCGCGCATCTGCGAGTACATAAAGTCAAGAGAATCATTATTCACAGAGAAAGTCCGTAGAGTCATATAGGCGAAGCATCGCTTGAAGTATGACCGAAGTTGTTTTGGGCATTTTCGTGTCGAGTAAGACATCATGAAGAAGTGGTATTTTGAACATGTGCAATTATCTAAAGATGTCTTCCCATTGGAGAGGCACAAATGCCATTATCCTGATTTGACCCGCACAAGACGTTTAAGTGACCGGAATTTAAACCCATTGCCTCCCCGAAGGATCGCTGACCACCGTCGAAGAAGTTATCCTCAACTCCCTCAAGTGTGTCAGGCTTCACCCTTGCCACGCTTCTGCTCGTACTTGCTTTGAGGCTTACACCATAAGTTCTCTCGGTTCGCAAACGAACCAATTGCACCCGGAAGAAAGCCGCATATTTGATGTGACATGAAGCTTCAAGGACACTGTGTAGGAGTTGACCAATATCTCACCAGTGGATCCCCGCATCTCGTGAGATCTTGGTGTCTTTTAGTCGGGGCAATTTGGCCGAGGATAACTGCAGTAGATACCAGAGTTGCCACTTCGTTTGTGGAGACTTCCAAACGTTGCAGTAAGTCTCGGCCCAAACAGCCCTGACATGGCTGTATCAATACATGAGGCCTTGGGAAAGATACAAGTGTGTTCCTTCGTGACATTGGAAGGATGACGCCCCCTGCCCAACGCACGTAGGCTTGGTATGTGTTTGACAGTCAGATATCTAGATTGATCCGCTTTCGAGACCCTCAAAGGAAATCTTGCAGAATTGACCGCATAAGCCGGCTCTTGAATCAATGATTGGTCCAGAGAGCGTAAACGCAATCAAGAAGAAACGTCCATCTCAGGACTGACTTTGGAAAGCCGATGACGGTTGTTCTTCTTCTACCTTACGCCATTATTCTCAAATAAGCCTAATTCGTGGCCCAAAGTCTAGAGTGTTTTCTTACTTTTCTTTCTTACTCTGTCCCGGCACATTCACATTTCTCTCCGTACTTTCACACCATCTTGAGTCTATGATCAAGTCCGCAATGGCTTCTGTTCTTCCCGAAGCCTCGGGCTTCTCAACTTCGCTGGATAAGATGAACTCTCAAATCGGCACATCCGAGATCTTCGACACTGAGTCTAATAGCAGCTCTCAAGTCGAGCCAAAAATGGACGGTCAAACCTCAACTCCTCCCCTGACGGAGAGCTGGAGCGGTGCGGCTTCAGAAGCAGGACATCAAACCCCTCGGCCCATCGCCATCTGTGGAATGGCTCTCCGTCTTCCCAACGGGATTCGCGATACTGACGCGTTCTGGGAAGTTCTCGTGAACCAGAAGGATCTTCGGGGCCCGGTACCTGATACTAGATACAATGCATTGGCCTACACGGACAAGCTCGGCAAGCGGGGTGCCATCAAGACGCAACATGGATACTTTCTTGATGAAAATCTCGACACCCTTGACACAAGTTTCTTTACCATGAGCAGGACGGAGCTTGAGCGATGCGATCCGCAGCAGCGTCAGCTTCTCGAAGTGACTCGCGAAGTTCTCGAGAGTGCCGGCGAAGTCAACTTCCGCGGAAAGCCCATTGGATGTTATGTTGGAACCTTTGGTGAAGACTGGCTTCAGCTCAGTGCTCGAGAACAGCAACATGCCGGCGGATACCTGATGACTGGCCACGGCGATCTCATGTTAGCCAATCGCCTCTCTTACGAATATGACCTCAAAGGTCCTAGGTGCGCAGAATTTTCGTGTTATTTTCGCATATCTTGGTGCACGCAAATACATATACTGACAAACAATGTTCTCCAGTATGGTGTTGAAGACTGGATGCTCAGCATCATTGATTGGTCTTCACGAAGCCTGCCGCGCTCTTCAGAGCGGAGATTGCTCGGGCGCCATTATTGCGGGCGCCAATCTCATCATGGGTCCAACAACGACGGCCGCCATGACCGAGGAGGGTATGCTCTCGCCAGAGGGCTCTTGCAAAACGTTCGATGCTGCCGCAGATGGGTACGCCCGTGGAGAAGCTGTGAACGCCATATACATCAAGCTGCTCGACGACGCCATTCGTGACAACAATCCAATTCGAGCTGTCATCAGAAACTCCGGCACGAACAGCGACGGCAAAAGTCAAAACTTGTTGACGCCGAATAGCGCTGCGCACGAGGCCTTGATGCGTAAAGTCTACGCTGACATCGGCTTGGATCCGGGCAAGACAGCTTTCGTCGAGGTACAGTCTTTCGGGCACAGAACCATGAGTCCGACGTGGTAGTCTAACGTGATTATAAATTAGTGCCACGGTACCGGAACGCCAACTGGTGATCCATTGGAAACAAATGCTGTTGGCAACGTCTTCGGATCGCATGGCATCTACATAGGCTCAGTGAGTTTTTTGTAACGCATGTCTCCTGATCAATCGTCTGGTCGCTAATAGCCGGGGGGAAAAGGTCAAACCCAACGTTGGCCATTCTGAGGGCGCGTCAGGCCTTACGAGTCTTATCAAGGGAGTTCTGGCTCTTGAACACAACACCATACCACCCAATATCAAGTTCTCCAACCCCAATCCTAAGAGTGAGTCCCCAAGTTTCTACCCTAACCAACGAAAATTTCTCACATTGTGTTATAATGTAGTTCCGTTCAAATCCAAAAACCTTAGTGTACCAATCAAGCCAGAAGCTTGGCCTACGGGCCGCGACAAGCGAGTGAGCATCAATTCATTCGGAATCGGAGGCTCAAATGCACATGTGAGGAGAATCCAGACCGTTCAAATTACATTTGGTCGTGTGTTGATGAAACCACTTGTACTAGGTCATCCTCGAAGCACCCCAGAGGCTAGCTGTCACAAACCCAATCCCGAAGGAATCTCAACTTCTCATCCTTTCAGCCAACACCGCCAAGTCACTCAAGACATCAATTGAGGGAGTTCAAGATTATGTATCACGCTTCCCTGAGAAAATTTCCAACCTTTCATACACACTCGCATGCCATCGGGAAAGTCTCCCCCATCGAGCATTCATGGTTGTCAACAACGAAGGTATTGTCACTGAAACCTCATCAGCCACCAAGGCCTCCTCTACTGAGCCTCCGGTTGTCATGGTATTCAGTGGTCAAGGCGCACAATGGCCTGAGATGGGCAAAGACCTCTTTCATGCAGACCAAGCCTTCAGAGATGACATTCGAAAGATGGATTCCATCTTGAAGTCGTTGATCCACCCCCCTAGCTGGACTATCGAAGGTAAATAGTTCTCGCGTGCACACCTTGAGTCGATACAAACTAACGTTATGTCCCTAGACGAAATGTTGGCGCCCCCCGAGACAAGCCGACTTCATACTGCCGAGTTGGCTCAACCATTGTGCACAGCATTGCAAATTGCCCTTCTCCATCGCCTTAGACGAGCCGGAATCTGCCCGGTGTCTGTTGTCGGTCACTCAAGCGGTGAAATTGCAGCCGCATACGCCGCAGGTGTGATTTCTATCAAGGAGGCCATCATAACAGCTTATTACCGCGGCTATATTACCAAGTCAACTTCACTTGGCGGTGGTATGGCTGCCGTCGGGTTGGGTGTAGCCGATGTAACACCCTACATCCAAGGCACGGCTAGTGTTGTGGTTGCTTGCGACAACAGCCCGAGCAGTGTCACCTTGTCTGGCGATCTCGACGCTCTGGATGAAGTTTTGTCTGAGATCAAGAAAACCAAGCCGGATACTCTTGCCAGGAAACTCAAGGTGGACATGGCATACCACTCGCACCACATGGGACCCCTTTCGGCTCGCTATGAAGACCTTCTGAGAAAGGAACTGGCTGCTCACGAAGATCTTTCGACCGCTCCCTCGACTACCAATATCCCTATGTTCTCCTCCGTTGTGAGAAAACAGATCATTTCCAGCAGGGATGTTGGACCTTCGTACTGGGTCGCTAATCTCACTTCTCGTGTTCGATTCACCGACGCCATTCTCAGAATTTTGGAGGACCAGCCTCGGTGTCTCTTCCTGGAAGTTGGACCTCACTCTACCCTAGGCGGTCCTCTACGACAGACTTGCTCTGTTTCTGGCACTGAGTATCGCTACGTGTCGACTCTTTCCCGCGGCTGTGACTCTTTCCGAACTGCCCTTGCCGCGCTTGGCCAGCTTTATCAGCACGGAATTGGCATAGATTGGTCGGCCGTAGTGCCCTCCGGTCGGGTGTTGACAAATCTTCCGCGGTATCCTTGGGACCACAGCAGCGGTTCATTTTGGTACGAAGCTCGAGTTTCAAGAGAGTCACGGTTTCGCCAGTTTGGACATCACAAGTTACTTGGCCTGCGTGTTCCGGAAAGTTCTGACGTTGAGCCTCTGTGGCGTAACCAACTCAGCTTGGTGGATGAGCCCTGGCTCTCTGACCACAAAATCCGTTCCGATGTGGTGTTCCCGTTCGCTGGCTACATCTCCATGGCTGGAGAGGCGATTCGTCAGCTGACGGGCGTCCAAGGCGGGTATCATTTGCGAGATGCAACTGTGAAGTCAGCTATGATCCTCACAGAGCAGTCAGTGGAGCTTATTACTTCACTTCGACCCCTCAAGTTGACGAGAACAACCGACTCTGTTTGGTACGAGTTCCGCGTTGTGTCATATAACGGTTCAACTTGGCTCAAACACTGCGAGGGTCAGATCAAGGCCAGTTCCGACACGCCGGCACCGTCTCAGAAGCCAAGCCCAGAACAGATGATTCGAAACATTCCCTCAAGCCGATGGTACGACTGCATGGACAGCATTGGTGTTGTTTACGGACCAGAATTCCAGGCTCTTTCGGACATCGTGTCAGCAACCACAGACAACGTAGCTGTGGCCAAGGTGATCAATGAGAGTCGTCATCTTGACGAAGCGTTCCATCTCCATCCAGTGGCTATAGATGCCTGTCTGCAGCTCCTTTTGGTTGCTATGGTAAAAGGCATCGGCCGCAAATTCGGCCAGCTACGTGTCCCGACCACGATCAAAGACTTGTTTGTCTCACGTGGTGCTCCTGTCATGACTGCCGTTGCTCGGGGTGAACAGTCTGACGACCTCTCAGTAGAGGTCACAGCGGGCGACAGTGTTGTACTTCGTCTCAGTGGCCTCGATTTGACTCCTGTTGACGATGGCCATGTGACACAAGAAGAGCCTCACGCAGCTGCTCGTCTTGAGTGGTTGCCCGATTTCGACCTCATCAACCACGCGACTCTGTTCACGCCCCCTCGATCGATCCCGGAGGAGACGCAGCTTCAGGAGGAAATGACACTCTTGTGCATCATCGAGACAGCGGATAGGGTCCGAGATCTGACACCCTGTAACTGGCACTTCGAGAAGTTTCGCAGCTGGCTTGATTTGGAAATTGGTCGTGCAAGAAATGGCACCTACCCACTACTGGAGACGTATGGCAAAGACTATCTCGACATGCCGTCTGAGCAACGACAAGCTATGATCGAAGAACGCTACAAGAAACTTCTCACTCTTTCATCCAAAGGCGCTGTTGCGGTTGGCATCAAGCGCATCTACGACAACTGCCAGGCCATTTTCTCAGGACAAGCAGACACGCTGGACACGTTGATGCAAGGCGACATCTTGACTGAGATCTACAACGCCGTGAGCTTTGGGAAAGGAGATTTCTTCAAGCTTCTTTCGCACTCGAAACCTAACCTCAGGGTTCTTGAGGTTGGTGCTGGTACCGGCGGCACTACGGAAATGATTCTTCGAAACCTCGTTCGTCCAGACGGTCTTCCTGCCTACGGCACCTACACATTCACCGACGTCTCTGCTGGCTTCTTTCCACAAGCGCAAGACCGTTTCTCATACGCGCCCAACATGGATTACCGAGTCTTTGATATCTCGCAAAGCCCTTTTGAGCAAGGATTCGAGGCCGGTACCTACGACGTTATTCTCGCTCCCAATGTCATCCATGCGACGCCATCTCTCCGCGAGACTCTCGGTAATCTGCACCCTCTGCTTAGAACGGGAGGTCTTCTCGTGCTCACCGAGCTTTGCGCTGTTGTCCGTACACCCAACTACATCTTTGGCAATTTCTCGGGTTGGTGGCTTGGAGAGTCTGACGGTCGCCCTAATGAGCCGTACGTCAGCGTTGACCGGTGGGATGATGAACTCAGAAACACTGGCTTTTCTGGTGTTGACACCGCGGTTCGTGACGCTCAAGAGCCATATCACTATTGTGCGGCTATTGTGAGTACCAAATTAGACGAGAACAACAACACTGCCAAAGCTGCATGTGGCTTCCCAGGCGTGTCCGTTCTCGTCGATGATCCCGTGGGCGTCCTCTCTGGAACTGTGGTGGCGGAACTCCGAAAGTCAGGTATTGAGGCAACCGTCTTTCAACTTGGCGACAACGCACTACCCACCGATCAAGATATTATCTCTTTGCTCGATGTTGAGGCGTTCTTCTTTGCCGAGATTGACTCGCATCGTTGGACAGACTTCCAACAGGTCCTTCAGCGACATGCGTCCGGAAGCATCTTGTGGTTGACCAGGCCGGCCCAAATCAACTGCAAAGATCCGCGGTCGGCTCAAACAATTGGCGTGGCGCGTTCCATCCGTGCCGAGTCGCGCGTACCCTTCCACACACTGGAGATTGACGCTGCCGAGCCAGATTTTGCGAGAATTGTGCGTCAAGTTCTACAGAAGATGCAGCGCAGTAGTGATACTGAGCTCCTGGCCCCCGACAGGGAGTACGTGGTGGACAAGGGCGTCGTCAACATCGGTCGTTACCAGCCATTCCTTGTCAAAAAGGAAATGCGCGAGATCGGACAGATCTCTGGCGATGTGGTGGCGCGGCAAAATTTCATCAAGAGTCTGCATACTTCCCATGTCGGCTCTTTGGAGAATTTGTCTTGGATCAGCGATACTGCCAGCAGCCTCGAGATCGGTGATGATGAAGTGGTTATTGAGACCCGAGCAGTTGGCCTGAACTTCAAGGATGTGTTGTACGCTATGGGAGTTCTCAAGCCTGACAGCAACAGCATTGTTCCTTTCGGGCTTGAAGTTGCTGGCGAAATATCTCGCGTGGGCTCTGCCGTGTCCAACTTGCAAGTCGGCGACAGAGTCTTGGCCATGCCACCGTCCGCAGCATTCAAGACCGTCGTCACTACCCCAGCCTCCTTGGTACAAAGAATACCTCGGACTTTGAGTTTTGAAGATGCAGCAACGTTACCAATTTGTTATACGACTGTGATTGAAGGTTTGGTCAATTTGGGTCAGCTCGAGAGTGGCCAGGTAGGTCATGAACCCATGTCAGTCCTCAGAGTATGTGGCTCTAACGTAGTCCATTCCGTAGTCCGTCCTGATTCATTCAGCCACCGGAGGTATTGGTCATGCTTCAATTCAGATATGCCAGAGCATGGGAGCCGAGGTGCGTCATACGGCTGGTGATCGTTCGTCAACGTGAAGACTCACTGATCATGACTCTGCAGATTTATGCCACTGTTGGCACCCAAGAGAAGGCAAACTACCTCGTTGACAAGTTCAACATTCCAAGAGATCATATATTCCACTCTCGCGATGAGTCTTTCGCCGCCGAACTCAAGCGTGCAACAAACGGGCGTGGAGTCGACATCGTGCTGAACTCGCTCTCTGGCGAGCTACTTCATGCGTCTTGGGACTGCGTCGCTGAGTTCGGCAAGCTAATCGAGATCGGAAAAAAAGACATTGTTGAAGGCGGAAGCCTCAGCATGCAAAATTTCCTAATGAACCGGTCTTACTGCTGCGTTGACATGACGCACATGGCCCAGAAGCGCCCTCAGCGGGCTGGAGCGTGAGTCCCAATTCTTACCCCGACGGTGGAATAATGTGCCAGAGCCGGATGGTTTGCTGACAGCAACGATGGCAACAGACTATTGAAGAGATGCATCGACATGTACGAAGCCGGAAGTATCGGAGCCTTGAGTCCCGTGGCCACATTCGAAGCTGCCGCGGTTCAGGAGGCTTTCGGCTGGGTCCAAGATGGAAACCACATTGGCAAATCTGTTGTGAGAATTCCTGATGACATCTCAACTATCCTCAGCTCGCCTCAAGATACAAAGTTGCAGCTCAAGAGCGACGCATCGTATCTGCTGACGGGCGGACTTGGGGGTCTTGGGAAGGTCATTGCCACCTGGCTTGTCGAACATGGGGCGAAGTCGTTGGTGTTTCTATCAAGAAGCGCCGGGCTCAAGCCCGAAGACCAGGCTTTCTCGCGTGAGCTTGAAACTTCGGGGTGTTCCGTCGTCTTTGCACCTGGTCGAGCTGAGGCGAGGGAAGACATCGAAGGAGCCATCGCCCTGGCCCCTCAGCCGGTTCGAGGAGTAATTCATCTCGCCATGGTCCTTCGCGATTCTCCAATTGCCACGATGGCACACGAGGACTGGCTTGCAGCCAATGACCCCAAGGTCAAGGGAGCTTGGAACCTTCACGAGTGTCTCGAAGATGTTGCTCTAGACTTTTTTGTCATGGCGAGCTCACTCGTGACTGTGGTGGAACAGCCAGGTCAGGGCAATTACAGCGCATCCAACACTTTCCTCGAGGCTTTCACCCAATATCGAAGATCGCTGGGGCTTCCGGCGTCAGTCCTCAACATCTGCCCTATTGATGGCGTCGGCTTTGTCGCGGAGAATTCTTTCGCTCGCAAAAACATGAAGGCACAGGGTCTTTACTTCCTCCGCGAAACAGAGCTGCTCGACTTCCTCGAGCTGTCCATTCAACTATCGCCTGTTTCGGCCACAGCGTCTTCTCGTTCGACGTCCGAGGTGGCCAGTAACGAAGCCGTCACACACTTTGAAATTCCCGAAAAGCTTCTCTATAAGAGCCCATGGACCAGCATGTCTCAGATGGTGATGGGTCTCAGATCAGAGGGAGATCTCAAGAACCCGAACACCCGGACCAACTGGCGACGGGACCGTCGAATGGGTTTCTACCATAACATCAGCGATTCGGACGCTTCACGAGCCGCGTCATCCGCACAGAAAGGCTCTAGCGAGCTTGCAAAGTTTCTGGTAGACGCAGTCAATAACCCAAGTTTGCTGAGCGAAGCTCGCAGTGCAGACTTCTTGGCTCAGGAGATCTGCAGAAAGGTTTTCAGCCTCATGCTGAAGGAAGAAGAAACGATCGATACGTCGATGACACTGCAGCAGATTGGGCTGGACTCTCTGATGGCGATCGAGCTGCGACGCTGGTGGAAGCTTGCCTTTGGACTGGAAATAAGCGTTCTTGAAATTTTGGCGACTGGAACTCTGAAGGCTTTGGGGATGCTTGCGGCGGACGGATTGAAAGCCAAGTTTACGCAGGTTGCGGAGTAATTCATCTAAAGCTCGTCATCTAGAAAGTTTTCAGAAGAGAGTACGAGATATTTTAAACAGAGAAATGCGCCAGATGGGTGAAAGAAATTGTTGTCCCGTGACTATCGGGTATCCAACTAAGAGTATGTTCGCATATCATTGTTGAGACCAAGAATGCTTCATCCTCATTTTAAGCCTCATACTCAAAATGTTCTGACCATGAATATGCGCAAGACTTACGAATCAAGTAGCGCAAATATTCACAGAGCTTCAGCCACCCGGTCCGCCGCAGTTTCAACGCCGGCGCGGTCATCTCGGACCATTATTCGGAGACATTTTCCCGGCCCGGGCGGTCGCCCCACATCCTACCGGTCTCGGCGACATTCTGCCGTAGCTGGTCCGGGACCTCGGAGACATATGGGCACGCGAGTCACAACGATTTGGTATAAAACCGCAATAAAAAACTATTGTAAATCCAAGTTTGTTCGTTCATCGTAGACAGACTTCCAAAGACACAAGCAACCTCATATGATATCCTTCCATAAGACATTGCATAAGGCATTTACACAGACACTTCTGCTTAATACGATGACATCCAACACCACGGCTCGAATGCTTCACGATGTTCTCATTATTGGCGCTGGACCTGCAGGTCTCTCCACAGCCACCGCTTTGTCTCGCCAGCTCTACACCACAGTCCTCTTCGACTCGGGTCTATACCGCAACGCCCGCGCAACCCACATGCATAACGTCCTCGGCTTCGACCACGTCCCTCCCCCTGTTTACAGAGCCAAAGCAAGATCAGACATTCAAGCTCGCTACTCCGAAACCGTAACATTCGCCGACGTCGAAGTCACCAAGACAGAAAAGCTCAACAACGGCATCTTTACGGCTGAAGACGCAACAGGCAAGACTTGGTTCGGACGGAAACTCGTTCTTGCCACCGGTGTCGCGGATATCATGCCTGAAGAAATACAAGGCTTCGCAGACTGCTGGGGCCATGGAATCTTCCATTGCCTCTTCTGCCATGGCTTCGAGGAACGCGGGTCTGAAGGCGCAGGGATTCTTGGCTTCGGGATGCTTGGAAATCTAAAGATGGCGTCACACATTGCCTACATGGCCCGCCCGCTTGCTAGGCAAGTCACAATTTACACCAACGGGAACGAAGCCCTAGCCTCAGAGCTATCTGGTTTTCCCGGTTCACCCTGGAGAGTTGATCCGCGCAAGATTGTCAAGACGCGCATGGGCGAGAAGAGCAACGTCATCATCACCTTCGCCGACGGAGCAGAAGTGATGGAGGGTTTTCTAGCGCATGCACCTTACACAAAGGTGAACGGCCCGTTTGCTGAACAGCTTGGTCTCGAGATGGCGGAAAACGGAGACATTAAGACTTCACAGCCATTTGGGGAGACGAGCATTGCGGGGATCTACGCGGTTGGTGATTGTGGAAACATGATCAAAGCCGTTGCACCTGCGACCACAGGTGGCGCGATGTGTGTGGCCGGCATGGTAGTGCCGTTACAAAGTGAGCCAAAGGTCGAATTAGATGCGGAAGCGACTGAAAAGATTATTGGGTGAATCTTATTTTGCAAAGGCAGGTTTTCTGATTCGAGCACAAATTCAACATTGATATTGATTACATTTCCCGCATGTGCCATGAAGTGCCATGAAGTGCCCCAGGTTCTTTGGACACGCCTTTGTCTTTCTTCTCCGTGACCTTGCCTTTCCCAAAAGGCAAAGGAGAGTTGTCTAAATATGCAAATGTAGCAGGGTGATCGCTTCGCTCTTTTGAAGGGATTTCAACTCAAATTGTATTACATACAGAGAGTCGAATGACGTTCCCAAGATCGAGATTACGGAATCATACGGCACGTCAAGCTCAGGAACATCGCCGTCCACACCAAGTAGCCTGGGCCTGAGGTCTTGGGATGGGCTCCGAGGACTTTGCATATGTTGCTATCCAGGGGGGATGCAATATCGGCCACCTCAAGGCAACAAGATTACATCTGCAAGTAGTTGAGAGAATGCCTCAAGAGTGTCACACCGCCTCTCGCAAAACATTGGCGATGAGGCAGCCGCCGGACAAGAGTGCAACGGTTCGCATAGTCCCATGCATGTAGATGCGCATTTAGAAACGGTTGTCCACCCTACCAGCATCATATATCTGGCTGCCTGCTGGCAGGTACCATATGGTTCCGGTTTCTTCTCTTCAATCCAATCTTAATGAGGACGGTGGTCGAGTCTTCTTACATCCAAAGAAGTCTACCGCAAGCTTTCAGGACCCGCCGAAGGACTTCCCTGCTTGCCTGGTAGTCTCCCCAAGCACTCCGAAATACAAGGGGTTAAGAAGGCTGGCAACGTATCGTGGCATGAGGGATTCTAGAGATGAGCCCGGTCTTGTGGGGGCTAGAACACCCCGGAACCAAAGACACCCCGTTCAAGCTATGTCGGAGATAGTATCCTGTCCGGTGTGCGTCAATAAAGAAGCCGGGAACTCGTCCGGGTTTTGTATCCAATATCGAATTCTCCTTATGAGAAGCAAAACTAGTTGTTAATTGTAACAAGCCGCTCGCCAGTGTACTCATGACGTAGCTTTTCGCATCTACAACGACGGAAAGCGAGTCCTCCATCACGGATTTCAACACTAGTCTTTGTGAAGTTCCTCGGACTTTTCAATACTGCTCGACCCTCAAAATGCCGAACCGATGTCAAACTCATCAGACGTACGGCCCGACTCCTGTCGGCGTGCATTAGTGCCCACCCACATCTTTCCATCGCGGCGTGCCGGGGGATTAGGCAGCAGAATTTCTGTCTCCGCAAACCCACGCTCTCCTAACCGCATTCTATCCGCACGGCAAACCGCCCGCGAATCAACACAGCTGTCGATATCGCTTCCGACGCCACCGTCCATGGATGTCTGATGAATACTTACTCCCTGTTGCGCTTTGTGTGTGAGCATGTGTGGATATCAGGCGAGGTCAGGAGACAACCACAACTCAAAGCCTCGTCCTCCTGTACGTAGTAAGTTTTCGTGACTAAAGATCGGAAAAGTTGGAAGCAAAGAGCTGGGGTAATAAGCAGGGACTCCACTGTGAAGCTTCCCAAGTTAACCTGGTTGGCAGTTTTCTATCGAGATCGAAGGCAGCTCTAATTTGCGTTTCTTTCTCGTAGAAAGAGACTACGGTGTATGCCATTTGACATTAAGCCCAGTTCTTGTGATATGTCTCTCTCCGTCTCACTCCCGGGCCCCTGTACATGTGGAATTCTTCACTTGGGCCTGTTCAAAAGCCGTGTTTTTCATTAAATGCGAGTCAACATGAGCTGCCGCAATTTGACACATTTGAAGCAGACTTATACACAATGTGATAAAACGGAATCTCAGAACAGCATTAGCAAGCGATGTTGAAATATTCTTTCTGGAAATCTGACAAAGGGTGTTCGTTTAAACCATTACTACCGGCATTGATATATTATTCTGGTCAGCTTTCTTGATCTCGAGCCCTACGACTCCCAAACCGTGTCACCGAGAACGTTTTGTTGCCCTTGTCTCTCATATTTGGATGGAACGTTACCAGAAATAGCTTCGGATATCAAAACGTTTCTAGTCCTGCCTCCTTGCGCGTGATCTCCATCATTGAAGAAATATCAAGCCTGCAATGACATCGGCTTACAGCGAATACTTCCTCCGTCGTCTGAGTAATAGCCCCAGCCCTCCGGTCTTCCGAGCGGGGCTGATCCCCATCAAACCGCGGCGGACTTCCTTCTGAAGCACGGTCTAGACACTCGTCTGACGGTTTTCGGTCTCCGTGAAACGAAACTTTGTCAGGCAAACAAGGAAATCAACTTGTGGCAGGAGAATAGAGGGAGCATTAAGCTCGGGTTCCCGGTGTTCTAGACTTGGGTGTGTCTGAAGGAAAGCTTGCATGGGGTTTTCGTATATTTTCTGGGAAAGATTCTGCGCATGGGTAGTTTCCGTATACTCGCCAATGTTGTGAACTTTGATGGCCACACACATCTAGACTTCCGCAATTCACCGGGTTGCGGACCACGTATACTGGACGGGCTCCATCTAGAGACACTGTCGACCATACTCTACTCCCTTGCATTCCGCTCGGCGTTGCCTCTTCCGTCTCATCATAATGATGCCCTCAAAGTCCAAAAAGAAGCGCGCAAGAACGCACTTAACGTTGCGCCGACAAGGGTCAATCTTCACGAGTATATTCAGAAACTACTAGCCATCATGCGCAAACCATTCCACTCCGTGGGACTCGTCGAGAGGATCTCCCAGTAACTGTAAGCAAGAGACCACCTGCCATATCGACGGTCATGCGCATATGAACGAGTCAGAAATAGAAAACGGAGTTTGGGATTGACGGGTGTCATCCCATCCAATCCTCGCGTGTTTATGGGATGAAACGGCGAGGCAGCGACGGGTTGTTCCCGGCGTGGGGGTTCAAGCATTTCCCAAGTGGGATTCGCACCAGCATCTCGGTGCGAAAAGAATCATGGTAATTCCGGAACGGGGGGCGAAGAAATATTGGTTTCGTGATCAGGGTCTAGGTAGGCTCGTTGACCTTCTATTATGCGGGGGTGGCTCATGACAGACTCAGGGCCCCGCCAGGCGCCGGCCGGGGCTCTGTTGATCATTCATGCGACCGCCGCGGACCCCCCTGGAGTATCTAAGGTGAGGTGAGGCGGGATGAGGCTCCTTTTCGCGCCGTTTGGGCACATCACAAGTCACAACTCTGAGAAGAAGATTGTTGGAAATTGAAGGTACGTCACTACTGTCGGGTGGTCGCTCTCCGCCGAAATTGCTCTCAGTTGGCGCCGAGAAGCTTTGACGGCGGCGGGATCCTTCTCCGGAGCAGTCTCCAAAACGCGACCGGGGCTTAGACTAAGATGGTGTTAGTCGAACCTGGCAGATGACGCCGACGTTAGCAAGGTGTGCTGTCGGCGATGTAAAATGGATTTCGTGACCGAACGGTGGTGAGGAAGTGCGCCAGTAAGCCCTTGTGGGGAGTTCGTGGCTGTCGTCTCCGTCCGATCGCGAAAACGGTGCGATTGTGAAATCTGCCGTCGATTCCAAGTGTGATTGAGTGCGATGGTGGGCACTAGGAATCCGCGACGTTGGTGAAAAGTGGCATCGTCGCTGACAGGCGGAAGACGAGTTAAAAACAAAGGTTTCAAATTGTAAGTTCTGGTGGAACACCTCGGTTTGGAACTAACGACCATTGAGGCGGAGCGGTGTCATCTAGTGATGGCCAGAGATTCGAATCGATCAATCAAGGTGGCAGTAAGTTGAAGAACAGCAACATCGTAGGCTGTTCGGATTCCGTGCTGGGATCATTGTAGACAGAACTGGATGCTCCACATGAAGACAAGGTGGTATTGGCAAACGTCGCCTGGATCTCGGTTCTGGTAGCCGCCCGCAGAGTCGCGGATCCGTTTCCTGCCATCTTTGGGTCATTAATTATTATATCATGGGATGAACAAGGGCTGTCCAGGCTTGCTTTCTAGAACGAGCTGTTCCGCCGGGGCATTACTTGCCTTTCCCGGACGATGAGGCTGTTATTGCCTTCGGCACATCCGACCTTTTTCTTGTCTGCGAGTTCCAATGGTAGCGGACAACTTCTTTGTTGAAGGGATCTTGCAAGATGAGAGCAACAAGAAGATCGGGGGGAGCTTGGAACTGGAACAAATATTATTCGAGACTGGCATCGTGGCTCTGCTCGGCTCGCTCGCCCTTGGCGAGGGCTGGGCGACATAGGCCTCAGCGAATTGGGATATATCCTCCACAATCAAAATGTCCACCAGCCCAAGATATCACCTTTACGAAAAGACTCTCCAGCCTCTCGTGACAACGACCTTCCCTTTACGCGACCGCCATAATCATGACCTCTAGTGGATGACACCATGCGCCTTGCTATGAAATTTCCGACTCTCATCTCGTTCTGCTCTCAGTTGCAAAGAAAGAGCTCCTCAGACCTCGTAGTCATAGATCGATGTAGGCGGGGGCTTGCATACTCCGTCATGGGAGAAACCAAAACGCTCGGGTTGTATGCCGTTGCACTCATCAAGCTCATGTGAGGGTCGTCATGGCCAACTGTCCAACCCATCGACTCTCTGTCATTTGTCTGTATTGGCGTATGGGGTACAGCCTCTGCGGTTGCCGTAGCAGACGCATATGCAGAGGAAGTGAACAGCTCCCCGGCCAGGGGCGTCGTCTGCTGTCTTTCACCCTGGTACCACCATTGGTCCTCGAAACCATTGTCGACCGTCATCATAGCCGCGGAAAGTGCCTCCAGCTCGTACCGTCTTTCGGGGTCCTCCCTTTCGCGAGGAGTTCGAGAACTCGGCGCGACGTTGGTGACAGCAACATTACGGAACTTCATTGACAGTTCCGAAGAGTAGTCGTCGACTTCTGTTTCATCGGGCATTCCATACTCGCCAGGCCATGACGAAACTGACCACGGCAGCTCATCTTCCCCTAGTCGGAAACGTGAGGGGACTTCAGGCAAAGCCTTCCAGTAGTCCGGAGCGTTTGCCGTGGGCGCTCGTGGCCGTTGACGTGGCAGGGCAGAGCTTCCCAAAGGGTCTGGTTCAGCGTCCCAAGGGCTATCGTTCCATGGAGGAGGCGCGGAGCTTCCTCGTTCGTGTGATGAGCCGGATGATCGAGTCTCCTGTCGAGATTGCCTCCTCGGCTCGAGATGGGGCAGCATTGGCTGGTAGTAGGACGGATCCTGTTCATGAACGGCTTGTGAGGGTTGCGCAGGCGGACCGGCCTGGTGTGCGGGTGTCGTGAGGTAATTCGTAGTTGGAGGCGGGACTTGTCTGGGGAAGTGTTGGGCACGATCGCGCATCCCCCTCGAGACATAAGTAACCGAATGCTGATTGGGAGCATGTCTGGGTGAGAACGAGACTCCAAACTCGAAATGGACAAAGATTTGGGGCCGGCGGCTCGCAGTTGACGCCATATCGTTGTCTTGATCTAGCTGTAGATGAGGTGGGATAGGTTCTGTCCTCCATCGGGTGCCCATGGTGGGAGGGGGACGTGAGCGGTTGATATGAGGTCGAGGGAGGCGGCCAAGGAGTGGGTGACCTGGACTCGACGGTGGTCTGGGCTAGGGTGAAAATAGGACAAAGCGGAGATGCAGTCGGACGTGTAGTACCGCAAGTCAAGGAATGCTTGGTATGGGGAGAGGCACGGTACGATGCGGTACGAAGGGTGAGGTACTCGTTGTCTGCCGCCGTACCACGACGGGACCGAGCTTTTGGTTTTGGACGCTAGTGTCAAAGGTCTGAGGCGAGGCGTGTGTGTCGCAGTGATATGATGGGCAGAAGGTAGCGCTGAGGCGAGGCGGCGAGGAGAGATGTAAGATCAGATGCTGCGGATCATCCCTCCGATGTAAGCGGGAGACGGGTTCGGAAAAGAAGGGAAGGCGAGAAAGCTCAAACTGGCACACGATGTTGCATTGGGCGAGCGAAGAGACACGAGATGGCCCAAGGAGGTATTTGGAAGGGAAAGGAGCCAGAGGGGGGAGTTTTGTGGCGGAAGAAACAAGACACCGCCCATTCGAAATCCCGTCCCAGTCCCCGTCCATCTCCGTACCCTTCCCCGTCCGTCGAGGGATCGTAGCCGTGAAAAGCTCACAGCCGGCGCAGGGTGAGCGAGGGAAGGGGCAGGGACAGCCAAAGGGGGTGGTCCCTTGGGGGGCACGGCAAGGATTGGCGATCCAGCGTCAAGTTGGCGGTGGTTTAAGCTTGCCCTGGTACATGAATTGGATTGCTGGTACTGGAGCTGGTGCTGGTGTTGGTGTGCTGGGTGAGGCGTAGAGGCGTGCGGCGTGAGACCGGGAGGTGTGAGGCGAGGCGAGGCGAGACCAAATCGAGGTACGTTCCCTCGACTGAGCGAGGTGTGGAGGAGGGCAGCTGAGGCAGCAGAATAAACTGGCGTGTGAGTGACCCGTATCTGTGGGTAATATTTGACAAGTCGCAGATGCCGTACCTAGTTTGTATCCGCGGCAATGATGGCTTGCAGATTACAGATTCATCAATGTTGTTTGATGCAGAGCACGTCCTCGAACAGCGAGGTTTGCCTTGGGCCAAGTCGGCCGTCTGTGAGGTTTGCAGGAGCAGTGACAACACAGCACAGCAAACGGTAGGTACGGTGCAGGTACAGCCCCTCGGCGCCTCGTTCATCTGGCGAGAGCTTCAGATGAACTATCGCGGGCGAAACCAACGGGCGAGTACCATAGGAAACAATGCGTTTGATGGGGTAAAGTGACGGCAGCTCGGGTCGCGGAGTGGGCGAAGATGTGGTTTGAAATGAGATGGGAGTCGTCGAATACGGCCGAAGAGGGATGATGCCAAGTACGACGGCGGCGAGGGCGAAAGCGAATCTGGCATGTCGGATGCCGCGATGGAGATGGCCATGGTCGACTGGGTTGGCGGCCAGTAACGGCCAGTGTCGCCTCCTCTGGGCCTCGCCCTCGCCCTCGCCCTCGTCCTCGCGGGGCGCGGGTGAAATGAGCGAACGGACTTCTGCATACCTAGGTAGTGTTAGGTTGGCACTGCAGAGAAAGGGAAAGGAAATGGTGGAATGGTGAGGGAGCTTAGCCCAGCACAGCTTAGGTTGGTGGAAGGATGAGAAACCTGGCGGCGACATCGACGAGGTACGGATAGAAGTCGGTCGAGGTACGTACCTCATTCGGTCGTTGTTTCTCGCCCGCCCGGGTTGGAGAAGATGCTGTCGTTGTGTCTTTCCCAGTTAAAACATCAGGTAATATGTGAAAGTACTTTTCACTTCCATCCCAATTACCTCATTGAAGGGGAGAAAAGATGCAGCAAAATCCTCCTTTTCCTGAGGTGCACAGGTACTTACTTTACTTAGGTACCTAGGATATTTCAGCGGGTTCCATTTCCGGGCTATCATTGGGGTCTTCGGAACGCTGGGTCGACTGGGCTGCGGGAGCCGAAACAGGGTACAGGCCCCCGAAGCACCCTGGGAAATGCCCGCCGAAGCCAATCCATCCCCAGACCCGTTCCAGTGGCAGCCGTACTTGCCCTTCTTCATATTCATACTTTTACAAAACATGAAGCAACGAAGCAATTCATGCACAACTGATTGATGATTTGATTTGTTTTCACTCATCTTGCCACGTTATTAATAATTTTTATAGTGTTAAAGCCCACCCAATATGTTGACTACCTACCTCAGTCAAGCCAGGGAAAGGGCAGCATGCATGCTACTTACAACTACGGATACCTCACCTCGAATAAGGTACCTTAACTTACCTGCATACCTCAGTTCTAGGCTTCAAGCAACTTCAAACTTCTCTTCTCAGTAACGATAGCACATAGTATAGGATGATCTGATAGACCTGCCGCTGCTCAGCCTCTTCTCAATTGCCATTTTCGGTTGCCGGCTCGTGATGCGCTGTTGATCTCATCTCTTGTTGACGGTCGGCAGCCAGCCAGACATGCTCTGGTCACATCAGATCTGGGATTCGCGTTTGACAAACGTGAAGTATACCAAGCACCAAGCAGAGACACGCAGATGACACACTAGAACATTTAGAAGTCGAGTGTCGTTCCGGCCGTGTGTCCCGACTCGTCGGCCGCGGCCGATGGTGACATTCGCCCCCCGTGTCCCGTTTAATCGCCTCATGGGTCTCAATCTCAATTGAACCCGCCGATCATCCCCGGCCGATACCTTACCAGTCATTCGAGAACAGAAGCCCCGCTGTGACCTCGCCGACCGCTGTCATTGGGTCCTCGCCGGAATTGACTCTGGCGAAGCGTGCGGGACGGGACATCTGCATCTCGTCCATCAACTAGGCAGCCATATAAAAAACTTCCGACAAGTTTCCGCAGGCCTGCCGCCTGCCCGCCTCCGCCTGCCTCTGCTTGACTTGAGGCGGGTATCCGTAAGCTACGTGGGTGGCTGCGGCTGGCTACCCTTCACCAGAGTGCTATTAGCAATTTGCCATGTTGCTCCAACTGCAGCCAAGATGTCCATCGTCTGCCACCGCTCGGGATCATCGTAGGCATCATTATTCAGTGATTCGTTTTAGGGGCTTCAGAATTGCCAAGGTCGTTTGCGGAGTACGTGGTATGACATCTCACGTATGGTCGGCGAAGTAAGATGACACCAAATCCAAGTGCTGGATGCTATTACCTGTTACCTACCTTGGTGTACCTTACCTACCATACAGACACTGATCGATCACCTCATGGAACCTTCCAGGTAGCCTTCCACGGAGTGGACCAGTCAGCACCTAAAAAATCACCAGCGACCTTACGGAGTATTCGTACCTTGTGTATGATGCTATGCTGCATCTGCATGGCATTCGTAGCTTCGGATAGGAGATATAGATAGGACTCAATGCCATCCATACCTTGCTCGACATCACAGAATGTCGCCGTGCGGCAAAGTGCAGCAACCATCATGGCTTTTCAGTGTCTTCATGTCAGGGCAAGAATGAACGCTGTGCCGCGCATTTGTTTGCTGATGGTCAAACAGTCAACAGCCATGCTACATGCTAGGTAGGTACCTTACGTAGTGATCACCCGTCGCATCCAATCCAGGCCCGGTCTAAAAATTAGCCGAGTGGCTCACCACCAAGCTTACATAAGAAGTGATTGTCAAGCCACATACGCCCGGGCCACGTGCAGCTATTTTTGTCCACGCCCGCTCCCGCTCCAACCCGGACCTCTCCTGTCCACAAGGACCCCACTCCTCCGCCCCTCTCCGGACAGGCCCCGGATCCTGAGTTGAACTCTCCGTATCTGCTCGGCGTCGCGGTCAGTCGCTCTTCAACACGACAACCGAAAGCCTGGAGGGCTTCCTACTCAGGCGACCATCTCTTAGCATGCTAACCGTGGCTAAAACTGGCGCCTAACAAAGGCTTCTTCGGAAAAGACGCCTGCAGGCGCGAGTCTAGGGTCGAGGAGGAAGTGGATGAGCCCTACGAGCACCGCCTCTTCGCTTCCCTATTTCGAGATCCAACTTCCTAAGCTTCCTCCGCAATTATTTCCTCAGACTTGTCGCCGTCGTCAGCGATCGGGTGCATGTTGCCTTGTCGACGACAACGGAATGTCAAATTCGGCACCCCGCTGCCTTTTGCTCTCGTTCGCTTACGATCCGAACTTCTCGTCATCCGAGCTCCTCGACGACACAGCCAGACCGCTTGTTCCCGATTTTCAAGCCTCCAACGCAGAACGGACGAAACATCCAATGTCCGTTCATTGTCGTCGGTAACAAGCATCAACAACAACTGAACCTCCTTCGATTTGTCAAGGCTTAGCTCAACTGTTGGTCCTCCAACGCCGAGGAAATGCGATCGCCTCAGGTCGCAGGCCGACGATGCAATTTCGCGGCCAGCCTTGTCAATCAGTTCAAAGAATCATTGGCATGGATGGATGGTTGGACCCAAACAAGCAAAGGCGTTGGCGGTGATTTTGCACCGCAACTCTTTTTCTTAGACTATGCCTACCGCCGCCCAGCAATCCATCTGGCCCCTGCCAGGTGCTAAAATTACAACCAACGCGGCCTTTCAAACACAAACACAACAGATATAGCATACGGTTTCTAACAATAACTCCCTCGATTCAAACAAGAAAAAAGAAACCAGCCAAGTAACAAATAAACAATCTAGCAATCCGCAGCTGCCTCACTCACACAGCATCAGGGCCTTTACTTCCCTTTGTCGAATCTTGTCCGCTAACCTCCGTCTCCCAGAAATTGTCCTGACTACGATCACGCCCACGAAACACCCCCATCAAATCGAACGGGTCGATAACCGTCATCCAAAACGGCCTCGGGTCCTTCCATCCGGGCCCGTCCACCTCCGTAGCCCCGTCCTTGGCGAGATACACCGTGTACTTCTCCGGAAGATAACTCCTCGGGTGCCTCAAGTTGAACATGACCACATTCGCCAACATCAAGCTCGCCTCGAAGACGTAGAAGAACCACTCGTACCGAATCGCGGGTGAGATGTCATCGACACTCATATCCGAATCCCAGCGCATGTTCGCAACCCCAAAGTACTCCACGATCCTGAACACAGTCCTCGTGAAAATCAGCAGCACGCTGGCGTACAACGTGATCAACGGCCCTCTCACCCCACGCCGGGACGCGATGCCCATCTTGGCGCACCGGCGTTGGAACACCATCGCCAAGACGACGAAGCACGCCATGACGAAGATCTGGAGGAGCAGGCTCGTCTTGATCAGCACATGACCCGTCTCCCTCTCGCGCTCCGATAGCGACCGGTTGGCGGAGTAGCTTGCGCCCCAGCCGTTGAGCGCCTCGACGACGCTGGAAAAGAAGGCGAATGTGCTTAGCACACGGCCTGGGTGGATGGGGGAGCAGTACGGGACGTAGTAGAGGACGCGGCCTAGGATGTGGTAGTTTGCGAGTTCAAGGAGAGGTCTGGGTCAAGTGCGCAAGTTAGCTTTTTGATAGTTCCGACACCATATAGAAGAATCTCCCCTACGGCGCAGCGTATATGAGACAGACGCTCGCGATGAACGGGTCGAGGTCGTCATAGCGATATGAGCCATAGATCCGAAGTGCGAAGCCCGCTGTGAAGAGAAGGCAGCAAAAAGAGAACAGGCCCGTGACTTTGAAGAACTTGTAGTGACTGCCGAAGCGTTATTTGATCAGTACGACCTCGGCGTGAGTTGCCAAAGAGCAATACTCACTAGCACTGCCAAAAGTGCATCAGGCCGGACGCGAGGAAAGCTACCGCGAAGAAGACCGGCGCTCCCTTGTTTGGAGCGTAAAAGTAGTAGCTACCATCGACTGTCATCTGTCAGAAAGAGTCCCCCAATCAAGGATCTGGCTGGAAGTACCGTAATTGCCGTCTGTCATGTTCGCCGGTGGACCCTTCTTCTCTGATGATATCAAATAACCTGCCCGAACTCGGTCCCATAAGCTGCCATCGAGCCTGGGACGACGACGACCTTATAAATGTTGTCAAAGGCATTATTCTGTCACAAAAAGCCCAATAACCTCTAAAACCCGAAGAATACGGTCCCAAATCAGCCTTACAACCCATCGACCAATCGCATTTCTTCCTCAAATACGATGCCCAAACCGGCGTGATGATGACCCGACGCAACGAAGACCACCAAGACACTGCACAAATTGGGAGGAACTCGTTTTGCTTCTTGAAGGGAGGAGGGCGATGGATGCAGTCACTGCATATTCTACCCTAAGCCAACAGACGTTGGGCGCGGATGGCGCAGCCATAGGAAGAAGTATGGCGCATCATCGTATCTCGCATTGGTCCAGTTCGCAGGCCCTACGCCCGAAGTTGATGACGTGTGGGAGCTGTACCCGGTGTGTTGGCTTGACGGTGTATTGATCGCATTGCCTCTTCCCACTGGTTGTCTGCAGTCAGACGCCACTCGTTCGTCCGTGAGCCCGTCAAGAGTGGGAACTTGATCGGTATTGCCAAGCCAAGCACTTGGTGCAAGATTGCCTATATGCGCACGTTTCATGCAGTGACAGATTCACGGAAGATTAGAGGAGCATCAAGGTGGATGATCTCGAATTGTAGCTTGCGGGGTCAATATCCCGACCAAATACCTCATAGTGCCAAAGAAGTAGAAACAAAAGGCCCATCCCACCGTTTCCCATGCAACTACCTGTTCATCATAGCAAAACCCAACAGACCCAATACCGACCGCAGCCAGGAACGGGTTGTCGACTCGAACATCTCCGTATATCCAAGGCACCCCGCGTGGTACCTCACTGCTCAAACGCCTAAAAAAAGGTTCCATCCTAGATACGGTTTGCTGCTTATTAAAACATACAGTGGTGATACATGAATTCGTTACGGACCGCCGCGGTTCCGGCTTCAGTCAACTTCCCAACCACGACCGTTGCCGTCCGCAGCATCGTCCGCCGCCTCGTCGTCACGGTCATCGGAGCCTATCACGCTGTTTGCACATGACGACTCAACCTGACTAAGATAGTAGTCGTCATCTTCCCCCCAGCTGCTGTACTCATCATCCGAGTAGTCCCACTGCACGGGAATAGTCTCCCCGCCCTCGCCGTAACCAAACATCATGCCGCGCCATTGCCCGGCGGCAATCTTGGCGGCCACCTGCAGCATCAAAGCAATCAAGTGGCTGGGCGGGCCGAGAAGCATCTCGCAAGTCTTTGACACAATGGCCATAGGGATTCTGCGGACGATCTCCAATTGACTGCGGAGAAACGGCTGTCGTCTAGTGGCGGTGGTCGTAGGCGCAAAAAGATTGGCCGGGGGTGGCAGCGGGGACAGGCCGTTGCGTCCGACCGAAATGCTACTAGGAGTGGCCCGGTGGCGGATGTACGGGCGTCGCGGGGCTGCCGTCGTAGCTGCTTCATCCTCGGACAGAGCAGTCTTGCCCGGTTGTTCCACCGCCTCCGATGGCATGTCCGGTGCAGTTGCCGCACTTTCCAGCGAACTGTCGTCGGTAATTGATGAGATCGCATCCCAGGTGCGACGGGTTTCGGGAGTGACAGTCAGATCGGAGACGTCTCGATAGTGCCATGGCTTCTTAGGGATTAAAATGTTGTCGTGAGGGTACGGAAACCTCGTTGGGGAAACATCCGAAGCAGGAGATCGCGGGACGGGCGTCACAGGCGAATGTCGCGATTTCACACTATGAAACGAGTCGGCTGAGCCCGTGGGCGATAGCGGCTCTTCGGCGTCGTCTGCCTCCAAAATCGGTGTCTTCCTCGCGGCTGATTTCGACGGCGGCGAGGTGACGAGGGTCAGTTGTGGAGGAACAAGAGCGCGGCCCTTCCTAAAACTTCGCAGCTTCTTCCGTTTGCCGCCACCAACGCCGCTGCCTTCCAGCACCTCTCCATCGGTTCCAGATGTCGACTCAAGGCCCGGCCCAGTATCACCGGTGCTGTCGAATGCAACGTTAGGCTCGTCCCCTACCAGCTTGGTCTCCTCGGCGGTCGCCAGTGTCGAAGTAGTAGCTGCCAGCTTCTGCTCGTAATTGCGAATCACGTCGTAAATATTCGTCGGCGTAGGCGTGCCGACTTCAAGCGCGGAGACTGTCCGAGGAGTCATCTCGACAGTGATTAGCTGCTCTTTGATTTGAGGTTGTGCAGTAGGACTTGACAACGCTCTCGACCGTCCCGGAATCATGAGTTTGCTTGAACGCTTCTCAGGCTCCATGTTTCCCAAACACGCCGACGGTTTTTTATCCCCAAGCTGAGCATACGAGCGCTTGCTTTTGCTAGGTGGCTGAGCAATCGTCATGTTTTCCTTGGACAGTAAAGGCTTGGCAGAAGCGACTGCAATTGCTGTAGTAGGTCGACTTGTCTCTCCTTGCTCTTCAGACTCCTGTTCTTTCCCGTTCGGAAATACCCCTTTCGTGTCCGGAATCCTGTCTAATTGCTCTCCAGTGGATTGAACAGGCTCGTCGAATCGTTTCTCGACAACAGCCGCGAGCTCGACATTCTTCGGCTCCGCTCTCTTCGGCAGGGCGACGTCCACATGACATGGTTCGTCCACTTCATCCACAGAGGCGGCTGCCTCAAAGCTGCCGGCATCGCCAGCCTCGCCCTCATCGAACGGCACCTGAGGTGAGTCAAGTAATGGCTGAGCGTTGACAGCGCTTTCTGATGTAGGACCCTCCGTCTCTGTCTTTTCTTCTGCAATTGCCAAGTCGTTGATGGGTCTCTGTTCTCGTGGAGGGTCGAAAGACGGGGAGGTGTCAATGCTGGTGTCTCTCGACTCCGAGCTTGACTGGAATTCGGTTCCAATGACGGAAAAGCGGCGTTGCTCGGCGCGACCCCTTAAGCTGAGAGATGTCGATGCCCTCCTCTTCGGCGTTTTGGGTGTGAGCGCCCTTGGTTGTGTTGGCGATATCTCGTGAGTAGGCGTAGAAAGGACGGGAAGAGCGCGTTTCACGGGAGGTGTCCACGGCCGCTTCTTGACTGGTGTGTTGGGCTTTTCGGGGAGCAGAATGGTGAACGATCTTCTGAAGGGGCATTCGGTCTTCTCAAACTGCAGAATCTGGTCCAAGACCACTTTGAATGCCGCGGCGAGCTCCTGCTCGGTGGGATTTGTCACAGGAATCTCTATCCTCCAGTAGTTCGGCCGACGTATTTGCAAGACGAACTTGCTCGAATCCTCTTCGAGGGCCCAGCACTGGCTTTTGGGGAGCATAGGCTGCAGGGCGGAGCCGCAATTCAGAAAAGCTACAGAACCCGTGCGGTATATCCGAAAGGGACCTGTGGACATGAAGATTAGTCGGCGGTGGTAGCTGCAGCAGGATCACGACACCACACATACCTACGGCGATTGTCCTTTCCAACTGCGAGTAGGCGGACAAGGTGCCAGGCTCGTCAGCGGGGCCACGGCCGGGACTCCGGGCGCGACCTCTAGAGGCAGCGGAGAATGCCACGATCTTGACATTTGGATGATTGTAAAGTGTCTCGACGAGGCCGCCTGCTGAAGTCGATCGTGGGGCTGGAGCTGGCGTCGGTATCGGAGCTGTCGCGACACGGCGAGGGGCCGGATAATTAGTGCGGAGGGACTCCATGGTGGTGTCCCTGAGAAAGGGAAATGTAGCGAGCGGCGGTCGTTCGGTCGTAACTGAAGGTTCCGTCACGTAAGGGCGAATTGGGTCAGCTGATGGGCGAGAGCGAGGGCAAGTAGTTGGCATTGGGTCATGTCAAGACCGAGTTCGGGAACATGGCAGGCTTCGGAGATGGTGTTTTTTCCCCCTCGTGCCGGACTCGCTTCTCCCAATTTCCGTGGCGTTCGTCGGCGCGCCCACCTATATTCCGTAGATGAGAGATGGCAGGGGTTTGAGGGTGATTTGAGGAATCCGATCGGCAGGTAGCGGCGTGGGTATCGATTGGCGTTCGGCGTGCATTCGGTAGTGTATGGATGCGTGGACGTAGACGTGGATGGACGTGGACGTGGACGTGAATGTGGGAGGCGTAGGTAGGAGTGAATGTGGATGTGAGAGAGAGGGACAAGACAAGATAAGACACTTCTTGAGCCGAGCTGATGGATGGGTATGTCGTGTCTTGCGCGGGTCTCAGGACGTGAGGTCCCGTCGATTCCAACCTTCAGATGAAGAAGAAACCACTCTTGCCGCAAAATGTAGCGACACAACCCCAAAGACCCAACGGCGAGTGGACCAAAAAGAGGAAGAAGAAGAAGAAGGGAAAAAAAAGGTTTTTGAGATGATGGACTCAATTGGCGAGGGTGAGGCGGTTGGGGAAAGAAGCAAGGTCAGGCCAGGATGCGGAAAGAAGCTTGGACGGATTTGCCCATGGTTCGACCAGGGGGCAACGATGTCACGGCTTTCTGGGGACTCGTTCGACGCACCGGTGCAAACCACGCGAAGACAAGGGGGGTTTCTGACGCTGCCAGTTTCCTCGAATCTCTGCCGCGGCGCGTCTGTTTGATAGCGATGGGCCTTTAAGAGGCGCCCTACGCATAAGGTAGATTGGCATTATTGACAACTGACCATTCCGACGGACGATGTTTACTGCCATTGGATACTTCGCAAGGTATCTAAGGTAATGAATGATGGATAGAAACACTTGATTCCAGCCAACATACGATTCGCCGTTCACATGTTTTGTCTCTTGTTTCCGTACCCTTACGGATACCGCATGTTCCTGCAAACCCCTGATTCTGTTCCAATACTAACACTACCTAGTCAAGCCCAAGAAAGGGGGGAGGGATCTGGTGAAGCAACACGATCCCATCTCATCCAAGCCTTTGCACTCACTACGCTAGTACATCAGACTAGGGACTCGAACCAGCGCGTCTTGTGATAGTGCCCGGCCCCTCTAGAATAGACTCTAGGCTGCTAATGAGATTAGTTGCGTGGTATCCGAGGCCCTTGGAAATCTGGGATTCGGGTCGCGGCGGGGACAACCGAAGCATCCCAGCCGATTCCTGCATCCTTACTGCAGAAATCCGATGAGGATTATGGGGGAACAAGGGCGCTGCAGCTACGGAGCACGGAGGACAGCGTTCGCTTAGAATGACAGCAGCAGCAGCATGGGGATGGTGGGCTTTTGAACTGAGGGTCCTCAACACAACACCACGACTTTTGTGGCATTTTCAGCTCTGGTTGACTTCAAGGTTGTGTCACAACTACGGATACACATTGGCTCTTGGCTGTGGTGCTGCTCTCACCACATTCTTCAAGTCGTTTTCTTCCCGAGACCTTCGGCCGGGTTTCCCATGACAACTCCCACCTTATTAGAACGCATGAAGAACGTGCGTGCTCTGAGATGCGCGCCCTGCAGGGTTTGCAGCTGTAGCCAGTCAAGAAAGCCTAGGATGCGAGTTCGACGCGTGCGCATTGCAGCCGCAGCTGTACATAATAGTGGCCGCAGCATTCGACATGAACCGGTGCCACGGCTCTATCCACTTGGAGCTAAGCTCATCAGCTCTAGAGGGTCGAATCGAAACCCGTTATTACCTACCTTAGCCAGTCATACCATGAGACCTGTAACTGCGACTGGGTACGGATTAGGTAGATAATACCTGTTACAATGGACAGGCGGGGTTTGGTATGTACCTGACCTTTGGTAGTGCGGTGTGTTCAGCTGACAACTGGCAGCCAGTGCCTTAAATTCAGCTGATCTACCCATCCGGCACCAGCCGGCAACGACAAAAGTATGCACCTCCGTTATTCCCGGCAGTTGTCGTCATCATTGCATCTTTCTCAGCACCCGCCAAGCTTGGTACACAAGGTAGCTAGGTAGCTCGGCTACAACCAGCGAGCCCTGGTTCAATCTGACGGGAGCTCGCGTGCCCCTCCATCCCTCAACCTCCATCACAGCCAATTCTGCGTTGATCTGCACAATCAACCTAGAAATCTCTGAAATCATGGCTACCGAAAGGCACGAGAAGGGCGGCAAGCTCGACAAGATTCCCTTTGACAAGCTGCCCATCGACAAGGAGACCTTGAAGCAGGAATTCGACCTTTCCCACTTTGACATCAACTCCGTCATTCGCGGTGCCCAATTGACGCTGGTCGGAGGTAACTATCATGAGCTCTGGAACCTCTTATTGTCGCCTCTGACAGTCATGCTAACTTCAAGTAAGCTCATCGAGCTCTCCAGAACCCAGCCATCTTTACTTCCGACCACTATCGACAAGCCGGCATCGCCGTTCTGACCGGCTTGGCCATCCGCCTCATCATCTCCGTCCCCGTAAGCTTCCGCGAACCGCTCGAAACACCTGGTGACATTGTTGTTGTTGTTGGGCCTGGGCAATTGACATGTGGCTAGATCATTGGCGTCAAGGTTCTACTGTGGTTCATGTCCCTGATCTTCAGCTTGGATCATGTCACTTGGGATGACAAAATCGTCGGAGGCCTCAACTTCATTGAGGAATATGTCCTCCAAGTTCCCTTCTTTCTGATGGCACTGATGCGCTACGTCACTCCGACTCTCGACAATATGCAAGTCAACCTTTCTCCTTCGTGCTCCATGGCAAACGCTGACATTCATCAGGTTCATGGATTCACTCAACTGGGTTGATCAGACATACGTCCAGAAGCACAAGCACGACGACCCCGACAAGCTACGAGACATGTACTATCCCAACCTGAAGCAGTACAAGGTCAGTGACGGCAGCACCCACTCCACGAGCACCGCCGAAGCCATCAGTATGTTTCTGTACCGCTTCGCCCGCAAGGGTGCCATTTCTCTCGCAGTCTTCGCCCTCTCGTATCTACCCGTCGTCGGCCGCTTCGTTCTGCCCGCCGCCAGTTTCTACACCTTCAACAAAGCTGTCGGTCTGGGCCCGGCCTCGGTCATTTTTGGAACGGGTATCTTCCTGCCTAAGCGTTACCTCATCATCTTTCTCCAGAGCTACTTTGCTTCCAGGAGTTTGATGAGAGAGTTGCTGGAGCCATACTTCTCTCGAGTGCACTTCACCAAGGAGCAAAAGCGTAACTGGTTCCGCAACCGTGAGGGGCTTCTTTTCGGCTTCGCCATTGGATTCTACACCATGATCAAGATCCCCTTGGTCGGCGTCTTGATCTACGGCATTGCCGAGGCGTCAACAGCGTACTTGATCACCAAGATCACCGACCCTCCGCCGCCTCCGGCCCAGAAGGCCGTGTTCGCCGAGCGCCAGCAAGAATGGACTAACAAACACGAGTTCCTAAACTTATCTCTTGCTAACCTGGATGCCATCCACAACAAGCCGCATGAGACGCAGGCCGGGGAGGAGACCCGAAAACTGCAATAAGAGCATTGACAAATGTCCACGGCGCCCTATGCGCATGTCATCCGCTGCCTATTATATTGAGCTCTTCCTATCCAATAACAACACCGTGCCATCTTCAGGACTGTGAGCTCCGTAATGCGACGCTGTTGTTGCTGCATCCACAAGGCACAGAGCAACACCCATAAAGCAGATGCCGAGATAAATACCCCCGGACCCCGAAGCAATTACGTTTAGTGATAGGGTATCCATGCGGCATGAGATCACCACGCGGTCTTATCGATTGGTGTGCCACTTGCGCATGCGTTCGGCCGACGGCGGAGCCCACCTTGCCATGCGGGGGTTGCCAGTCATAAGCCTGATACGGCGTTGAGGGAAGCTCTTATCAGACTCCAGCTCCGCACTGCTCCCGGCACCGCACAACCGCGTCACTAGCCATCCGTCGTATCGTCTGTATTCTCCAACTGATAGCGAAAATGAATGAACAAATGAGGCGCGGTTGACGTACGGGAAACAAGCCGTTCCGAGGAATGAAGGCGGGGTAATCTGGAGGCGTTGGCCTAGCTAGGCACTTGGATGCTCTTATATCTGGGAGGTTAGGCTGTTCTGCGTGAGCGATGCACTACCTATCTTCCGTGGATGCAGAACAGCTCCGTCCCAAGTTCTGGAAATTCCGCTGTATCTGATAATACTCGACTACCTTACTGCAACCCATTTCCCGTTCACAATGGGCAAGACTGGAGTTCGAACGGCCAATAAGGTCAGCTTTGACAAGCCGGCTTCCGAACAGCCTGGTCTACATGTGAGTCTTGAAGATCTGCGCATGGTGGTTCCCCTCGTATTTACTTTCGTATAACTAGAACAGATGGCACCCTGAAAGTAAGTAATGATGTTTTCGGGCGAGCATGAACATTTCGAAGGAGCGCAGGCGATAAGGTCATCTCAATGGCAACTACTGCTACTTCCCTGCCGTCTTGTCTGCCGTCATCGTCTTGGACACGTATTTCACCATATCCCTCTCATGAGCGATAGGATTCAAACAGGAAGAACACATGGGCCACTTAAGTAACCGAATTCAGTCCCCTTCGCCGGAACAATCAAGGATGGCGAAACGGTCAAGATCGAGTGTGTCGACTGGTAAGAGCCCAGCCGGTTCGGTTTCGTGGTATTTGTAGACACTGACGTATCTCAGGACCGGTGGTCAAATCGGCAACAACGACTCCGCAGACGATATGCTCAATGTCGATCTGACCAAGATCCATTACCTCAGCGGTCCCTTCGAGGTCGAAGGCGCCCAGCCAGGCGACCTTCTGCTCGTCGAAATCATGGACGTCCAGCCGTTCGAGGACCAGCCGTGGGGATTCACCGGCGTGTTCGACAAGAACAACGGCGGCGGCTTCCTGGACGAGTTCTATCCCACCGCGTAAGTCCGTCATTTTGTCTCCTACTCCCCAGAGACCAAATCGCCGAAGCCCGGTCTGACGATGGAAAACGATTTCCAAATATAGAGCTAAGGCCATCTGGGACTTTGAGGGAATCTATTGCACCTCGCGCCACATTCCCGGCGTCAAGTTTGCGGGCCTAATCCACCCGGGCATCCTCGGTTGTGCGCCCTCCGCCGAGGTTCTTGACATATGGAATACGCGCGAAGGCGAGCTCATCAGTGCCAACAAGCTCGACCGAGACGTCGCGAAGCCTCCGGAGCCCATCAATGTGCACGCCGGGGCTGCCGACGATGCTGTGAAGGAGAGGGTTGGAAAGGAGGGCGCCAGAACGATCCCAGGACGGCCTGAGCACGGAGGAAACTGCGAGTGAGTTATCCCCATCTCTTTTGGGATAAGTATGGTATGGTGTCGTGGTTGAGACTTGGTGGACGGTGCGGTGGGTTCTGAGAGACTGACATGGAACAGCATCAAGAATCTGAGCAGGGGAAGCAAGGTATATCTCCCGGTTCACGTCGCGGGCGCGAAGTTCAGCGTGGGGGATTTGCACTTTTCTCGTACGTCTAGCCAAGCTGCGCCTCATTCTCTTGAACTAACATGGAAACAAGAGGGCGACGGGGAAATATCCTTCTGCGGCGCCATCGAAATGGCGGGAGTCATCACGATCAACTTCAAGGTCATCAAAAACGGCGTGGCGGATCTGGGTCTCAAGTCGCCCATCTACATCCCGGGGCCCGTCGAGCCCCAGTTCGGACCGGGACGACAAATCTACTTTGAGGGGTTCTCCGTCGATCAGCACGGCAAGCAGCACTACATGGATGTCACCGTCGCATATCGCCAGACGTGTCTTCGTGAGTTCACCCGCTTCTTGGCTTGTCCAGAACTGCGATGCAGAGCAAGACTATTGACCACATCAGGCGTCATCGAATACCTTCGCCGCTTCGGTTACAGTGATTACCAGGCGTACCTTCTCATGTCGTGCGCACCGATCCAGGGTCACGTGGCTGGCATTGTCGACATTCCCAACGCCTGCACGACCATCGGGTTGCCGATGGACATCTTCGACTTTGACATCTCGCCGGCTGCTGGCAAGGTTGAAAAGCGTGATTTGGGCAACTGCGTGTTCGCCACGGGGGTCACGGAAGGCAAGATTACGCAGGGCGGGGAGAACAGTGAGCATAGCTACGGTGGCGGGCTGACGTATAAGAAGTCGGTCGTGGAGGATGTCAAGGATAAAGTCATGGGAGGTGTTTGAATGCGACCGTGAGACGTGAAACGGACATTGTGGAACGGGATCATGTTCGTTAACTGTGTGAAGAAGAATAGTACCGTAGGTCTGTTCTGAAGCCGTTCTCGCACCCGCAACTACCCAAACTCCCCAAGTACACCTAACGCATGCTCCCCATCATCACTGCATCACCACCAACTCCATGCTTCCATGTCTCTAAGCAATGTCTCTTCAGAAGTCGGGAATCTCGGACATTGAAGTGTGCCCGGTCTCACTTGTGTGCATCTGAGCTTCGGCGGCACTAGTGCCAAGCCAGTCGCAACCAGAAGCATTGCACTTTCGTAGCGCGCTGTCACCGATGGCTGTAGCCGAAGCAGCAGCACCTGCACCCGTACCCGCGCCACCGTCAGGTTTATCTTTGATCTCATCGAAGCCCATGTGACCAGTCAGTGAAGCGTGCTTGTTGGCTTCCTTCTCGCCGTTGCCGATCCAGTCGCAGCCGGCAATCGTACAACGGAGCAGGAACTCGACCGTGTCGGTGAAGTAGTGCATCTCATGCAGCTTGCGGATGAGCTCCCTGGTCTTCTCGAGAACCGCCTCATCCGAGGTGCTCCAGTTGGTGCGGTCGAGCTCGGGAGGGAGATCGGAATGGGTATACGGGGCCTCCGAAGGGCTACAGGCCACGCGGTCGTAGTGAATGCCCGAGTAGACAAGGATACAGCGAGACTCCTTGTTCTCGCCAAACTTGAGCGGGTTTTGGCTCTTGACGTCGAAGGCGAGAATCTCGAGGTCGAAGAGATCCGAGAAGATGCCCAGCTCAATGGCGCCGCCCCAGCGATCGGGATCCTGCATGGTGCGGCAGTACTTGTCAGGGGCCATTCCTAGGACGGCCTCGGAATACTCGTCGGGATGCTGGCGGATGTAATCTGCGATCATCTTGCGGAGTTCTTTAGCCTCCATTTGCTTGCCAGGGATGGCGCCTCCAAAGGCCGTGAAAAGACAGCTGTTGTCATCAGGCATGACACGGAGCACTGCTGAGTGTTAACTACGGTTCGCAGTTCATGGTTGATGTTACTCACGAAGAGTCGACTCGCGTTCGGGCCAAGGAATGCTGATATCGGATGGGCTGGGGTCGGCGGCAGGGCCGAGTCGAGGCTTCTTGGCTAGAGGCACGCTTGCCTGGGGATTTGTTCTTGCGGGAGGCGGAGGCGTGATGGTTCGCGACTGGGCCGGTTCTATAGTGAAGGATTGGCCATTGAGGCCGAGGTCCTTTGCGTTGGCATCCTTCTGCTCAAGGCTCAGGGTCTGGAATGGCCAGCCATACTTGAGGGTGAATGCGGCGATGCCAGTCTGTGACTTGATCTCGTCGAAAAGTTGACCGACGGTAGCGTCATCGCCGAGTGAGACCACTCCAGAACCTTCAGGGCCCTTGTACCTGGCCCTCATGATGTCGCTGGATGAGTCGTAGTGAAAGAAGCCCGTGACAAGCGCAAGGTCGTATCCGAGACGAAATATGCGAGACGAGTCCGCGCGGCAAGATCTGTGGGGTGAAAGACGGGAAGAGCTTCGATGCGACCGGCCCGGATCCGGAGGGCAGCCGACGGGCACCCGAGAGGTCTTGGCTGGAACGGCGGGGTACCGGAGGGGTTAATCTTACCTAAAGCACCTCAGACGCCGGGAGGTCTTGATGATGGCGGGGACAGAAGAGACGGGAAGGACTTGTCAATGTCTCGGCAGCCTTGTATGTGATAGTTAAGTTGTATGTCGAAGGTAACAAAATCCAATGATGTCAACGTCCTCAGAGACTTGTGTTGTAGGAATGGGGTAAAGTCGCATGCGATACACAAAAGATGCTCGCAGTGTAGGTGGCAACCAAGTGAGTGGTGGTGTTCTGGGGATGTTGAGACAGGGCTAGAAGATTCTCCGCTTATTAAGTACTTCTCAAAGGCGGCGTTGGCGTGGCTAGGAAACTACAGTAGGACGGGGTGCGACGATGGAGCAAAGGCTGAATTGGGTGCCGTGACGGGAGCGACGAATGCTTCGTTCAAGAGGTATCATGCTCTTTCTTGAGGAGGTGAAGAGGTTGGAATAGGAGTTGTGTTGTCCTCAAGCACCGCCTCACAGCTCCAGGTGGCAATCAAGGACATGACTTGCATGGGCTGACGCTGTGTCGAGTCCCGCAGCTCCAATGACTGACTACCTATCCGTAAGTAGCCATGGCGACGGGAAATTTATCAAGAAAACTCCATGAACATTTGTTTAGACGGTTTTGGCTCTGGCTATGGCGAATTGTAGAGCGTTAACAAAGGGTGCTGCGCAGCATGCCTATTGAGGTTGTGCTACTTTCTACTCGTCACCGGTCGAAGCATCAGGATGTTTGTTGGGCTTTGATCCTCGAGCAGTGCTAGTTGTGTCCGTGGTTACTGGCGAGGCGTGGAAATGGGTGACTGATCTCTAGGCGTAATATAATTATGAGCCATGGTTTCTGGCTAGAAAGTCGAATGGTGGTTTCCATCGTTCCGAGTTTCCTGATGTGAGACCAGGTCATTGGACCAGACCTGCCATCAGTTGCAACGGAGACCATTGACGATAAGAAACGAGGGAAGATTCCGAGCGATATTATTCCTACGCGATGTCGGGGAATCCCCGTCTTTCAAGATGGCATGTTCATTCAAGAGGGAACGTTCCCAGGAACCATCGTCCCTTCTTTGCCTTTGCTCGTATCCGTAAGGTAGGTAAGATACCTACCTTAAGTTGAAGAACACCTCATTACGCTGTAAGAAGATGGATGCTTCAGGGCATTTGCAATTGCAAGGCTTCCCTCCCAGAAGCTCAGGTCGGTCTGAACCCTCGCTATGTCATCCAATCGGCCATCAGCGACTCCCTCCGTTAGCCGAGGTGGGCCCGGCGCATAGCACTCTCGGGCTACGATGGCTTCTCAACTAACAATGGAATCCTCGTCGTTCCTGTTGTACCCCGTTGCATCCCAGCAGCTTCCTCAGGTAGGTACGGAGTCGGGTACCTTAGGTAACTCTGCGCCAGCACCCGGCCAGCTCTCCCGCCTCGCCGCTTTCGCGAACCTTCAATTCTTCCTCTTGGACGGTTTCTTCCTGGAAAATTTGACCTTTGCGACACAGCCTCTCAACCCCGTCTACCAACTAGGCTTGTCAATGCAGAAGGTCCAATAACGAGACTGGCTTTCTACGCTGTCAATTAGCCCTCCAAAACCGACATCCAGTCATCGCCTTTGCGACCCGAAGTGGTGGTGGAAGCCATGACTGCGACGCGCAGCGACGCGCCCGAAGTGCGCGAGTCCATCGAGGCCAAGGTTACTGACGATGTCGAAATGACCGACGCCCCCACGGCCACCTCTACCGGATCTGTTCCCAATATTGTTGAATCGGTACCGACTGCTGCGAAACCTGATGTTTCTGAGAAAATGGATCTCGATGCCGACGCCGACGCCGACGCCGATGCAGAAGGGGAGGTGGATGCACCTGGAGAAGTTGACGCCAATGCTCATGTCGATGCCAATGCCGATGCCGCCGCCGATGCGGATGCTGACGCCGACGCGGATGGAGACCCCGATGCCGACGGAGACCCTGACGACGACGCGGCTTCCCCGGCCGAGTCTGAACCCGGCGATCTTTTAGATATCATCTCGACACTCAACTCTTTCCTCAGTAACTATAAGGACGATGAGTACGTGCTACACTGACAAATGTGCTTACCACTTTCTGCTAACATTGATGCTTTGTAGCGGGGAATGGTGGGCTGCTAGCTTCCAGCGCATTCCGAATAAACGCCAGCTGCCCGACTATTTTGAGATTATCGAGACCCCCATTGCTTTCAGCACGATTCGCGTAGGTCTCCTACTCTAGTCGGTCACTGCGAATGACGGAAAGCTAATGCGAAGCAGCACAAAATCGGCAAAAAGTTGTACACCGAGTTTCCCGAGTTCGTCCGCGACGTTGCCCAGATCTGCCACAACGCCCAGGTCTACAACCGACCTTCTTCCGCCATCTTCAAGGGCGCCACCATAATCAGGGACCTGTTCAAGAAAGAGTTGCAGAAACTCGTCACGAAGGGTACCATCAAGCCCGAGGAGGCCGCGTTGCCAGACTTGGGCGAACTCCCGCCCGCCGACGAATCCTCTCCTGAGCCCGAGTCTGAAGAAGAGGAAGAGGAGGAGGAAGAGGAGGAGGAGGAGGAGGAAGAGGATGATGATTCCGATGACGATGGGAGAGGCCGCCGCAACAGGAGAAGAGGTCGGACTTCTCTCAACAGGCGTCAAACAGATGAGGCCAGGGAGGACGAAGAGCATAAGAAGCGCGGTCGTCCTCCCAAGGTCCTAACGCCCCTTGAAGCCCGTATCAACAACGTCATCAAAGGCCTCCGCAAGTTCAAGTCGGACGACGGCGACTTGCTCATCGGTCCCTTTGAGAGGCTTCCGGATAAGGCCATGAACCCTGACTACTACCAGGTGATTACGGAACCGATTGCGCTGGATAACATAAAACGAAAGGCCAAGAGGAAGAAGTACCCGACAGTCGATAGCGTTCTCAAGGACATTGACCTCATGTTCAACAACGCAAAACACTACAACGAGGAAGGCAGTGACATCTTCGAAGCTGCTGTGGAGCTGCAGAAGCAAGCGCGGGAGCTCGTAGGCCAGGAGAAGGCCAGGTCTGACGACGAGTTTCGAGACGAAGACGGCAAACTACCGCTGGCCGAGATCCAGTACAATGGCCAGTCATGGAGGGTTGGTAAGTCACGCGTGCATTCGTGGCATGGCGAAATCGTTCTGACTAACGACTCCCTTAGGTGACTGGGTACATATTCGTAACGTCAACGACATGGCCAAGCCCATCGTCGCTCAGATCTTCCGCACCTGGCAGGATCGTGCCGGCCAGCGGTGGATCAACGCCTGCTGGTATTACCGGCCGGAGCAAACGGTGCACCGGTTTGAGAAGCATTTTTTCGAGAACGAGGTGGCCAAGACGGGCCAGTACCGCGACCACCAGATCGAAGAGGTGCTCGATCGATGCTTCGTCATGTTCGTCACACGCTTCAACAAAGGTCGGCCACGCGGGCTGCCTGCGGACAAGGAAGTGTATGTGTGCGAGTCGCGGTACAACGAGGCAACATGCCGCTTCAACAAGATCAAGACGTGGGCCAGTTGCGTGCCGGACGAGGTGCGAGAAAAGGATTATGAGATGGATCTGTTTGATCATCCCCGACGGCTCAAAAAAGTGCCCAGCCCGATCAAGCACCTGCTGCAAGCCGACGCGAAGGAGACGGACGAGCTCCCGAAGCCGACTTGGGGAGCTCCAAACGCACCGCCTATCATTGGCGCCGTGCACCGACGACCGCGAGAATCAAATGTGAGTGGTGACGGATTTCCCAATGATTTCATTTTCCCCCTTCTACATACATGGCCGGTCAGGTAATGCTTTCCCTCCCGTCCTCGCCATTCCCGCCTGGTCTTGGCAGATCTTGAATGGATGCGTTGGATGAGCCGTAACCCTCTTTCTCCGTTCCGTTGCCTTATCCAGTACAGGTAGATAAAGGGAGTGAGCGAGGCGCGCATAGGGGAAGGGATGCCACACAGCAAACAGTACCCTGCATCCCGTCAGCCCCCAGCAAATTTCGCGTCTCGTTTTTATTTACTTTTTGCCTTCATTCTCCCTTGGTCGTCTTCGTTCGCAACCAAGACCGCCTGCTTCATAGCCTCGCTCGCGTTCCAAGATTTCAGACAGCTGACACGGCAATTCCTTCATACAGGAGTCTCCTCCGCCTGAGCCAACACCGTCTCCGCCCCCGGTTATGAGTCAGGACGCGGCGCGACGCCCTTCGGTACTCCAAGCCATGCGACAAACGCCCAGCGACATGTCGATGAACAACGCGCCGACGCCATACGGGCACGGCATGGGAGGTGCGCCGTCGCCGTCACCGGCCATGTACGGCCAGCAATACACGCCTCAGCACCCGTCTGCGTCTCCCGTCGCGGTGCCTCATCAAACTCCAGTGCCGTTGCCCCAGATCCCTCATCAGGCGTCTCACTCTCCGCAACAGCCCATCCGTCCGATGTACCCGCAACAGGGATTCGTGCCAAGCCCTTACCAACACCAGCAGCACCAGCAGCACCACCCGCAGCATCCACCACAGCACCTTCCCCACCAGTTTCAGCACCAGCAACACCACCAGCCGCCGCCGCCTCCTCCTCCTCCTCCTCAGCAGTACCAGCACCACCAGCAGGCCCAAGCGCCGCCCGTCCCACAGCACCATCAAATGCACCCGCAAATGATGCCAGCAAACCCTTTAGGCCACAGCCAGACCTTCAACCACCATCAAATGCAGCCTCAGCCTCACCCAGCTGCAGCCCGCAACCCCATGGCGTCCGGCTCCAACGGCATGCCGCCAAACAACGCTTACAACCCGCCTCGGCCTCCCGAGGTTTTTGTTCTGCCGGACCACGTCAACGACCAGATCCCCGAAGAGGTGCGCAGTCAGTACAACAGGGACGAGAACGGCAGAATCATTTTCTTCACCACACCGCCCGTCGCCCGTCCCGAGCATGGCCTCGCCCCGGACCACGCCAATACCGGCCACAGCCTCGCCTACCTTGCCAAGAGCAATCCGGAATGGCTGTCGGAGCGTACCAACCGCGCAAAGGCATTCTCCGTCGCCAAGCAGAAGGAGTTGAAGACCAAAATCGCCATCGATGAGATGACAAAGGGCAAGACCCACGATGAACTGCGCGACTGGGCAAGTGACGCCTGGGCTCTGTACTGGAAGAGCCATGCCCAGGAGACGGCACGCATGCTGCAAGTTGACGATGTGGCGGGCCACGAACAGCTCGTGAAGGACCAGCGCACGACTCGAGCCAAATCCCGGAAGGAACGCGAAGAGGAGGCCGAGAGGGCCGAAGAGGCCAAGAAGGCCAACTACCTGGAAAGCATTTATCACGCCCATACCAGTATGCGCCCATCCAAGCCTCGCCATGTTTGATGAGGTATCAGCTTTCAGAGCAGAATCACGTCCCGCAGAACCCAACGCAGTAAGGGATGTGGGACTGGGGTCACTGTATAGACAAGGAGTTCAAGGGATCGGATCGCTGTGATACCTTTTGGTTTGGAGTTTATGGAGCCATGGCTCATCGTGTGAAGACAGGACATTCGCCAATGGGGTTCCTGCGGTTATTGTACATCATAGGTAATGCTAAGAATAGAAGGCGGGTAAGCACGACTTTCATGATGTGATGTGCCATGCCAAGAACGGTTCATTTTTATTTTTGGTACCAAACAGGAGGTTCCTGCTTCCCTAGGTGCCTGAGGTAAGGTAGAACAAAACAAGGGCAGGTAGGTATCGAGGATATGACTTCTGTCAAATGTCCGTTCAAATGAGACCTTTTTAGTAAGGTACACAGACTCGCGACTGCTTGTACAGTATGTCCGACTGCACAAGGACGCCGGGTGCAGATGGATAATCGGAGTTCGCGAGACAGTGAGGAATCGAGGATGATATAAAAGACACAAGGACCGTGAGGTACCTGAGGTACGAACGGTATCTTTCTTCGACAGAAAAAGGCAGAGCCGTCTTCGCCTCCGACCCTTGGGCCTGCCTTAGGTAAGGTATCACCTTACGTAAGGCAGCTTCCGTCCCGTTCCAGGCGCATACTTTAGTCAGGTGGTCACAGCGCCGACTCCGGGCATTAACGGCTGTGGGTTAGGCCGAAGAGGGGTTAGCGTGCATCTGATTCGCCCCTCGCGACGACCGAGCCACTGGGAACAACTGAACTGCTGCTGGATCTGGATCTCTCTGCGGCCCAAGTGGGCGTCTTGGGGGGCAAACTTGCTGCAGACAGACACTCGACTTATCAGGCACGCTAACTGAGCCTCAAGCGTGGCCAACCACGAACTGCTGACGTTCTCGACTTCCTCTCTTCATTTCCTCCTTTCACCACTTCACCTTACCTTCGGTAGCTATTTTTTGCCTCCTCAACGTCGAAAACCCATCACATCATCTTCAAAACCCCCCGTACCTGAGGACATCGACCTATTTGTCTCTTGAAACTGTTCCATACTTTTGCGTCTTGTTCCTTCGCCAACCCACAACAGCAGCCTAAGGAGGTTTTGGTCATATTGGGAATTGCCTTCTTATAATTTCCTGGTTCTGGTTCTTCTTCTCCGTTCCTGGCTGCACTCAAATACATGCTATCTCGGACGCTCTCCCGGCACTGAGGTCCATCCACTCACGGGTGACTCACGAACTCACCTCGACGGCCGACCTTGACTGGTCGCCTTCAACGGTTCTTGGTTTGTCGAACTCAACTCCCGGGTTTGACGATACAGATCGTCTTCTCAACGTCGTCTCACGACCCAGCCCGGGACGATCCAGGGTCGACCCGAATATTACCAACCTCGGTCTCTTCAAACCCTATGTCGACAGTCGTATATCAATTCTTCAGATCTCATCATGGCATCCTCAATCAGTCGAAGAAAGCCTCGACAGAGACAGCGATTAGATAGCCCAGGCATCACGAACGATCATATTCAGACTCACCCAACCACCGACACTTGTACTTCTCTTCCTCCCAGCCTTGGCGATTTCTCAAAGATCTTTTCCTTCATCGATTCTCGTCAAGATGCTACCTTGCAACCAGCTCAACAACCGCTCTCTTCTCTTTCAGAACCCAGTTGTCCTATTCAGAGCGCATCTTCAAGCACCCGCCTTCTCGAAATTCCGGAAAAGGTCTTTAGAGATATAATGGCTGGCCAGAAGTACAATCACAAGGAGGTCAAGGCCGCCGCAAGGCGCAGAGTCGAAGATCCGGCTAAGCGTACCACCAGCAACTCGACTTCATCACCTGTTCTTCGGGTCTCCGATGATGTCAGCGACTCGGACTCAGACTCGGTCCAATCTCTTGGAGACTTTGATCCCGTCGGAGACGGATTGGACATCAATGGTGGCGCTGATCTTTCTGATATTACCACACCACCCACTAGCCCTCTCATCCATGCACCAACACCTTTTGCAGCCGATCGTTTGTTTGAAAGAAACACTGCTGGCAGAGCTCGTGGTCTCTCTGAGAAGTCTCTTGCGTTGCGTGTCGTTGACGACTTTGGAGTACATGACGCTGGCCTCAAACGGACCCACCCTGAACTCCTTCGACACGGTCTTCACATTTTCATCGATGCTTCCAACCAAATTCTTGGCTTCTATGACGCTCTCAAACAGCTGCTTGGCGTTCACAAGCACAAACCCTTGCCTCCTTGTATCAGCATGAGCGCAGTGCACGAGGTTTTGGCACGAAAACGCACCGTCGTCAAAAGCTACATCGCCGGTTCCAAGAACCCTACACACAAGAGGCGGTCGAGGTATTTCGACGACGCCGAGGCGCTTGGCTATCGACCGCTGGTAAAGAACCGAGTCACATTGCCCAAGGACGCGAAGTCCCAGAGAAGACACTACTACGATGACGACTCTGATGATATGGCAGGCTCGTACCAAGCGGAGGAAGGCGTGGACGAGATGATTCAGACGCAGATGCACTACAGCGTGATGGACGACAACCCCGGTGTCATGGTCCTTGTGACCGGTGATGGCAACCAGAACGAAACCGGATTCTCCGACGGTTTCCCAGCCGACGTTAAGAGGGCTCTCAAACGTGGCTGGGCCGTCGAGATTTATGCCTTCAAGAACACCTGCGCCGGCATCTGGACTAGCCCGGAATTCGTCGATAACGACCAATGGGCTGGCCGTTACAGCGTCAACTATCTCGATGCATACACTCAGGCGTTCTGCAACCCCGTCTACCGTCCCCAGTTGGAGAGTCTCGCCGCAGAGCACGCGTCTCGTCCCGGCCTTCGCTCTGTGCAGAGTTCTTTCAAGCGCAAAACTCACTGGACTGTATCTCTTGGAAAAGAGGCTGTCAATGAGTCGACGCTGATAGTCAAGTCGGAGAAGTTTTCGGCTGCTCAGGCCAGCCCGCTCCAGGGCAAATGGAGGATACCTTCTCCTCAGAAGAAGGTGAAGAGCTTTGGATCGGTGCTAAGCTACCGACCGGCCCCATTGGACCAATTCACATCAAGTCGATCGAGCAGCACTGTCGGTCACGAACAGCAGCTGCAAATTTCCACATCCAACGCCTTGGACGAGGTTGACTCCATTGCCACCAGTAGCATCACCGCTTTCCGATGCGCGGCTTCTCTCAGGCCGGCATCCGGGCTCGCGAATGATGCGTCTGGGTCGTTCCACAAGTCGATTTCGCCTTTGGGCATCAAGATTTGAATCACACATCAAAAATCTTGTGGTGCTTGCCGAAAGGTAGTACCGATTTTCACACCCTAAAGTAGCTTGTCGGCCTCCTGTGTCGATGAGATTCGGGATATGAATATGATAGGGATGGGATATAAATTCGGAAATGCGCCTGAAAGACGGTTCGGCATTGGCATCAGATTGGGATTCGCCCTTTCACACACGACGAGGAGTCTATTCGCTAGCATCTCGCACACATGGAACAAGGTCTGCGTACACCTGGTGCACACCAAAATAATTGATTGGTGTATTGGCAGATTGACCCAACATACAAACGAAAAGGAACAACAGGCAAAATTTCGAGTCTAACATACACAGTGGGCGGCGGTGGATTTCTTACCTTCATTTCTCGTATGAGTACTTGGTTCTACGCGTTGTTTTAGGTTTCTTGTGTCTTTTTTCTTGTGTCTTTCTTCTCGTTTTTGTTTCTAACAGCTTGGAATAGCACATTGGTATTTGGATGCTTGTGTGTTTCTTTATCACAGGAACGAAGCAAGGTGACGACAACGGCGTTGGGATTTGCGACGGACAGGAGATACCCCTCGAGATGGTTCTTTTACCTGCTGATCTGCCTTGTTCCATGTTGCAGGAACGGATGGACTGGCGTCTGAATCACAAAACGCGGGGCGCATTTGGTATTCGTCTGGGCAGGAGGACGCAAGTCAACAAAAATAGACATGCAGGCTAGCCAAGAAGCATAAAGTGCTGGGGAGCCTTCCTTGCGAGCTAGGCATACAAGATGTCCGGCATTATTAGAGTCAAAATACCAGAAAAAAATCGGTCGAGGCATGAAATGCCAAACGCCGCAAACCAACATGTTCTTCCTTTGATGCTTCAATGACGTCTGAATGTGTATGCATGTGCTGTCCCACTGCCGGAGCGTAAGCATTCAGGCCCAGCTTGGCGGCAGTCTTACCCTAGCTTCAAGTACTCGATCACATTGTCGACTACCAAATCGTTGACGAAGGTCTCACACGACTTCAGGTCGCGGATAGTGGAGGCATCGTCACGTTCGCTGAGGAGCAGTACGACGTAAATGGGCGTCTCATCGGAGGAGAACAATATGCTCGTAGGGGTTGGTCAAGAGAGAGCTTGGTTTCATTCGGATAGTCTCATTTGTGTATGGCTCACATCGCATCCTCCAGTTCGTCAGTTTTGAGAGGTCCTCGTGTGAACGAGCCGAGACTTCCATCATCGAGATTCCTCAAAAGAACAAACCAGGTCAGCCCTTTGGGTGCTTGATCGCTTCTTTTTCTAATCCGTGTCCGCACTTGCGGAAAATTCGCACCCTAACCCCCAACACGAGATAAGCTGCCGCCCAGATCCAGCACCAAGGAACAAGAACTCTAGCCACCTACTCCAAGGAAACAGAGCCCTGAAAAGAACATGCGTCGCCTCACCCAAAATGATGTCGACGGTTGGTATCGAAAGAGGTAAGTCCCAGTCGTAAGCGTGAGCGTAAGTAGTGGCTGCAAGCCAACAACGAAGACAGCAACGTGCAAGGTAAAGTATCCCCATCATCCTGTCCAGAGAGTAGAACGCCACGTGTGTCGAGATTGAATGATCACCGATATCCCAGACATCCGTCAACTACCGTGCACTGATTACCTGCACCAGATCAAAGTGCACCAATCCACCACCACCTATGTGGGGGGGAGTCATGAACGAAAAAGAATGGTATCACGAAGGGCAAAGTGGCGATCAAAATTAGGGCTCGTTTGAGTAGAGCAGGCCATTGCCAACGTTAACCAGGACCGGTCATCCCTTCTTCCCGTATTGAAGTCATGCCGCCTTTGCTGCCGCCTTCCAGCATCGGTTGGCTCGGGGGAGGCATTGTGTTATGCCCCTTGGAAACATTCGTGGCGGGTGTCGCGTTGCCAGAAGTTACATCGCCAGGGCGAGCAGGCGTGCTACTACTGGTCTTTACCTCGTTCTGTAGCTGAGACGAGTGATTCGGCGAGTTCGACTTCTTGCTCAGGGCATCGCCGTTGGTGTTTGCCCCACCCCGAGAAGAATTGCGTGGAGATACGCGCCCAACCTGATTCCCCATTAGTATCGTTGTTTCCCAGTCGATCAGCGATTGTTGTTTGTCCGGGGCTTCTTACCTGCTTCGCCCACCGTAGACCACAGCTGTTACACAAGTCCCGTTGTCCACTTGGGCCGCGTCGCCATTCGGGCGTATTGCGGGTATGGCAGTTGGCGCAGTCTCGGACGACATTGCCGACACCCTTCCTTCTCTTCCTTTTCTTCTTATTGGAGAGAAGCCCGCCGAGTTCTTCAGCAAGAATCCTGTTCACCTTCTCCATCTGCCGCAGTTCAAATTGCCAGCTGGAGCATTTGGTAGTCCTCAGCTCGTCGAAGATGTTGTCGTTTGCCGCCAAAGCCGCATCCTGATCACCTGGAATCGTGCTGCCGCCTGCGCATGATATTGGTCCGCTCTTTTGCACATCACTAATGATGTTGCCTTGCGCTGAATGGGCCTGCGATGCTGACTTGACACTCCCCGGTGGCGTGGCCGCCGGTGCAATGGCCCTCGACGACGCCTTCAGAAGCTTGGTTTGCGCCAGCAGGAACGTAGGCTTCTGACCCTCCGATGCGTCTCCCGGATATAGCGTGGTTTGTGCCTGGAGAACCTGACCCCTCCTGTTGTGAACCTCGTGCTTGCAAGTGACGATTCTTCCGCGTCGGGCCTTTTCCATGGCTCGGCCAAACTCCGCGCGACTCTCGCGTCGCATGAGATCCTGCATGCTTGTGCCTACCAGGTTATCCGGCTGCATGTCCAGCAGTGATCGGATATTGGACGATACAAACAGGAACATGCCAGACACGGAAATCTTGGTCCAGAGTTCGCTGTCGCCAATGCCTCCATGGGCCTCCAAGTCTCGCCGACTCAGAGCGAATACTGGTCGTTTTCTTCCCACCAGAATGATGCATTTCTTGCCTTTCCCATGTTCGAAGAACAGAGAGCCGTGACTTTCAAACCAGGTGTAGCCGCTCTGCTTCCTCCGTATGCGATAGACAACGTTAACAGAGTTGCCGGTCGTAGCATCCTTGAGTTCTCGAGTTACGGGGACAATGTCGGAGGGATGGCAGACTGTGGAAAGGGTGTTGCCGACTAGCTCGGACGCATCGTACTCCAGAACACGCTTGGCAGACGGAGACAGATACAGGAAGAGCCCTTTCAGGGACAAGACATGTACAACGTCATCGGTGTTCTCCAGGAGCATCTTATCCCAAGATTGTTTGTGCCAGTCGGACACAGCACCCTTCGGGTTGAACTGTTGTAGTAAAGTCGATACGTCGTCGACTCCTAGCGTTTGTCCGCTTTCGGGCTCGGCGTTGTTGGCCGTTGGAGGCGTCCAAATATATTGGCCGATATCACTGTGTTTGTAGTTGACCTTGACACCGCCATTGTCTTGCCCTTGAGCAATGGCGTCCGGACATTCCACCAGATCGATCTGGAAGCCAACGAAGAATCTCACCTCGTTAGGATCGTCCCATGGAATGGGGATCATGGTGAGAAGGTTGAGGAACGGCTTCCCGCCTTTGCGGTAGTTGATCAAGCTCTGCTGGACCTCGCGGCCTTCTGCAATTTTCTTCTTCAGATTGTAGACCGAGGCGTCGTCGACGAATTCGCGCTTGGAACCGGCTTCGACGACGCCGCTGGGGGATTGCAGGAAGCGGCAGTTTTGACCGACGATTTCGTGACGGCTGTAGCCGGTCAGGTTTTGGAAGTTGTCAGAAACGTAAATGATTGGGCAGTCGTTGAGCGACACATCGCAAACAACGAAAGCGCAGGACATATCGACGGCGCCAAGGTGAATTTCCGGGTTTTTCCGTGTAGCGACATACCAAAGCGCCCGGAGCATGTCAAAGCCGCTTTTCGAGTAGACGTTCTTTTCCTTGGTTTCGATGCGGGGTGTGGGCGGTCCCATGGCTGGTGTAGTGTTTGCGGTAGCCGGTGCGGCAGCAGCCTGGGTCGTCGCCATGGACGACGACCTGTTGTTCGGTGACTGAGACGAGTTGTTGGTGGAATTGGTGTTCTCTCGTGATAAGGAAGATGCCGCCGGCTGCGTCGGGTGTGCCTGATCGGGACCCAAGTTCACAGCCTGCGGATTCGCGCGTGTACTCGTGTTATCTTGCTGTGACTGATACTGCTGGCCCATGTGCACGGCATCGTTGTCGGCGGAACCCATGTCCAGCGGTGTGTCTAGGGCACTTGGGGGTGCCGTCCCTGAAGTTTCGTCTGCCGACATATCCATCGATATGCCATTCGTGTTGGTGTTGAGAGGGCTCGGAAAGGCGTTCGCCATTGGCGTTTGACCATACATGCCCATGCTGGTGGTTGTCGGCATCGTGGGGACCTGCATGTTGAAAGAACCGGGGGGCATCATGGAATTCATCATATCGGGGGAGAAGGTTGTGAAGGCATTGGTGGGGGACAGTTGCAGTCCCTCGGCGGCGGAGTAAGCGTCCATGGGGCCGGGTATCGAAATGTTTCCAGGGCCATTACTGTTGATGCCTCCGTTGTCGTTTACCATGCCGTTGTCCATGGCGGTGTCCATACCGTTTCCCATCTGGCCAGCCATGTTAGAGAACTCGCCATTCATTGTAGGATTCTGGAACGGGTAGTTCATTAATTGGTTGTCGCCCGCGCCGAATTCCATCATGGACATGCGCCTGTCGGGCCCCCCGTTTTGGCCGGGCTGGTTCTGGGGGATGTATGGCTGGTGCGACTGGTGAATGCTGCGGCGACGTTGTAGCTCATGGCGATTCGAGTTAATTATGTCGTCGAGAGAGTCCCCGCCACCCATCATGTTCACGTCGTGACCTTGGTTCATTTGCTGATATCCATGGCCGCCGGGCTGGCCTTTTTGCTGCATCTGGCGCTGGTGATGCTGAGACTGTTGCGACATCTGTCGCTGCAGCTCTTGAGCGCTGAGCTGTGGGTAAAAGGCCTCCATGGCGAGCGCATCGGTGTGCCTCAGTGTCGACTTGAGTAAGTGTATATCGTGGTCGTCGAGGATGCTCGATGTGGGATCCCAAAGTGGTTCGGTCGTCTCCGGTTATTTCAGCCGTCCAACTTGTACTTTTCTCTCCCAAGGCGCCGGCTCAAATGGTGCCACCTGTGCATGCGGTCGGGAAAAGGTAATCGTGTCAAAACGGCGGCTTCGTCAACGTGGGTGACTGTGAGGGCCGGCCAGTGTGAAAAAAGGTGTGTTTTGGGAGGGAAAAGGTCGTCCGCTGCGCGAAAAAGCAGGCCGTAGCAGTCGATGTTGTTCACATGAATTGTCGCAGGTTTTCGAAAGCGACGGTCGATCGATATCGCGGGAAAAGACGCAGAACGCGGCGACGAAGATGAAGGTGTTGGAAACCGATATTTCGGTGTGCGGTCAATCGTCGGACTCTAGAGATTTCGAAAGTGTCGGTGGTGGAAGGTCGTAGAGAAACCGAGATAAGATGTTGCGGGGAGAGGAGATGGAGTCGGTGGTTTGTGGTCGTAAAGAGGGGGGCCTTTGGGGGCGGCACGAAAGTCGATGGGCCGCCCGTACCTTAGTATTACCACTCCAAGGTTAGCAGGTTGGGTACCTAACGTGCCTAGTTAGATTGTGGCGACCGTAATGTACTGGCTTGGGTAGGGTAGGTAGGCAGGTAGAGAGTACCTCGGGCTGCTCGCAAGGAGAGGAGGGAGGTGAAAACGGGAGCTTGGGGCCCAAGGCCGCATGTTGATGGGCACCGTGGACAATGGAAGCCGCAGGTTCTCCAAGACAGGGCGCGTCTGATGTGTGCTCTCCGGCACCGAGCCCTGATTTAGGCTTTTCATTTATTTTTAAACCTCCCCGTTGCGAAGATGGACAGTGGTCATCTCCCGTACGTGCGGTGCCGTCAGACCAACAGCGGCGGACATTAGATCAGACACCACCATCGGCGAACTCCAAGGCCTGCCCTCTTCCGACCCTCTGGGGGCTACGGGTAGAGGCCTCAAGCTAACGGCAAGGCACGGCAAGAAGGAGGATCCAGAAGCAAGCAATTCGTCGGCTTCGTAGTCCTTTGCCTGCCAACTTGCCGGTCTCTTTTGTGTACGTACGGATTGGGCCGGGCATTCATCTGGGAATAACGAGGTACAGAGTACATGGTTGGAGCTGGACTTTGTTTCACCTCTTATTTCCGAAGAGCAACAGCTACATTCCAGCCAAGAAGACTCTTTGCAGTCGCGGGACAGTCGCTCTTGAAGTGGTAATCAGAACTGAGAAGGGGGGTAACTAAACAATTCTTTCTCGGGTGCCTCGGTCGCGACACTTTCGAGTGGCCCTTCCGAGTGGAATCGATCAACTCAAGTCAGGTTTGAGTCGAGTCGAGGTACGACAGGGCACATCCAACAGCAATGTGATGTCTTTGGCGTATTCTCCAAGGTGTAGTAAACCTGGACGTCGGGAGACTTTACCCCGGAGCGGAATGTTGAAATCTGGCACTTCGGTACGACTGTCAAGCAGCAATATCAACGCCGTTGTCGTGAGATACGATAGGCGTTGTCTGCACGCGAAGCAGTGTACGCAGCAGGCGCAGGCACCGAAGGGACCGTTTTGTCTCTGGATGAAAAAGAACAACAAACAGAATTCAGCAACAAGGGAATAGGATGGTGGAGGCGGACTTCAGGCCAGGCACCAGATGGATGTATCTTACCTTAGGTGGTATGCGTACTTGGAGCATCTTGTCGTGTTGGCTGTGCCTGTGCCTGTGCCCGTGTACGCAGCTGGAGTACTCCACGGTATCAGGTCGCGGTCTGTCCAACGTCACCAGCAGGCGGGTTGTCTTACCTAATCATGCACACCTGAACTCAGGCTGCTTCGGGGAGGGTCCCTCCTTGCGGCCCAGGTCCAGGTTCACAAGTGATGAGTCTGTCCGTGTGGACCAACATCAACACCATCCAACCCAGCAGCCATCCATCCAAGACTCCTCGACAATTCATAGCAAAACACGCACAAAACCTTGGCTACCTAAGGTGGTTCATGGACTAGTCGCCAACTCAAAAATCTTTACCAAGTACCGAAATGCCTCAGGGATCCTTTCCATCTGCGACTTGCAACTACGGATGGATACCTCAACCGTAACCTGCTCGTCTGTCCTTCCATCTTCTCTTCCTACCGCCGGGATGCTATGTGCGTGGGTGCTTTTCAGACTTGAGACCCAGCTTAGCTAATACGACCGCACGGCGAGAAAATAGGCTTTGTCGCGCCATCAAGATCGATTTCGTCATTTCTCCCAATCTTCAGACCGGTCAAACCACACCACGCCAAAAAAGAACAGATCAGACAAGGGCACACCAAGACTGGACATGGACAGCACTGTGCGGCCGCCGGGAAAAAACCTCCGAGGCCTTGACCAGACAGACAGCCAGCACCCAGAACCGTCGTTAGGGTATTACTACGCAGTAGGTATGCACCATCCCAACTCTCTGCTCCGCTCGCCTCATATACAGGTTGTATCCAGCTTGCGCATCGCCGTCTGCTGGCGTCAAGATAGGTACGCAGTAATAAGGCAGACGACGTATATAACCAAGCCGATTGGCAATAGCAGTTTCCCTCCTCCAATCAGACCTACTTTATCCATCCGCCGCCTGATCTAGATACGTTTTCATACAGCAATCTTCTCGCCCATCCCCGAGGCTCGCAGACTCGCCATCTCATCTGTCTGTTGCCTGTCCTCGCTCGGCGGAACTGGTCGCTGACTAACCTGACTCGCGGCCTCTGCATTGTCACTGCTGCCATTTTGACCCAACTAGCAGACCGAGGTAATTAGACCCAAACCTGACGGATTCTATCACCCCTCTACGCCACCAAGACAAAGATCACTGCTGATGGCCGTGAATGGTCCCGCGCCTTTCCATGCGCCAGTCTTCTCCCGCAACTTGGTGAGCCACAGAGGACCCCGGAAGAAGAATGGTCCAAGTTTGTAGCGCCTAATTGCCAAGCTAATTCCTTACCCCCGTCTGTCGTCTCAAATTGTATCTCCAAGACGCACGTATGCAGATGGCAGTCGGTGAACCACCTGTTGCTATGTTTCTCTCCGAATAAGGAACAACGGGTGGCAGTCGGCCTCCTCACGATTGAACTCCCTGCATCTCACGGCCGCCGTCTTTTCAAACCGCCTGTAGCGAATTGTAAGCCTGGCCTTAGCTAAACATCTTGCAAGAGTTGTGTCGGCTTCCAGCTATCTTGGATCAGGTTAGCCAGAGTCGCGGAAAACCCGACCAGTGACGACAGGACGTGACTGGGCAAAGGACTTTTACATGCATGCCCATTCTCTTCACAGGCATCTTGTTCTCCACAAGACAGACATGGCGACAGCGAAGAGGAGAGGCCTCGAAGGGCGAGGAATCTCCCAGTCAGCGGCCGACCATCGCGATGGAATGGTCCAAGAGTTCGGTGTTGTCTCTCGTGCAACCAGTGACACTGATCGAGCCCGAGCCACCGTTACACCAAATCGACGCAAGGTCGCATCGCATTGGCAAGCCCCAATCCCCCGTCGGGAACCCCACCGACAAAATCTTACTCGTTGTTACGGATCAAGCATCAACAAGAGTTGGCTTCCCCTACACAGCCTCGAATATCAAAAATAGACTACTGGGCCGCTGGGCAAAGAGAGACGGCAAGCAGTCTTGACTTAAAGATTCATGGCTTTTTGAACTGCCAGGAACAGATTTGGTCTGTGGCTCCTGGCCACGCGGCCTTGCTTACGCTGTTGTGAATGGGTAACCATCGTCGACAGCAGGCAGCATGGGGCGGCTGACCAGAATTGAGGCGTCCCAGCCAGTCGCGAGCTCGATGAACCGTCCCTCATTGCCGTGTGTCAACGTTGGGCCAGAATGCAGCAGTTGACTTCGAATCCCTTTCCGGAGCTGGCATGGCAGCCTCATCGCTCACCAAAAGCTAACGTTTTCAATCACGGATCCGAAGCTACGGCTCCGTTCTCCGGGTGGGGGTGTCATTCCGTGAGTACCACCATGAAGTCCCCCGCCAAGGCATCCATACTACGCGTTCGGGGCATGTTTGTCATGTCTGCTGTAAATTTCTATCTGCAAAACTTCTCGTCTCCTTTATATCATCGTATCGACATCATGGTGCGCCACCGAAGGACGGCTGCAAGCAAACGAAAGGACGGCCTGGATCAGCCCTCCTGGGCGCTCGAGAGCGTAACCCACCTTGCGCCGCCTTTCTGAGGTAGTCCACGTTAACTTTTTCTTTTTTTCTTGGTTTGAGGCTTCAAAGTATTCAACCTTCATCGCGTCCACAGCGCTCACAGCGCTGGCTTCTTCTTCACCCCTGTGGTATCATCTCATCTTCTTCCATCTAACGCCAGTCTCCGTTCCGTTCCCCTTCCAGTGGCCCCGAAAGCAATCAAGGCGCTTGCAACCTGGCTATGCTTCGGGACCTAAGAGAAGTATGCCGTGATTGTGCGCTGAGCCTCAGGAGAGAATTGCTGCAGCAAAGGCGCGGCGTCCACGCCTGCCGCAGAGAGAAGAGTCTTGATAGCAGCCACCACGCGACTGGCTGTTTGTCCCTGGAGTGTATCTGCCTCCAAAGCTTGCGCAGTAAAAACGAAGACTTTGCCGGCTTGGCCCACAACCGCAGGATGTTGCCTGGTTACAGCGGTTAGCTATTGTCAGTTTTCTTTCGTACTTGCGGGTCACTCACTGGTCAATCAGCTCAGCCAAATAGGCATAAGCGTACGGCGCGGCCTCCTCGTCGTTGGTCACAGGCAAGGTCTCTATCCACTGCGCCACGATGCCGTTGGGATCCTGGACTGAGCTAGCGTTGTAGTGAAGAATTTTCGCAATGGCAGCACACGCGTTCTCCGTGGCATAAACATTATCTTCGCTGCGTGCCTCGGGGACTTGAGTAACCTGGAAAAGGAAGGGCATCGCGCCACCGAGGAACTGAGCCCAAGGGGCACCGCCACGGTGAGCAGCTACGCCAATACCGTATGCAGCAGCTTGGCGAATGGCTGGTGATGCATCTCTGCAGCCGTCAATGAGCGGCTGCGTGATATAGTTGGCGTACCGCTGGCTTTCACTTCCGCAGTACTCCAAGACATCATCCATGATGCAGAGACCCCACTGGCGTTGAGTCGGATCGTCAGATTTGAGGAAACCCTCGTACGTGCTGATGAGACGCTCCCAGGCCGGCAGGAAGGCAGAGCCGTGGTGCTTGAAAATGGCGTGAAACGCCTTGTTCATGTCCGATAGGAGCGTCTGGTCATCCTCAATAGCCAGTAGGACTTCCTCGGCCTCATCTTCTGCGTCTTCTGGGTTCACGCCCTCCTTGTCCTCCGCACGCTGGGCGACACGGTCCTTGTAGTCCTCAATGGCGGAATGAACCGAGTCGATGAAACGAGAAAGATGCTCGGGCGAGAGACATGCCTTGCCGACCACCTCGACAGACTCGTAGAAGCACTGGTACATTTCGGCCAAGGTATCAATGGCGGGCTCGGCAGTCAAGACCTCGAGAAGCTTATCGACAGTAGCGGCCCAAAGTCCGCTGAGCTCGTTGGACGGGCTTCCGTATGTCTTCTTGTAAGAGCTCAGAAGTTGGGGCACCAACTTGGCGGAAATGAACCTGACAGGGTCGTGGAAGAAGAAGGCCAAGCCTGGGAGGGCGATCTTCTCCATGATCTCCGCAACGTAGGGGGCAAAGCTGCCCTCCAGGACCTGTGCGTAGACGACCAGGAGCTCGATGGCCATGTTCTTATCCTCCATGGTGCTAGTTCTGATCCCAATCATTTTACCCTTGAGGGGAACAAGCTCCCATCCCTCTTCTTGCTGCATTTGTTCGACCTGTTCATCGTCATCCAAGAGCTGGATATCGGCCTTGGCACTGGCCAGCTCCAAAAGAGGGGGCATCACGTTGGGCAGGAAAGGAAGGAACTCCTGGCCAAGGACTCTGCACATGCGGCCCCAGCAGTGCATGAGATACTGTGCTTGAGGGTCGTCGGGGTCCGTGATGTTCTGCTGAATGTTGGCGAGCAACTGAACCAGCGTCATCGCGTCCTGACCGAGTCTGTCTTTGCCAACGGCCAAAGCAATCAGAGTGGCGCACTCCATAGCCTTGGCGCGAAGAAGACGGAACTCCTTCTCATTCTCTCTCTGTAGGACATTGACCAACAGTGGCATGAGGGTGTCGTAGTATTTGGAGAAGGCGGCCTCAGCGGCGTCCGCAATAGTCGCGATAGTGGACAGAGCCTGCTCCTGAACATAGCGCTTCTCGTTCTGCAGCAGCTGGAAGAGGTGAGAGAGCAGTTCGTCCAAATAGGGCTCCAGGATGGACTTCTCGGCCTCCTCGCAGAAGTTGACCAAAGCGGCGGCGGCGTGGGACTTGACGCGGGCCTCGGGGGAGTCGAGAACGGGGATGATAGCCTTGAGAACTCGGTCATAGTAGTCGGTCTGCATCTTCGGCGCGAAGTCGGTGCTCATCTGACCAAGCGCGTTGCAACCAGCCCAGCGTACACGAGGGTGAGGGTCCTTCAAGGCGGGAACGACAAGGTCAAGGACCTGGCTGAGCTCGCCAATCATGAGCTCCCTGCAGCCTTCAGAAATCGCAGAAATCGCCATGAGCGCGGCATGTCTGTCTCTCCAAGCCATGGAGGTCATCATGCGAGGAAGCCAGTTGAAGGTCGGGGCGAGGATGGTCTGGCCACCGAGCTTGTTAGCCAATCGGTCCATGCATTGCTCTCCAGCAACGTGGTTTTGGTCGCTCTCCTCCTGGTCAAGCTGTATTCCGTTAGCAAGAACTCGTCTTGGGGGAAACAAGAGCTCACATCGTCCGAAGCCAGCCATTCGGCGGCATCGTCATCGTCCTCGCCAAGGTCAGTCATCAAACTAAGACACTGGGTGATCATGTCGTTGGTGTAAGTGGGATCCTTGCGGCACAGTGACGGGGCGTAGTCGGCAAAGGTGGCCATCAATTCGAGGGCGTTCTGGCGGCAGAGGTTGTCGAGCTCCTTGTCCTGGATAACGGAGATGGCGAATTGGACCAAGTTATGGAAAAGAGGCTTGAACATCTTGGGCGCAGTCTCGGCCATGTCGATAAGGGCAACCAAGGCGCCGCTAAGGTCCTCGGAGTCGTGGCTATCCTTGATCGGGGGAAGGATGTTCAGGACATCGGGGATGAGAGGGTAGAACTTGGGTTGGGCCTTCTTTCCCAGGTTTCTGAAAAAGGCAGCGAAAGCATCCATGGCAGCCAGGCGCACCTTGCCGCACGTTAGTTCATGTCGAGCGCCGAGGTGGTTGAGGAGCGACATACCTGAACGGAATCGTCCCTGAAGCCCTTCTGAAAGGCCTGGATCACGGTGTCCTCATGTTGCTTCTCAATGACACCAGGGGTGGTCGCGAAGACGCGGAAGGCAGTCTCGCGCTTCTCGGCGTCAGGTGCGATGCTGAGTTGGAAGAGACCGGTCAGAAGCTCTGGCCACTGCTCATCTACCATAATGTTAGGCGCGAGTTCGTGCTCGGGTTTGGGATTTCTGCGGGGCATCCTGGGACACGGAACGCGGGTATTGACGACGTACTGGTCTCGGTGTATTGCCTCGCTACCTCAGCGACGGCATCGCTGATTTTATTTCGTACGGCACGTTGGAAATCTCCTCCCAGACTCTCGAGAAGTTTCTGTCTGATGACGGCGGCCTGCTCCTTGGACAAAGACAGGAACATGTCGACGAGTTCGCCGCGGTCATTCTTGCGGCTCTTGGAAGCGATTCGTCTGAAAATGACGGCGGCGAAAGAACGTGTCTGGAAAGGCGGCGCGGTTAGCCAGATGTCGGCAGAAGGTCGCGTCGCGAGGGGCAGAAGAGGGGCAGGGAGGGATAGAAGGAGACGGGAAAGAAACGCGAGACCAGAGCAAGGAAGAAACATACCGAAGCATCAGCACCGATTTGGATTTGCTCGGCCAAACCCATCAACAGAACCTCAGGGCGGCTGGCGGTCCAGTTGTTCTGAAGATGGTCCTCGGCTTGTGTGCGAACATTGTTTTCCGGGCTTTGGAGAGCTTGCAGAAGCTGGGACAGCTCCGCGTGGACGTCTGGCGGCAGCATAGACATGGTTGCGACCGACAAAAGTTGTGCGTGTTATCTCGACGAAGGACTTCTCTTTTTTTTTTCGAGGCTGCGAAAACCTGCCCCCTAGACCAGACCAAGACAGTCGGGGCGGTGGGAGATGTGTCGGTCCGCAAGAAAACGTGACGTGGGGAGGCGGATAGGAACCGGCGTGTTTTGGTTCTGAGGGGTACTTTTTTACTCTTTTCGGTAGCCGGGCGTTGGACCTCTGTTGGGTTTTCTTCTGTCCCTCGTCTGCTGTAAGCGAAGCGCGCGTTTAAAGGCGGATTAGGAGGACAATGAAGGCGGATAAGTGAAGTCAACTAGTTGGTGAAGCGACTATTCGTGATGAGCATGGTATGCTGCGTAGAGATGCGGCAGAGGGAAGGGGGTAGAGGGGGAAATAAACAAAGAAACTTGTCGAGAGAAAGTGAGGCAGCAAGCCCACGATATGATGGTGAAGGGACTTGACTGGGGGGGTCTTTCTTTTGGTCGTGGAGGGGAAATCAAAAAATGTCAATAATTTTGGAAGGTTTTTGGCGGGGCTCTTTGCCAGGTGGGCTCCGGCCGCACACACTCACCACGACCACGACAGCACTCAGCCGTGGAAACCTGACGAGGATGGGCCTCTCAGGCAGCTTGCGTCGCTAGGTAGGTAGGTACTCTGTACTGCCCGCAGTGGTACCTCTAGACCCGTCGTTTGAAAATGTTAGTACTTTGGGCTTTTGATTGGCTGTCGCGACACCCAGGTACTAAAGGTTACGGACACGCTCCACAACAGCACGGATGTTTGCTGCCTTAGGTACCTACCTTAGGTACCTAGGTGCCGAAATTAGATAAGCAAGTAAGGAAGGTATTTAGGTGGTAGCGGACATGCAGGCGCGCGACTTTGGTTTGCTGTATTCAACGCCCGAACCAGGCGGCCGGCAACCCGAATCAAATCAAATGCGGCATGTTGACTTCTGCTGGCTCCTGCCTGGCCTTGTGATACGCTCTTTGTTTTCATATGATATTATCATCAACCACCACAGGCATGCCACGACATGCCAAACATTATGACAAGCGTGGCCCCGTAGCCACCTGCCAAAGACCAAGCCATCCCTCCAAAGACCAACAGACACCTCATCATTATGCCTATGAACAATAGCGCTGAGCAGAGGTATTTTGACCTCATACAAAACAGCACCAGCACCACAAACGAATCAAGAGAAAGAACCAGAAAAATAGCCGACAAAGGAAAAGGAATCAGTGGCAGGTTTTGCCATGCGAGCATCTCAATGCTTTATTCCGTGGAAACCGATACCATGCCAGGAGATCCCTCAGAAGTCCAGTGCTCCTTTACGCCTCCGCCCAAGCTCCTGGCCCGGGACAGTGGCGGCATTGGCATAAGCCGCCCAAACCCAATTCCTGTCCAGTCTGTCTTTTGTTCTCTCATGTTTCTCTGTCCTGCTCCCTGTCTGACCATAAGCTTTGACGTGTTTTCGAGGCATGGTCTTGATATCCCAGTTGATTAGAGACAGCCCGACTGGCAGAGGGAAACGATGTCACGACAATTCGGAAGCATACGAAGCACGGAAAGTCTGGGATTTGAGAAGAATCCTCTCGATAAGTCATCTTTGCACTGCAGGAAAATGTCCCCTTAAAACCGAGATTGGTGACTGAGCCCGTTTAAACGTCTCTGGGCCAGTCGTCGAGGCCTTATACTTGAAAATGCTTTAGCGCTGCTAAGGTAATCAATTACCCACCTAGGTAGGCGGGGCTACCTACCTTACCTTAGGATGACAACGGCAGACAATTCTTCATCGGTGCATCCAGGTTGCTTTTGCTGGCGCTGCCAAAGACATGTGAGCCCAGCCGTTGCATATGTATGCACTCCTGTCTGATCCTGGCTATATGCAATAACACGCATACCTGCAGTGACATGAGTGGGGTCGAGGCGGGTAGGTAGGAAAACGGGCATATGGGTAAAAAGGGGTAACATTGCATCCATCTGTCCCGTATCTGTACACGCGCACTTATTCCAGCGTCCGCACCTCAACCGTGGAAGCTGCCATCGTCATCCTCCCCTCACAGGCACTCTGACGTGCCATCCCGTGGCCTGGACATCAGCGCTCCTACTGGCCCGGTGCAGTCGCTCCGCCGCGGTGAAGCGATGCTGCGAGTCACCGCGATGTTGCTGATACTCCTCCTACGCTCGCAGGGCAACGGAGCGCTTTACATAGTATGAAGGGTGCCCAGGTCGGGTTAGTAAAGTAGGTAGGTAGCTCACCTTGAGTACTTTTTGGTAACCTCATACTGGTGAGGCCTGCATTTGTCTTCACGGGTCAATGGAGATGGACTGTTGGGTGATCCTCAAGTCATCGACACTACTGTGACTCGCCCTCCCGTCTCGTCCAATCCTACCTACCCCACGATTGTGCCCCTCTGCTTTCTATCTATGTTCCATCAGTCAGCAAATCGTCAAGCTCTCTATCTTTGTCTGTTCCTCGAGTTATAGTTCCGTCCCAATCGTGACAGTGCTTTGGCAATTTCATATCGCATTTCCAATTCCCCAACTGGTGTCTCCATCGCAATAGGTTGCCTTTGCCACTCTGTGGCGATCCAGCTCTACGTCTAGGTACGTCAGGCGGTGCACCACCAGCTCCAAGAACCGACCTAGGTACGGTAAGGTAGTCTTGGCAGCGGTGCATCTCGGTCGCAATCAGCCGACGGTACCATCGACCACGTTCCATTGACTCTCGGCACCTTCGCCAACCTACCTTACCTCACCACCCGTGGACCTACCTGATAGTCCCCTCAGCCACCACCGCTTCCACCACCCGCCCACTCAAGCTGCAACTTCCCGTCCTACCCTTCCCGTCCTAATTACCATCACAGTCATCCGAATTGGAGAAGCACCAGCCACTCTCCATCCGACATCCAAAGCTTGCCCCATCCACCTTACGTGTAGACAGCGTATTCCAAGTTCGCCGCTTCTGGGAGCTTTCCAGTAACTCGTCAGAACAACGGGAATTTACCACGATACCGACCGCACCTTAAACCGTGCCTTTGCAGTACAGCAATGGACGGAACAGCGGCAACCGGTCCGCACAAGGACGAAGGTCTCGCTTCGATTGCAACCTCACCTCCCGCTGTCCCGCAACGAACCCCCTCCCAGACGAGCTTGCACAAGGCCTCGCATTCCCACCGCCAGAGCTTCGCCGAGAATCTGAGAAACGCGCCAGGCTCCCCTCGCGCTCAGCGTCACCCGTCCTTCACACAAGCCGCCGTTCAAGAGCTCCTCAACCATCCGCCTGCCGCCAACAAGCACTCAAACCCACGATTCGCCGGTCGCGACTGGCGCGACATCTCCGTCAACGAACTCGTCACTCAAGATGATGTCAAGTGGGTGGACTTGGACTCCAGCGTCGAAGATGCCTCCATGGTCTGTCACCCTCTCCACTACTTCCAAGCGGCTTCTTGCTGATACCTCGACAGATGCTTGTCAAGCACAGCCCCTCCAACATCGTCCTCATTCGAGAAGAGGCTTCGTCCCAAACCGCCGTTTCCACATTCGATTACAACGACCTCAACACGTATCTTTTAATAGTCGTTGGACTGGCGAAACCCGACGAGGAGCAGGTTGCCGTCTACGATAACATCGCGGCCAAGGCCCGAGAGGGGACCAGCATAGCTCTGCGCGATATCCAGCCCCTCTTCAGAAAAGAGTCACTTATCACCTTGCCCTTCGACGAGACGCTGGACAAAGCCATCGAAGTTTTTGGAAGCGGCATCCACCAAGTTCTTGTGACCAGCCCCGCTGGCGATGTCATCGGTATCCTCAGTCAGCTCAAGCTGGTTGAGTTCTTCTGGAACGAAGGCATCAATTTCCCTGCCATTGACAAACTATACCCCGTCATCCTGCGAGATCTCGGCATCGGCACCCAGCACATTGTATCCGTCAAGTGAGAGCACCTATGCCCCACTACCTATAACCACAGCTGACGCGCAATAGCTCCGATAGCCCACTAGGGGACGCTCTGGCTTTGATGAATGCCGAGGGCCTCACAAGCGTCGCTGTCGTCGATAACGGCCGGAACGTCGTAGGCAACATTTCCAGCGTTGATGTGAAGCATCTTACGAACGCCGCCGACGCCCCTCTTCTGAAGTCTTCCTGTATGCACTTCATTTCTGTTATTCTGAGTGAACGCGGCGTCGAACACGGCCGTGATTCTTTCCCGGTCTTTTACGTCAACCCCTACTCGACACTGGCGCATACGGTTGCGAAGCTCGTCGCGACGCAATCCCACCGCATGTGGGTGGTTGAGTCGGCGTCACCATCTCCATCGGCACCCGCGACTCCTTTGTTGGGTCCGACCAAGACGACGACGGTCTTGGTCCCTGGCTCAGGCTCCGCGCCGCAGTCGCCCCTCCCTCCGCAAGTGCACAACGTCGTGCCCGCCGCGGCGATGCCCGGCACACACCTTTCAGGACGCCTTACGGGCGTCATTTCCCTGACGGACATCTTGAACTTGTTTGCAAGGTCGTCCGGTCTGCGGCCCTCGGATCCGGGGGAGCAGCGGGCGCGACGCCGCAGAAGCTCAAGCAGTTCCATTCGGCCGAGTCTCGACTCGTCAAGGGCAAGCCTCGACCTGCGCCGGTGAGAGGAGTTGAGCGTAACTTGAGCTTAAGACGGCGATGAAAATGCTGTTAGTGGGGTTTTGTCAATGGCGTTTCTGGGTCTCGCTGAAGAGGTCTCTTCGCAGGAGCAATATATCGGAAGCTTATATTTTATTTTAGACAATTAGCACTTGCGATTGACCCAATTAGAACGAGTAACGATGGATCCTGTCCGCGACATTCGATCTACACGTGGTTCACCATCCAGCCATGAAATGTGGGATGACCCATAGTGCTCTGCTCACGGGTAGCTGGCGGCGATTCGTCAAGACCAGAATGAGCACGATCGGGGTAGTCAAAGCCACAACAGCCCGATGTGCAAGCTGATGGCACTGAGAACAATCGTCGAGCCTCGGCTTCCGAATCGCATTCGACCCCTCTAAAAGCGTCAAAATAGGACCGGCACAAGAAAGGGCCTCGATCCTCTCGGAGTCAATAGTAACTGCAATCCCAATCGTGATTAGAACGAACATCCCAAATTACATGTCGACCGGGCTTCCTTATTTTTGCATGCGCATCAATGCCCATCCTTTGTAGGGGAACTTCTGGCTGAATTGTTCAATACAAACGACTTCCACGTCGATAATTGGTTTACATCATGGCGATGATGATTATGTGCTTGGCTCTCAGCTGCTCTTCTATCGGTCGTCACAGAGGGGAAGAGCCAAGTCTCGGCTTGTTCTATTATTGTCCATCGTCTACTCGCTCCTTTGGTGATTGTTCTACTGTCTCGGTTGACTGAGCCACTTGGAATTGTCTTTTTGATTATCGGAGATGACGAGCACTACGATCAATCTTCGTTTCATGAGAGTATAATACAAATGGTAGTACAGAGGCTTGCCATCATCGACGCAGGAACTTCCGGCATCGGTTTTCTTGATTGAGCTACGTAAGCGTACTTTCTTCGTCCGGCGACTTATACACACGCAATGGACATGCCCAAGCCTTCAACCTCCTACAGACGTCACCCACATGTCTTTCATCGACAGATCATATTAGATCTCGATAGGAACTCCGACAGAGTTGCAGGTCTCAGTGGCCCAGTTGAGGGCAGCGAGGCTGTTCAGAGGGTGTTAGCCATGTTTGATTTCTTCCCTTGGCCATAGGGTTACTTACACATCGGCACTACCGCAGGCGCCGAGGACACAGGCGGTGACAGCCTGGTTGTAGGCAGAAGAACTAGAAATATGAAGGTCGGCACTTGTCTGAAATTGTCACTCGTTCGAAGAGCATCACTTACGCGCAAATGCAGGCGAAGTCGGTCTGGGAGGCGCAGCCGGAAATGGGGAAATTGTCAACAAAACAAGGCTCCTGTAAGCCGAAGCTCGCATTAGCAGACGAAACCAGCATTGACGAACTAGTGTGCTTGTCTTACAGCGCAGTCAGGAAGCTCGGAAATGTCCTGAGCGGCAACGAGACTGGCGAAGAGAGTGATGGCGAGGGTCTTGAACTGCATATTGGCGGTAACGGGTGTCTGATCGACGTTAAGAGTGTCTTGGTTGGTTCTTGGATGCGAGATGTTGTGCAATCAAAGTGTCTGATCACGACATTCCGGGGCGGGTCTTCGGGGCTTTATATAGGCGTTCCCTACGGCCGTCGCTGTGCTTCGGATTCTTTCTTTCTACTTTATCGACGTACTGAAGAGTCATGCCCTTCGAGGAGTCGGCTTGCCTTCGCCTCGCCAACTCATCCCCCTAATTGCCCAGGCAGTGGGCGCTTGCTGTGAGTAACGTCAACAATCTTTCACATGAAGCCGACGGGGACAACAAGGCGGGGTTGAGGAGATGAGAAGGTCGCCAAGGCGGTCATCGCGGACTGAAGCGACTGCAACCGAGTGTGACGTTCCAGGGACACTCTCTAATGTCGGTGACATTGCCGGATGGAGAATCGCGAGCTTGCGGCAGAGCAGGCTTTTGCGGCGGTATGGTGGATTTCAAAGGATAGGTTAGTTCAGTAAAGGTCCCTCCAGACTGAAGAGTGAGTCGATGATCTTCAATTATAGATTCAAGGCACTACCTCACAGCATGGTGGCACATCGGCAACATCAAACACGAGCATCGACGAGAAAAGACTGGACGGGATGAACATTAGAACCGGCAAAGTTTGTGCGAGCTAGACCTATTAAAGCATTTCCGACACCTCAGCGAGAAGAACACATTTACATCACAGCAACGTCCTTGCTGAGCAGAACGTTTGGTCGACCACGAGAACGACTTTGACGCCGAGCACGTTGACCGATGCGACATAACCGACAGTTGCGGGGAAGGTAGGATCGATCACCTCGAGCGCCTCATCATCAGCCACTCATCCCCCTTGCGACACGCATTTACGTTTGCGGGAGGGATTGGCCACGACTGCAGACGATGCCCATATCACTCAGGGGCCTCGCCGACACGGGAGGGGATTTGCCCTGCTGGGAAACCGCACGTGGAGGTGTGGTCAGGATTCCCCGCCGTTTGGGGCTCGAAATCCGGGGTTTGCGGGGGAACGATACACCCTCGGGAGTAGTAAGGGGTTACGGTCGGAGGATGTGTGGCCAAGGACGAGTTCCTGCATCGGGGGAAGCACCGGAGCGGATCAGTCGCAGTTGCGGGAGGCGGTTGTGTGCCTGTATAAGTGTGGGTGGGCGGCTCGTGTTGTAACCTGCCGAGGCGTCACCGAAGGAGGCATCTGATGATGATGGCAATGATGCACAAGGTATGGCTGCCTTGTTTTCTTTGCTCAGGGACAATGCATCCAACAGCGGGCTTCTTGGAAGATGAAGGAAGTAGACGCGAGTTTGGAAGTAACATGTTGGCGTCGTTATTGAGGGGTTGGGTCAGATTCCCCGCGCGGCAGTCGAATGCCGCTTTGGGAATCCGGGGCCGCGTTTAGTGGGACCCGGGACTGGATGACGGGGATCAGCGGTTTCTGGAGTTCAGCAGGTGATGCGAGGGAGTATTGTAGACTTCGGCGTTCCATTATTGCCGTTTATTCAGTCCGGTTCCTGGGGACTCTAGCCCAAGGCAATAAGCATGAGCCAGTCTCATATTGCATAGGATTGCCCCAGAGAACCCACAGAGCGTCTTGGGTAAGTAACTAATAAACCTGAATGCGTGTGTGGCTAGAAATTGTCGACAAGAGCCGATCATGGTGCACAAATAAGCATCAAGACGGTTGGTTCTTGGGACGAAATGGGGTTGTAGCAATGTAATATATGTAGTTCGTTCACTTTACTGCTTAGTAGTTCAACGACCATAGGAAGAGCATACTGGTCTGAGCATGTTCTTTCGTTTACATTGTATGCTGCCGCACAATTAGACTGTAGATGAATCGATCGGTGTTCAGTTAAGCGGTCTACTGCTTGGAGTTCACCTGTCTGTCGTCACCTCACGTGAAAGCAATTTTGCTCCAGCGCATCTAGAAGAAAATGTCGGGTAGGACCTGTGCGACACAGCCACCTAAGTACCTAAGCTACGCCTCTTTCAAAACCCGTAAGTCTCAGCACGCAATAATACCTAGCTAGGTAGAGCAAGACCAAAAAAAAAACATCACAAAAACTTCCGAAACCGAGAATCGAACTCGGGGCTATGCCTAATCTCTCACGGTCTTGAGAGGGCATCATGTTGGCCACTACACCATATCGGATGTGGATGCTAATGGTCAGCGGACACATCGTATACAGACCTGACCACAATGTTCCAAGAGTTGCCCTACCTTGTTTTGCCGTCAATACCTTTTTCTTTTAATATAACAAGACAATCTCCAAAACTCGAAGAAATCGCATGCAATAGGCACTAACAACGGATCAATTTGGCTCAACGCTGATAACGTTTAGTTGAACCTTCTCTGACACCAGTGCAAACCATGATCCGGCACTGTACCAAAACCACTGTACGTCAAATATTTTATTTCCAAGATTCCATCTAAACACACCTCTATTTCTACAAACAACATCAGCTTGCAAGCCAAATCAAACCCGTCACTCAGGACTCACGATATCAGTCGAACGGAAAATCACAGCTCCATGCACAAAAGTCGTCATGGCTCAACCCGCAACCTCTCAAGAATTCACCGCCTTCTACCTTCAGCGAACAACCCAGGAGTTCGCCGAGGACCTCGACAAGGTTCGCGAGGCTGACGACTTCAAGGCCGAGTCGCTGCCCTTTCTCATCCACGCCCTGCAGCAAGGCACCGCGCTGTACTCGACTGCGGACCAGGCTCGCGTCGCGCGTGCTGTTGCGCCTGCCGCCCTTGCCGCCGCGAAGGAAGAGGACCAGGACGTCGCGATGGATGAGCCGCAAGCAGAGAATGAGAACAGGAACAGCAAAAAGGAGAAAAAGGAGAAGAGCAAGAGGAAGAAGTCATCCGGTTGAAGAGCGACGGAGGCTTTGTGACGTCTCTTTCCCCCGAGGCAAGTTGGGCGGCAGGTCCGACGGTGAAAAGTCTCATGAAGCGGCTGGACTTCATTTTTCCGGGAATCTGTTTCTGGTCCTGTCTCCTTGGCCAGGTAGGATATGGGCGCAAATGCAGAATCATCTGGCCAAAGACTCGAAGGCTGTGGCATTCCAGCCTGCGTGACAGCAGACGACCGAATCGCATTACGCTGATGAAAGAGGACAAGCATGTCACCAGATTCAATGGAGACCGTCCAAGAGGCTTGGAAAGAGTGGAGAGCACGCCGAGGTTGCTATGGAGGCAAGGCAGAGCAAAAGTGACAAGCAGCAGAGCACGTGCTAGCGACAATTGCGACGGCCCAAAAGTGTGGCGAAGGCTTCTATAGTAAGCGATTATTCTACTAGTCTTGTTCTCATCAAAACGACCCTCTTCATCGGTCGACCAGTTAGTCATAAGGGTATCTCTGGATATCAAAAGTCAAATCAAAGCGACGCCTCTGCATGCACCAGCACTTATTGCCGTCGTCCATCACACCCCTTTCCCCATGATTGCGCTGTTGTGATGCTACGCAATCCATGTCATGACCATACCCGAGCCCCGGCTGGCTTCCACATTATGTCAATGACGCAAGTCTGTTATTCTGCCGCGCGGCCTCCTTGCGCACCGCCCAGCCTTTGATGGCGAGGACGATGATCTCCCAGGCCATCAAAACGCCCACGAGACCCATGGTTACGGTGTACATGAACATGGCGTCCAAACCGTAATGAATCATGCCATCGACAGTATCGCCGGCCTGAGCAATGTGAGCGGCATGTTTCCCAGCGAGTAACAAAATAGGGCGACTTACACTAGCCATGAAGATGATGCCACCAGAGATCAACCCGAAAGCCGCCAGAAGCTCGGTGGGGGGCCGAGAAGGGAGGACCGACTTGGGAGGCTTCAGGTACATGATCACATACGTGAAGCCGCGAGCGAATGAGGCGCCAGTTAGGAGGTTGCCCCATTGCTTGTGCACCATGCTAGAAATCATCGAATGTTGCGTGTGTGAGCTCATCATGATTCCTAGAAGGAGAATGACGAGTGCCGGGATGGGGTTGACGGAGAACTCGTATTGTTTCGGGGGTTGGAGAATCTCGCGCTCCTCATCATCGTAGGTTCGCTCGAAGGCCTCCGCGGCGGAATCGATGACAGAGGTGTGTAAGAGATCGCGAATACGGCTTGATTCGATGAGCATGCCAAGCTGTTGCCCTCTTCAGTTTGCGATCGAGACCAGGCGCGCGGACGGAGCTGCTTACCAGTCCACCACCGATGAAGAGAACGGTAATGGAAATATGCTCGAGGTCCTGGGCGCTGTACTTTCCGCCCCAGTTTCCAAGATGCTCGAGAAAAATGTTGGTCGAGCCGTAGACGAAGATGAGGGCGCTTTCGACAAACTCCGCGGAGGGCCGCCACTTGCCGCCGGTTCGCTTCGGCCGGACGTTCCAGGCCTGTCGGGAAGCCAAAGTCAGCGAATCGGACCCGTGTGTCTCCACAACGGCGGGGGCGGGACCGCCGTGTTCCCATCCGTGGCAACTTACCCATCCGTGCTCTCCGAAACTGCCGGCCCATCGGCCGAGGGTCAATAAACCAAGCCAGAAAAAGATTCCACCCTTAATCCAATGCGCGAGGCCATTGAAGATCTCGTTACCCTCCTGTGACTAGTCAGCAAATTTACCGGGAGTCTGCAGCGTACAGTATGTCGGTCGCTTACGAAGAATCGCCCGTATGTCACGATACCTAAGCTAAGCGTGATGGAACCCAGAGGTAGGCTGATCCTGTCTACGAAGTTGTACACGAACAGGAGAACTTTCCAGACACGAGATGAGATCTTTCCGGTCATGGTAGCGAGAATTGAGTATGCCTTGATGCCATTGCCGGTTCTCGGCATAGGCATTGGTCGTCCGTCTTCCAGATCCTCTTCATCCTCGGTATACTCCTTTCGATGGGCGTCGGAAATGCGTGGCGAGGCCTCGTTGGACGAGGAGGAACGAGAATGGCGACCGAGAGACTCAGTACAGGGCTCGGTGCCTTGTCCGCTGTCATTGGAGAGGCGGTACTCATGAGCAAAGCGCGACTCATTGATGCGGTGGTGTTCAGCCATGGCAGCTGCAGAGACGGGGATGAAAGATTGGTACTCGTTGTTGTTGTTGCGATCCTCGTTCTCGCCCTTGAAAGAGCCCGCAACTCTTCCCAACAAGCCGATTAGGACCTGCGCCGACACGACCCATGTGACGAGCCAACCGAGCTTATGATGGGCATTATTCGGGTACAGATCGGGCGTGCTGGCGTTGTAAACAGTTCCTAACACGACGCCGAGCGCGTTCACGGCGAGGAAGGCAAATTGGAGCGCAAGTGTATACCTCGAGCGAGCTACGGAGAGCATGACAGCTGGAGCGTGTCGTTAGTTGGCGCAGCGCCCTGGGCGATTACCTGGCAGACTTACCGACAGGTAGGACGAAGACCCAGGCGAGCACCATGGCTCCGATGTGCGCGTACATGACACCCGCATGATCGGCGAGCGCAAAGTAGGTGGGCGGATAGCTGTCATCGGGTTTCGGTTCCGCTGAGGCGGCGCCGTGGGACATGTCCATGGCGATACTCATGTCGTCTCCGGTGTCTTCCTGGGCACCGTGGGCGAAAGCCAGAGGCACGAGGCTCAGTGCCACCCAAGCGGTAAGCTGTTGAAGCGTTGACTTCATCAAGGGCGTCTAGCCAACGGTAGGAGCCTGAAGGTTGATGATGTCGCAAGAGAAGTACGAAAGCTCGCAGGAGCTCTGACAATGCCCAAGCAGAATGTCGAAATCCGACGTGATGTTGCCAAAGATTGCGATTTACGAACAAGGAGATTGGCGCCGGAGGGCAGCTATACTTAAGGAGAGGAGATCAAGAACGGGAGAGTCATGACGTTCCGGAAGGGCGAGAACGGATTACAAGTACTTCACGATATGTGGAGGAGCTCGACAGATGCAAAAGTAAGTACCTTACAAGACCGGAGCGGAGGCCGAGAGAGGCCCATTCCTTCGCGACAACCCAAGATCATTGGTAGTAGTAATGCAGCGTAGGGTACGAAGACGGTACTCGCGATGGGACGAGTTACGTCAAGAGCAAGTCCCGGTCAGCAGTGTGTACAACATGACAGAGGCGGTGGATGAGGACGACGACAATGCCGGTCCGCCGGGCAGTCTGGTCATCTAGGCACGCCCATCAGTTGTACACTGGATGGTATCTGTACACTGTCCAGTGGGTGACAAAGAGCAAAGCGACTGCGAATAGTGGCCGCGATCCACGGCGAGGCCAGACGGGGCAGGGAAGGCAGGGTTGCGTGTAAGTCCCTCGACGGTGAAAAGGTGCAGAGGCCGACTCCGAGGGTTCCGAAGGCATCCACGCGACCTCCAGCGAGAAACGAAAATGTCGGCGGCGGAGGTAGGCAAGACCACCGTGCCAATGGAACCCGCTGAACCGAACTGCCTTGCCTTGGCTGGCGCGGGAAGTGATGTAAGTGTTGGGTGTGACCGGGACAGGTTGTATGTTGTCCAGGAAGCAAGAGATGGATAATCCGCTCTTCGGGATTCCAGAAGCAGAATATTTTTTTCCCTTTTCCCCTCTCAACAGGGCGGAGCTGTGGCGCTAATTAGAGCCTAGACCTGACCACCCAGCCTTATGGAACCCAATAGCAGCGGGATTGGCGGCAGTGACGACACCAGACTTTGAAAAAAAAAAAAAAAAAAAAAAACATACCGTAGGCAGAGGCCCAGGAGAGAAGAAACAAAACAATTTCCAAGTGTTTCCATTATCGGAGTCAACGTATATGCAAAGTCGGTGTTGACGCATCTCGACGTTACGCCTGTATCCGCTGACATCCCACCATCGCCATCTCAGAACATCACCAGTCTTCTGTTTGGAGTTCTACCAATTGGCCTTCATCCTTTGTCACATAATCAAATCCGATGTATGTCTTCTGCACTATAAACACTTACAACCTCAGCCCGCCCAGGTCTCCATTGTTTAGACAACACAACTCAGCAAAGGTGATTCCCCAAGATCCCGGCTCTTCTCTGAGGCAACGGCCATGCCGGCTGTTTGCATCCCACGAGTCTGCCAGACCCCCGGCACGAACGGAGAATAAGGTACACTATTCGTACTGCGAGGAAACGTTCGTTGGATCGCCAAGCCAAGCTTCAGAAGCCGATTACCGGACCGTTTCCCAAGGGCCTACCATGGGTGGCCTCGGAGTTTAACGACAACCTCCAAGTCCCCGGCGTTGATGAACTGCCACCAAATCCCACCTGGCCCCAACGCCTCCACGTAAGATGCTGTGCTGACATCAAAGTCGTGGCGCCCTCTCCGTCTTGTTGGCCGGGGCGTCTTGATGCTCGCATCTGGCCCGTGTTTGAGTCACACGGGGCACGCAAGCAGAAGTGGGTGTCACGGTGTCATCCCTACCAAACATGTGGCATACCTGTTGGTGCCTTGGGTGAGGTAAGACGAGGTCAGCATCGCATCCCATCGCCCGTCGCATGTCGTTATTAATCAACGAAATGCCGGCCGAAGCGGGAAGCGCGAAGTACCGATGATGAGCGGCGCTAGTTGTTGGTCGCTCTTCCGAGTCTCCGCCGTGCCGTGGGCCGCACCATTTTTGACTACAACCTAACGTCGCTGCAGCAGTGCTATGTGTATTGCAGCCCATCCTGTCTGTTCCTTCTCAGTTCCGATCATGTCCGTGACATGGGTCTGCGGCGGCACCAAACAAATAAAGGCATCGAGACGTTCCGCAGGGAGAAAGCCAGTCAGCCTTAGCGCACGAGTACATCACTTGGACGTTGCCTACCTTTTTCCATGTTAGCAGCAGTAACGCAGGGCTGAAGTTCAGGACGGTCTGTTTGTATAAAAACATGTGGGAGAAACAAGACGCCAATTCAATGTACGCCTTCGGCTTCGGCGGGTGGGCTCTCTCGATTCCACCGTTTTCATTCCGTCGTTGAGAGGTCAAGAAGCGTAACTTATCCATTCCATTATCAGATATCATTGCTACAGGGGCACGTAGGTAGGTGTACTGACCCCGCTCGTCACATGCGCATGCGATGGCACCGTGTTCATGGTCATGGTCGTGGTGGTGTCGGCCCCGTCCAAGCCACTTCGTGATTTGCAGACGCAATTCACCGAGTAGAAGCAGGGAAATAGGACGATGTATTTATATTCGGAAAACACTCGGCGGCCGCCGCCTCGCGGTAACTCTACCACGCTCCATCGTCTGTAGTTGCGGTGTGGGATCAAGTCAGTAAGGTATCTAATGACCGGGAGCACGGTATATACTTGAAAGGAAAGAGTCAAGTAACACTTACACTGGAAAATGTAAAATGTAAACAAACATGAAATTTCCACCACCCGCTTCCAACTACTTACGTACCTACGAAGTACCCGCCCAGGCCTAAAGTAATTAACGACTAGGTACCTTAATCTAGGTTCGCACAGAACAGATCCCTGCTCCGATCCATCCATCAAAATCGTGATCCCGCCTTCTCTGCCCTGCCTGGATCCACGAGTCCATCCACATTTTACGGCCCCTCTTCCCTTTCTTTATCGTCACTGCCGCGGACGCCGGAGACAAGTCGGAGCCCGACCCGCATCGATCACGGGATCGCAATCCGCGGCCTCGTCTCCTGATGTTCACCGCAAGTCAACATCTGGGTCACATCCAAAAAAAAAAAAAAAAAAAAAAAAAAAAAAACGTACATGAACCACACCACAACCCCAAAACCCCGCTGTTACTCTCAGCTTTTAGGTTAGCCACGCGCTGGACGTCATCCCGCTTCCGGTCAATGACTGGACCTGACATGGAACATGGCTCGTCCGAACCTTCCGAAAGCCCTGACAGCCAGCCTTTGCTACCTGTACACACCAGCCTGGCCAACATCACCGCCAGCTGCATGTGCGCCTGAATCCCAAGTCCCGGCTGACATTAACACGTGGGGAGCTTTTCAAATGTAATTCGAACCCGCCACGGAAACGTCTGGATGCTATCATCGCACGATCCACCCACCAGAGCTGACGGTTTCCCCGCCTCGTCGACTCATCTTCCTGCGATCGGATCTAGGAGAACATACCGTCTCACGGCATCGGGTTCCCGTCTTCGGCCCCGAAGTCCCGCCCAACGTCCGTCAGTGACTGTGGATGCAACGCGAATCCAGCAACGCGCAATGCAGAAAATACCACGGCCCGACTACAACGACGATCGATCTTTCCATGTCCATCTGTCGTTGCTCTGAGTAACCTTGTCTTCGTTTTCAAGCTTATCAAGAATCTGAATGACCCCACCGCACGCCGGAGCATGCAACTCCTCCGGCACATCGTGGTATATGACTTTGACCAGCTCCATAGGTGTCCAGGCATCCCGTGGGCCCTCTGCACCGGCTTCTCTCTTGGTCTTCAGCGTACGGATGACCTGATCCTCTCTCGTCTTTCTGTGGTTGATGTACTCGACGATTTTTGATGGGCCGTTGTCAATGACTGGCCCATGTCCCGGATACGCTCTGCCCTTGAACAGGCGCCGCATTTTGTCCAGGCTGTTGATATAAGTGGCGAGGTCCTCGAACACAGCTGTTCCCTGGCCCAAAACGTTGTCCGCCGTGAACATGGCGTCCTCTTCTCCCAAGACGAATGCCATGTGATCCACCGTGTGTCCCGGGGTGAAAATGGCCGTGAGGCTGGCTCCATCGACGACGAATTTCTGACCATCCTGAATGTCCAACTGGCCCTCCTCGGGTTGGTTTTTGTAAATCTTGGACGCGGGCGACAAACTGCGCAACTGTTCGATGCCGCCTTGGTGATCGCCGTGCCAGTGAGTGATCAACACAGTTTCGATGGCGGCCTTTTCCTGCTCAAGAATTGACTTGACGGCTGCTATCCAAGATGGCTTGCCCTCACCGGTGTCGATGAGTATGCGTCGGTTGCCCCGGCCGAGCAGGTACGTGTTGGTGCCTTGCAGCGTGAATTTCCCCGGATTGCCAGCCAAAACGCGGATGCAAATAGGGCTGAGGCGCTCAACCTCCGGCAAGGGAACGAGTTGCGTCGCCATCTTGATGTTGTTGATGACGCTTGCAGAGTAAAGATATCGGTAGCCGGAGGAGGAGAAGGAGGAGCGGTGGAGTCGTCTTGTTAGTCACGGACCGACGTTGTAAGCCCGAGTTGAGAATTTGCCTGGAGTCAGACCCTGCATCATCTCCTTATGAAGAAAACTAAGTACTGTGATCTGCGATGGGATTGTCAGAATTTGGGCAAAGCAAGTAACGGAAAGGCGCAATCGAGGGGTCGCAGCCAAAATGCCGAGGTTGATTGAGGCCGAGCGCCCTTGCGCCCTAAGATAAAGGTTCTTACCTTAGGTAGGTACTTGAGGCACGGTACCCGTTGCGCTGGCTTACCTCATCACGGCACTCATTGATTGCGGTGCTGGTGACCTCACACCCGCTGGCGTTGACGGCTGATCCCAGCTCTACTCCACTATAAAGTTCCATTCCGAGCGCTGAGAGCCAGTGGAACGAGGGGGCTTTCAGGGGCAAAGCGGCGGGCGGATAACACTCATTCTTATCGATAAGCGATCAGGTGCCGATAAGGTGATGGATAATGGGAATTATTGCTGTTGGCTGCCCTCATGCCTCCTGTCTCTCCAATGGCACCGGCGTGAGCGTGAGCGTGAGCGTGAGAGCGTGGTCTTGTCTGTGCACTCGGGCCCAGCTCCAACAATTGCATCTTCAGGGATCGTCCAAACCTCCCCGAATTGCTCTTTCCTTGCGCGCAGTCGAGATTTCGAACTGAGGTGCCCTCTCCGTTGCAGAGCGACAGACGCTGCTGCTACTGCTAGCCGTCGTGCTCCCTTCCCAAGGTAGCTTCCATTGCCGCCTTCCATCGGAGCAAACAATCACCTTTCCAGCGCCCGGCTTGCGCTATCTAGAAGCTTCATCACCAGCCATTGAATCGCTTCTCAACCCCAGCACCACCCAGCTGTCTTTTGCTCGGTTCTTGCCTGAACAGGTAATAATCTCTCCGTAGATTCCTCACACGAGATTTCCATCGCAATCCTAGAGACTGAGAGCTAACAATTGGTGGCAGGTAGCGGCAGATTTCTTGCCATCGTTTTCCCCGCCGTTCAACCGACCGCCGCCGATCGCTTTCCCTTCCCTATCGTCGCTGAGCCGAAAATATCCTTTCCATCACAGACAGCTACTTCCAGGCTGTCGCAAGCTATCCAAGATCGAACGACACCATCAAGACTGCGATTGACAGTTTTTCGGCGGGCTTCCCACGCACCAGTTCAGTTGAAGACCTTACACGGTCATCCACACAAACAAAATGTCGGCAAGGCCAACAACACCAATGTCGCCCAAGACCGCCAAGGTCAAGTCACCAGTTGCTGGCACACCTGTTTTTGGCTGCGGTCCGTATGCCCCTTTCAGCCAGGATTGGATACAGGGCTGGACTGTTGAACCAAAGCTGACCACAAACCTGCAGAGCATGTCCAGAGGCTGTTGTCACAGTCCCAGGACATTATGAACTCCTCAGTCTTCCACTATAAGATGATTTTGAAGAACATCTTTGAGGGTACACCAATTGTCCCCCAGACCTCTAAGAACTCTGATGGACTTGTTGTGACTTCCCTCACATCCAACTATCTCTGTCTTCAATGCTCAACCATTGTAAATGAGGACGACCGCCTGAAGCATGGCACAAAGAAACAGCACCGCTTCTGTACGTTTGCACCTTCTCTGGGCTTACCTGCAGCTGCTGACAATACCAGACGTGGACTCTCGGAGTGGTGCCCTTTACTGCCAGATCTGTGACGATTTGGTGTGGGATCCTACACTCGAGGAGTTGCGTGTACGAAAGATGGGCAATGGAACCTTCTCAAGTACGCCATGACCCCAGAGGCCATCCATCTGGCCTGGACACCCCATTCTTTTTGTTCGATGAATAGCTAACATCTTCCACAGACCGCAAGAGGAAGCATGACGAGATGTTCTCAGACAGCATTAAGGACAACCCTCTGTACATTTCTACCAACACAGCCCCGGCGTCTTGCAAAGCCAACGGCTTGCGCGGGATCTACAACGCTGGAGCAACCTGTTACCAGAATGTCGTGTTGCAGAGCCTCCTGCATAACCCCTTGCTGCGCAACTTCTATCTCAGCGATGGTCACCAGAGCAACGACTGCAATGTGTCAAATTGCCTGAGCTGCGCCATGGATGACATGTTCCAGGATTTCTACGCTGTTGAGAATACTAATGGATTCACGGCGGCTAGCATTCTCTCGGGATTCTGGATTTCGGAAAAGAAGGCCTTTGAGAATCTTGTCACCACCAAAGAGCAAGATGCGCACGAGTTTTTCCAGTTCCTTGCAGAGGAGCTCCACGAGCGTAACGGGGATGGTAAGAAGCCGGAGACGGGTAGCGAGCACACGTGCAACTGCATCATCCACCAAACGTTTTACGGCAAGCTCCAGAGTTCAACAACGTGTCAAAATTGCGGCGGGGTCACAAACGCCGTGCAATCATTCCTCGACCTCAGTCTCGGCTTGGAGAACCTGGGCCAGAAGAGGAAAAAGGGAGGGCAGAAGGCACCGAGCCTGACTCTCCAAGAGTGCCTGGACGAAGAATATGTCAAATATGACAAGTGCGAGTATCGCTGCCACAACTGCAACGGAATGCAGCAAGCACGAAGAAATACCAGTATCAAGCGTCTGCCTAACGTGCTTGCTATACAGTTAAAGGTTTGTCATGACCGTCACAGTGGCCGATTGGTTTCGCTGACCCCTTACAGCGCTTCGAATACAAGCAGGGGCGCCATGACAGGGCGCCGTCAAAGATCGATACCGTAGTCAACTTCCCACTGCAACTTAACATGTTGCCGTACACGAGCAGAGGCCGGGGAACAGAAGTGAAGGACTCCTTTGAGCTCGGCAGATCTTGCACCTACGATCTCCTCAGCGTTGTCGTCCACGTCGGCGAGATCGATACCGGTAAGTCACGGGCCCTGGTAATCGAACGTATAGATCAAGACTGACCTGCTGGCCCAGGTCACTACGTGTCCTACTGCCGGGTAGGCGACCAGGTGAGTGCTTCCCTGTGACGATGTGGACGCACCGGCTAATTCTGCCGCAGTGGTTCAAGTTCAATGATCACAAGGTCGAGATGGCATCCAAGTCAGATGTCCTCAGCGCCCAACCTTACCTCCTCTTCTACATAATCCGCTCCCTCTCCTAAACAGCTACGGGAGAAAAACACGTCTTCTGCCGAGAAGATGATGAGCAACGCCTTAAACAAAAGCATCGGCGGTTTGACCCAAAAGGGAGGGCAATAAGGTGTCTGTAAGCATTTGCCGGCGTTGGAAAGAAACCAGTCTTGCATCATCTTTGGGTTTGGGCAGAACCGCCTTGGATGTTAGGCTTTCGCAACGCAACCCAGGCGATATGGAAGAGCCATCTTTGTATAGAACAGCGAGAAAGCAGCGAATGTATTACTACTTTATGCCAGACTTTTCTCCCTACTATTTGAATGTGACTATGCGAACAGGAAACCACTGTAGTCCCGTCAGCTAGCCGCCTCCCGCCAGCTCCAGTCTTTACATTCAAAATTGGCGTAACAGTAGAATTCGTTGCTAAGGCCTCTAGCATGCTTTGGCTCAAAGGTCGTCGTCTTCACACCGAGGGCTTTGTACACTTTGGTGACGAGGCTCTCCATCCTCTCGCCAGTGCATACAATAACCCGACCGCTGGCTGCAGAATCTGGCTTCATCATCCATCGCACCGTCATGGCAGCTATGAGGTTTTCAGCAGCTGCATTCAATATGCAATCCATCGTCAGTAGCTGGGCTCCTTACCCTTAGTCTGGCAATCCTCGCTGAGGAACGGCGGATCGCATACAATGCGGTCGAAAGCACCCTTGAGCTCGGCTAAGTCGTATCGTGAGTTGTGTATTCAAGCCCGTTGATTCATTTCACGTGGATTCTGTGAGGATCGTACCTGGGAGCTTGAAGGGCTGTTGGAAGTCGTAGAAGACGAACTCTGGGAAGACGTTGAAACGCATGTCGTGCTCCAGTAGCACCACCTTTGGCCGTCCTTTGCTCTGAGCGGGATCATTCTTGTCCATGTCAGCCAAGGAGTGTATAACGGAGTTAGAAGTAGCCTTCATTCATACCAACAGGTTGCGCAATGCGACGAACACACTCGGGGCAGACACGACGCCGATGGTGGACCCCTCGCCGGCACCCTCGAGAAGTTGGCTAGCAACTAGCTTGGCTGTTTCATCCGAGTACTACATTCGAAAAAATCCTGAGTCCCGTCTTTGTGAAAGCGATCACAGCTATCAGTCACGTACCCAAAACTGCGACTCGTTCCAGTCCTCGGTGAAGGCGTCCATGGAAAGCGGAGCACCGCCCGCTGCGTTGGCCTCGGCCTGGGCTTGGAGCTTGGCGAATTTCTCTTGGTGAGCATCCTTCTCGGAATTGAACTCAGCCAACGCTGCGAGGGCATGGGAGGAGAGGACGCTGGGGGTCATACGTTAATCGCTTGTTTGCTGTGAGGGATTGCGGCGTTTGCGTGGTGGGGTGGCTCATGCGTTGAAAAATTCGCAAAAGTTTCGGGAGTTCTATCTTACAGTGGCTCGTCGTCGCTGTCTGAATTCGACATGCTGAAAAGATTTCCAGCTGTATACCTGATCCGAAGAAAGAGGCTCCAGCCGTCTGTCGCGCTGGTTTGGTAGCTCGGCCCGTTTGTGAATTGTCACTCGATGCTCTAGGTTGGTGGGTGGTGAGTTCGTGAGGGACCCAGTTTGCAGTGCGGGAAACCCGCGAATCAGCTAGCACGGCAAGCGTTTAATTAGTCGATGATTACCGGCAGCACCTACCGATGTCACAACAGTGCGGTCTTTCTGCCGCGCTCAAAGTATCTCAAGCCAGCTTATTCATAACTGTACATGGATTCCTCGACTTTTGCAACTTCTCTAGCTGACTACTATATACACTCTAAACGACTTGCTGGCCCTGAATCAATTTCCTCACGCAAATGGAACCCAGATTTACTGGTCGTCGAGAACGTGCAGGTACTTGCGCTCCTCCCTCTTTTCCTTTTCGGTCGCTGGGGGAAGGTCGTAGAAGTTGCCGCTGCGGAATCCTTGCTAGAGGGGCGTTAGTTTAGGAAATCTTCACGAAAGCCGCAAATCTTCTTACCAGATAGTGGTACGTGAACTTAGCAATGTCTCCGGGCTCCATGCCGAGGTCCTTGAAGGTCTTGGCCGACTCATCAATCTCCTGGTCAATGAACTCGCGCTCGATCTCATCGGCGGACATGATGTCCCACCAGAGATACTTGTTCAGAAGAGCGGCGACGGGCTGTAGAATCTGCTTGGGAACGTTGATGTGGCGGCGCTTCTTGAAGATTTCGCGGTCCACAAACTCGGCGATCTCGGCCGTTGAGTAGTTCTTGGGTCCGTAAAGCTCAAAGGTCTGGCCCGCCGTGCTGTCGTCGTAGAGCATCAACTCAAGAGCCTGGCCGACATCGATGGACTACGAACGTCAGATTTCAAACGCAGCCAACTTCAGAGATCAAAACTTACATGAACGGGCCAATATCTCTCCTGCATGTTGTTGGAAGTGAGGAGGTTCATGACGCTAGCAAGCTTGAGGAGAAGCTTGTCCTCGAAGCCGAAGATGGGTGCCGGTCTGACGATGGTTGTCTCGGGGAAAATACTACGGGCGACTTGCTCTCCGCGGGCCTAGAGGGGTGGTTAGATCAATGCCTGCGGCTAGGACGTGTTGCTTCTGACCTTGGTACGGTAGAACTCCGAAGGGGACTCCAGGCTGGCGCTGTGACTGGACATGTGGATGAAGCGGTCGACATCGTACTTGGCCACAGCCTCGGCTATCCGCTCTGTTCCTTCAACGTGAACATCCTCGAGAGAGAAGTTCCTACGCGCGTTGTCAGCTGTTGCTCTCCTGGTCTCTGTCGTCTAGATAACCTACTTGGTGGGGTAATTTCGGCCAACCAGGTTATAAACGACATCCGAGTGTCTAACGCTCTCCTCAATCGACTGAGTGTTGTGGAGGTCGTACTCCTATCGCAAATTTTAGCTGCCGCTCGCTGTCCATCTCGATATTACGTTGGGGGCGCACAATGAAGACGACGCGGCCGAGGTCACCGGCAACCTTGAGATGGCGCTTGGCCATCTCCTCGCGAAAGGGGATGACAACGGTGCATCCCTGACGAGCTGTCGTGCACAGTCAGACGTGTTGCGGCGCTCGAATGTATCTAGTTCGTACCCAGCCTGTTCACAATGTATCGTCCAACTTGGCCCGTTGCGCCGAAGACGGTCGCGGTGTGTCCTGTAACCCGCTCTTAGACTGAATTCGTGATCGAGGAAGGTAACGCATACCACCGAGAGAGTGTCTAGACAATGTGAGGGTCAGTGAAGCTCTCGGTTGGCGCAATTTGATCACTATGCCTACCTTCCGCCCTGGGTTCGCAGGATGGGCTTGCCGGTGCGGGTAATGGCAACGTCGGAGATGGGTTGCCTTCTGAGGACATTGTGTGCGACCTTCTGCGTTGACCGCACGGCGGTCGGAAAGGAGGCCATTGTCAAATATTGAGGCAGCAGCGAGAGAGTTCGGTTGCCTCCCAATTGACTGGCAATCGAATGCTTCAATACTACCGAAAGCTCCAAACCCGCGGGCTTGATCAAGAATCCCGGACGGAAGGTGAGCGGGTCACGTGGGGAGCACGGACCGTATCTGGTCATAGGATCGGAAAAACAACCATTGGTTCCAGCAGCTACAGGCCCACATCCCAGCTTAGGTAAGAGGTTCTGGGTCCAAATGCGTGTTTGCTAAGGCAGGTACGCAGCACGTAGCTGACTGACCAGGCTACTAGCTAGCCGCGTTATACTACGTCGTCCCTCCGCTCCGGAGCTTGCTTTCGTCAACGCATCCTCATACCACCTACAACGATACGGGTTCCGCCGAACGAAAGGGGAAAAAACGATATCAGACACTCGGATCACCGTTTGCGAACCCCAGAACTAACAACAAAGCTGCGACTTCCGCAACAAACACCGATTGTGTCGTTACCGAGCATCTGAAGCTCTCCTCCCCCGCCATTCGAGCCTCACCATCATCAACTTTCACCAAGATGAACGTCGACACAATTCCTGACTTCCTGGCGGAGCAGCGCGACGAGGCCCCGGAGGAGCTCCAGCATCTTGTTCTCGAGTTCGAGAACTACTGGGAGCGGAAACTTTGGCACCAGCTCACCGACGCCCTCGTCCAATTCTTCAGCCACCCGGGCAGCAAGCCTCAGCGGCTTCCCTTCTACAAGATCTTCATTCTCAAGTTTGCGGATAAGATCAACCAGCTTAAGCTTGTCGATCTCGCTCTGAAGGCCGCTACGGAATGCAAGGGTAAGGATCGCAGGGACAAGTAGAAGACAGCTCGGATTGCTGACGAGGCATGGCAGATGACGAGGAGCGTCTTGCATTCCTTCAGAGTGTAGCCAAGAAGGTTGACAACGAGAATTCACAAGATGCGCTCGTATATGCGTCGGTGGCCGTCGCCAGAGTAAAGCTCAACTTGGAGGATATGGACGGTGCTAGAAAGGATCTCGACTCAGCCGAGAGAATACTGGACAGCTTCGATTCGGTGGAGGCCAGCGTTCACGCCGCCTTCTACGATGCAAACGCCAACTACTACCAGGTGAGAGCTATAGCACTTCTCTGACAAGGAACATCGCTAAGTGGCATTCAACTACAGCGCAAGATGGACTTCGCCGCCTACTACCGCAACGCCCTCCTTTACCTCGCCTGCATCGACATCAACTCTCTCACAGCTCAGGAACGCCACAGACGGGCGTTGCACCTCAGCATCGCCGCGCTGGTGTCCGACACCATCTACAACTTTGGCGAGCTTCTTCTGCACCCCATCCTCGATGCCCTCAAGGATACTCAGGACTCGTGGTTCCGCGACCTTCTCTTCGCCTTCAACCGTGGTGATCTCCAGGGTTTCGAGGCCCTCTCCGCCCGCATGCGGTCGAAGGAGCTTCTCAATGAGAACGCTGGTCATCTGCGCCAGAAGATCTACCTCGCTGCGCTGACGGAGGCCGTCTTCCGCCGCCCGCCCCACGACCGCGCCATGTCCTTCAGCACCATCGCCCAGGAGACCAAGGTTCGCCCGGACGAGATTGAGCACTTGATTATGAAGGCGCTCAGCCTGGGTCTCTTGCGCGGAAACATTGACCAAGTCGACGAGGTAGCGCACATCACTTGGGTCCAGCCCAAGGTACTGGACATGAAGCAGATCGCCAACATGCGTCAGCGGCTGCTCGATTGGGACTCGCAAGTCAACCAGCTTGGTAACTGGATTGAGACGGCGGGTGGCGATGTGTGGGCTGCTTAAAGGACGGTATGTTATGGACAGGCAAAAATGACGTCTGTAAATCGGTCCAGGGAGACCAGTGTACACCACTAGACTTAGAGAGGATGAGAAACCGGCATTTGCTATGGCCGAAACGATTCTGATGACAAAAATGGCATGGCCTTCTGTTCGTGATATGCTGGTCCCGAGATCACGACTTGATATTTGGGCTGATCGTGCCACAAACTCCTCGCATTAATGAAAGCCCACTTGGGACCGCGGTCTAATTCTAAACTCTCGTCGCCTGGGAAGCAGGATGCCCAAGCACGATGATGGATCCCATCAGCCAGGCGGGCCACCACACGCCCCAGATAATGACCGGGGTGTACATGCCCCAGACGTCCCATCCAAAAGCCGCCTCTTTGAGAACCTCGCCGATGCTAATGTTGAAGTACGATGAGACGGAGTACAGTGCTGCCGTCGGTGACGCCAGTTGAAGGAACGCAGCACATGCCCAGCGAGCTAAAGGATGGTGCGGCCACGGCTGCATGAACGACAGCGGACTGGCCATGACACCAACGAGGAAAGCCAGGGAGAAGTTAAGCGTTGCCAGAGCTGAGAGGAACATACCCAACAGCAAGAGGGAAAATGACTTGATGAGCTGATACTGCTGAACGGTGGGGTTGTAGATGGATGTCAGCAAGGAGGACATCAGGAAGGGCAGGGCGCAGTTGGTGAGCGCAAGGACAGTGTAGGCACCAGACAGCATCTAACGCAAGTCAGCAATGGAAGTGACAATTGAGATCGTTGATGCTCACATTGGCGGGCACATGGTTGAAGATGTACAATGGCACAACGCCGAGGAATTGGCAGATGGCCACAACGCCCAGCGGAACGAAGAGATCACGCTCAACTGCCCGAGTACGGGGCGGCTGCGCCATCTTCTCATCCACAAAGTCTTCCCCGGAGCCTTTAAGCGAGCTACCAGCGATGCCTGATCCAAGTCCAGCCCTGGCGGCGAGGCTTTGTTCCTGGTGACCACTTTTTACCCACAATGAAATGGCAGTGATGGTGAAGCTTGCAGCCAAGATCATGGCGCTAGGAAGGTAGGTACCAATGCTGACGAATCTCTCCTTGTGCATGAGCAGGTAGAAGAAGAAGCTCTGGTGGAGGTGCTCAAGAAGGTTGTTCAGACTGCGGAAAGTGCCCTCAATCGTACGACCCATGCCCATCTCATCATGCCATCCTTCACCAAAAGGTTGCAGAGTGACAGCGTCGACATGGTAAGGAATGAAGCTGCTATGCGGGCCGGAGGCATGGCCTAGACCCTGGTTCAACATGCCTCGGAGCATCGTTCGCAGACGGTCCTGGTACTTGTCCGAGTGCGACCACATCTCCTGAATGGCGGTGCCCATTCCCATTTGGCCGCCAGCAATGTTGACGACGGAGTTGATGAGGTCCAGATTCGGAAGCTGGCCATTGATACCGTCATAAATGACATGGATCGACTCGAAACGGTGTTCCTGTGGGTAGTCGATTGCAATAGCTCCCTGTAGAGCGCCGGACTTCAGAGGCAAAGAACTCACGCGGGAGGAGTCATGGGAGTCATGATAGGCATCCACCCAGGCCTGGGTACCCGTCCTGCTATCCGGAGGGATGACCAGGATGATGTCCTTGGACCATAGAGACCACCTCTTGAAGTATCGGATCAGGCTCACGGCCAGCGGAATGCCGTTCTGGTTGAAGTGGTTGTCGATCGTATTCCAGGCGGCCACGAGCACGATTGCTTCCGTTGCGTCGCCGCGCGGGGCTTGAAGAATGGCGTAGATGTTTTCGCCAGAATAGATGTCACCAGCCGATTCATAAGTGTAGTTTTGGCGGCCGACCTTGAGACCGACGCTCTTCAGGATGCCTTCGAGTTTGTCGTTGATTCTGCAGCAAAATCATGTCAGCGTATAGTCAGCCTCGTCATGTTCAGAGATCGACTACCTACTCATAATTGGACTTGTCCTTGACTAGGTTGACCTCGTGCTTGTATGCCCGCAACACGTTTTGGTCGCTGCCTCCAAAATATGTGTGCACCTGACCCGGAAGGAGCGCATTTTCGGAGATATAGGTCTTCCGAGAGTAGTCATTCAGAGGCAAAAGAAAAAGCCATGCAATGCCGCCGAGGATGCAAGCAAGGGAAATGTACGGCGGAAGCTTGAGGATGCGTGGATCGCGTCGCAACGAGAGGGCCGAAGCTAGTAGGACCATGTCAGAGCTGCTTGTACGGCACAAGCCAATAGTAGTTTGTACTCACAGATAAGTCGCGACATGGCGAGAGCTGTTCTGCAGCAGCTTGGGCAAGCTGCGCGATCGCACAATCAGATCGGCTTGTATGCGCTGTAACTTCTTTGGAGGACAATCGTCATCTTCCAGGTCCAGGGGCTGTCTGTTCGTGGATGCAGGAGGTATGAATAAGGCAAGGTACCTGAGCTCGGGCAGGGGCCAGAAAGGTAGGTAGGTAACCCCCGGAATGGAGGGTCCAAATATTCAGTTATCCGGGCGCGGACTCGCCCCTGTCGCGAAGCGGGACTTTCTAAACCCCGGCTTCGGCTGCGCAATTCGACCACCTTGTAGTATACAGTAGGACCTTCTACCGATCCTCTCATGCGGTTCTATGCTTCACCCGTTCTTGTGAAAGTTCCAATACAAGTGGCGCCATGATGAATATTACAGGTTGAGGATGCCAGTCAAGGGCTCTATCTTCCGAGGCGTATTGTAAACAACAAAGTCCAATTGTTAACTTTTCCTCTATCGACATCTGAAGTCTCAAGACGTCGCCGTCGGTCTGAACGTACATTGTGGAGTGCTGCTGTCCGGCACTATACTCTCGAGAACAAAAAAGAGGAAAACATGGCAATGTTAGGCCCTTTCCGACACGATTATGCCGCATTTTGCCCCGGGTGTAACTCCAAACTCCGACCAAGATGCAACCCTCCCACTTCTCCAGCAACCCAAGTGTAAAAGACGTCCTTCTAGCTCAAGGACCTAGCCTCTGCGTGCTGCCAACAAGTGCAATCGGTGCACTCCCGCTGGGCCCGCTGGAGGGCAGAACGCCGAAACGACCGTATGTCTTCTGGTCTACACTTACGTAGTGAGGCAGACGTCCCAATAGGTTTAGTTTCGACTCGACCCAGCGCAGAGCCTTCTCAGGCGGGCTGAGGAACTTGAGGTATCCGAGACCAACTGGAAGAATATATACGTTAGAGAACGAGAGTAACTGCAACAGCGGCGACCACTCACAGAGATACCCAACTAAGACACCGCATAAGTGGCCCAGCAGACTCGTGCCAGGGACGAGAGCCGTGACGACCAGAACAAGAATCAAGGGGGTCGTCCAGGTGGGAATCGAGTGCGTCGCGATCGTCAAATAGGGATTCGTCTTGTAAGTACGAATTGCCTCCATGCCGAGGAGCAGGAAAACCCATATACTATCACTACCGTCAGCGCCGTTTTGGGCCTTTCCCCACTGGTAGGTCCCGTCCTTACCTAGCGCCCATGACAGCAACGTTGCCCTTGAGAAAGAATCGCTCGATCAAAACGTATACGACGGCCGGGATTGTAGAGAGTGCTGGCATATCTTAGTCTAGCGCAACTTATCTTGGGGTACACAGGTGTATTCGTACGGCCGATAAAAAGGGCTATGGAAGTGAGAGTGCCAAATTCAGCTTCGAATCGTTCAAGCAGCGGTGTCAGTGCAACCAAGTTAAGGAACACGTGTATGAAGTTGACGTGAACGAAAGGGTACGTATTCATCCGGTAAGCTGTAGAGAAAGAATCGAATGTGAGCAGGGAAACCATTGCAGAAGGGGTTTACGAGAGGGAGGACTAACAAGCTGTGAAGGAAAGCTGATCCGGGATCAACGCGCCCCAGTCCTTCACGTCCCAAGTGGATTGTAAGCTTGCAGCCCATGCAGCGACGATGGCGACGACTACGATGCGTGTGAACAGCGGCAGCCGAAATATGTAGGAGCGCGCCCGTAGGGTGCTAAAGGTCGTCACGTTGGAGGCCATTGTGCCGTCTTCTCCGGGTTTGACGGAGTCGATATTTGCGCGCGATGCTTGGTGATTTTTTGCAGACTGATTGGTGTGAAACCAATGTCAACGTCTGCTCTGAACAATGGGTCCTATATTCAGGTCCGGGCAACAGAGGAAGCTTGGGTTGGAACCAAGCACGCTCGTGTTTGGCGGCGATCGGGAAATTGAAGACAGGCTGTTGCATGCGCGCTGCCCACTCGGACACCTTCGGATGATCCCCCAAACATAAAGATAAGGATGGATACAATGCTTTGGGACCTTTCTTATCGCCACGTGACCTGGAATTCTGGGGGCTGGCTTAATTTCTCCCATCCAAGGGCAAGTCATCGTCCATCGACGTTGTTTTACTCTACACATCCTGTAGTATCATGGCGCCGGGGTGTGATTTAGCCCGCACTTCTACTACCCACTCTAAATTCTAGTCACGCAGGATATCTAGCACTGACAAACGTCACACCCGCTTCTCATCTTCACGATGCTGATTGCTCGACTCCCATAAAGAGCCCCGGCCAGGTAGCCAAGACCGTGTATCTGCCTCCTCTTGCCACGGGTCTCTCCGGGCGCTGGCTCTGGTCCCTCTTGCCTCGACCACTGCAGCAGATATGGTTCCCTGGTTGCGCGAGGCCGGAAGACGCCATCACGGTGCACATAGCCGTCTCCGCTAAGATACGGGCTTGATGTCTCTCTTCCGACAATACTGCATTCTAGGCCCGTCTGCTCCTAGGTTTCCATTGAGCGAGTTCTCAGCGGGGTTTGCGACTTTGTCTTGTCCAGCTTCCAGGTTCGCGCTCGTGATTCGATGGTCTTACTGTTGGCTCTTAGTTAGGTAAGGTCTAGTCATTGATGCCGTACCTACCAGCCCGTCAGGTCGTCCAAACTTTTTAGCGGGGCCGGAGCCGAGAACACCCACACCTCTGAGCGGTGAAGGAATTTTGCGGTTGCCACAAAAGTTCTGCCCCGCCGCGATTCTCTACGTGCACATTTTGGGATTCTGCCACCAATCAACCCGACAAATCGACGAGGACTCCTATCTCTCCTGTCAAAGGTAGCCGATCAACCAACAAAATGGGTGTAGGCAACAAGCGCACGTTGACCAAGACGCGGAGGAAGACGAGGTAGGCCTCAACGACTCTGCCGGGACCCCGCGCGCGGCCAGCCTAACGAATTATACAGGGACGTCGATCAGATAAAGGCCGACATGCTCTCTCCCCGGCACCTGCGACAATGGAAGGATACCAAGGCGCCAGAAGATCTCCCTGGCATGGGCCAGCACTACTGTGTCGAATGCGCCAAGTGGTTCGATACCGAGGTCAGCCTTGCTGGTCACCAGAAGGGAAAGCCTCATAAGCGCAGGTTCGTCTCATACTCGCTCCCGACATGGGCTACGGCTTTTGTTATTTTCGGGCGTTACTGACTAATTCTTCTCCAGGGTCAAGCAGCTGAACGAGGAGCCCTACACTCAGAAGGACGCGGAGGCCGTCGTCGGCCTCCGGACGGATAACAAAGGTCCCAACAAAAGCGGTCCCGAGCGGGCGCTTGATCAGGAGATTGAGATGGAGACCTGAGTGCGCGGAGACCAGCGTGCGCTTCCACCCAAAGTTTACATGAGGAGGATCGAGAGGAGACCCCAGATGATACCCTTACACGACGACGTGACGAACTGGCCTTTGTATCTTCCTACTGCCTCCCTACGCCACGTGAGGCTCATTAGGGCGCGGTCCCGTCGCTGGAACTTGGACCGATGGAGAAGTAGTGGCCCTCCTTGCATGGTATGACACAAACTTATTGGTATGCGTTCACCGAACACCACGGCCGCGAGCTCGAGCCAGACCGCTAGGCCGGCCTCTTTCAGACTCGGCGGCCCCACGACGTGCTCCCCTGGTACCCCGCGTCGAAGCGCCGCGAATGCTCGGAGCCGGAACTCGTGATCCCTTTGTTTCGGGGTTCTTCAATCTCGGGGTCGGTTTGGCGGAAGCGGGAGGATTTTCGACAAAGGAAACGTCCGTAGTCCTGCTGGCGATTAGAAATGCCTTCTGAAGGTTGGCAAGAGAGGTGTAATCAGGAGCAAATACATAAAGGTCATTTCGCCGTCGTTCTCTGGTACGGATTGCGCTACGCGAGCAGGTGCTAGAACACGCAATGTTAGTTGTGTCCAACGTCTACCGGATATTGCGTCATACCTGAGCTTACGCCGGGCTCTTCTTGCTCCTTCACACGTCGAAAAGATTCCGCGATTGGCCCCTGCATGTGATGTCAACACGGGTCTCTAGACAGGCTCTACGTCGAGCAGCTTACTTCAGGATAATCGACGCAGAAGGCGTTCATGTTGAGGCCATACAGAAAGCTGGCGAAGGACTCGCTGAAGCGGGCCAAACTCTCGTGCATCAGCTGGAAATGCATCATATTGGCTTCCAGGTCGGCCATGGCGTCGGACAACTCTGCAAAGGCGGGCTCGAAGGTGTTGAGGGGGAAAGGTTCGCCGCCATGAATGCTTTCGCGGGCAGACTCTCTAAAAGAAGATCGCGACGAAGGGCGCAGCGGGGTTGTTGGACGCGACATGCGCGTCCGGGAAGTCGAACGCTGTCTGCTGGGCTCGTGATGGTCGGCCATGGTGGAAATGCTAGGAGGATGGCCTATTCGATTAGAGGTTGCAGAGTTACGTTGTCTGGACCGACCGAGTCGTTCGGAGGTGCAATATCGGTGTCAGGGAAGGCGACGCTGGCGGTGACAGATGGAGAAGCAGTGATGGCTGTCGACGAATTCAACTCCATGCGCCCAGGTCAAAAAGTCGGCAGCAATATCAACATCAACAAATTGGTTGCATCGGCGCACGGCATAATAGGTGTCTTGCCGTGTTTGGCGGGGTCCAAATCGTGTGGCCCCGCACTACCTAGGTACCTAAGGGGAAGCTGATGGGTAGGTCATACCTTAGGTAAACACACCGACTACCTTAGGTGGTAAGGCACCCACCTACCTTACTAGGTATCTAAGGTACCTACCTGTAGGTAACCTTGCAGACGGTCGGGAGGTTGAGGTGGTTACCTAAGGTGCCTGAAGGGTACCTTATCCAATAATGCCGTGCCAGCTCCGGGCGGGCAGGCCTTTACCTCGACCGCCAACGGTTCCAGGTTCCCCAAAACTGCAGTCCAGCACGTGTAATCAAGGCTATTCGAAGTATGTCATTCGGATAGTCCTACCTAGAACCCCTGGCAGACAGCAGGTCATCAGGCGGGATGACGCAACATGGAGGGGACCGGGACCCGACCCGACTCGAAATGTCGGGTCCAGTGCGTTCATCTAACCTTGGGTACCTTAGGTAAGGTTTCCTAAGGTTAGGTAGGTTACCTACCTACTCAATCAGTTATCCCTGGAATTTTGACGACCGGGAGGGAGGTCGCGTGGGCAAAGTGACCTGCACCTGCTGATTTATCGCACCAAGGCTCGTTTTTCGCGGCCAATTCGAATACGTGTACGTCGTATTTGGGTTTGCTCCCTTGACTTCCATCTCTCTGGTCTTTGTCAAGATAACAGAACGACACAAGAATCACATCATCATTTGCCCGCAGCGCTAGGCATCTTGCCCTTTTCTCCTCCCTGTCGCGTATATCCGTACTTACTCCAAGTTACCTTACGCGCATCCATCTCTGATACTTTCCCCAAGTCAGTTACCTTACTTACAGCTACCTAGGTACGGTATGTAACCTACCTAAGGTACTTTACTTCCCTCCTCCCAACCCCTCCCCCAACATTCACATTCGCAGTCCACAAGACACCTTCACTTGATCGCTACATCTGCTTTTCTCCAGACCACCTGACCTACCCACAGCTGTCGCCCAACATCAATAGCGGACGCTACTGTGTGCGCCGGCGTGCTTGCGACTGTTAACGACCGGAACGCCCGGAAATTGAACGGCAGTCGCAGCCTTCTTGGTCCCGTCATCATCTGAAGCGCCCGATCCTTGCGACGGTATTATTCGCCGTCTAAGCCTCCTCCCTCCCTCTCCTCCACTCCCGTTAGCAACAGCCCGCCCGCTTCCCTCCCACTGCTCCTCTACACTCCGGCGCTCGCTTGCACTCCGTTGCCCACATATCTCGCCGATGCACTCCGTCCACGCATCCTTAGACATACCTGATACGGTTGCGACTACATGAAGACAGTGTCGTGTCCCTTTCCTCTCACGCTACCTACCTAGCTTGCTTGACAACTCGTCTGAACCCACTCCAAGTTCAACATTGTTGTTCTGTCTGAGGTGGCATTCCTTGGCCGGCACCAACCGTCTCTCGGACTCAACCCTAACTGTTCGGATTCTTCCTCAAGTCCGCGTAAGTCCCTCTCCCAATTCTCAATTCCCCGTATATCCTCTGCCCACGCCGGCCTTCCCCATCCCGTACCTAACCGCCGCCGTGAGCCATCTCTGCCTACGTCTCCTTCGTTTCTTCAACTCTTACCTTGCCTTGCAGTCCACCTTTTATTTGCCCCCCCCCCTTACTTTCTCCCGGCCGGACAAGTCGCTTTTACATTCCGCTCTGTGCGATTTGGGATTACCCTGCTGACCAAACAAGATTCCCGTGTCAGCTGCGCCAAATTAGGCTTGGGCATTGATTGACGTCGTCGACTGATGCCGGTCAGTTTGAAACCACAAACCTCGGCTTTGCCTCGCATTTTCACATTCCCACAAAGGGCTCTTTCAACAACCACGAGGAACCGCTTCAAACCGTTGGCTGCTCACTTTGGACCACGCATCCTGGCTAGAGCCAGTGACGGGCCATTCAGCTCCTCTTCCGTACCGTCAAGCTACAGACAAATCCACGTACGCAGACTAGTCCAGTCATCGGACCCCTCCAACTCAAAGACTCCACGCGTCTTGCTTCAATCTCGCGTTGACCTCGTCGCACTCTCCATCGCTGTCGTCTTCCTTTGTCTTGGACTTGGTCTGCAATATCAACAAGCAGGAACTGGCCCCCTAACCAAGACCGAGACTTCCAGTTCAGCATCCCCGTCGTCAGAAGCCATGCTGTCCGATATGCCCCCCGGAAGACCGGGAAATCTCACTCCAGACCAGGAAGAGAAGCTTCGCAAGCTATGGAATCTGATCTTGTCCCTGGGTGAAGACAACGCAACAGCAGACAGCGCGGCTGCAAGCACAGCCCCGAGTGAGACTTCTCCCAGCAAGAGCGAGAAGCCCAAGAAGAAGCGCGTCTCACTCTTTAACCGAAAGGACAAGAAGGAAGAGGGTTCGAGCTCCTCGGCAAACGTTAGCATCAAAGATGACGGCGAAGACAAGTACGGCCAGACCAAGCAATTCCTTGAGGCACTGGCCAGCCAGAGCCCTGAAGCTTTGCGAGCTACGATATGGGCCATGGTCAAGCACGACCATCCTGATGCCCTAGCTCTCCGGTTCCTGCGGGCGCGAAAGTGGGATGTTGACAAGGCATTCGTCATGATGATTTCGACCATGAACTGGAGATTGGCCGAGATGAAGGTTGATGACGAAATCATGAAGTCCGGTGAGGAGGGCGCGCTAGAGGCTTCAAGGAGCGCGGATGCGAACACGAAGAAGCTGGGACAGGATTTTATGGCTCAGGCCCGGTCAGGAAAGACATTCATTCATGGCGTCGACAAAACAGGACGGCCAATTTGCATGGTCAGAGTTCGCTTGCACCGACAAGGCGAGCAGTGCGAGGAGAGTCTGGAGAAGTACACCGTGTTCTTGATCGAGACCTGCCGGATGGTTCTGGCTCCTCCCATCGATACTGCGGTAAGTTCTAGTATGTCGCAGATATCGACTTTGGGACGCTAACGATTCCAGACCATCGTCTTCGACATGACAGGCTTCTCGATGGCAAACATGGTAAGAAAAGAACACTCACACACCACCTACCAGGGAACACTTTTCTGATCGTCACTGCAGGATTACACGCCAGTCAAATTCATGATCAAGTGCTTCGAAGCCAACTACCCCGAGTCCCTTGGCGCCGTTCTAGTACACCGTGCTCCATGGGTCTTCCAAGGTTCGCGCGTCATTCATCTTGCCCGGCTTGGACGGCTTCTGACATTTCACAGGTATCTGGAAAATCATCAAGGGCTGGCTCGACCCCGTGGTAGCAAGCAAGGTTCATTTTACGAACAACGTCAAGGAGATGGAAGAATTCATTCCCACGAGTCACATCCTCAAGGAACTCGACGGCCCAGAGGATTGGAACTACAAGTATGTTGAGCCGGTCGCGGGAGAGAACGACCAGATGAAGGATACCACCACACGAGACGCGCTTCTGAGCGGGAGAGAGGAGCTCATTTCACAGTATGAGGATGCTACCCTGCAATGGATCAAAGAGGCTGGAACGGACAAAGAGTCGGCAATCAAGGCTCAAAGAGAAGAGCTCGCTCAGAAGCTGAGAGATGACTACTGGAAGCTGGACCCTTACATTCGCGCCAAGTGCGTCCTGGACCGTACCGGCGTAATCAAAGAGGGCGGGAAGATCGAATTTTACCCAAAGACGACGGCGGAGCCAACAAATGGCGCCAAGGTCGACACCTCGGCCGACGACGTAGACTAGAATTGGCCCATTTGGGACGAGATATGCGAACTACAAATGTGGTGTGGACACGGGGGAAGGAAGCGCCCTTGGGTTGCTGAAATTACTCGACCTAGACGTCCTTGCTGCCATTCAAGTTGAAAGCAGGGCTTAAATATACTATTGTCAACTCTAGTTACATTTTGGACTTGAGCTCTTCGAAGAGGGCTTTGAGCTTGTCCATATCGGTAGCCTGCTGAGGCCAGCCAACGCCCAGACCCTCGGTCTCGTTTGGCTTTGGGATCTAGGGTAGTCAAGGTCAGTACGATTTTTGAAAGGTTCGCAGGTTCTAGGGAGGATGAGGACAAGTACCATGTGGAAATGAACCTGCGGAACGTCAGTGATCGCTCACGTAGAAGAATAATTGCCGGAGTATGGAAAGCTTACGTGGTCGACCATCTGGTGCGCAATGCGACCGTTGTTCTGGAGGACATTGTAGTCCTCTGCTCCGCTCGCGGTAACAAGCTTCTTGACGATGGGCTTGCGATATCATGTGAGCCGGTAATTATTCGTGTCGATGAGCAAGGTAGAGGCCTCACATACCAGAATTTCCGACAAGTGCTCGTCGGGGACGTCGGACAGTTTAGCGCCGTGATATTTGGGAATGACAAGCTGTGGTGATGATGTAAGTCGGCCGACATTGCATTTGAGTAGATGATGACACTCGAGCTCAAGGGAGTTACTCACAGCGTGGCCGCGACTCAAGGGGTTAATGTCGAGGAAAGCGAGCGTCTTGTCGCTCTCGAAGAGCTTGAAGCACGGGATCTCACCTGCAGTTTGTGTCAATTTCATAATTATCTTGGACTGCGGGGGCTCGGAGATATCTAGGAGTTGGGCGACTGGAAGGACTTACCCTTGATGATCTTGCAAAAGATGCAGGAGGCCAAGCTTGAGGTCATGTTGGGCGAAGACGATGATACAATGGTCTTTCGAATTCCAAACGGAAGAGATGGGCTCGGTGATTGGGAACTGGGAAGAGAGGGAAGACCAGGTTGAAAGAGTGGTTGACTTGAGAGGATTGAGGATTGAGCAGCCCGCGGATGCGGGCACCTGAGGCGGGGATGGATACCAAAAAGCAAAATGTGGGTCCTTGACGAGGCGAGTGTACTTAATTGACAAAAAGGACCTAGAATGTCGGAGTGGGACCTCCTATCGAACTCACCTCTTGCCTTTTACCAGATGTGACCGTTGGATGGCCCAACAGACTCCATTCCACCAATCTTTGGATCCTCCTCATCTGGACAGCCCAGGTTCGAATTTCGTTTTTGTCTTTTTTTTCTAGGTTCACCCAGTAGGCTTGAATTTGACAATTACAATGATACCACTTTTTATTGTTGTGCAAGACGATGGTGTGGCTGTTTTGCTTCGGCAAAGTGAAGAAGATTCGAGCATCGAGCGCGCAGCGGCAGCTCAGCTTACGACATAATCCATGGCACTGCAGCACAGTCGTCATAGCCCTCCATTTCCCCCTCCTCCACTCCCTTTTTCCCTTCAGCCACCCCCCACCCAGAACGACCCTAAGTAAACCTGGACGAGGCTCACCCGGCACCTGGAGAACCACGTAGGGCAGCCCGAGCCGTTCCTGTACAAGTCCAGTGTGCACCATGCGCCTCCTGCCTTGCTCTTGACTTCGTGATACCCACCTCCTTCGGTCAGCTCGTTGCTTGCGCCTCATCAACTTTCTGCCTCGTCTGGGCCGTACAACCAAGTGAAAGAAAACATCATTGTCTTACGGTCGCTACTACCGCTTTTCGAAGTCCCGCAACAAACTTCCCGGTCAAATACGTGCGCCAGACCAAAATCGAGATACCTACCTACCTACCTACCTTGGCAGACAGAGCTGCCATTCGACTCGAACAAACAAAATGACCCGATACAAGAGCACCCCCCTCTACGGCGGCGCCTTGGTTTGCGACTTGCCTGAGAAGTTCGCCGACGTCAGGTTAGTCGCCCTTCATCATCCGCGCACGTTGCCGCCTCGATTGACGAAACGGACAGCAAACTACGCGAGGTCCCAGACAACCAGGAAGTCTGGATTGACCAGGACGGCTTCACCAGCATCATTTTCGACATCACGGAGCGCGTAGGCGCCGCGGGCAGCAGCCCCGAGATTGACGGTCGGGCCTTGACGACGCACCTCGAGGAGCTCGTCGGCGAGGATGTCGATACCGTCAAGGTGTGGAACACGACTGAGACGTCCTTTTCGAGGTTGAGGTGTGTCGTCATCTTTCCAAACTTGTCCTGCGCGGTGACTTTGCCGGCGTGTTCGTTTGTGAAGCGGTAGGCTAACGAGATCTGTTTCTGCAGTACCGACGTCCCGGCCTACACGCTCATCGCAACCCAGACCCCGCAATCCAGGTCGGGCTCCTCGGCGCCCGACTTCACCGCCATCATCCTCACGCTGGTGCGTCTCGAGAAGGAGTCGACCGATATCCTCATCACCATCAACGTACCTCACATCAAGGGGGAGTACGACGAGGCGGATGTTGACTTGGAGCTCGGAAAGCAGGGCAAGCTGATCGGCGACGCCGTCGAGTATGCCGCACGCATTTGGGAGACGTTCAAAGTCAAGGACTGGTCTCTTTTTGTCGAGGTTTGAGGGGGGTTAGTAAGGACTTTGATGACGATTTGAACGGCCCGACGGCAGATACCTGGAGCATATCTGCGCGGGATTTCTGAATGACCGAATGAATGGGCGGGATACTTTTTCCGTAGTTGTATTTGAGGGGGCGTTCTTTAGGCGGCCGGAAGGACCTATGTGCGCAAAGAATGGTAGGTTGGATTATGCTTGAGACGCAGTGCCGCATGGCTACCGAACTCCTACAATACCATACAGCGTGCTATATATATAACCAGGTCCGTTTCATGAAGCGACAGCATGCGCCGCCCCGCGGGCAGCAGCCACTTGTCAACTACAATGTAATGGCGTTGAGGCGAGAACCAACCTTGTCGATCGATTCAGGAACAGGTGTGCCGTCTGATTCAGGGGTCGCGCGATTGCTGCCGGCCCTCTTCCCCCACCTGTCCGCGATAATCTTCATGACATCTTTCTGTGCGCTCTTCGGGTACTCCTCCTTGACAATCTTCATCTGCTCCTTGACAAACTTCTGATAATCAGACTGCTTCGCCGTAGCCCGCGGAGTGGGCTTTATCTGCTTCAACATAGCCTTACAGGACCCGCAACGGTGACGTTCGGGATTGATGCTCTTGGAGTGACGCTTGTATTCCAGTCCGCAGTCGGTGCATTCCCAGACATACCTGAAGTCGATCTCGTACGAGTGCTTCGTGGTGACCTCGATCCCTCGATCCCCGAACGCGCGTGAGCACTTGGCCGCCCAGACCTTGAACTCCTTACCGTGCGGATTGCCAGTGATGCCGTTGACCATGAAATTGGCGAGATGACAAAATTCGTGCGCGACGACGTTGAGAAGACGGTTCTCGTCATCAATGACTTTCTCGGCGAGCTCGATGGAGGCGTGGTGGCGGTGGGTAACTGAGTTTTCTGTACTGGTAGACAATTTGCGAACCGTTTCGCGGCGCCAATTTGCGCGCCCAGCCGTGGTGTTGAGTTTCGCTGACCACTTGATCTGTACTCCCCCGGTGGACTCGGCGAGCGACTGAAGTTGGCCCTGAGTTATGGTGTCGTCGAGCTCGCGGAGAAAAGACTGAGCCAGATCGTGTTTTCTCTTCCCGAATGATTTCTTGGTTTCCTTCTGTTTGGCTGTGTCTGCCTTGGTGGATTTGTTTTTGGCCGGGCTCTTCTGTGTCGCGGGGAGAACCAGCTTCTTAGGGGAGTGCTCCTCGTTCCAGTCATCCACGAACTCTTGGCTCCAGAACAGGTCCATACTAGGTCTGTGAGGGGTCTTTGGGATGCCGGGAAGCTTCCGGGGGGAGACGAGGGTTTTGTTGGGTTTCGGCGGTGTTGTTGGCGGCGTCACTTGGGTATCGTTGCCTTGACGCTTCTTCTGCCATTTCTCTGGCTCTTCCGTAGTACTGTTGCATGTTAGCAAAGCGCAGGTCGGTATGTCGCAGTCAGTCTCACAGGTCTAGGCGACGGAGGGCGTCTGCCATGTCGTCCGTCAGATCAATAATCGCTGATGTAGGCCGCGCGGAATGTTGACCAGGCGCCCTATCAGAACCCAAGCCCTTGCTGCTGGTCCCTCGCTCAGAATGCCCATTGTTCGAGGATGTCAAGTGCGCCATATCAAGATCTGGCGTGCGTCTAGAGGTCGAATGTCCCGTTGGCTTTGGGATGCTCTGTTGACTGCGAGCCGACCGCTGCCGGTTTGTAGGGGCGCGAGGCTCTTGGCCAAAGAAGGTCGGTGCATGATCATCGTCTTCCTCCTCCTCGAATTCAGAACGGGCGTCGAAATATTCCGAGATATCCGCCTCAGTAATTTCCGTTGCCTCGTGCGTGCTGTCATCCGAGTCGTCGTCCGCCTCACCAGACGGAGTGCTCATGGGCGGCGTGGCGCGATCCTGATTCCGCAGGCTGCGGACATTAACGGCCGGTATTTTCTTGCTCCTCATAGGAACTTCCAGCAAGTTCTGTCCTTCGTTGTTAGGAAACCCCCCAAAAGGCCTCAGGAGCGGATTATCCGATTTCTGTCCGAGTTTGCGACGTCGCACAATCGGAGGCGCTGCGAAGTCCCCATGCTTCATCTCATCAGAGACTTTTTGTTTTGGCAGCCTGGAGCTAGTCGGCTTCTCATCATCGCGTCTTGGCAGCGAATTATTCTTGTTGGCGGACGTTTCCTGCGGTACAGACCTGACAGGGCGTTTGGTTTGTTTACTCCGCTGGAAGATGACGTCCAGGTCGGGAAACTCGTCTTCACTGGACGAGGCAAAGTTGACGTGTCCGTTCATTGTGAAGGTATGTCACCGCAGGTATGCAGTATGGTTTTACGTGCCGGTCGGGGTCAGTCGGAGTCGCTTTTCGCGGAAGGTCTGCACATGAGCCGCAACGTCGATCTGGGCTTGTCGTGGTTGCGAGGGGCAACGGGCAGTCAAGGAGCGACACTCCCCACACATCCAATCAGAACTACCTTAGGTAAGGTACGGAGTACCCAATTCAGTTATGCGGCATAAGCAAACTGTCACAGGATTGGCCGAAAGCATAAGGGGCCACGTGATATTCGAATGTGTGGAACGTCGAATCAGTAATACCTAAGGTAGGTAGTTAGTTAGTTACTCCGGTCAAAGTACAGATCTGAACATTAGACTTGAAATGTGTCGTTCGTTCGAGTTTGTTAGTATGAATCTATCTTCAGAAAATCGTTGTGAGGTCTCGTGTCACTTGGGGGATGATTTGTTAGGGTCATTTCGAAGGATACATCTAGTGACGAAACAACAGTGTTCAGCTCCCAAATCATCCAGAGCAAAGTTTGGCTTCTCTCGTCTATAACAACCATTGTGGCCGATGCTACATACCAAGCATGGGACGAACAAGACAGCCATGATCAAGAGGATCGACAAGGGTAGGTCGACAAACACCACGACGGACACAGCCCAGATAGATAGCCAAACACTCCAGTCTCACTAGCATTACTCGGTGGTTTTAGATGTGTGACCACTTTGTCGAACGTGTCACGGAATGGTATACCAAAACCACGGTATCAACAGCTTCGCGGCATCAGAGTATGAAGTCGAGTAGCAAGGGAAAGGCTTGAACTCGAGGGTTTTCGAATGTGAGAGTTCTGGACTATTAAGCCCCGCCTCTTGACCCCTGCGAAGCTTGTGATGTGGTGCTGCACAGCCCAGGCGGGCAGGAGGTCAAAGTGCCACGGCTGAGGGGGACCAGGATAAAGGCTTCGAGAACAAGGACATTGTTCCAGTGTCTAGGTCAGCATACCGAGAATAAACAACATTGGACGAGGAACCGGCCAGACTTGATCCATGCGCGACTGCGGTTTGTCGATCGGCACGCACGGAAATTGGCGGTCGTTTAGAACGAGTGCAACAGTCGACAGTTGCAAGCAGGGAGACTTTGACACGACGTGCCAGAGTGCGCATTGAAGGCTGAAGGAGACATCGAAATGAGACCCTTCCACAACGACAAACCCAATCATGTACAGAGTACCGGAGCAGGCCATATCCCCCGTCTGGGGAGGCACGGTCGCGCGCGGGAAGGACGGACGGGCAGGGTTTAGGCCGTTTGCGAATGCATTACGGCCCGGGCTTGAGATGATATGCTAGATCATAGATGTTGTGCGCTATCCGTCGCATCAGATCTGGACCGGACAGGCTGGGATTCGAAGCCAAGGCACGTACGTGACTTTTACACAGCAATGCAATGTCGCGACTGAACAAAGGAACAGCAACGGACATGCCCCGTCGCGTGTCTTGGAACGTTGGCGGACAGAAAAATGTGCTACAGTGCAGCCCGTTTTCGCCTCAAGTGGAATGGATGGTGGGTGGACAGTTTTTGTCCAACGCGCCGCAGACACGATGGGTGGCCACCAACCGACATTTCTTTCTTGTGGCCGCTTCTATACTATCGTGCGGACTACGGATACACTACACGCGTACGAATAGAGCCGTGCGCGTCGATCTGCGGTTCGTCACCTCCTAGCCCGACACTGGTCCCCGGGTGCTGATGGCCGCGAGATAATGATACTCAGGAGGAACAGACGGTTGAAGGGTGGACGGGTGCCGGTCCGAATCTGGTTGATTTCGACTTACCGTGCCTACCGTGATGATGTCAGTATATCTGAGCGCAAGCAGGAGTATTCTCTGCTTCAAGCTGTTCAACAGTCTTCCTTGGTTATGGAGCTTTTCAAGTTCGAGGTCATATCGCGACGGCCGTGATGTTGTAATATCCACTGTCGCCGGCAACAAAGCCTATGAAATCGAGGTCGGGACGAATTTTGGGGTACAAAGTGGACAACTAATAAGCCGTGCCGACACCGATGGTCAGTGGTGTTGGAGGATACCCATAACTCGTGCGTGGCTCGACTCTTGATCCTTGGTGTTGGAACTTGGAACTTGGAACTTGGAACTTGGGTGCAGCCGGCGTGGTATCTTTGATTTCTTGCTGACGAAGTGGGTTGGCGAACGTGTAAATGACGGCATCATCATGGACAGTCCACTTCTCGTCCACTGACAGACAGCACGGCAGGACTGCGTACTTCGTACTGCTACACTGCCTTATGGATACGGTTGCAGCCAAAAAAGAAATAACAGACATTGCCAGGGGCCGACGCTAAGGCAGGCCGCAGCTCAGCACTTTGGGCCGCGATGGTTGACTCGTTCTAGGCCGGTACCTGCATCCGATTCCGATAGCACATATCCGTAGTGGGCTCGCTCTTGATTAGCTCCGGTTTCCTCGACCCATCTCCAGTGAAGGAGAAGTTGCGGATGCACTACGCAGCGTAGTCAAAGTAGTGTAGAGCTGCCCGGACACTGCCCTGGCCTTGTGGTCGTGGATCGTGATGGACGGGCGGGCGATGGATGGGCGGGAGAGTGGCACAAACAAGAGGAAGTGGCTCCCTCCTCGCCTCCCACTCGGAATTTGCCCCAAACACCAACCTAGGTATCCAATAATTGATACACTGTACCTGGACGGGGAAGCCTCCCAAAAGCTCCGAACTTGACGGGAAGTGGTTGCCACACTGTGTGAACCCCGGTCGGGTTCACGCTGGAAGCTGAACTCCCATCCAGTCCAGTGCTTGGGTGTCAGTCATCTCTGACGAGGACGGGAGACTCTTCTGGAAATAAACAGTGGGCCGGGCGAGTGTGTTCGCAGGGTGGACTTTGCGTTTGCGTAGGTAGGTACGAATACTGTATCCATCTACGGATACGGAACAAATGGATGATTCGTCAGCCGTCCTCCGGCCCCGAGCGGGATACTGCCCGTGATATCGTCGTTTGTACTTTGCCCGCGTCGCGCGTCGCCCATTCACAAGCGAAGCATCCCGTCGTCGCGTTTCCAGCTTTGGAAATAATCGGTTGAGGTGTACGAAGTACATAGTGGCAAGTGGATGCAGCCTGTATCCCAAGATAGATCAAGATCAATATGCCAAGAACGTACCCTGCAGTAGGTACATACGTATTCGAACACCACGAAATACATACTATTGTACTACAGCTACCACATCTGCTTGGTGGCAAACCGAACAGATCCATTTTACGGATACAAAGTACGCACACGAGCTGCAGCCAGCAGGTCGAGGGCAAATACGAGCGGCGCGGGCTGTTACTATGTAGACTTTCAAGATGGTTTGCATAACAAAATAGCCATGCATGCATGGCCAGGGTACAGAGTATTAGTAGCCATCTTGGTGGTGGCAGGTGGTCGTGCGTTATGCCACTGTCACTGGATGACGGTAACGGTTGACGGACACCGGATCAAAACGTGCATCCTGCCGTTGGCGAAGCATCCCGCCTCGGAATTAAAGAACCTGACACATTGACGATTTAGTCCGACCTCTTGCGCACGCGGGCCAAAGTGTGCTGAATTCCAACCACGTCGTTAGTTGCGAGTTGCAGCTGACAGGTTGCTCAGACCGATGAGGTGGTTGAAACGTGGAACAGCCCGCCAACTCAATTTCGAGGGCAAGACCTGGAGCCGGATTCGGGGCTGGCTGGCCATGAGGATTTGAACTTGGAACTTGCAAGTTGATGGCTTCCCGCTGGAAACCTGGGAAAACACGGGCAGTACATGGAAAGGCCCTGCGACTGCGATATCCGTAGAGCCAAATCCACCTAGCCGCAGCTGGTGTTGTAGTGCATGCGAGCAGTCCAAGCTGGACACCTCATGTTCTGGCGCGACTAAATCGGCATGTTGTTCGCAGATGCCGACACCCAAGTAGGTGGCGATGGAGCGAAGACGCCCCGATACGAATACATTAGTAGTCATCATTTTCCATGGACGGCGAGGCAAGGCGAGGCAACAGTTCGGGGTTCCAGAGTCCAGACGACGACACGAGACTGGACCAAGGATCAAACGCCAAACGCCAAACACCAGACGCACCCGCGACGAGACGAACCCTCTCTTTTCGTGATGCTGGCCAATCGCCAGGCGAGTTGCGCATGTCTTGAAAGAATGACCTTGAAATGACCATGGTGCGGCAAGTGCTGTGCAAGTACCGGAACGCCCGGCCTTTCATCGAGAATCCCACGTCAGGACTCAGGCATACCCCTGACTCCCCCTTCCCATCCGCCTGCCGTTCCTCAGTGACATTCATGGATGCCCGTCTTCCATTAGGTTGTCAGCGGCCAATTGACGGGACCCGGGTACCTATGCAGGTACCTGGGCACCTTACCTAGGCAAGGTGAGCAAGAAGTGCCTTTGGTATCTGGGTCAGGTCGGTTAGTGCTGTGCTCGCAGCTCCGCGATAACGGCGGGCCCGGGGCGATGGCTTGCCAAGCCTCAGTGACGGCGTAGAGTACCTGACCAAGGTAGGTAGGTAGGTGCCTTACCCCCCTCCAGGTGAGAATGACGGCAGTTGTGACAGAAGCGTTGCTTTTCTTTGGTAAAGGGGAAGGATTCCAACAGTAACTGAAATCTCAACTCAGTCTTTACTGTCGGAGGAATAGTGAGTCAGTTGCTGTTGTTGTCCTGAGAAACAAATAGAAAGTTAAAAGAAAACCACAAACAACCTGAGTTCTACTACCTCATGTTACCTACCGAGCTAGATCAAGAAAAACTCAATCTTGAGTCGGTCCCTGGTGGTTTGGGGACAAAGTGAGACTGTGCGCGACGATATTTCCTCACTGTAAGGGGTGGGGCTGTATCTTGCCAAAAAAAGCCAACCCCCACCACCCCACCTCGCCCAAGTTCCTTGAACACTGTGAAATGGTTCCTTCCCTTCCCACGTACTGCCACTCCCCTTGGACAAGTCCGAGGCTTGCCGTCCTTGATTTATGAAGTACCGTTGCTGGAATTGGCAGAGCCAAACCACAATGGCTAGGTACTTATTACCTGCCACCGGCGAAACTGACGTGCGATACACATTTCAAGCGTCCGTCGCTTCCCTTGATGAAGACGGGAAGATCGAGAGACGGATCGAGGGTGGATGACATGACGGCAGTGGAATTTGCAGCCAACTCTTTTCTGTAGATTCCGGTCCCCGCCGCCGCGGCCAGGCACCTGCTTCAGTATTGTATCGAGCAGGAAAATCCAGAGTAAAAACTTGAAAATGAAGGTAAGGTACACAGTGCTTGTGCTGACGCCTCTCCTTCCAGGAACCAGGCCTCCCATAATCTTCGCCCACAGACGCGACGCGGTGTCAGCCCTGGTCCCCTGTCCGTCCCAGCCCCGTAGCATCTGGTCTGACCATTCACACGTCGGGTATGCACCGCACAGCCACTGTTCCATCAACAGAACGTCTAGAAACCCCACTTTTGAACGCGACCTGCTCCTGCCTCTTACTTTTTTCTCCTGGGCCCTTCCTTGAACGGGATCGGCCCTCTGCGACTTCCTGCCTCCCCAAACCTTGCTTTGCCCGGACATAGGTACCTTAGGTACTTTACCTTGGGTGCCATGGCTGGTATCCGTACTATGTAGACAGACCGCAGACGACTGTGCAGTACTGCTGCTGCTGCTGTTCCGCTCTCGCCTGCGCGGCAATCCCTGTCATGGTCGTTGCAATTCAATCCTGTCTCTCCTTTTTTTTCTGGCCTTCCCGCCGCATTGGATCACAAGAGACACTGTATTCGTACCTCCTGAATCTGTAGGTAGGAAGGTCAGCCAGGTAGGTATACATGGACACATAGGTCAAGCAGGGCGCCGAAAGAGAGAGGAAGGGGGAAGGAAAAAAAAAAGGAGACGCCTGAAATCTTTCCTGCCCTGTCCCCTCTCTTTCCTCTCAGCGTATGTACTACGTGTGATAGCACCCTTTTCTCGACTGTCCGTCCTCCTCTTGCATCGTCATTGGTGAAGAGCGAGCATCTTTTCCTTGCTCTCTTTTCCTTATCCTCCTCCTGTGCTTGCCCTCACTCTTCGCAACGCAATTTCACCCCCCTCCTTCCCTCTACCTTAGCGTGAGTACGGATACCCATCTCTCCCAAATCCATCCATCCCTTAGCCGCCCGCACTTTCTCCCTCAACCCCCTTTTGTGGCATTGTGGCGTGGTAATAGGTGTGTGAGGTGCTTGTGCAAAGGCGCCTCCTGGACTTTCCGCACCACTGCCTACCTACCTACCGCCTACCTACCTTACCTTACCTACCTATCCGCTGCGTACCCGTCCGTACCTTACCCCGTACCTCGCCTCGCCTCATCTTGCAACGTCCACCTCCTCTAAACCGGTTCGCACCTTCCACCACCCGCCCTCCGTCACCCCTTTCTTTCCTCCCGACAACTCTTACCTTGATTCACCACGCTCGTTCTTAGACCGCCTCACCAAGGCAGTCGCCAAATCTGCTCACCTCAATCAAGAAACTCACCGTTCTCTGTCCAGTCAATCGCTTGAGCTTCTTCTCTTCTCCCCGGTATAGTCGGCCAAGCTGTGGGCTCTCTCGACCGAGGTGCTTGATTCCAACACATCAGACGCACCGCACCGCTCCCGGCGCCGGCTCCCAACCCCCTTTGGTACTTTACTGAACCAAACATTATCTCCAAGCCAACTACCTGCGCCAATCGCTTTATTCTTTGCCAGCCGACCCTCGTCCGAGCCGTTGGAGAACTCGACTTCGCAACGCCACGACTGTCGTTATCATCTCTCCTTGTGCCGGCCACATAACTTCGGGCTCTCCTACACCAGCCTCTTGCTGACTCTCTCCCGCGTTCCGAGCCCAACCTCATGAGTCTTGGACGGTCAGTTGAACTTCCCATCATCACCAATACCTTTCACGCGTTTCTCGTTACCCATTCAGCCTTCTCCGACAGACGGACGACGCGTTCATGCTAACACACCGGTGTAGGTAATCACCTGAACGAAAATGTCTGGATACCCAGCCGCCGGTGGAGGCGGTGGTGGTGCCGGTGGTGGTAACCATCACGACTACGATGACGGCTATGGCCAACAGGGCCGCGGCCACGGAAACGGAACCCAACAGACCGACTCCTACTACCAGGACGACCAGTACTACGACCAGAATGGTTACGACGACCGCGGACATCCTCAGGGCAACGATGGCTACTACGACGAGTCGTACGTCAAACACCGCTGACTGTTTTCTTCGCGTCACTGACAGAATCTTTGCGCAGGGGCTACTACAACGCCGACCCAAACAACCCGTACCACCAAGAAGGTGGCTACTACGACGGCAATGATCAGTACCAGGACGAATACTACAACGGCCAGGGCGGTGGCTACTACGATCAGGATTACAACCAGGGATACGGCTCCGGCGCTCGCCGCCATGGTTCTGAGGATGACTCGGAGACCTTCAGCGATTTTACCATGAGGTCGGATATGGCAAGAGCCGCTGATATGGACTACTACGGTCGCGGCGACGAGCGGTACAACAGCTACGACCAAGGCGGCGCCCGCGGCTTTCGTCCCCCTTCTTCCCAGATCTCGTACGGCGGAAACCGCTCCTCTGGTGCCTCAACTCCCAACTACGGCATGGACTACGCCAACATGATGTCTGCCGCCTCCCGCGAGCCGTACCCTGCTTGGACTTCGGACGCTCAGATTCCTCTCTCCAAGGAGGAAGTTGAGGACATCTTCCTGGACCTGACCTCCAAGTTCGGTTTCCAGCGTGACAGTATGCGCAACATGTACGACCATTTGATGACTCTTCTGGACTCGAGGGCTTCGCGTATGACCCCGAACCAAGCTCTTCTTTCACTCCACGCCGACTACATTGGAGGCGACAACGCCAACTACCGCAAGTGGTACTTTGCAGCCCACCTGGATCTGGATGACGCCGTTGGCTTCGCCAACATGAAGAAGGGCAAGGGTTTGAAGCGCAAGGCGAAGAAGAACAAGAAGAAGGGCGAGGGTGAGAACGAGGCCGAGGCCCTGGAGGATCTCGAGGGCGACAACAGTCTCGAGGCTGCCGAGTACCGCTGGAAGACTCGCATGAACCGCATGTCCCAGCACGACCGTGTGCGCCAGCTCGCCCTCTACCTGTTGTGCTGGGGCGAGGCCAACCAAGTCCGTTTCATGCCCGAGTGCTTGTGCTTCATCTTCAAGTGCGCCGACGATTACCTCAACTCCCCCGCCTGCCAGAACCTGGTCGAACCTGTCGAGGAGTTCACCTTCCTCAACAACGTCATCACACCTCTGTACCAGTTCTGTAGAGATGAGGGCTACGAAATCTCGGAGGGCGTCTACGTGCGCCGCGAGCGCGACCACAACCAAATCATCGGGTACGATGACTGCAACCAACTCTTCTGGTACCCCGAAGGCATCGAAAGGATCGTGCTCGGTGATAAGACGCGTCTGGTTGACATCCCCCCGGCCGAGCGATATCTCAAGTTCCAGGACATCAACTGGAAGAAGTGCTTCTTCAAGACGTACAAGGAGACTCGCTCTTGGTTCCATCTGCTTGTTAACTTCAACCGCATTTGGATCATTCACTTGACCATGTTTTGGTTCTACACCTCCGCCAACTCCCCCAGTCTCATCGTCGGATCAGAGTACGAGCAGCAAGTCAACCAGCAGCCGTCCACTGCAAGACTCTTCTCCATCATTGCTCTCGGTGGCACGATCGCCGCACTTATCCAGGTCCTGGCCACTCTGGCCGAATGGGCTTACGTCCCCCGCCGCTGGGCTGGAGCGCAGCACTTGACAAAGCGTCTGCTGTTCTTGATCCTCATCCTGGTCATCAACGTCGCGCCTTTTGTCTACATTTTCTTCATTCCGAACCCCAACGATCAGATTGCGAAGATTTTGGCGATTGTCCAGTTCGTCATTGCGCTGCTCACCTTCATCTTCTACTCGATCATGCCGCTCGGCGGCCTTTTCGGAAGCTACTTGACCAAGAACTCGCGCAAATACGTTGCCAGTCAGACTTTCACCGCCAGTTATCCTCGCTTGGCTGGCAATGACATGGCAATGTCGTATGGTCTCTGGCTTTGCGTTTTCGGTGCCAAGTTCGGAGAGTCTTACGTCTACCTCACCCTCTCATTCCGAGACCCCATTCGATACCTGTCCATCATGCAGATCGAATGCGTTGGAGACAAGATAGTCACCGATGTCCTGTGCAAGAAGCAGAACTTCATCTTGCTCGCTCTGATGGCCTTCACCGACTTGATCTTCTTCTTCCTCGATACCTATCTCTGGTACGTCCTGATCAACGCCGTTTTCTCCATCGCCAGATCGTTCTACATCGGTTCCTCGATCTTGACGCCGTGGAGAAACATCTTCTCTCGCCTGCCGAAGCGCATCTACTCCAAGATCCTCGCAACCACGGACATGGAAATCAAGTACAAGCCGAAGGTCCTCATCTCCCAGGTCTGGAACGCCATTGTCATCTCCATGTACCGCGAGCATCTGTTGGCCATTGACCACGTCCAGAAGCTCTTGTACCATCAGGTTCCTTCGGAGCAGGAGGGCAAGAGAACTCTGCGAGCCCCCACCTTCTTCGTCTCCCAAGAAGATCACTCTTTCAAGACGGAATTCTTCCCCACTAACAGTGAGGCTGAGAGACGCCTCTCCTTCTTCGCCCAGTCGCTGTCAACCCCCATCCCTGAGCCTCTCCCTGTTGACAATATGCCCACCTTCACTGTTATGATTCCCCACTACAGTGAAAAGATCCTCCTTTCTCTCCGTGAGATCATCCGTGAGGACGAGCCCTACTCTCGTGTCACCCTCCTGGAGTACCTCAAGCAACTGCACCCTCACGAGTGGGATTGCTTCGTCAAAGACACCAAGATTCTGGCAGACGAGACTTCCCAATTCAATGGCGACGGCGACGCTGAGAAGAACGAGAAGGACACGGCAAAGAGCAAGATTGACGATTTGCCCTTCTACTGCATTGGTTTCAAGTCTTCCGCACCCGAGTACACCCTTAGAACCCGTATCTGGGCTTCCCTCCGCTTCCAGACCTTGTACCGCACGATCTCCGGCTTCATGAACTATAGCAGAGCCATCAAGCTTCTGTATCGCGTGGAGAACCCCGAGGTTGTCCAGATGTTCGGAGGGAACTCTGACAAGCTGGAGCGTGAGCTGGAGCGCATGGCTCGTCGCAAGTTCAAGCTCTGCGTGTCTATGCAACGTTTCGCCAAGTTCAAGAAGGAGGAGATGGAGAACGCCGAGTTCCTGCTCCGTGCCTACCCCGACCTTCAAATCGCCTATCTCGACGAGGAGCCTCCTGTTGCCGAGGGTGAGGAGCCGCGCCTGTACTCTGCCCTCATCGACGGTCACTCAGAAGTCATGGAGAACGGCATGCGCAAGCCCAAGTTCCGCATTCAGCTCTCTGGCAACCCGATTTTGGGCGACGGCAAATCTGACAACCAAAACCACTCCCTCATTTTCTACCGCGGCGAATACATCCAGCTCATCGACGCCAACCAGGACAACTACCTCGAGGAGTGTCTCAAGATCCGAAGCGTCCTCGCCGAATTCGAAGAGATGAAGACCGACAACGTCAGCCCCTACACCCCTGGTGTCAAGAACAAGGTCACTGCCCCTGTCGCCATTCTCGGTGCTCGCGAATACATCTTTTCAGAGAACATTGGTATCCTTGGTGACGTCGCTGCCGGTAAGGAACAGACATTCGGTACTCTTTTCGCCCGTACTCTGGCTCAAATCGGCGGTAAGCTGCACTACGGCCATCCGGATTTCCTCAACGGCATCTTCATGACAACTCGCGGCGGCGTCTCCAAGGCTCAAAAGGGTCTGCATCTCAACGAGGATATTTACGCCGGTATGAACGCTCTCTTGCGTGGTGGCAGGATCAAGCATTGCGAGTACTACCAGTGTGGTAAGGGTCGTGACTTGGGTTTCGGCTCTATTCTCAACTTCACGACAAAGATTGGAACGGGTATGGGAGAGCAAATGCTCTCTCGCGAGTACTACTACCTCGGAACCCAGTTGCCTCTCGACCGTTTCCTCTCTTTCTACTACGCCCATCCCGGTTTCCATCTGAACAACATGTTCATCATGCTTTCCGTCCAGATGTTCATGATCTGTCTCCTCAGCTTGGGTGCCCTCCGACACGAGACCATCAAGTGCGACTACAACCGCGATGTTCCCATCACCGACCCTCTGTTCCCCACAGGCTGCCAGAACACGGATGCCCTCATGGACTGGGTGTACCGCTGTATCTTGTCGATTATCTTCGTCTTGCTCTTGGCGTTCGTCCCGCTGGTTGTCCAGGAGCTCTCCGAGAGAGGCTTCTGGCGTGCCGGAAAGCGTCTTGCCAAGCAGTTCCTTTCGCTGTCGCCGTTCTTCGAGGTCTTCGTTTGCCAGATTTACGCCAATTCGGTACAACAGGATCTCTCGTTTGGCGGTGCGCGTTACATTGGTACTGGTCGTGGTTTCGCAACCGCCCGCATTCCTTTTGGCGTCCTGTACTCGCGTTTCGCCGGACCATCCATCTACTTCGGATCTCGTCTGCTCATGATGCTTCTGTTTGCCACCGTCACCATCTGGCAACCTGCCCTCGTCTACTTCTGGATCTCTCTTCTCGCCTTGGTCATTTCTCCATTCCTCTACAACCCTCACCAGTTCGCGTGGAGTGACTTCTTCATCGACTACCGCGACTTCCTTCGCTGGCTGTCTCGTGGCAACTCGCGCTCGCACGCATCCTCCTGGATCGCGTTCTGCCGTCTCTCTCGTACTCGTATCACGGGTTACAAGCGCAAGGCTTTGGGCGACCCATCGGCGAAGATGTCCTCCGACGTGTCCCGTGCGGCTATCACGAACATGTTCTGGGGCGAAATTCTGACCCCGCTTCTGCTCGTGGTCGTCACCGTCATTCCCTATCTCTACATCAACGCCCAGACGGGTGTCAACGACACCAACAACCCGGGTGCCACGATCCAACAAACCAACTCGTTGATCAGGGTCGGTGTGGTCGCGCTTGCTCCCGTCGCCATCAACGCTGGTGCCCTCATGGTCTTCTTCTTCATGGCCTGCTTCATGGGTCCCCTTCTCAGCATGTGCTGCAAGAAGTTCGGCAGTGTACTTGCGGCCATCGCCCACGCCATTGCCGTCATTGTCCTCCTCGTCTTCTTTGAGGTTATGTTCCTCCTGGAGTCGTTCAATTTCGCGAGAACCCTCCTCGGCATGATCGCCGTTGTGGCCATCCAGCGATTCGTCTTCAAGTTGATTATCACGCTCACTCTTACGCGTGAGATGAAGACGGACCAGGCCAACATTGCATTCTGGACGGGCAAGTGGTACTCTATGGGATGGCACACGGTTTCGCAGCCTGCCCGTGAGTTCCTTTGTAAGATTACAGAGTTGAGCATGTTCGCCGCCGACTTTGTCCTGGGTCACTTCTTGCTGTTCATCATGCTGCCGGTCATCCTCATTCCCAAGATCGACATGCTGCACTCGATGATGCTCTTCTGGCTCCGTCCTGGGTACGTTTTGAATTACATCCGACTCACCTTTCCGAGTATTTTGCTAACTGTTGTGTGCGTACAGCCGCCAGATCCGCCCGCCCATCTACTCGATGAAGCAGTCCAAGCTGAGGCGCAAGCGCGTTTTCCGCTACGCCATCTTGTACTTCACCCTCTTCATCGTTTTCATGGCCCTGATGATTGGACCTGCCGTTGTCGGCGACAAGATTCCTCTGGGCGGTCTCACCAAGACTCTCAGCTCGAAGGACCTAGCCTTGCTGCAGCCCGATCTGGAGAAGGACAACACGCGCAATACGACGGAGACGGGAACCGGACTGGATGGCTACTCGGGAGCCGGTCTCACGGTGTCAACCGCGTCTAGGAAGGCGGCAGCCACTAAGCGTGCCGAGAGAGTCCGCCTGTTTTAATAGGGAATGTAACATACACATGGAAGGGGTTGCAAAGAGAAGTCGCTGCGGCTCAGAGGGGCATAGCGTTCGCTATGCAGATGAGCCCTTGAGTCAGGCAGCGGTGGCGGATTTTTAATGTCCATTGTTCAGGCGTGTTTTTCAGCTTATTTTTTCGACAGTCAGCTGTTCGTTTCTCCTTTTCTGTTAGGGCAGGGAATATGGCTGGCATGGGATCACGGCTTTTAGACCTGCAAAATAATTATATCGTCATCTGCCCAGAGTAAGACTGTTTTGTGCGGTAGCGTTTCTGAATTTGGCAACGTTGTGAGATGAGTGAAGACGACCATGTTTGGAGAATGGGTCTCATTAGAGAGATATCTACGTGAGCCACGAGCGTAATCGAACGAGGACAGATGAGGCAACACATGGCTATGGTTCTGCCAGGTAGTAGGATGCATGCATGCATGCTCAATGCTTTGCCCCTGAGATGAAGAGCGGGGCAGACCAATGAGAAAACGTGAGATGTTCCCGTCTCCCTCCCCCCTGCCAGGGGGCGCGCTCGGGGAAACACCGCGTCAGAGGTCAGACAGAGGAGAGGTCAGAGGTCAAACAAAAGTCTGAGGTCGTTCATTACCATTCGTGCACTCAGGTTCTAGATGTCGAGCAAGTCTCAAGACCTCAATGAGATGCGTCTGGCGTGTGCACTATTGCCCGTCATTTGTAAAGCAAGAACTACCTGGGCGAGATGACTGATGAAACGAAAATACCTACTTACCGAAGGTAGTAGGTAGGAACGAGGCGACCAAAGGCTAGGTAAGTCGACCACGGGCGCGGGCGCGGGCGCGGACCCGCGCTGAAGTACCTTTTCCTTCCCCAATCCCATTACTGCGTCGGCATCCACCGATCCCCGTCACCAACTTCATTTCCCAGGAACCCCGGAGCCGTCGGCTGTCGTCGTCTGTCTGTTCTTCTCTGCTCTGTCTCACCGCGCTGCGCTTTGAGTCGAACTTGGGCGTATACACACTCGCTGTGGAACAACTTGTTCGCGCTCCAGATCTGTCGACAGTCGATCGCACGCCGTGTACCACGACCCCCAAAGTCTCGTCCTTGCACTGCAGAGCAAAGCCCACCATGGACGCCGGCGAAGTCCAGACCTTGGTGACTGACTGGCTGCGCGAGGCTTCCGATGCCTTCCAGAAGGTCCCTGGGTCCGCTGTCCTGATCCGCTACATCCAATCTAGCTACCAGAACGATCCCATCCGCTCCGGCATCGAGTTGGTCCTCTTCATATTTTTCGTTCGCTATCTTTTGTCGCCCTCCTACTCGACTCAAAAGCAGAACTTCATCAAACTGCGCGATGACGTCCGTACCACACTATTCCATGGCTCTCTTTCGAGCGCTTGACTGACTTCTTTCCCAGGAAATCGACGAGTTGGTGGACGACTGGACCCCCGAGCCTCTTGTCCCTCCCCAGTCCGCGCTCGAGGAGATGGAGAGTGAGCGACTCCCCGTCATCGTCGGGTACGAAATGCGATGCCCCCTTTCGCTACGCTCAAAGAAGATGACGGAACCAGCTAATCAGCCTCAGGCCTACTGGCCCCAAGACCAAGCTGGCAAGTGGCCGCACCGTGACGAACCTCGCCTCTTATAACTTTTACAACTTCAACGCGAACGAACAGATCAAGGACAAGGCTATTCAGACTCTGCGCACCTATGGCGTCGGCCCTTGCGGCCCTCCCCAGTTCTACGGCACCCAGGACGTGCACATGAAGACAGAGGCGGACATCGCCGCCTATCTCGGCACGGAAGCTTGTATCGTCTACGCCCAAGCCTTTTCGACCATCTCCAGCGTGATTCCCGCTTTCTGCAAACGCGGCGATATCATCGTGGCCGACCGCGCCGTGAACTACTCTATTCGCAAGGGACTCGAGGCCTCCAGAAGTACCATCAAGTGGTATGCCCACGGCGACATGGATGACCTGGAACGTGTTATGCAGAAAGTCGTCAAGGACCAGAGAGGCAAAAAGCTGACGCGTCGGTTCATCGTCACCGAGGGCTTATTCGAAACAACTGGCGACCATGCCGATCTCCCCAGACTGGTGAGCACCTCGACTGAAGACCCCCTCCGCCGCTGGCCAGTGGACCGAGGCTAACGAAGCGAGCACAGGTTGAGTTGAAGGAGAAGTACAAATTCCGCATTATACTGGACGAGACCTGGTCATTTGGCGTTCTCGGCCGCACCGGTCGTGGCCTCACTGAGGCGCAGAACGTGGACCCTTCTCAGGTGGACATGATCGCGGGTTCCCTCGCTGGCCCCCTGTGCGCCGGTGGTGGTTTCTGCGCCGGAGCCAAGGACGTGGTCGAGCATCAGCGCCTTACTGCGGCGTCGTATACCTTCTCGGCCGCTCTGCCTGCCATGCTCGCTGTCACGGCCAGTGAGACGCTCAGCGTCTTGCAGTCCAACCCTGATATCCTCACGCAGTGCCGTGAGAACATCAAGGCAATGAGGGCACAGCTGGATCCGCGCAGCGATTGGGTAGTGTGCACAAGCTCCCTCGAAAACCCCATCTTGCTTCTTGTGCTCAAGCCCGAGGTTGTCGCGGCGCGGAAGCTCACGAGGGAGGATCAGGAGCGCCTTCTCCAAGAATGTGTCGACGAGGTGTGTTACACACGTCCCTTCCTCGTCAATTGATCGGACGCGATACTAACCAGATACAAGGCACTTGCAAACGGAGTTTTGATCACCCGCCTCAAGAGTATGGCCATCGCCAACAACCTTGACCCGAAGGACGACAGCTGGAACATCCAGCCCGCACTCAAGGTGTGCGTCACGTCGGGTCTCCCAAAGAAGGATATCGAAAAGGCCGGCGTTACTATCCGGCACGCCATTACCAAAGTAATGGGTCGAAAGTCCAGCTCCAAGTCGTCATGAGAGGTTCGCCTCATTTCGGACCACGAAAGATACCAGGGAATTGCACAATGCTAGATGAGTATGAGAAGTGCAATCTTTTCGCGTGGCGTTCATGGTCAGGTTTGCCCGGCTTTTCGGAGACGGACGTAGAAGAGGCCACCGGGGCTTGCATACTTCTCCTTCTCGTTTTTCTCGAGGATGTTGGAACCCCTCTCGAGGCGGTCGGGTTTTCGGATACCCCGCAGCGGACTTTTGCATGTAATAAAAAGAATACATCTACTAATCGTTGATAGAAGAAGGCTTGGCCGGTAATATGAAAGCGTGTGTGCTGCCCGTAACACAACTCTTGAAACATGATGGACACGACAGTGAAGCCCAGGGACCAAGGCGGCAGCCAGGGACTACATAGTAGGGCTTGTTCTAGAAGCTCGGGCTGATGCAGACAAAGAAAGCAGCACCGACTGTGGTGTCTCAAGTCAGGGCCAGGGCCGCATTAAGGTGTGGTTGTTGCGTGGCATCTGGTTCAAGATGGTCAGCTTGTCTACACAACCCAAACTCAACGTCGAATGCATCTCCAGCCTCCCCCAACGATGCTGTCGGGTTCTAGGCCACTTCCGTGTCTTTCATTCTTTTCTTTTTCTTTTCTGTGTAGGTGAAGATCGGGAAGTTTCGTCAGCTTCCTCGACGTTATAGACTGGATAGTCCAAGTTCTATTCCTAGTCCCCGAGGCCGATTCCGAAAGACGTGCAGCCGCAACCCCCCTCTCCCTGTTGTGTGAGCCTAGGTGTGAACCCTGGATCATTACCTCTACCGGCCCGCTCCCTGCGAAGTTTTGATTCGACGATACGGCTCTAAAGTCGCATCTCGACGAAGCTCACGTCCAGTAGACACGGCGCGGGCGGCCCCGTGCCTTAGGTCAGGTAGTTCCGGGACCCGACTTGAGGTGCGGCATAGTGCGGATATGTGCGTGCCCTCTCAAGACGGCACAAGGCCTGGCTGGTCAGGTGGCAGTCTTTCACCAGGGAAAAAGTCCATCCCATGTCTCCGTGGAAGGTCTTATACCTGATTGTGCCTTGTGCGCTTCCTGAGTCGCGATGAGCTGCGTCCAGACCTGGGCAAGATACCTTGCGCTACCCAGAAAGGGAAAGCAATGGAAAGGAAAGAAAAGCGGGAAGTGGGAAGTGCATTGCAGGTTGACGTGGTATAAAGATGCCTCAACATACCTATCTCGTATGATTGTCAAGAAGCCTGGGAGTTTTCATCTTGCAGGTTTTTCTTTCCTGGACCCAAACAGAATATTTTGCTCCTCACTCCTTCCCCCTCTACAAATCGTCATCAAGAACGCATACACCCTAGGTTCGGTCGCTCATTCTTACCTCACCGGCTATATCTTACAACCACATACCTCCTTCACAGTAGGTAAGTGCCTTCCTACCAAATGAGCGGACGTGTTATTCCAGTGAATGACGTCTCCGGCATATCATAATAGCGACATCAAGAAACTGATATGCTCGTGGCATAGGAAACCGCCAAGGCTCTCATTCCCCGTCCAGGATACCTTACTTTCACTGAGAATTACCCGGTATATCTCATCTCAATCTTTTCCGGCCTGTTTCGCGAATCGGAAACAGACGGCGCCATTTATCTGCTTGTAACTTGAGCGTCCTAGAGATACCCGGCCAACTATATTGTTTTGTCGATCTGTTTGAGAACAAGACTAATCTTTACCGTCCAAACAGTCAACTTGACTGTCTCGACCTTCCCACGGAAAAGACAAGAGTCCGCCACAGAAGCTGGTCAAGGCGGTTCGTGGAGGTAAGCTTGATACCCAGATACCCAGCATAGGTAGTTGCCCGCCTAGCTCAACGCGTTCCCGTCTTTCTCTGGTCTGTATCTCCAGGTCGCTCTTTTGATCATCCCTTGCTCCCTCTGTCTCTCTTGATTGTTGCCCCTGCCTGCACACACACACTGCCCTGCACTTGCAAACAAGATCCCGCCACCCGCATGCCTTCCCCGGCTGGCCCCTCTCCCTCCATTCCTGCCTTCCGGCCCGACCCCATTGCCTTCATCTGCGGCCGTTCCTGCATATCTTGGTATTTGCCAAGGCAACAGGGATAATGTCTCCTGATCGACTTGCCATTGGCCTTGTCAGATCAACCTCTCGCAATGCTTGATATTTGACTGCCTTGCCGCCCCTTTCCTCTCCATACCCTTGGTTGAACCTCATCCCCCCTTTTGCTTTTCTCCCTCCCCAATATATCGCCGCCCGCTTGTTGCTGTTGGCCTTGCGTCGTTCTAAGCTGTATCTACAGCAATTCGTTCTTTTCGGCCCATGTTGTTCTGACCTGCAGTCACTCGTTCTTCAAACCTATACCATTCTTTACTCTCGTTCACCTCGATTGACCTGTTCAGATACCAGACCACTTCGATCAATCCCGCTTCTTTCGACCTTGCTACTTCGGCTGTCGTCTTCTGACCTACGCGGCGCACCTCAACCCAGAGCCAAAGCCCCCCAGCCTAGGAAAAGATGAGGACTACGAGTCTCTCTTCCGCTACGCTTTTAGCCTTGCTTGGGCTATCAGCCGCTCATCCTCACGGTAACCAATGTCTAGCACATTCATGCCGAGATGATGCTAATTAACCTCCAGGTACTAGAGATGCAGAGAGAGATATTACGCCTGGCACAATAGTTGTCACCGATTCGTCACTGAAAGAAGCCACGGAGGCTCCTCAAGCTGTTGTCTACGTCGATGAGGAGGGCACTCCTCTGACCACCGTGACCGAGACGGTCAGGTTTGTTCCCGCAGCGTCAGAGTCTCTTGGTGGCGCCCCGAAACCTTCGGATCTTGAGACTCGCTCCGGTCCCGCCTCTTCACGAGACATCTCTTCTGCTTCGTCGGTTTCGAAGACATCCCCTCCTCCGGCGACATCTCAATCCTCATCCTCCGTTTCATCATCATCATCGGCGTCTCCTTCGGCCAGCCTCTACGGCATCGCCTACGCACCTTACACCGCGAAAAGCGAGTGCAAGACAGCCGCGGAGATTGATGCTGACTTCGCTGAACTTAAGGACAAGTACTCGATTGTTCGCACTTACGGCACCGACTGCGACCAAATTACAAAAGTTCTTCCTGCCGCCAGGAGGGCCGGCCTGAAGCTTATGCTCGGTCTCTTTGACATTGGTCCGATCCAGCAGCAGGTCCAGATGATTGTCACGGCTGTCGATGGAGACTGGTCTCCGGTTGATACCATCAGTATCGGCAACGAGCTCGTGAACAGCGGCCAGGCTACAGCTCAGCAGGTCATCACGGCAATGACACAGGCGCGACAGCTTCTCCGTGCTGCTGGCTTCGAGGGCCCCGTCGTCACGGTCGACACTTTTGTGGCTGTCTTGGCCAACCCGTCGCTGTGCGACCAGTCGGACTATTGCGCCCTGAACATCCACCCCTTTTTCGACGCCAACACTGCGGCCAAGGATGCTGGAACGTTTGTGACCGGAGTGGTAGGCCAGGTTCAGTCAAGACTTTCGAATCGGAGCAAGCGCATTGTTTGCACCGAGACGGGCTGGCCGTGGCAAGGAGACGTCAACGGCGCCGCGGTACCCGGTATCAACGAGCAAAAGCTGGCCGTTAACTCGATCAAGAAGGCGTATGTAAGCCACCCGGGCGATGTCATTCTCTTTTCTGCCTTCAACGACCTCTGGAAGCACTCGGAGGCTAGCACCTTTCATGCCGAACAGTACTGGGGCATTGGAGGTCTCTACTCGAATTCTGGCAAATAGGATGGCAAAGTCATTTGATGTTGCCTGGCTGCGGGCAGGCCGTGTGACGACGTGACGAGGTACACGACACTCGGCTGGACTGAGAGCGATTAACCACTTCTTTGTTACTTGTATTGTTAACAACTTTGACTCTTCAACTCTGGCTCTGTACCTGTTTTTCGATTGTGTTGCGTACCAAAGTCCCGCGACTTAACCTGGAACCATGTGAAAGGCTAGTGAAGCGAGGCAGGTCGACTCCGCCTTTGTAGTAGTATATCACCTCACCTCCTCGAGAGACATAAACAACGCCAAATTAAGCGTTTCGTAACAGTAGACTCGAACGATACCCTGCGGCAATTTCCCTGCCCAAAAGAAGGATGGCTGAAGGTCACTGAGGTCTAAGGTCAGGCATCGGTAATAAATGGCAGCAACAGGAGCAGGCATATCAGAGGTTCAGAGCAGTCAACTCGGGTGAAAACTCAGTGCGCGCCATGAATACCTTACTTTCGTTCCATGTAAATGTATCGGCCCGCTCGTACTCTATAGGTATGCGTACTTCAACCCCACTCAGTCCTCTATACGCTCTTTACTTATATATTACCTTTCCTATATTAGCGCTATTACTTAATAATAAGTATTAATTTAAGCCTAATTATATCTAATATATCTATAGAAACTACTAACCTTATATTTAGTATATCTAGATCCTAACTAATACCTCTATATATTATTCTATTATTATTAACTATAGTATTATATAACTTATATATTATTACTAAATTATTTATTTCTTTAAAAAGATAATATTTATTATAATATTTTTATTAATATAATATATAATGAAAATATTATTAATATAGTTTAAATAAAAGAGAATATTATTCTTAAAGGTATTAAAAAACTGAAAAGAGTTAAAGCTTAAAATTATATTAAAAATAGTAATTATAAAAGTTAATATGAAATAAAGAATATAAAATAATATTTTAAATAAATAAAAAAATAAAATTTATAATATAATCTTAATAATAAAAGGGATAGTTTTTTATAAATTAATATTCTTTATTAAGGTTTTACTCCTTTTAACTTTAAAAGTAAAGCTATTTATATATTACTATATATTTTATAAAGCTTATTAAAATAGAGTTTTATTCTTTTAGAATATTAAATATTAAATATATACTTATTAAGTATAGTAAGATAATATTAATAGCTAGATTATAAGGGTAGCCATATTATATTGCGCAGTATATTATATTTGCTCTGCACGCTCTTTACCCCAAATCTAGCGTATCGAGTCAGGTGGGAAAAGGCCGCTGAGGTGGAAAAGTCAAAATGAAACCCCTGGCACGGTGCGGTGAAGTTCCGGACAGACAGCGGATGGGACGGGAGAAACACGCTATTGTGGAACCCCGCAGCCATGTTTCTCGCATGATTTACACAAGGTACGGCCATTATGTTGTAGCAGTGGCCAGACCCCCAGCAACCAACCCCGTGGCCGCCGCGTACCTGATGGTAGGAAAGGTAAGAAAGGTACGGATACTTTCTGCTGCTTACCTACCATACTCCTAAGCTTGTGCCATTTGCATTTGCTTCGAGGTATTGTCAGGCAAGGTAAGGTAGCATCCCAACCGTACGTACGTAGATCAGTGCAGGTCCAGCAACAGCGGTGAGCCTGATCCACGGTTCCGAAATACCTTCTAGATTCCGTCCATCCCGTCCCTTCCTCCGGTTTCTACGCCCTGTCCAGCGTCTCTTTCTCCTCAAGAAAAGTATCCCTCCCACCTTCAATAATTCGCATCCTCCGGGAGCTATCCCCGCCAATAACCTGTCAACGACACTCGTTCAATTGGTTTCGAGTCTTTGCTTGAGCGGCCTGTCGTCGTTCTTGAAGCCCAATTTAACACTCGTGGCGGCTCGATCGCGACTCAGACAGTCGCCATGGCTTCCCTCGCCACAGCCAACGCCGCCGTCTCGGGCTCTGCATCCCGTGGGAAGCCAGAAAAGGAGAGGGGGCTCCCGCTCATGTCTCGTCGTCAGGTTGAAGGAATGATCGCCCAGGGTCGCTGCATCACCATCGTCGACCAGTTTGTTCTGAAGCTTGACAGCTGGCTGCCCTACCACCCAGGTGGAGACAAGGCCATCCAACATATGGTCGGTCGAGATGCCACCGACGAGGTCACAGTGTGTGTTACTTTCTGATCTTTCCGGATGGGATCGTCCGCTGACTGAATCCACCACACAGATTGCACTCCCCGGAAGCAAAGGCACAAATGACCCGGTACCGAGTCGGCCGAATCGAGGGACGCTGGAGGAACTTCATACCACCTATTCAAGGGGGCAAGTTCAGGACGCTGGAGGACGGCGGCTCCGAAGTCGACGATGCCGAGGAAGACGACGCTTTGCGCTTCTTTGGCCCCTCCTCGCCCAGCGACGTCAGCTCCCGTGAAGCCTCCCCCGTTTTCGACAGCAGCGACAGCGGCGTCAGACGGCGACATGCAGCGGTTCAGAGCCCGAGCTCAGCTTCCATCTCCTCGGCGACTTCGGATGGCGCTGACGAGGGTGAAATGGACGGCACTGCCTTTCTGGATTCGGAGACACGCAAGGAGATCCGCCTCGATCTCGACAAGTACCCTTCCCTCGACGACGAGACTCAGACCGAGATTGTGCGCAAGTACCGGCTGCTTGACCAGCGCATCAAGGACGAGGGCCTGTATGATTGTGACTACCGCGCTTATGCCGTCGAGATCATGCGCTACACACTCCTGTTTGTGGGCATGCTGACCTTTCTGCGCTGGGGCTGGTATGTTCCGAGCGCCGCTTGCCTGGGATGCTTCTGGCATCAGTTGGTCTTCTCTGCCCACGACGCTGGGCATATGGGCATCACGCACAACTTCCACATCGATACATGCATCGGTATTTTCATTGCCGACTTCATGGGCGGCCTCTCTATCGGCTGGTGGAAACGGAACCACAACGTTCACCACATCGTCACGAACTCCCCCGAACACGACCCAGACATTGAGCACATGCCCTTCTTTGCTATATCCCATCGATTTCTCGGCAACCTGACGTCCTCATACTATGAACGCGTTATGGAATACGATGCCGCAGCCAAGGTGTTCTTATCGGCGCAGTCCTACCTGTACTACCCGATTCTATGCTTCGGCCGTTTCAACCTGTACAGGCTCTCCTGGGACCACCTCATCTTTAGACGTAGCCCAAAGAAGGGCATCGCTTGGTGGCACCACTGGCTCGAGGTAGCCGGGCAGGTTTTCTTCTGGACATGGTTCGGCTACGGCATCGTGTACAAGTCGATCCCCAACAACTGGAACCGTTTCGTCTTCGTCATGGTCAGCCACATCCTGCAGTCGCCGCTGCACTGCCAGATCACTCTTTCACACTTTGCCATGAGCACGGCGGATCTCGGCCCTCACGAGTCGTTCCCCCAGAAAATGCTGCGGACGACAATGGACGTCGACTGCCCGACGTGGCTTGACTTCTTCCACGGCGGACTGCAATTCCAAGTCGTCCACCACATGTACCCTCGCATCCCCCGCCACAACCTGCGCAAGACGCAGAAGTTGGTACAGGAGTTCTGTAATGACGTGGGCATCCCTTACGCCCTGTACGGCTTCGTGGATGGGAACAAGGATGTCATCGGCAGGCTAGCGGAGGTGTCTCGGCAGGCAGCCATTCTGGCCAAGTGTCAAAAGGCCGTGGTCAAAAGCGGCGACATTCTCCACGGACATTGATGGCCGTCGATTTCCCATCCCCTCCTCTACATCCCGTACTCTGTACATATGCATGGATTGGAGGGAAGGGGACGCTTAGTTATGACCAGATCAGTAAAAGAAAATAGAGATGCATGTATCCGAAGTCCAAAGCCGTGCCGCCTCGCTAGATCGGCTGTGATATCTAGAACCAGATCGATCCGATATGTGTGACTATATCTGTATTGCATGGCATGACACGCATCCTAATCCGATTCGTTCGTGCCGATGGGGCGCTACCCCTCCTCTGCAGCCGGCCATAAGCATATATCTATCGTCTTCAACCGGAGAGCGCGGTCAGTCTCTTCTTTCCTTCATTCTTTCTTTTCTTTTTCTTTTTCCTCCCCCCCCCCCCCCTCGCGGACAGAAGGAGAGAGCTGTGGTCGATGACTTGCAAACGCACCTCACGCGCCGTGCTGGCGTAGGTTGGCCAATTGCAGACGTGCGGTATGATAGGCGGTGAGTCTACAGTGGACCAACTAATAACGCCTGTCTCTTTCTTACTACTACCCATCTCACGGTCTTTGCAGATCGGGTGCATGGCTTCGCATATTTGATAGGCTTGAGCTACTTCGGCCCAGTTGAAGCCTCTTTTGCTTACGGTTAGCGAGGCAGTCAACGCAACAGAAGCAGGCTGCGCCGTAGCTTTATCCCCTGATGAGAAATTAGGTCGCAACAAGATCGTTCTACCCGACACTTTCCATGACGATTTTTTCCAGATGCCGGGGAAGATCGGATGCTTCAGAGCTTCACCAGCCTATTTCTTAGTATTGAGACGGCCTCAGGCGCCTCCAACCTACAGTTGCGCCCATCATTGCTCTCCACGGCGTTTCGTGCCTCACGCACTTGAACCGTGGTTACCTACGATGCGATGCAATGTAGATATGCACGATGAGCCCGATGGGGCAGGCCGCGCACCTGCGACCTGGCACCACAATATCATGCCCACTGTTCGCTTGACCCAGGGTGATTGGAGAGAGGCTGGAGGAATCAAGGAGAAAAAAGCAACGCCCTACCTTAAGAGCCAGCACCCAACCCCGGGAAAGAGATCAACCCCTAGCACAACATACTCAGGGCCGTGACCCCTTTCCAGCAGCCACGGGGCGGGATCCGCCAAAGACAGAACCAGAGACGGGAGACAAGGATGTCGTTTGCGATCCCCAACCAGCCCCCGCCTCCCGATCCCGTTTTCCGCCATCCCAGACCGGTACCACCGCAGAGGAAACGACGGTCGGCGAAACTATGAAGAGGCATGCGTCCGTTCGTATCCACTGTTCAAGGGGCGAGTGACTCCGGTTATGCTGCATGTGATGGCGTGCCGTTGATGGCATGCCGCTGAATATCGCTTTGTGGGTGGTGTGCCAAGATCTCTGGTCTGGACATATGTAGCGTCGGAGCAGCACGAGGCAACCTGTTGGAGATCCACCGACTCGGAGCTGAGTCCGACGCCCGATGATCTGGGTGGTTTCCTTGCAATGTCTGAGGAGCGAGATATCGTCCCTCCCCCCATGTGTCGTTTGTGTGACGACAGCCAACCGAGTTCCCTGGAAAGTCGTGCTTGAAAGCGCCACTGCCCAGGGCCTCGCCCTCAAGGAGCACATCGATGAAGGAGTGTCCCATTGCCTTGATGGCGGGTTCGAGACAGCAGGTAGTCCAGGATCAGAGAGTGGTGGAGATGGTGCCTTGTCTAAGTCCGTTGCCGCGAGCGCCCATCGAGCAAGATACGCCCCAACAGGTCTCAAGCGTCTCTTTACATGCCGGTGCTTGCGATCGGGGAGGTGAGGCAGTGAGTAGCTCTTGGCGGGGGCTCTTGCATATGAAGGGTTTTCGTATGTTTTGGTGATATGCGGGCAGGATGGAAAAGTATAAAGCCTTCGGGCGCTCCGAGAGAAGTCGCAAATGGAACAGTCTACACAACTCTGTCCTTCTTGTCCAATATCCCTTACGAGATCTCTTGCAGACTGAAAGTATCGAACTAGCATACCAGTGCTTCCACTTCCTCACGCTGATCGAGTTGCCCCCCTCGGACGACTTCGTTTGGACGGTTGGAGTCGACTGTTATCAGAAGGCCACATCTTGGCGTGCCGTTCCCTACTTGGTCGAAGTCAACATAAGCTTGCGATAATGGGCAAGAGCAAAATGGATGATGCTGCGGCGGCCCGCATACGCAAAGCTCGTGGTGAAAAGGTAAGCGACCTAGATCCTGCGCGCGCTGAGGAGGCTGCCTCGAGGACGAACGACTAAGCATGACAGGATGACTTCGCCAAACGGGCCACCATGGCCGCCCAGGCAAACAGAGATAGGGAGCCGTCCAGCAAAGGCCAGAGTGCACAATCGAGTAGCAAAGGCAAACATGATGGAGGCAGGAAGAAGTAGGGATGGAGCGTGGTGAAGAGTTACGAAATACGTGGTGAGAGTGAATGGGAACGCGACATGGCACGAGTTTTGGGCCTCGAACCAACACCAACCTGCTCAACTGGGGACGGAAGGCGAGGGGAGAAGAAGAACGAGGGATTGAGAAAAGAAAGTCAAGTACCGAGTATACAAATGCAGATGTTTCTACTAGGATACGTGTGATGACGATGTCAACCGAACATTGTGGCGACGGAGAGAGAAAAGAGACCGTTGAAGTCAGTGACAGCCCGGCCGGAAAAGAGGGAGGAGAGCGGAGGAGGAGTGAGAAACACACGGCGGCAAGCACAGGACAGAGGGGGGGTGGGAAATGACCAGGACGACCCAAATGGCTGGAATTCCGGGAAGACCAGATGGAAGAAGCTTGGGGTCAGGACCAGTTCCAGTTCTACGTACCTATCTTAAGATAAAGTGCCGGGATGCCGGGGTTGGTCAGTTGGTAGACATTTCCATTGGCCGGAGGTAAACGGGGCCCGATGGAGGCGGTAACGACGCGGCCATTCCTTGAAGACAAGTCGTGTAGTGAAGCCCATCACAACTCGACATGCTTGTCTCGAAGTTCAGATGCCCGGTCATTTGTCTGGAAGATGACGGGGAGAAAAGAGACAAAGGTCGGGTAAGGTACGGGTGGAGTAAGCTCATGGATGGATGGAGCAAAAGAAACAACAAAAGTAGCAAGCCAACGAAGGCCACGCACGACTGGTGCTCGGGTCTAGCTAGACACGCTGCAGCTGCAGTACGGAAAGGCAAGCCCTGGTTCCCGGCTGCAGTACTCTGTACGAGGTGTGATGTGGCGGATGGCCTTGAATGCCTGGAGTGCTGAAAAGACAGAGGACGCCGCGGAGATAGCAGCAGCTTCAGAGTCGACCGGAGAGGGTGTGTGTGGAATACACGTATCCGTACGTAAGAATTGAAGCGTTGCGACAAGGAGGACGGTGATGATGGAGGGCGCGAGTCGAGGAAGATACAAAACAGTGGGCATACGCAGATGCTATGCATAGGTACGGACGTAAGGCGAGAGGAGAGCCTGGTCTTGAACGTCCCTCATCGCCAAGCATGGTCGTCGGCGCAAGGAATTCGAAGACATGAGCAAGAGACCAAACGCCTGTCAGGAAAAGACCTCTCGAGTTGGATTAGACGGAAACACTTGAGAAAGACTGTGGGCAATCGACCCGTACGAGTTCCCTCAATCGTAACGCTGTCCATGTCCGGGCGTTGGACTGAGTAGAGACGCATTCACCTATCATATCAACGGGTACCATGGACAGAGAGAGAGAGAGAGAGAGAGAGAGAGGGAACCTACCTAGGTAAGGAATCGTAATAAGAAAGGTTATGAAACCTGACTGGCGTGCAAATAAAGGTTCTGATTGTCGTTGTTCCATGCAGTTGAACCGGGCTGTCTGTACCTACCTACCTAGTGTACGTACCTCTTATTCACGTAAAGAATAGGTAGGTACCTAGATGTGCGTCAGCACGAGCAGAGGTTTGATGTGAGTGAAGGGACTTACTTACGCCTACCTAACCTACCTCCATTCTTACCACCTAGGTACCTAGGCATAAATTATAGTAGGTAGGCAAGGTAGGTCGGGTAGGTGAGGAGACGGGACGGTCCCATCGGGTCTGTGATGAACACTGAACTGCTAGTCCAGTGACGCCACTGCCCACTGGGTGCCCGCGGTAGTGCAGCTTCCTCCCGTCTGTACCTTCACATACCTACTTTACCTAGTGCCTACCTACCTAGGTAAGGTACGTACCTGTGCCTCCACTTCCACTTCCACTTCCACAGCTGCCCACGCCACGCCACGGCCTCTGCTCGGGCTGCCTTCCATTGCCTCACCCGGACTCACCCACCTCCCCTACCTCATCCGGCTGCAGCCTCGCTATCTACCTAACCCCCGCGAGCATCTCTACCGCCATCCAGCCCAGGCTTCCACAATCATAATCTTTTAACTGATCAACGCCGCTGCTCATTGATTTTCACCATCCAGCATCTTATCGAGATACAGGAGTGAAGTAAACTCCCGTCCTTTCCCAATCAGTGCTTCAGCCACCGCCTCGCCTTGAGCTCTGTCCTGCCCGGGCCCGACCAGCATCGACCTACCTAGCCACTTCGACCCAACGCTGCCCGCCCCGCCAGGCTGGGCATCGCTCTCACTCAACGTCGCCGTCTCCGTCTCCGTCCCCGTCTCCGTCCCCGTCGCCATCGCCGTTGCTGCAGAAGGAAATGATCCCGTAGCTGCAGCCTCCATCTCTATTACCATCGCCCGGCTCGTTTTCGTCTGAACTGTATCGACCATGGATGTCGGTATCCAGCGAGCTCTGAACGACAAACTATACGACAAACGGAAAGTTGGAGCTCTTGAGTACGCTGCCCCCCGTTTCAGTCCCGTCATCGCCCATGATCTCATCCCCACCACGGCCCGTGATATTGACATATCGGCTTCACTAGGCTTGAGCGAGTCATTCGGGAACTGGTTGTAACTAGAGACTACCCCAGAGTCCAGGCCATCCTCGAGCAACTATGTAACGAGTTTGCCTACGCTGTACATCAGCCCCATGCTAGAAATGGAGGTCTAATCGGCCTGGCTGCAGCCGCCATTGCCCTTGGTCCTGTACGTTTGTCGGTCGTGCTACTGCCCTTGATCTGCCATGTTCTCACCAGAGCGTCCTCTGCCTCTGCCGTTCGTGCCCGCTGCTGCATCAACTGACAAGTCGGTAGGAACTGCCTCGTTACCTGGAAAAGATAGTGCCGCCAGTGCTAGCCTGTTTCACTGATCAAGATGCCAGGGTCAGATACTATGCCTGCGAAGCCATGTACAACATTGCAAAGGTCGCCAAAGGCGAGATATTGATTTATTTTAACGACATCTTTGACGCACTCTGTAAGGTACTGTCACTTGCCTGCCCCCCGCCCTTCAAGTCATGCAGACTTCTCACCATCTCGCTAGCTTGGGGCCGACTCCGAATTGTCCGTCAAGAACGGCGCCGAGCTTCTTGATCGTCTCATCAAAGATATCGTTTCGGAATCGGCTGCTTCCTATGTATCTGTCCTCGAGGGAGAGTTGGCCCAGGAAATCACCGACAAGGAAGAAGTTGAGGACCGCCCTCCCCCACCTACGGCCTTCTCCCTGCGCCGTTTCATTCCTCTGCTCCAGGAGCGCATTTGGGTCATCAATCCCTTCACTCGCCAGTTCCTTGTGGGCTGGATCACGTTACTGGACTCCATTCCCGATCTAGAGCTGGTGACCTTTCTCCCGGACTTTCTAGGCGGTTTGCTCAAATTTTTGAGTGACCCCAATCGTGATGTCCATGTCGCCACTCAGTCATGTTTGGACAAGTTTCTCAGCGAGATCAAGAGGATATCCAGAGTCAAAAAGGGCATTGCCGAAAGCAAAAAGTCTCGCGAGGGCGGGAAGCGCAAGCGTGAGGAGTCGGTCGATTCGGGTAGTGTCCAAATCGAGCCTGAAGAAGGTGATGAAGTTTCCTCCCAGAGCGATGATGACGGCAGCGGCGAGGAGGACTGGATTCCGGGCCAGGACGTTCAGGTTAACCACCGAAAGATCCTTGAAATACTGACGGCCACCCTCGATTCACCACTTGGTAAGTCCACTGGCTCGCTCTCTTCACCCACACTCCTCACAATACTGATACCCCCACAAGAAGAAGACTCTCTGCTGGAGTCCCTCCGATGGATCGTTGAATTCTTGGACATATGCCCCGAGGAAGTGTTGCCTTTCACTCCCAAGGTCCTGGCTCACATGCTGCCGGCTATGGCCAGCGGTGTCGAATCCATCCGCCAGGCTGCTGCTCGTGTCAATGCCGGCTTGATGGACTACGTTGTCTCCCTGTCAGACGAGCCGGAAATCGGCGGCGTCTACCAATCCACATCACGAATTCCCATGTCCGAACGACAAGATGGAGCCTCTAGTGCTCGTGCTTCTCTCTCGAGTTCCCGGGACTTGGAGATAAGGAGCCCAACTCCGGCTCAAGGTCATAATCGATCCATCTCGACGCCGACCGCGCCATCTGCGACCGCTCATCCCCAGGTCGATCTGGACTACGCCGCGGCTGTCAACGCTCTGACGTTGTTGTTTCTCAACGACCATGAGGCTACACGTGTTGCCGCTTTGACGTGGTTGATCATGCTCCACAGGAAAGCTCCACGAAAGGTGCTCGCTTTCAACGACGGAACATTTCCTGCGCTGCTCAAGACGCTGTCGGATCCAGCCGAAGCTGTCGTCACCAAGGACTTGCAATTGCTGTCACAAATTTCCCGCAACAGCGAAGACGACTATTTTTCCAACTTCATGGTTAACCTACTCCAGCTGTTTGCAACGGACAGAAAGTTGCTAGAGACTCGCGGAAACTTGATCATACGCCAGCTATGCGTGAGCCTCAGTGCTGAGAGGATCTACCGGACGCTTGCCGACTGTATAGAAAAAGAGGAAGACGTCGAGTTCGCCAGCATTATGGTGCAGAACCTGAACAACAACCTCATCACAGCGCCGGAGCTATCGGAATTGCGCAAGAGACTTCGCAATTTGGAATCCAAGGTACGTGGGTCATGATTGTTCACACCTTGGTTTCGTGGTTGATAACATGCTGAAACGTTCACACCAGGATGGCCAAACCTTCTTCGTTGCCCTCTTCCGTTCATGGTGTCATAATGCCGTGGCGACTTTCTCTCTTTGCCTGCTGGCCCAAGCCTACGAGCAGGCGTACAATCTCCTCCAAATCTTGTGAGCTGCGAAACAGTCCACTGAGCATATGACTCTGACGCTAACTGCAGCAGTGCGGAGCTGGAGATGACGGTGAACATTCTTATCCAGATTGACAAACTGGTTCAGTTGATAGAATCGCCTGTGTTTACCTGTAAGTTGACAACACCTCACGTAGACGCCTCGTGCAGTCGCTAACTGGCCAAAGACCTTCGTTTACAGCTGCTGGAGCCGGAAAAGTATCCCCATCTGTACAAGTGCCTTTATGGGCTTCTCATGCTCCTACCGCAGTCCTCCGCCTTCGCCGCTCTCAAGAATCGATTGAACAGTGTCAGCTCCATCGGCTATCTCCACATCGCGCCCAAAGTGTAAGTCTCTACTTTCAACACTTCTGCTTCATTCCCTGTGGCATACCGACGGTTTGACGGCTCGCTCTTGCTTGCGAATTCCCCAACGGCAACTAATAATTCTAACAGCAACCCCAGCCCCGCCGCCAGCTCAAGCTACGACAGACCCAACAGGTTGAAAGGTCGGGAAGATGGCATCATTCGCTGGAACGAGTTGCTCGAGAAATTTCGCAGTGTGCAAGAAAGGGCTCGACGAGCACAAAGATACGCCGGAGATGTCGACAATGGGCGCGGCAGCCTCGGTTTGGCAGACTTGCGCTTGGGGGAGGGTGCGGACGTGAAGGGGGGCAAAGAGGCTCGCAACCCCAGCGGACCGCCAGTGCCGGTAAAGGATCCTGCGCCTCCGGCCGCGCCGCCGGCAAAGCGAGCAGGTCTCGGGATGCGGCAGATTAGGAACCTTGGTGGTGCTGTCAGAGGAAAACGAAATGGTTGATGTGGGTCGCGCCTGGGCGGCGAATTTCCTCAGCGCAGAGTTGTTTAATACCCCCAATGACACGAGCGACAGGACGTGTCTGCGTGCTAGTAGTATAAGAAGCAATCGTCAGCGGCCCTTGCGGGGACTTTCCCTCTCAACCAAGCCTTCGAATATTGCATCACGCCGCTGGGTGACATTGCGGACCTCGGCGCGCAAATTGTCAAGCTCCACTCGAGCCCTTTGCACATCGTCTGGCAGGCTCGAGAACTGATGAATCTGGGCATCCAGACCATTCTTCAGAGCAAGAAGGGCAAGAAAGTCGTTCTCTTCCCGGGAGATCTGCTCGATGGTAGGGTGGGGCGGCGTGAGCGACTGGTTGAGAATCGACATGCGGTCTCTTAAGTCGGGTAGACGGGCAGCCATGGCCTTGATTTTCCTCTGCATGTCAAGGTTCTGACGGGCCAGGTCATGCACGGGCTTGTAATCATCGCTGCGCAGCGTTCGTAATAACTCATCTGCCGCGGCTGACTCTTGCTCAACGTGCTTGAGAAGAATGTGTGTGCGAACCCTCATCTGCTCGAGCTCTGAGGCCTGGGCATGGAGATCTATCATGGCGCGGCCGAGAGTTTCGACATTCGGGTAGGCAACGGAAAGCTGGCATGATAGCGTGGCCATGGAGTTGAGTGCAGTGCTCCCCTCCCGGGTGAGGTGATCCTGAACGGCGATGACGATCCTCTCGCGGACCGTGGCGGAAGTGGGGAGTGGTTCGGAATGGGTATCGAGCTGTAGGTCGCGAGCAGCGTCAAGTTCCCGGAGAGCCGCGGCTTCGGACCGGGAGACGACTTCACGCTCTTCGTCTGCAGTTTCGTTCAATGAGGCTAAAGCAAGGAGGGCCTTGAGGGTCTCGGGGTTCCGCTCAAAAGGAGGCACTGCACGGCCTTTGAATTTTGAGGCGAGCCAGCTGTCGACGTAGCTCCAGTCTTTGGCCGTGGAAGCCGCTATGCGGGCTATGGAGGGCGAGAAAATGGCTGTTGATTGGGGAATATGTGCCATGGTGAGTCGACGGAGCAAGTTATGTGGTGCTATCGGTTGGTGTGTTGACTTTGGCGCAGAGTTTGGTAGGCCGGTGATGGTACCCGCGACTACCTCACCTCACACAGCCTCTGAGTGGGTTTACGCGGCGCGCCGGTGGTGTGCGGAAGGGGCCGAACGACCTGAATGGGTGAGGTGCCGCGCTTCAGGGGGGGGGGGGGATGGGTGTCTGGGGAAGCTCAAGCAGAGATGGCGACTCTCAGTCGACGAGTGACCTTCATTATGGTTTCCCTGCAAGGAGAAAATGCACAGTGGGGCCGATCTGAGCTTCTATTGATGGAAGAAGCTATAAACCTTAGGTAATTAGGTTTTGGCCTTGTCCGGTTCTAGTACGTACCAGAAAACCGACGTGCCTCGCAGAGAACATGCTGCATGCATGCGCGCTGGAAATACCCCCAATACAAGGGGGCCCCGTACCACGGGGCGCCGCTAAGAGGTACTTCTCCTCACATACTATATAAAGCGCGGTCGTTCGTACTATCCATCAAATCGCGGCGTTGTCGAGTCCGCTAGTTGAGGACAACTTTTCCAATTCATCCTCGTCTAATCAATTCCTATAACCCCCTCCCCGCGTTCCCTTCTTGACTTGCGGTCTTCACCTTTACTTCTTCAGTTCCGTTTCCAGTTGCTGCTGCTTGTTGTTTCCAGGCACTGCAGTTTCCCTCGCATACTCCATCTTCTCGCCCGGTGTCAATCGCCATGTACATTCGGCTATCTGCCTGGGCGGTTGCAGCCACGCTGCTTGCTTCGCCAGCTCTCGCCATCACAAGCGACCAGATCCCTTCCGATACGCCCGTCTCCTCTCTTCTGTCCTCCGCTCAGTCCCATCTCTCCAAGGGACAAACCTCCGACGCCCTCGTCTACTACGATGCCGCCGTTGCCCGCGATCCTTCCAACTACCTAACCCTTTTCAAGCGAGCTACAACCTACCTGTCGCTTGGACGAACCAACCAGGCAACCGAAGACTTCAACAAGGTCCTCTCGCTGAAGCCTGGCTTCGAGGGCGCTCATGTACAGCTGGCCAAGATCAAGGCCAAGACTGCCGATTGGGACGGCGCAAGGGAACAGTACAATCTGGCCAACAGGGACGCCTCCTCTCCAGAAGTTGTTGCCCTCGAGGAAGCTAAGGGTGCCGCTCGCCTCGCTGAAGTGGCAGAGAAGAACGGGGACTGGGAGGCCTGCGTTTCTCACGCCGGCGAGGCTATCCTCACTGCCAACAGGGCCATCTCGCTGCGCGAAATGAGGTCGCGCTGTCGTTTCCAGCGCGGGGAGGTGGAGGAGGGCATGAGCGACCTTCACCATGTCTTGCAAATGAGACCGGGCGATATCTCGCCGCACATCAAGATCTCCGCCATCACCTTCTACGGACTCGGCGACCTCCAGAATGGCATGACCCAGACACGAAAGTGTCTACACTCCGATCCGGACTCGAAGCCCTGCAAGAAGCTGCTGAAGCAACAGAAGGCCATCGACAAGACTTTGACCAGAGTGACCAAGGCGTTCGACAAAACGCAGCCCATGACTGGGGTGAAGCTGTTAATCGACTCTGTCGACGACACCGGCCTTATTACCGACATCAAGACTCAAGTTGAGGAGCTCCGCGCCGACGGCATCATCCCCGCGGCAGCCCAGTCGGCCCTGTACATCAAGGTGGTGGAGATGGCTTGCCAAGGTTACTACGATGTAAGTTCACCATGAAACAACAGTTCTTGACGAGACACTCACAAGTATCACAGATGAATGGCAAGAAAGCCAAACAGTACTGCGAAGATGCCCTCGCACTCGAGCCCAAAGCGTTTTACGGCCTCTTGCACCGAGCCAAGACGATGATGGAGGCAGAGGACTACGAGGGTGCCATCAGGACGCTGGAGGAAGCCGGCAATGTCCGCCCGGACAAGAACGATGTGGTCCAGCCCCTGATGCAAAAGGCCCAGATCGCTCTCAAGCGCAGCCAAACAAAAGACTATTACAAGGTCCTTGGTGTATCTCATGACGCCGACGAGCGCCAGATCAAGCAGGCCTACCGCAAACTCTCCAAGATTCACCACCCCGATAAGGCCGCCAAGCAGGGACTCACCAAGGAGGCCGCCGAGAAGAAGATGGCATCCATCAACGAGGCGTACGAGGTTCTCAGCAACCCCGAGCTCCGCGAACGCTTCGACCGCGGCGACGACCCGAATAATCAACAGCAAGGCAGCCCATTCCAGGGTAACCCCTTCGGAGGTGGTCACCCGTTCATGTTCCAGCAGGGCGGCGGCGGCGGCGGAAGTCAACAGTTCCATTTCAAGTTCGGCGGTGGAGGGGGGGGTTTCCCCTTTTGAAGAGATTTCGTTGGATAGCGCATGGATTCAGGAGTTTATGGTCAAGTTCGGAGTTCATGGGGCCCTGTTCGTCAGTGGCAGATATCATATCCCGTCGTTTTCTTATTCCGCCCAAAGAGTTGGGAGCATGCATCCGAGTGATCCTTGGTCATGGAGTCTCGATCCCTCGCGTCATTCCTGGCTGTCTCTAGCACCAATGCGAGGAAGACCATTTCACGCCAACTTCGCTCTAGACAATAAAAGAAGCAAACAGTTCACCGCATTGCTTGGGTCCGCGTATGTGAAGAATCCGGCGACGCATTTGTTGGCTGTGGCCTATTCAAGTAGTTTGAGATATCTTATTGTGTCAGAGACCGTTCCCCTTAACGCCTCTCGTTCACTTGCCTATATTGTTACCGTTGGATGATCACATGGATGACTCCCCGATTTCCTGCAGCCCATCCCTGGAAACGGCGCTGGGGCGCCCGAACGACTTGATCGTTGTCGGGCAGACAACGGCAACCTCTACGGCATCACGCCAGACACGGGGGAGGTCATTGGATGACTGAGATGTCTTTTCCGGGTCTGGAGGGGGATCTAGGCGTCCACCTCACAGCTATTAACAACGAGCGTATCCCCTACGTCACCGCCGATAAACAGACGATTCGGAACACAGCGTTTGGGGCTGCGGCACTGGTGGATGAAAGAATAATCTGGGAGACGCCCTCGCCCCTGCTCTTGCCAAAGATGTCTTACTGACCGGGGCCACGGGCAATATCGACGACCACGGGTTGCCACAAGGCGCTAGGTTCCTCGTAGTGCTGAATAAGACGACAGGTGTTATCGTCAGGGAGGGCGAACTGGCAAACTTGTTCCGTAGTGGAATCGTTGTGGCAGGAGATGTTGTCATCTTTGACACACGAGTTACTGGAGCGGCTTAAAGCCGCTATTCGGAGGTGGCCTCCAAGCGTGGAACGTGATGGATTGTGCCGAATGAGTTGAAGTTTGCTTCTTCGGGAATCTTTCGTCTCTGTTCGGATAAGTGGAAGATCGCAGAAGACAAGGTTCGGTTCCGTCCAGCTTGGTGTCTCTCTCGTCGAGTCACACGAGGAACGAGCTGTTCAGCAGGCCACGGTAATCTGTACAGGTAGTATGCAATCTTGTTCTGTTAACGACGTGCAGAAACGACAAACAAGAACTGGCATCAGCATCACCTGCACTGTAAGCAGCTGCCACACAGCAGAAGGCATCGGCGAGTTGGAGAAGGATGAGAGACGATATTCCAGATTTACGTCTGCAAAATCCATCTCTGAGCAGACCAACTCCTGACAGGTGTGATGTTCCGACGCCAACATGTTGAATATCCTTTCAAACATTGCACTTTGCCAAACCACAGGTTCTCCGGTTCCCGTATCAGCCCCCACTCCACCTTGTCGCAAGAGTATTGTTCGTTGTCCCTTTGGCTTGTGGGATCCCTCAGTGGGAGTGGTATCGTGCCTCTTGCGCTTTTCCCGTTGCTATATTCCCGGCCCGGGGCCAATTATTGCTCGGGTTGGGAAGATCGACCCTGCTTTGCTCCGCCGTCTAAAAATTTACACTACCGCTCTAATCGGTATTTGAAATCGTCATGGACGTCCCGTTCTATGTGCACAGCGGCAAGCCGCCTCAAGGCGAAATGTTGTTTTGTGCGATGAAGTAGGCCCTGGAAGCATACCGCGTTAGTTGCCTGATCACCGCCCTGTTTTGGAACATGGGCTCAAACTTACTTGGAGGCCTCGTAAGCAGACCAGCAAATGGCCGTACTGGGCATGGTGGTCACCACACGCGGGCGCACGCCCTTGAAGAATCCTCTGAAACCCTCACGCTCGTAGAGTAACCGGCACCCAGCCATGAAACCATTGACATTCCTCAACGCGGGATCTGTTGCAGTTCCACGGGTCTGGAGCATGGTCTTGATAACATCCATGGGTGTGGTCAAGGCGGCAGCAAAGCCACCGGCGACTGCACCAGCCAAGCAGTGCGTTGTCGGGTCGTACTTCTTGCTGGGATTCATCGCCGTTGAGATGGACTCGTAGGCGAGGAACTGGAGGGCGGTGAAGGGCACCGTCATGGAGAGTGTCGTAGGGTAGGAGACGTAGAAAGCCGCCAATCCTTCGGTCTTGTAGACGTACTTGGCGCAGTCGGTCATGGAGCGGTACATTTTGGCAGAGCCCTGGATTTGCATGCGCTGCTTGATGACTAGAGGCGCGAGCGTCAGTTGTGTGCACGATAAGGCGTTTAGCACGCCGTTGACGAGTCACGCACCATCGAAGGGGTTCATCAGCGCATCACTAGCAATAGTAGCACATGCACCACTGGTTGCTGGAATTGAAATAAAGTTAGCCAAGGGTGCATCACGAAAGCGAAAACGTGAAGGCCACTCACCAGCGGCAAGAGGGTGGTGAACACCTGCTTGATTTCCGCCCATTACATGCTTGACAGCTTCGTATGTAGCAAAGTAGACGGCGTGAGCGGGACCTAAGTAAGTCAATATAACAATTCCCGTGTTCATTGCAAAGCACTTGAGCTCTCATCAGGTGGCTTACCAGCGCCAGCAACAACGCTGGACATGCCTCTCCACAGGCTGAGAACACCTTCGCGGCTGGCTATGCGATAAGTACCCTGGATAACGCCATTATAGACCGCACCGGGGTTGGGGTTCAGGACCTGCATTCGGGTCTGGGAGCTGGGCGTCAGTACGTGATGATGGCTCGACAGATACGCAACGGTCGGAGCTATGGGAATGGACTCGAGTCATACCTTGATTGCGTCGATAGGATACATGACTGTGTGCTCCTGCAGAAGAGATGATCAGCATCGGGATTCACAGGGAAAACTCGTCGGAGGCCGTTGCCAGCCCAGACGCAGTCGCAATGAAGTGGAAGGACGTGGCGTACAGCTATGCCGGCAAACGCCCCGGCGGCCATGTTCTGGACCAGGGAGAAGTTGGGAGGCAGCGATTCATAGCTATTAGAGAGAAACACGGTGTCAGCGACGGACGTTTGTGGTTTTTCTAGACTGGGCGAGGGATGCGGTCCATGTTGGGGTTTCTTCGTATGGGCATGAGTGGACGGGAGGATGCGCACTCATAATCCTCGACGGGCTCTGCATTGGGCTGGGCCATTGCGGCCGCAGCGTCAGATGCTTCGCCGTAGGGCTTAGGCTGAAGAGCCGCCAGATTGACAGCGGGGGAGGGGGGCGACGGGATGGTCGTGGACGCCAGCGTGTGTGGCGGAGGGAAGCTCTCGTCGAGCTTGACCCAAGGTATCGCGTCGCCGATTGTCTCGGTGTCCTTTTTTTCCCCCTCGTAGGACGTACAGGCTTGCGCGGGCAAGGGGACGACGAGAACCGGGTCGACCGGAAGATGTGTGAGGTGATTCGGTGCGGGAGCAATCGCAAAAATTGAAGCTACGGAGGAGGAGTAGAGTCCTTCAGCGAGCGGCGCGATGTTTGGAATTTGCGATACACAGTCGGCAAGGACGATGCGGAAAGTTTTGAAGTTGAGGTAGGGTAACGGGAGACGCAAGGCAGGTCGGTAGATTGCGACGAGGGAAAAAGAAAAAAAAAAACGACCCAGGTCTAGTAGCGACTTCTAGGTACTGAAGCTGGTAGTATACGAGCAAATAGACCCTGCTCGGTACTTGAGCCTGTTAAGGGGTCTTAGCTTCGGTCTCTTAGTTAGAGGACAAGAAGTGCCTTCCACCCAAGCAGGCCGGGCCATCTTGGTTTGGACCCAGTGGAGGTCGACCTGACTAAGGTGACTGATTAGATACCACCTTGCCTCCTACCTACGTAGTTATAGGTATTTACAGTTCTCTTCAGTTGGAAGCAGAGGCACGAAAATGTACCTCGGATTGGATTGACAGCAGAAGAAAACGGACAAGACGAAGACACAGGCATAGGCATAGGCCTGTGGTGTGGCCATGGATTTGACGGAAAATTCTGTATCCCACTTCGTCCCGTCCGGAGTTGAGCGTCGGGCTTGACAGCGGCCTCGGAGATTCTCAGCCCGGAATGTAGCGTGCCTCGCGCATGTCGGCACTAACAGATGCCAGATGCTCCGTACCTTACCTTGAGGTAGACCACCACTCTTTGCCAACCAAAGTAGGCACGAGTCGCTACTTGCTACGGTAGGATCTACCCGTCATACTCTTGGTTTCTACCTACCTCAGGTAAGGTAAGATAATATAGTTTAGGTAGCCCAGCAGATTCCTCATTGCGGTTTGGTTGATGTAGGTCTTTCGCATACCATCGTACACTATAAACTCAATTGATGATGCCGTGGTTACTTCATCTACACCCGACTTTCTTCGCCCGAGCTACTACCTTAGGTAGACGTGCCGCCGCCTCTAGAAGTCGGATGGGAAGTGCCAGCCCGTGGATCCAGTCACCAAATTCCAGTCGGATTAGGTAGCGGACGGGAGAGGCCCCCTCCACGCTGCCTTCAGCAGTTTATCGACTCTTTTATCTTATAACGCGCCATTTTTAGTGGCCAAACAAGTCACCGTCAGCAACCTCGGAGCAACAAACGACCTCCATGTCACCAAACGCTCCATCCCGTCTCTACTTATCAGATCAAAAGATTAGTCGATAAGAGAGAGCTGTGCATAAGGTACCTACTTAACGGACGTTAAAGGTACCTACCTACCTAAGGTGAGGTAAGGTAAGGTACCTTAGCGAGCCAGGCCCACTACCTTACGTCGCTAAGTGCCTAGGTACCTGGTCAGTCAGTGTCAGTGCCCTGTACCGGCCACTGGCATTTCAGGATCGTACTAGGTTGATCTCCCACACAAACAACCTCGGGATAAGCTGGCTGCAATTACGGTGATTTGGCCTTCCCTCACTCACTCTTCTTCCATCTTTCTAGAAACTATCGGACTCGACTTTCAACCCGTCCCCACGACCTTCCACTCACCTTCCACTCGTGAGTGAGCCCCTCCTGCTACTCCGACCTCGGGTCTCGTCCCTTGTCTTTTGCTATTTTATCCTGGCCATCTGTTGAATAATATATTGACTGACATGACTAGCGTGCGTTTCCGTGATATTTGAGCTTCAATTTGATGTTCAACATAACTATGCTTTCCACCTGTGCATCTTTCCGTCCATGACTATCCCAAACCCCTCCCACTTTCACCGCCCAATTACAAACTGCACAAGCTCCAAGAACGCAATACACATAGAACTCGGTCTCTGTTTGCCATATCAACTCGCTGACCACCCATACCCATCTGTGCTTCCTGTAACATCGCCTGCTACCTGGACGGTCCGCTCATATCCCCCTCATCCCGCGTTGTTTTGCAGACAGGTACATCGGGTTGGTTGGGTCATTTCTGTGACAGAATCCTTCTTGTCCTCGTCCTGTCCCGTCCCATCCTATCCCGACATTCATATCTCGTGTTCTCCGTTTGCAGATCACCACCGCCGGAGACCGGAGACGCGAAACTCCAACGTCGGGCCCCTCGGAGATACGACAGACCCTCTCCGGTCCGGCTCAAACTAACTCCTCACCGATTTGCCCAGTCCGCGCCGGTAGTTCGCGCATCTGCATCTAGACTCGACTCGGGCCAGCAAAGCCACTCGTCGCGTATCCTTATTCGTAAGTCCCCTCGTTTGAACCCCTGCGCTCTTCTCATATCAATACGCAGCACGCACCAAGGCCGCTCGAAAATGCAAGCGGATCATAGTCCCGTCTATTGAACCGTCCCTGTCTAAAATAACAAATCCCTTACATCGAGTATTCTCAGCCATCCAGCCGGATGGAACCGGAACACGGAGACATACCCTTCGGGATTTCGGCCGCGTTGCCCAGATCGCGACCTCTGCTGTCGCTTCCAAGAACGCCTGGTAGCTCCTCATGCCGTGACACATCGCCATCGCTATCGCCATGATCTTGAAGTCTTTGAACTTAGCAACGTGATTTCGTAAACCAAAACACTGCCCTAGCCTAAAGACAAAATTGCACGCTCGTCTTTCTTTCACAGCGCTCCGCCGGGGCGATTGTGAGCCTGCTGAAACTGGTAGATCAGTTCCAAAACCCCCGCGTTTTGGCCTCCGGTATCTGTAGCCGTGCTGTTCTCCCGGCTCAGTCCTTCCGGCGGCGACGTCTCCCAGACAGACTCCCCCAGAGGACCGTATCCCTCAAATGGTTCGTCTTCCAATGCCCCTTGCGATCCTGGGCGCCCGTCTGTTCCCAAGCCGTCTTCTGTTGACTCCTCGATTATGCTTTCTCCCTGATATCCACTCCGGTTCCCTCGGCTCCGATGCGTGCTTCGGACCCCGAATCCTGCCGCCGGTTGGTGATGTGGGTCGAGCAACATTGATGCCATCGGGCTTGGGGCCGTCATGGAAGGTCCAAAGCGCGGTGTCCGAGTTGCCTGCCCTATGCCGCCTCCAGGTGCCCGGCTTCTTGCTAGATCGTGCCGGCCTGCCCTGGATCCCTGCATATCAGCTGCCAGCGTGGGTGACTGAAGCCCCGGAAAAGCGGGTGGCGGGTGGAAAGGGTGTCTGCTCCCAGGAGGGATGTGGCCCGGAATGCCCGTTTTCGGGTTGATCACGTAGTTGTCCAAGAATCCGTAGTAAGATGCTGCCATCTTGCCATGTTTCGTCAAATAATAGTCCTCGCGAACATCAGTGGCCCCTGCCTTTTGCTTGGCCTTCTCTGCGCCCGTCTTGAAATCAAAGATGGCGAAGGAGCACACGTACCCAACCCCATCGACATGAACCGTGAACTCCCTGAAGAAGTCAATAATCTGGTCGCTGCATTTGGGTGCTGAGAAAATGAGCACTAGCGACGCTGTGAGAATGCCGACGATTTCCTCGACGAGGATCAGCACTTTGAGCTTGTAAAGCTCCGAGAATTCTCGCTTAACTTCCGCCGTGTGCAGGCGACTTTGCCAGTGAGATGGGAAGTAATGGATGTGGCCGATGACGTTCCGCAGTGCGTACTCCGGGTCGAAGACATTAGTCTCTTCTGAGATCATGCCTCTGGCAGCCGCCCAAGTGGCGCCGAATATTCCGATATAAAATAGTGCCGATTTGCCGAAGAGGAGTTCGAAGCCCAAGAAATGCTCAGGCTCTACAAAAGACGCGATGGCCAAGATGGTAGTTATGGCTCCGGCAATAAAGGTGACCGCACGGGCAAACTGCTCTATCAACTTCTTGGGAAATTGGTCAATGTACGTATGAGCAGCCGGGTACGACATGTTCAGGCGCCCCTGGAAGAAATGTGGAAGTTCATTGAACTCCCGGAACTTCCACTCAGCCAGCGGCGTGTACCTTCGGTGGCTGAAGGTTGACGGGTCCTTTTGGTACTCCTGTGATTCTGTTAGCCAATCCACAGGTCCGGAAAAGCGTCAAGAACGCCTACATTGTAGTACGTCAAAGCGTGCACAATGATGAGGTACGCGACAACAAACGGTCCTATCATGAGGTTGATGACACCGGCAAATATGAGGCGGGTTTTTAACATCGCGCTCAGGGGACCGCGATGATCCGATTTGAGAAAGTCCTGCTTGACCTGATTGTTCTCGTCGAAGACGAAGCTTAGGATGCCAAATTTCAGGTTCCATTCGAGACTCCTTGAGAAGAATTGGTGCTTCCCCATGAACGGAATTGGGAGTGTCAGATCGAGGATATCCTTGTTCATCATCGCTATCAGATAATTCTCTCTCCGCATGAGGCGGTTGGCGATGTCGTGAGCGTCAAGGCGCTCTTTGGACTGATTGCGCATCCATCGACGCTGCGACGGGGTGATGTTGATAGCAGTCTTCGGGTTTGCGTCTCGCAGAGCCATGACGCGGGAGACAATGTCTTGCCACGATACTGTTTGCATGTCCTCTTCAGGTATTTCGAGGAGATATGTGTAAAAGTTGCGCATGTTGCGCAGCCGTCGGAGATCCACGGTATACTGGACGGCTTTCCATATGAAATAAAAGACGTACAGCCACAAGCCGAGGTTCCATACGAATGACATTTTTCTGGTGCACTGAGGAATCACTACCTCCCCTAAAGACTTTTTGCTCTTGTCGGAGATGAGTGAGTAATCCACACACTGCGTCATGAACGTAAGGAAAACCGCAAAAAAGGCCGATTCACTTGGCAAAGGTCAGCAATCTGCAAGTATTGCGGCAACGAAGATAGGATGAGGTACTTACAGAAGATGCAGTCCTCGACCACAAACGATGCACCAGTAGCCACTACCCTGGTAGTACGAATAGACATCCTGGATGAAGAAGTCCACATTCGACACGTTGACCCACCTCCAAAGTGCCTTCTCCTTCTCGTTGCCAGACGCAAGACCTCGCGCAAACCGTTTAGGTTGCGCTCTGACCAGTTGGATGCCGTCGGGCGGGTGCAATCTCTGCTGGGCTTGGGCGGTTTCCCACTGAGCATGAGCTCGTCGGTCCGATGGACCAGGAATGGCAGGCTGCCTCGCTGCTGCAGGGGGCTGCTTTCCGCGGCTTGTTTCTTTCGCGACCACTTCCATGTCGTGCGGCTCTACGAGGAGAGAAGCGGGGACATCATTATCGCCATCATCTTCTTGGCCAACCCATGCGGGAGCTGGGTCACGTCTGGTCCCTCGGCGTTGTGTGCCCCGTCCGGCAGTTTTGGGGGAGCTTTTGAGAAGGTTGGCGTTGCTTTCGAGAGTGGCACGACTGTCTTCGACTGCGAGTCCCTGCGCATGGTCTAGATCGTAATCCTGGAACTGCTCTTTCAAGTTCTCTTCGTCAACATCAAGTCCAGCCTGGTTCTCGATATCTGGGTCCACGTCGCGTCCTTCTCTCAGCTCTTCGTAGAAGGATGGAGAGCCTCTAGCTGGCGGGCCAAGCCGTGAAAATATGTTGGAAGCCATGGAAGATGCAAGACGATCGAATTTCTTTGAGTCTTGTGGTCGAAATGTACTCGTCGTTTATGTCGTATAGCGCATGTTCGGGGAGCGGGATCTGAGCGACTCTTGCACAGACAACGACTGAGTCCGAGAGGAAGAAAATGTCTGGTATTGCAGTCTGGAGTAGAAATGGTCAGCCCAAGCAACGACACAACTAGCAGGAGGCGAGCTGATCAAGAGCAGGGTATGTTCATCATTTGACGTGAGGTCATGTGGTCTGCTTCAGGTAGTGCAGGTGACTGATGGTTCGGATTGTTCGCAGGAATACCTTCTGGGGCGAGGCTCTAGGTACCAGTAAGCTCGTGCGGAGGCTGTCGTGTTGGTATGGTGTTTGAGAATCGGACGGTTGACGTGCTGGCTGGGGTTAATGCGACATTTGCTAATGACTTGGTCAGAATTGGCAAAGCATCACAGGATGTTTGGTAGAGGCGGTTGAAATGGAAAATAAGTCAAGCTTGTCGATGGGCTTTAGCTACCTAAAGGTTACGCTTCCAGGACTGCCTCGGCGCGTGATCAGGCGGGAGTTTGTACCTTGAAGGTCGCAGAAATACATACTGAATCCAGTGGATGGATACCGACGGGTGTTGGTATTAGGTATGACGTGGGCGTCCGGGGGGCAGGCGGTAAGCGATAGTGCCGTACTTACTTTTGGCCGCCTTCCTATCATGGTTATACCACCTGGCACATGAGAGGCACCCACCTGGGGTATCTTACCTTAGGTAGGTACGTACTGGAATTTCTCCATACAGTGCTTTCAATGTCTTCCAGGTTCGTCATCTCTCCCAAAGGAAACATTCCAACACTCTCACTTGCATCTCAGTGCCTAGCCGGGGGTACCATAATTCCTCCTCCAGTTATCTACAGTACTGTCATCAGCGCAGCATGCTGAACTCACCACCGACCCGATTGAGGCAATCTTAAGTTTGGGCTTGCTTGATACCACAAACGAGGCCTCGGCTCAGTTGCCTCGCTTTTCGCTGCACAGCATGGCCTCCACGAAGGCTCCTAGTTCTCTACCCATCAGAGATGTGTCCAGTTCAGGCGTGGGCTTGCCTCAGCCGCCATCAACGCCCACCTCCCTGAGGAACCAGAATCCGCTATCTTCAAAAGTTACAACAGTACTCTCAACATCATACGCTGATTCTGAGTTTCGAGATGCCTTACAACTTCTCGACGGTAGAGGTCTAAAGAACACTCCCGAGACACGTCGACAATTGCGCCTGGATCTCCAAAAGGAGGTGATTGACAGCAATGGCGAGATCGTGTCTCAATTTGGTCGGGTTGCAGATGTAAGCTTTAATTCCCTCTCATAATTACCGCCGTGACTATCTCTAACGAGCTTATCAGCAACTTCGCCGCATTGGGGCCACACTGGACAAGCTGAATAGCAACTATCAAGACGTCAGGAGTCGCATCACCGCGGCTCACCAAGACACGGGCCCAATCTTGGAGGAGGCATCGTCGTTGATAAAGCAGCGTGCTGAAGTTGATTCTAAGCAGCACCTGCTAAAGGCGTTGCGTAGTCACTTCATCTTCTCTGATGATGAGGTCGCGTCTCTGACCTCAACGGCCGAACCCATCGATGATGGTTTCTTTATCGCCCTAGCCAAGGCAAAACGCATCAGCAAGGACTGCGAGATTCTTCTGGGGTTTGAAAACCAAACCCTCGGCCTGGAAATCATGGAACAGACATCAAAGAATCTCAATCTCGCGTTCCAGAAGCTGTACAAATGGGTCCAGCGTGAATTCAAAACACTCAACCTGGAGAATCCTCAGATGAACTCGTCCATCCGCCGCGCGATACGTGTTCTGGCAGAGCGTCCGTCGCTCTTCCAAAACTGCCTGGACTTCTTTGCCGAGGCAAGGGAGCGCATTCTCTCCGATGCATTCAACCTGGCTCTGACGGGCACAACGGCTTCAGGTACAGAGGATCACTCTGTTAAACCCATCGAAATGGCGGCCCACGATCCACTTCGCTACGTTGGAGACATGCTTGCTTGGATACACTCAGCGACCGTCAGTGAGCGAGAAGCCCTCGAGATTCTCTTTGTTTCCGAAGGAGACGAAATCGCCAAAGGTCTTCAGTCCGGTCGCGCCAACGAGTTATGGCAACTTCTCGACGAGGGTGAGGGGGAGGCAGCTGGCGACTTTGATGCGCTGAAGGCACTCAACGATTTGGTTGACCGAGACGTATCTGGAGCAACCAGGATTTTGCGACAGAGAGTCGAGCAGGTCATTCAATCTAACGAAGAGACCATCTTAGCCTACAAGCTCGCCAACATATTGGGCTTCTACCGATTTACTTTTGCCAAGCTGCTGGGCAGCCAATGCGGACTGTTAGATCTCATGTCTGGCCTTGAAGCAGGAGCTTTGAGGCAGTTCCGGTCTCTGATGAGAGATCACATCGCCACGCTGCAGGGCGAGTTCCAGCAGACACCCTCTGACCTTGGGCCGCCAGACTTCTTGCTCGACGCGCTGAAGCAGCTGACGGCTGTGATGAAGACATACGAGATCTCGCTAGCGACGTCTTCGGACCGCGAGACTGACTTCCAGCCAATCCTCACGGAAGCTTTTGAGCCTTTCCTCTCCGGTTGTGAGAATATGGCCAAGGGCGTTGGGTCTCCGGCAGACGCCATTTTCCTGACAAATTGCCTGCTCGCAGCCAAACATACGCTGGAGCATTTTGATTTCACCCAGAGAAGGGCCAAGCAACTGCAAGAGAGAATAGCAGAAGAATGCGGAAAACTCACGGAGCGACAATACGAGTTTTTCCGTCGGGGCTCAGGACTGACACAAATGCTTGACACCGTGGGCAAGCTGACCACAGAGCCCACTGATGTTGAGAAGGTGTTGTCACTAGAGGCCTTGCAACCACAAGCTCTGAGCCGAGCCAGCCAGACTCTCGACGACTTCCTGCCATCGGCACTCATGGATGCTATGGAGAATATCAAGCACATCCAAGACTCGACTCTTGCACGAGAGCTCACGGAGAAGGCGGCAACAAGGTTTTGTGACGAGTTCGAACATGTCGAGCAAATGATGCTTTTGGCAGACAGCACACTGGGCCGGGAGCGGGATTCCGATGATGAAGTTGCTGAGCCTCAACCACTCCGTACATTATTCCCAAGGACGATAGGGGAGATTCGGGTTCTTCTTTCGTAGCCCCCCAAAACAGAAACGACTACTGCGACGGGATCATCCGGTGCCCCGTCATCTGTATATCTACGAACGATGTCTTCGTAGCAAACCTGTGGAATACTCGCACCTGATAACGTACTCAGATGCCTGGCGACACACCAGATTGGAGACCATTGGAAAATGGCACAAAATTAATATAGCATTACAAAGGATCATAGCGGCAACGGTACTCCCTTCAAATGAAAATGAATAATTGCTGCAGAAGACCGATGTCCCATGGTTGGATGAGTAGGTAGGTACTTGTCTCAGTAAAAGTGCCTAAGGTACCTGCCTAGGTACTTAGGCAGGTACCTTAGGCAGGTAGATACCTTAATGCAAGTACCGTCCGGCTAGGTGTTTGCAGGCTGAGCCCAAGGTACCCGAACCGTAGCGACGTCACCGCTGTCATCCCCTCCAAGGATTGTTCACCCGCATTTCCACTGCTAGGAACAAAGACTATCAACCTACCTTGACCCTGCCCTTGCGTACCTTCACCTTGAGTGGACCGACGTTTTCCATCTCACGATTCAAACGACGCTGAATACAACTACGACTAGTGACAGGATCAGTGACGGCGAAGAGACAGACACGACTATGGTCTGGCCGCCTTCACCACCGGCATCATGTCACGCTCCCGGGCCCTCGCCATTCTCCAGAAGACGTACGACGACAGCTATCTGAAATGTTCCACCGCCGTATACTACGAGAGCCAGGTAAGTCTTATTGTCGTTTTCTAACGCAGCCCGGCTCATCCTCGCCCGTCGCTGGCTTGCTAACGAAGTGTTTACTAGGGCGATGAGAACGAGGCGATGCGATGCTGGAAGACTGCCTTGGGACAGATATACGACCAGCACGTAACCAAGTTGCTGCCCAACTATGCAGCTAGATCCGAGACGGAAGAGGCCCTGGTGGACTCGTTGCGACAACTCGAGCTGCAATGCAAGGAGCGCATTGACCTGCTCGAGGCGTTGCGAATATCCCGACAGGACGCCATGACTTCCCGAGACTCGAATGAAAAGCCTTGTACCCCACCGACGTCGACGTCTCCCGATCTCTCCACATCTACTCCGGAACGAGGCTGGATCGGTCAGGGCACCATTCCAGCTATAAGATATCCCGAGCTCTCAAGACCAGCCCTGCCGCAAAGGCCCTCAATGACCTCCAGAACGTCGTCAGAGTATGCCGTGGTCGGTGGAAGCCCGAGTCGTGCCAACACGTCTTCGTTCGTTGGCCCGTCGTGCTCGCCCAGCATTTCTTCCAAGAAGGAAACTATGCGGTCGCCAAGTCCTGAGAAATACACCATGAGAACTACCCTTCGGTCCGGCAAACCAGGCGAAAAAACACCAAGATCGAGTCGCAAACTGTCAAAAGTGGATGGCCCCGGGGCTAGCAAAGCTGCCACTCTGGCTTGGGGTGCCATAGGGGGAGCGAAAGAGCGCCTAGCGAGGACATCTCCAATGATCGCTGAGTCCTCATCATCTACCACACCCGTTGGCACGCCCTCTGAGTCTTCTCGCAAGACACTCACTTCCTCGGCTACTCAGTGGGACGTTCACACTAGAAGGCTTGTCACAGCTCGAAAGGCCTCGCCATCACCAGATGGTGGAACCAGCGGACGAAATTCGGACGACCTCTCTCATACGCGGCCATCTGCTCTGTCCGTTAGTGCGGCATCAAGTGCTTTAAACGCTCTGTCGCTTCACGAGTCATCCCCGATCGATCAAAGTACGCCGAAGCAAGACAGGCCGTGGATGCTGAAGGATCATGCATCCTCGGTCCCTCGCTCCAGGATATCTCCCCACCACCGGATTGCGTCGTCAGAAGCCGTTAATTTGACAACGCGCCGAAACAGCTCATCGGATGCTCTGAAAATCCGGAGAAAGCCCGTTGCGGAGGTCTCTGGGATACCTAATGGAAACCCTCAGAGTGGTTCTGAGCAGGATGGCGCAGCCCGAACCCGCCACAACATTCAGCGTTCCAGGAGAAACTCGTCATCAAGCTGCTCCGACGACCCAAAAGCGACCCCAAAGCCGACAGAAAATCGACGCAAGGGAAAGCTGAAAGAAGAAGCCGTGGTTGCTGACGCTGACGCACCGTCAGAAGAATTTCCCGAGGGCGATGACCAGGATTCATCAACAAAGTCCACCTGGAAAGTGAAGAAAGCTCGTATCCTCAAGAATTTGCCGACTGGAGTGGACGAGTCAGCAGCGAAACAGATTCTCAACGAGATTGTGGTCCAAGGTGATGAAGTTCACTGGAGCGACGTGGCAGGTCTTGAAATAGCCAAAACCGCCTTACGGGAAACTGTGGTATACCCCTTCTTACGCCCAGACTTATTCATGGGGCTTCGCGAGCCAGCCAGGGGTATGTTGTTGTTTGGACCCCCTGGGACTGGCAAAACCATGCTAGCCCGGGCCGTGGCAACAGAGTCACGATCAACATTCTTCTCGATCTCAGCAAGCAGTCTGACGAGCAAGTATCTCGGGGAGTCGGAGAAGCTCGTGCGCGCCCTGTTTTCGTTAGCAAAGGCGCTGGCTCCGAGTATTATCTTTGTGGACGAAATCGACTCGTTACTGTCTCAACGATCTGGGTCAGGAGAGCACGAGGCGACAAGGCGAATCAAAACCGAATTCCTTATCCAATGGAGCGATCTGCAACGCGCTGCAGCAGGCAGGGCCATCGATGACAAAGACAAGGATCGGGGAGATCCCAATCGTGTTCTTGTGCTGGCGGCAACTAACCTTCCGTGGGCCATCGATGAGGCTGCCCGCCGCAGGTTCGTGAGACGTCAATACATACCGCTACCCGAGCCGAAGACCCGATCAACACAGCTTCGCACACTATTGGGTCAGCAGAAGCACAGTCTCACAGATTCCGATATTGAGAGACTCGTCGAGCTTACGGATGGTAAGTGGTAGCGGAGAATCGGCGTGTCGACGATATGTCTGAATGATGCTGAGATCAAACACCACAGGATTTTCCGGGTCCGACATCACAGCCTTGGCCAAGGATGCTGCTATGGGTCCTCTTCGCTCCCTTGGCGAGGCTCTTCTAACTATGACGATGGACGAGATTCGGCCGATTGGGTTGTTCGACTTTGAAGCGAGTCTGGCAACGATACGACCCAGCGTTAGCAAGGCTGGGTTGAAAGAGTACGAAGATTGGGCCAAAGAGTTCGGAGAACGTGGTGGGTGAGAGCAGGTCATGGGTGACATTATGTTCGATGCCGGGGGGGATGGATACACAGGCAAGCTCGTGGGCCGGCCGTAATTAAGAAGGCGAGCAGTAACCGTGAAGACACGGCCTGGTCAGCCGCAGTTCAGGAATCTGTGAAAGGAACCCCAAGTGAAGATGGGCGAACATGATACCCTACGAAGCTGGTCGGTTATGGCGTAGGACAGGCACTTGGAGTTACCCGGCATTCGAACTGTTCTGGAATCAGGCCCTATTTGGCCAGGCTTGGGTATGTTACACTAGGTAGTATTGGTATATACAACGAACCATTAGAAACTCTTCCGGGCGCGGTGCTCCTAATAAGAGCTCCCCATCAGTATGGATTCGTGCCAGAGGCCAGCAATCAATCTCCACCACAAGCTCTTTTCGACAAGGGCTCCTCGGTTCGTTTTGTTGTACAGCGCGGCGCACTCGTCTGGCGCGCGCAGAATCGTCGCATCTTGACCGTAGCCCATCAAGCTCAATCAACTTCGGGTTCGGGAATCACTGCAGCCTTCGCCGACGCACCCTTCTGCCGTCTCGCCGCTCGCCTGGCGTCCTTTGCTTCCCTCTTCTCCTCACGGACAGCAAGACGCTCCTCTTCGGTTGGGATTGAAGGCCGCTCCTCGATTGGCGTGCCGTAGGGCGCGATGATGCTCTTGACGACGTGACGCTTTTTGGGGGTTGTCCTCCATCCAGGAACAATCGAGACGACGTCGCCTGTCTGAAGGGAGGAATTCGGGTCGTGAACAAGGTAGTTCATGGGTTTCGTGAACATCTAAGGGTTGTCGAGTTAGCTCAGATTCAAAGATTCAGGAGCGCCAGGTTTTCCATGTCCAAGTTCTAATACCTTTTGAACCTTTCGGTTCCATTGTTGGCCACCCACGCGCACTTTGACCGTCTTCTGCATCAGTCCAGCGCTCACGACGACACCGTGGACCTCGCGGATGACTTGGCGTGCTGCCGCGGTTGCAGTGTTGGACATGGCGAGAACCGACGGAAGACCGTTGGATCCGAGCAAAATAATGAGAGAGATTGTGTCGTTTGATTTGGTGGCAGGTATCGCCAAGGCGCGTGATCGGAGACCAAGGCTGTCGTCGTCCAAAATATTGCTCTATTTCCTGGTCGCGGGCTACTGCACTCGGAAAATCAGAAATTGGAGAGTCGTTACCTACTGGCGGACGTTGATTGGGTTGTCGGACCTTCTTTTACCCGACCAGAGTGCATCCTTTCCCGAGGGGTTAGGGCGGGCGCTAAGATAACCTTAGATAGCCTACCTACCTAGGTACTGACAGTTTTTCCACTTTTGCTCACGAGCCATTTGATGTGTTGACAGCAGAGGGAACGGTTTCGAGCACGGCGGAACGAGACAATGCTACTAAGCTCATGCGAGACATCTCGCGAAATAGATCTGCGTCGGACTGGTCGTCAGGACTGATTCAAGCGCTTCGCAACAAAACAAATATATGACTATCGGAAGGCAGCATCTCTCCAGACTTTGCAGCAGGCGCAGATTCATCCGGTGGAGGAGCATTTCCCGCCTCAAGTCGGCAGCAGCGGATTCCTAGATGAAGACAGGAGGACATGGAATGCGGGCAGTCTCCAGGCAACAATAGCGGGAAGCTCTCAAGAGCGGTTCATCGGTGCGGCATGTTGTTAAAATGAGTGGTTAGTTTGCACAAAATTTGCGCCGCGGAAACGGAGATACTGAGTCGAGGCAGGTAGTGGCAAGCAGGGAGCATCGAGGTTGAAGGAGTGATATGGCTGCCACCTACCTTACCTTAGTTGGAGATGAGACTCCGTAAGGTACCCGCAGATAAGAGCCCGCAAAATGGAAGTTCTGGTATCGGAGTAGTTGGCAGCTTCCTTAGGTACGAGGCAACCAACACTATTGACATGTCGCTGGTCTAGCAGAAGAAAGCAGCGATGACGTCTCCCTCGGATACCTTGTGTGTTAAAAAAACGAAGACAATTGATTACGAGGCGATAGCGCGAGGGATGTCTTATTGTCCGCAGGAACAGTGAATACGTGGCGTATTGCTTTTCAAAGGAGGATGACACCTTATCAGTAGACGGCAACAGACCAGCAGTCAAGGGAGTATTACCTGTTGGCTCCCAAAACACCTTACCTTAGGGAATGGCAGACCGCCGGGAAAAGAAGACAACGAAGCCCTGCAATGCGGTTTCCGACAAGATAAGGGGGAAAAAGATTGCTTCCACGGTGTTTCCCGTTGGAAAGCAGTGGCCCGTATAAAGCCAAAACCAACTGTTGACTGATTGGACCCTGCATCGGTGGCTGGTCCGACCGCGATTCCGAGCGGGCACAGGCGAGGGGCACAGCACCGCGGGGTCCGTTGGACGTCCATCGGTGCCATGGATTGGCAGCTCAGGTTGCCCCCCCTCCCCCCCCCTCTCTTTCAGCATCCACGTCCGTATCCATCCGTACTTTACGGGATTGGAAGTTCCTTCCTACCTACGCAGTACCTCAGGTACCTTGAGCTTTGATTTCTTCTGCCCCACGCATACTAAAACCGCATCCCTCGCTCCTATTATTTTCGAGACTCCCAACGCTCGCTGCTTTGCCTTTCACCACGTCCATTTCCTCTCACCCCTCCTCCTCCTCCTGCGACATCCTGTTTGCTCGCCTCTTGCCGTGTACCACGCGAGATTACATTCCAACTTTCCACACCCCCTTCTTTTTCGCTTTTCCCAAGTCCCTCTGGACGGACGTCTTCCCCCTCACTCCCGGAAAAAAAAATGTCTTCCCCAGAGGCCCGTGCTGGAGTGAAGCGACCTCGTAAGTCTAAACGTATTTTTTTCGTCAATTCGATCTTTGCTGCCAGCCGCGCCCTGCTTTCACTCTCCCTTGGTTGCTCAGCCTTTTTGCATAGCACCAGCCGCTTCTGCCTACTTCACGGTTCTCAATCCCGCCAATATTTGCAAATTCCTTGCTCAACAGCTCACGACTGTATCTACCGGTGCTTTGCATTGAAATCTCTGCTTTTGAAAATCGCACAGATTCAATAGCAATGGCGGGCGAATCTTCTCATGGCAAGGCTGCGGACTGCGAACCATCTTCTGAGCGTGCTTGCTGACCATCTTTCGCGACAGGCACTCAGTCGCTGCCTCCCCCGGCTCTGCCTCAGCTAGTCGCCGAACAAAATGTCCCGATCCCCCCGACGGATAAGGACTCTCAGCGACTCATTGTGGTTCTTTCCAACGCCAGTCTCGAGACCTACAAAGCCTCTCATGGCGGTACTGGCCGGAATGGCGTCCAAAGGGAGGAGAAGTACTCGCTTCTCAACAGCGACGAGCATATCGGAGTCATGCGCAAGATGAACCGCGACATTAGTGATGCGCGTCCCGACATCACTCATCAGGTTGGATACCACCAGTGCACTGCTTTGCCAAGCGCCATAACGCGCCTTCCCTTCGAGTCTGCATTCAACATGCTGACCATACTAACTAGTGCCTCCTCACCCTGCTCGATTCCCCCATCAACAAGGCCGGCAAACTGCAGATTTACATTCACACTGCCAAGGGTGTTCTGATTGAGGTTTCTCCCTCAGTCCGTATTCCCCGTACCTTCAAGCGTTTCGCTGGTTTGATGGTCCAGCTCCTGCACCGCCTTTCGATCCGCTCGACAAACTCTCAGGAGAAGCTTCTGCGTGTTATCCAGAACCCCATCACCGACCACCTGCCGCCCAACTGCCGCAAGGTCACGCTCAGCTTCGAGGCCCCACTGGTGAAGTGTAGGGATTACATCGACACTTTGGCCCCTAAAGAGAGCGTCTGCGTCTTCGTCGGTGCCATGGCGAAAGGTGCCGATACCTTTGCCGACGGCCTGGTGGATGAGAAGATCTCCATCAGCAACTACAGCCTGTCGGCCAGTGTTGCCTGCAGCAAGTTCTGTCACGCCGCCGAAGACTGCTGGGACATCCAGTAGTTGAGAAAGTGCTGCAGATACGGCCTGCCGATGTTGAGTGAGTCCATGCCATGGAGCACGAACCGCGGAGGAGGAGCAGGTTCAGAGCCAGCTCGGACGGCGCAAGTGGCGGCTGTCTCGGCGCCGGGACCTTTTTTGGGCCGCGTCTACGGTGCTGAATCGGAAAGCCAGGCCATGGCTCGCAGACGGCGATACAACATCGCGGTCAAGAGCCGTGGTCTCGGGAACTTGGTTTGCCTGTGCTTTGCGCTGTCGCTGTTTTTACAACCAAAACTGGGGCGTTCAACAACGGGTCCAAGACGCTTTCATTGTCTGGGCGAGTCACTTCAACTTGACTCGCCAGTTTCTCTTGTCATGTCTGTACCCGACGGGCTCTGGATTGGAACAGATCGCATAGGCCGAGTAACTCAATGCAGACGGCGAGTGTCGAGGCAGAGAGGTATCGCCCCGGTCAGTACAGAGGATCCAAGCAACTTCAAAGAGTTGGACTAGAACGTTGGACGCGATGAGTCACCGCGAGAGCGTATGAAGCATGCATTAAGGAGATAGAAGGGTCTGGTCTGGGTTGTCGAGTCGTTCACTTGATGCGCCTTACACCGGCCTCGACAGCAATTGAGTAGCACTTTGTCAAGATCGAACAGTCATTTGTGATATGCTGACTGGATTTGACTTTGATGTAGGATTGCGAGATCACCAAGGAATCCGGTGGCCTATGCCAAGGCTGCGCAGCAATACATTCAGCCAGGCAAGGGCATGCGCATGACTGAAGACTCCGGCCGCATCCTACAGGCGACTTGGTCTCGGTCTCGGTCTTGGGTGGGCTGAGCAACGCATCCTCTGAGCAGATGAGGTGAGGCATGGACGCCACGGCAAGTCTAAGTGCAAACACGATGCCACATTTGTGTCGGGGCAGGCACAAAATGGAAATAGTCCGTTGGTGCCCAAGTGGAGGAAGACATGGGTATAAAAGACGGGAAGCAGCGAGGGAAAGGGAGCGTGAGCCACTGAGCAAGGTGGAGAAGGGGATGGTGAGTGGTCGCCTCACGTCGCAGACGATGTTTGTGCAGTTTGGAAGTTCGAGATGGCGGCACAAGCAGCGGGATCTCCAGACGGCTACCTTACCACCCAAGATAGCTGTGGCTGATGGATGTATCGTGCCGGCCGTGAACGAAGCTCATGGAAGGGGGACCCACTCGACTGACTGGAAACAAGACGGGACTGCCCGGACACGGGCGCCGGATCGGCTCGGCCGCTTGTTTCTTCCAGTCTCTCCCGCCGGTGACATGATCCAGTGTGGCAGCGGTGAGATGTTCGGAGACAAGGAGAGGACGGACGATTGATATGAATCTGGGCAAGACGGGAAGGCGAGGTTGGGCAGCGGAGGGGATATGGTGATGAAAAACGAATGGTCCAGGTAAGCCAAGCCAGAGAGTGAGCAGAGGCGAGATCAAGTATGGGACCATGGGGCGCTTTCACGAGTAAAAGTGGGCAACCAATGAAGGAAAGATGAGGCTGGATGTGGGAGACCTGTCACTTGAGGCGATTCATTGCGCGGGTTGGATCCTGCGCTGTGATTCGAAGGGAAGACTTTGCGGTGAGTTGCAGTGCAGTCGCGGGTTTAAATACACGGAATACCTGCCTTGGTACCTGGTAATGATACGTTTGTACCCAGCCAGCCAATGGACCTACAGGCTACCTTAGTTGCTTGGGCATGTTGTGGTGCCATGGTGTGTACCAAACGTCAATAACCCAATCACGCAGCCAGTCCAAGGCTACTAGGCGCAACGGGCGGTGTCTAGAATCCCGTTCTTCTTCCTCTGTTTGGTTTTTGCCTGATCGAGATTCTTCTACACTGGGACCGGAAATTGGTGGCGGTGGGTGGATGATTGGAACCTCGGGTATCTGCACTTCTCGAACGGTGATGGGGCAGCGGGGCTGGGGAACAAGAGAGCAGCCAGACACGGCATGACACGAGATTTCCCTCATGATGGTGAAGACGATGCCGTCGTCCCTCACCCTCACTCCCGTCGTATTGAGAAGTCCGTCAATATCAGGCACAACAAACCAGACGGATTGACGGGGAAGAGTACGGGTCGTGTCGAGTAAAGCATTAGCGCTTACCTTAGCTTTGATGGTCAGATAGTGATACTCAGGCCCTTGACGTTATTGACACTCATGGCCGCCCGGCAATGTGTGTGCTACTTGTACTTCCAGGTGGCCTGCCTGCATGATCTCTGATTGATGAGACACGAGATTCGGCAGACGACACGCGGCACGCGTCGACGAGATGGCTCCATTGCCGCGGTCTCCGCAGCGGCTATGTCCCCCGGTGAGGCAAGCACGCAAGGAAGGTAGGTAACGTACCTAGGTACGGATACCTTACGGTCCATATCTAGGTTCTTCTTGTATGAGTACTGAGTATAGTACTAAGTTTGTTCATCTTGTGGTTTACCTACCTTTTGTTGCTGGGCCCCATAAGGGTTTGCCTCGCTACAAGTACCTCGGTCCATATCTAGGTACCCTACCTTACCTACCCAACCTTACCTTCAGGTCCAGTAGGTAGGTAGGTAATGAACCTTGGGTAAGGTAGTTCCGCGCGTGGAGTTCATTGCTGGACTGCAAAGCAACACCAACCATTCTTCTGAGGTGGCTGCAGAACGACGGAACCGGCCAAGGCAGACCAAGGCATTCCAACAGGCCAAATTCGAGCAGGCAACCGACGGGACTGCAGTGCGGCTGGCTTTGGGCACCAGGATCTTTCCTATATTCCATCAGTACGGATACCCGAGGTAATATGCCTAGGTACCCTAAGGTCAACTGGCAGTGGCCATTTACGACTGACAGACTGAAGATGATCTACCTAAGGTACCTTACCTTGGGTGCCAGGCCTGTCAAAACTGTCCAACATCTTGTATGTAGGTGTAATCGGGTAGATGCGATGCCCAAAGTAAAATATAACCCCCCTTGCCCGAACCACCGAGTAAATTCACTCCAAGGTAGCGTCCCGTCCTCGTCGCGATCCATCTTACCTCCACCTTGGCTTCTTTACCGCTGGTGCAACGCTGCATTTCGCCTTGTCGACGACACCATCTCTACCAGGACCCGACCTCAACCATCGTTGGTATCACTCCCAGGTACGTTGCTGGCGTCCGCGTCCAGCAGGCCTCAGCCCCAAATGATTCCTTATTTCGATGTCTCCCACCTGCCTTCGTCAGCCTCCTTCTACTCGGCCGTCCTACAACCCCTCGGCCTCCACTATATATCCACAGACACGTTGACCGCCGCCGACGACTCCTCCAAAAGCATCATCACCACCAGTCCCAAGTGTGAGCTCGCCAGACTCCCTGTCGCCGTCAACTACGGTATCCGTACATCCACGTCCAGGTCTCCGCCAACCCCCGTCTTCCAGATCCGTGAGGCCCGCAATTCCAGCGAGCCCCTGAAGAAGTCCCGCGTTGTCTTCTCTGCCCCGTCCCCCACTACGGTCACCGACTTCCACTCCTTCACCCTGCGTGCCAACCCTGCTCTGCTTCTGACACTGCTGCCCGTCTTCCACTCGCAGACGCCGTCGCGCCCCGCTGCTCTCACCCAAAGTGGCGATACCCACCGTGCCATTGTCACCGACTTGGACGGTAACACCATGGAAGTTGTATATCAACCCCCTCCCAACTACCCTCCTTCCTACGCTGGTTCGACCTTTCGAAAAACACAGTCTACTCAGAAAGAAGTCAGTCGTATCCTTGACTGGAACTACGACGTCGCAGCAGCATCATCATCTACATCATCTTCATCGTCCTCCTCCCCTCCGCCGCGCTCAGTCTCGCGTTCCGTCGCCGGATCCTCTGCCCCGTCCCGAAAAATGTCCTCCCAAGCCGGTGGTGGTGGTGGTGCCTTTCCTGGCGATCAACCCTACACCATTCTCCGCCGCAGTGTGACAACGTCCGTTATCGAGTCGCCTTCTGCCAACAAGGATCTCATTGCTGATCCCGCCCACTCTGCCGCCCCGAGCAGCGCCCTGCAGACCGGCACCGTCGTCGGAAGCCTTCTGGGCGCCGCCGTCGGTGCCGCCGCCGGCGCCGCCATCACGTACAGCATGTTGCGGAAGGAACGTGCGCAAGCCCCGCGCCAGGAGTTCGATGGCGACGTCGACGGCCACGGCCACGGCCCCGCTCCGCCTTTCCAGCGCCGTGCCACCTTCCCCGAACAATATCCGGATCAGCACCCGGCCCCTCGTTATGTCGAGGTAGAGAGAACCGTTGAAAAGATTCGTTACCCGGAGGCATACCCGGCCCTTCCCGACAGCCGCTCACATCCTCAACACATGGCCAAGCACAGCCAGGTTGGCGCCCGAAGTCGTGCTGTTGACGACTTGGAGGATGACGGGCGAAGCCAAGCTTCCTCCCGTTACCAACTTGAGAGGGGCGCCAGCGTTCGTTCTCGCAGTCAAGCACCAGCTTCTAGAGCCCCGCCGCTGATGCTCACTGACTACGAGCACCAGAGCAACGCCGGCTCAAGGTTCACCGTCGCCAAGTCGGCCGTGCCTCGGACCATCGTCGACGATGCTGGCACCTATGTCTCGGCCCGGTCCCAGTCAACCGTCCGTCCGCCACCACCCACGGTTGAGACGATTCTGGGTGCCAGAAGTATCGCACCCAGCCGCGCGCCGACCCATGCCCTGAGCATGGCTCCAAGCAGAGCACCCACCAAAGCCCCGAGTAGGGCCCCGACAGCCGCCCCGAGCAGGGCCCCGACAGCTGCCCCGAGCAGGGCCCCGACTGTTGCCCAGAGCCGGGCTCCAACCGCCGCTCCAAGTCGGGCTCCCACCAAGGCGCCTACCAAGGCACCCACCATGGTACCCGCCAGAGCTCCCACAGTCGTCAGGGCAGCTCAACAACAGCCGCACTATGCGTATCCGCCAGCCACGAGAGCACCGACCTATATGCCGGCGGCGCATAACAATCCTGTGCCCAGGAGCGGTGCTGGCAGTAGTCATGCCAGATGGGACGATGATGCCGTCAGCGTGGCCCCAAGTGATAGCATTAGCTGTATTGGCAGTAGAACGAGCAGGCGCCAGTATCATTGAGTGGAGGGACCTTCACCGTGTGACGGGACCACGGTAACGTTTCTTCACGGTAAGGTACGGGACGGGGGCTTCACGTGGCCGTGCGTGTGCGTACATTACCTGACAGAGCACATTCTCGAATCACGCTCGCATGCTTGACAACTGCGAATCGACATGGGTACAGATGATCAACAGACGGCCCGGCCAACAGTACGAACATTGAAGTCACGAGAGCATATGCGTCTTCACATGCGCATACACGCATTCGAATCCGACAGACTATGCATGCATTTTGGATGAAGTTGACTCATCATTTCTCACAATTTTTCTATCTTCCGTAGTGTTATTGAGGAGGATACTTAGAAATGAGTCAGGTAAAGGGATTTGGATATTGGTTACGTACGGATGACGAACGGATGGCGGATGGTTGGTGTTTGGTTTTAGGTCTCGAGTAGAATGGACATCCTGGTTTGTGTGCTCTTTTTGTGTCATCTCCGGAACTGATGAGATGAGGTATCGCGTAAGTTACAATGACTCTCAATTTGCCGTATCATCGGGTTGGTTCATTATGAGCGGTGATTTCATGAGTTTCTGGCCGCTTGGTCTTCGTTTACCCTAGGAAAATGACGCGCGAGGTGCGCCCCTCGATGCCCCTCCCCTCCCAAGGGAGCATCACCTCAAAGTACCTTACGGCCTCCGATATTCGGCGCCCCGCATTCCACTTTCACTGCAATTCCAGGTTCCAATCTAATCTCACACCGGCCCGACACCAATTTTGTCGCCTACCAACCTAGGCACCTCACGGATCCATTGACCCTGTCTTGACTCATCTCAGCCCGCCGACGTCAACTTTTTTTTGGTAGGGGTCACAAAAGCAACGAAATCTGGTGAGTTGCAAACCTGCTCACCCAGCGCGTGAACGCCTTCTAACCAGCCAAAGCTTGATCTTAGCTTATATACACACAACTCCTACTCAAAATGCCCATTTTCGAGTTGGGCCAGTCCATACCTCCCGACACTGCTCACGTACGTGCTTGCTGCTCACAAAAGACGTTGACCATCGTATCCGCCTTTGTCTAGTGTGACGCTGTGACTGATATCTCATCCAGGCAGTGAGTGTTCACCTACCAACATGGAAGTCCAACGTTGGCTATGAAGAGGGCCAGTCATGGGTTGTGGACAAGATGACGACTGGCTATCCCCGGTGAGTGACGTGCTGTCCGGCAAGCCTTTCAACTGCCCGTTCTTATGCTCATACCAAGTTCAGATTCTTTATCCATAAAAGCATAGCTGCGCTGGCCGAGGATCTGGCCGCCCAATACGCGCGTCCCGGCCAGCAGGCCATGCTCTTTCCCACTCCCCGCATCGCTAGACGTTGCCTGGCCTTTATCAAGAAGACTGCTGACCCGTCCGCTTCTTCCGACGCCGCCGTCATTGACTTTGGGTTGGACACTTCCAAAGACGTTTCGCACCTCCTCCGCTCCTTGTCGCCCACCGTGTCTGCAGTTGTGTACTCCAAGGAGGCCTTCCCTCTTGCCAAGCAGTACTGGCAACATACTGGAGACGGAGCGTCGAGCCGGAGAGCCGAGTTCTGTCACGGTCTGCTCAGGGAGGGACTTCTGGCACCAGTTGAAAGACCTCCGTCTCCCGTGGGAAAAGCGTGCCGTGGCCCTAGGAGATACCATCGCCCGTCTTCAATCGATGACACCAAACACCACGCACCGAAGCCCACTGCCCCCAGTGCTTTCGAAACCCAGGAGAGTTTGCGGTTCCTGGAAGAGCGCTTCGGCCGCAATCTAGACCTTTCCCTCGTCGAGCGTGCGAGATCAGCTATCAAGCGCAGGATTGCCGGCTCTGTGAGTGTCGACTTGGAGGCAAGTATCAGCTCGTTGCCCCCCATAGGTAAGAACACACGAGGTCGGGAGGACCTGCAGGAAAGCGACGTCTATCTGTTTCCATGCGGCATGAATGCCATTTTCAACGCCCACCGCGCCATGACGCGTGCCAGGGGCGAGATGAAGTCCATCAACTTTGGCTTCCCTTACGTCGACACTCTAAAAATCCTGCAGAAATTTGGGCCCGGATGCGTCTTTTACGGCCATGCGTCCGAAGAAGATTTGGATGATCTCGAACAACGATTGGAAGACGGTGACCGCTTCTTGGCCCTCTTTTGCGAGTTCCCCGGCAACCCACTTCTAACGTGTCCCAACCTGTCACGAATTCGCAGCCTAGCGGATAAGTACGACTTTGGCGTTGTTGTAGACGAGACTATCGGCAGCTTTGTCAACGTCGACGTGCTACAGTTCGCCGACATCGTCGTTAGCAGTTTGACCAAGATCTTCTCCGGGGACTGCAACGTCATGGGCGGCAGCGCCATCTTGAATCCTGGCGGCAGGTACTATAAGGCGTTGAAGAACGCCTGGGCTGAAGACCTCGAGGACACGTACTGGCCTGAGGATGTCGTATTCATGGAGCGGAATAGCCGAGACTTTGTGTCGCGTGTCGAGCGCATCAACACGAACTCGGAGGCCATCTGCGACATTCTCTCGACCCATCCGCTGGTCAAACGGGTTTACTACCCCAGGGTGAACCCGACGAGACCAAATTACGACCTGTGCAAATTGCCCAGCGGTGGCTATGGTGGCCTGCTCTCGGTGACATTCAAGCAAAAGGAGCATGCCGTGTCCTTCTTTGACTCCCTGGAAACGGCCAAGGGCCCGAGTTTGGGTACCAACTTCACCCTAACCTCGCCGTACGTTTTGCTGGCGCACTATCAAGAGCTGGACTGGGCAGCTGGGCTGGGCGTGGACCCGGATCTTATTCGTGTCAGTGTTGGTTTGGAAGAGACGGAGGAGTTGAGGCGGATTTTCATGCAAGCCCTCCAGACTGCTGGCATTCAAAAGGGGCTTTGAGACCGGTTGCGGCAATGGTATGTCGCACAGCTGTCGGCTCTTCGACAACGGCAGCAGTAACAGTGGAACGTGGGCGGCAAGATCTTCTTTCGTTGACTGAAGAATCGACGGCTGCGACGAGGGTTCGTCCCCTCTAGTCGCAGCCGGGTATTTTTGTTACAATTATCAAGGGTATCTCTGGGACATCGATAGAAAAGTTGAACAGAATAAAGACCGGAGATAGGAAAAAAAGGGAAAACGCGTCATGTGCACATGTCTAGCCGTGATCACATGACAGAACACTCGGAATGGACGTATTCGGGCCCGTAATCCTCGATGCCTCGCTCGATCTCGTTGGAGCGTTGCTTCTCCTTCGTTTCTTTGGGAAAATACTTTCGCATGTACTTCTCAAGTTGGACATCCAAATTGTCTGGATCGATCATGCTCATTAGGGAGTTTCTTCAAGGTTGCTTGTCTGGTGCTGCTTACCTGCAGACGCGGTCATGACCGTATCGGCTCTGCAGAGTGGGCAGTTCTTCTCGTTGCGGCGCTGGATCTTGACAATGCAGCGGATGCAGAAGACGTGTCGGCAGGCTAGACGGACTGGACGGTAGGCGATGGAGAAGCAGATCGGGCAAAGGTAGTCGCTGATCTGTGGGACGACGGAGACGAGGTCGGTGGACATTTGGGCGCAGACGTCCTTGGCCACGGAGCCGGCAAGGAGTTTATCGGAATGGACTACCATGGGGAAAGACTTGGAAACTCCGAGACAAGTACGCTTGTCAAATTCTGGAGTCGTATTAGTTAGATATCTGTCGCCTTGCGAGTCCTACATGCTGTCACTGACTCTTTAGGATCTTGTAGATGGCAACCTGGTTGATCTCCTGGAACTGCAGATTTTTGAGCAGAACGGCGTTGAGTCGCATGAAGCGAACGAGGGCTTCTCTACTCTCGGCAATCTTGAAAGCCTTGGCTAGGTTGCGTTTCGTGAGCTCTTCCTGGAACCACTGGAGCCGCTTCGCGGCAGTCTGGCTGTCGCGAGACCCGTGGTCTTGTTCGTTGGTGGAAAAGAAGACCTGAGCGTCAAGATACAGCTCAAAGATGGCTCGCCATCTTGCGAGGTCGCTCTTGGAAAGCCGGCTCGGTTTAGTGAGATGGGAAACGTCCTGGCGAAGAGCAACGATCTCTGTCGTCATGGCCCTTTCCTCCCGCGCTTGGAGAGCGTCGAGATTGTTGACATCGCTCTGGAGTATGTCAAAGAATTCACTATCGAACACGAGGGGAACCTCAATGCGCTCATACTTCCCGGCAGAAGTCGCATGATGCTGGGTCTCATTAAGCTTTGCTTCCACGACGGCCAGTGATTCGTCAGACGAGGCGCACGAGTGCTCTGACATGGTTTCTTGGGGCGACTGAGACCCGGATGCTGTCGGCGAGTCCAGGTCAAGTTCCGCATCTGAGTTGGCAGACTGCAAAGCGGCGATGCGCTTGAGAAGAGCGCGGGATGACGGCGTCAGCGAGGCGTCGACGGCATTGCCATCGCACATGTGGACGGTCACGGTCAACTTAGGCCTTAGCAGTTTGGACTTCCCGGCAGCTGTGGAGGTGTTAGCGCATCGTTGCAATAAACGTTGGGGTGTGGTCAGAGACTACCATCAAGACGGTATTTGGCTGCCAGCGGCGAATCATCGGCCGGGTCGAGAAGTTGACGCAGAGTCTCGGGGTCGAGCCCTAGATCGTTCAACTCGCGGGCGACACGCTTCAGAACCTTTTTCAGCTGGCCATAAGGCACAGCAAGATCGACCCAGTGAGGCGGAAAGTCTGCAGTTGCGCCGGTTAGTCGAACTCATTCGAAAAAGTCGTCTGCATTCGGGTAGGTCGTCCATATCCTCTATGCCTCACACACACACAAATATCTCCCTCCCGCCCTCATGTCAATGAGATGAGACGAACCAACCATTTGAGGAGACGAAGTGAGATGTGACATGAGCAGGGTAAAAACAAAGTTGTTCAACGGGCACGTACCTTCACGCCTAAGGGTCTCCTTGAAATCATGGGCAAACTTCATGGTTTGTCAAATCACCAGTGCAACAATAGTCGGACGAAGGTCTTGGCATCGACTGAAGACATGGCTTTCCGGGATCGAGTATGTTGCGGTCTCTGAATCGTCGGAAACAAAGGGCGCTGGCGAGGACGGGAGAGAAATAACACAGGGTGGGCGACATCGAGTGCGCTATATAATTAGCAAATGCGCACGTAACGAGTTTTTTCCCATCGTTTCCTTTCTTTCACTGGCTTGGTGCTCGTCGCGGCCCTTGACAGGGGACATGGGTGTGCCAGCTCAGGTACACGACACGCTGAAGGATACCTCATGTACCTAAGGCACGTAAAAGTACCTACCCGAGTTGAGAGGTAAGAATGACTACCTTAGGTAGGCTGGACTTGTAGTCCACTCTTCTAATGTATGGACTTGCGATGCACCTACGACATACCTACTGTTAGGTATTCGTGGTTATAATAAGCACTCCGATTTCCATTCAACGATGTGCTGGCGTTGCTGGTAGAATCAGAACCAGAAGTCGGTGCCAAGAGAGTCATGATCGGTGGGGGCAACGGGAGGAGACGGGTAGGGCGACCTACGAATACCGTGGGCAGGAAAATCCCAGGAGGCCAGGGCATGGTCTCCTAGGTAGGTAGGCATAGCTTTGCTCCTAGAGTCAGTCCTGTTGTTATCATCGTTTCCCGTCCCCCCTTTTCCCGCCTCCCATTTGTCGCATTGGAGATCCGAAAGTCAGTCCCAGCCAGGAAATAGCGACACGGCCAACGCCAAGAGCATCTCGACCTTCCCGGCTAAGCGGCAGTCTACCAATGCATGCAAAGGTCACAAGACAGCTTGCCAATTCCGGGCATTCGAAGAACCGAATAAGCATACTGGCACCTTGGTACCACCCGTACTCTGCCAGCTGCTTGCACCTTTGCGACAAGCATCGTGCCCCGCAGATTCTGTCATAAAAACGTTTTTGACATAATCTGTGTGCGATGTCCGTATTCGTACAGATGGATGGTTAAATCGCCAAACTCTACATTAGTGTGATGAGTCGCACTGTCAGGCAAGTCCGCCACTAGGGGATCGCTTGCAATGAGGAATGCCAGTCTAAGGTCAATACTGGACTTGCGGTATCTGTCTGTATGGTTATTCCGATATCACTTTGGGCATGACTAATCAGAATGAATACTTCCATTGGGGTCGGGTTGTTAATGAGTTGTAACACTACAGTCACTGGGCCCCGGCAGAAGCTCGGGTCAAAGCTTTTCCTCCCCCCCTTCATATCTTATCGCGGATACCTTAATCGCGGGGTTGAGTAGAGGGGCAAAGACGTGCTTATGGAAGTGATCAATTAGGTACAGAGTACTGCGGTACGGCAAGAGAAATAACCCCGTAAGAAAATGAAAAACAACAACATTCACGGTGAGGAGAAGAAAAAATTAAAGAAGATTCATAGCGTATGTGCTAGCACAGTATACTAGGTAGGTATTGGTTCTACGGATACTATCATTGCAACCGTAGGATTATTCTACACTGTGGGACCTATCATTAATCTGGTACCGGAGCTTGTATGGGCAATTTACGTGGACTTTTTTGCTGCTGTACCTAGGTCCTGCCGTACCGTGGTTCTCAATAGGCAAACAGCAAATCGAAAAACTCGACACAGATCACAACAGTCACACGCGTCTCTTACAGCATCGCATCACTCACTTTACTCAACAACTTGCAGCGCCACCTAACTTCGCTGGATCTACCTCAGGCTTTGCTGCCCATTTCCCTGACTGGATGAGTGGGAATGACTCATCGGCGTGAATGAGCTTTCAACAATCGGGAAAAACATATCCCCAGGTAGCTGTCTGCATCTCACTGGCCTCACTTCGCCAACGGACTGGAGGCGCTAAGACACTGGAGGTTCTCGAGATACTCCAGCCGGACCCTGTCGCTTATGTGAAACTTACCAACTTTCACATCTCAACAAGTCTTCTCGACTCCGTCTAGGACCCTCACCCAGGCGTGGCAAATTCCATACGTGATCTAAGATCATTGTCTACAGGCGAACCGTCTTGGAACGAAATCCCCGCTTAGTATACAACTTACACTCGCGATGGGCGCCCAACAATCGTCTGGCCGTGATGCGGCTGGCGAGTCTGCGTCTCAGCCGGTGAAAACATGTTACTACGAGCTGCTCTCAGTCGAGCGCGATGCCTCCGATGATGAGTATGCGGTGTAGCAATACCAAGATTTTGATTTCCGAAACTAACCTCCGCCCTTCGCAACAGGATAAAGAAGGCTTACAGACGGCGTGCCCTCGAGCTGCACCCGGACCGAAACTACGGAGACGTCGAGAACGCGACGAGACGTTTCGCCGAGGTTCAAGCCGCCTACGAAGTGCTATCTGATCATCAGGAGAGGGCTTGGTACGACTCGCATCGTGAAGCTATTCTACGCGGAGCCGACCCAGAGGACACCGACGGCCGCAGTCCTGAGTTCAACAACGTCAAACTCACCTCAACCGAGGACATTTTCGCTCTCATCCGTCGTTTCGACTCAACCGTTCCCTTTACTGACGAGCCAGCTGGTTTTTTCGGCATATCCAAGGCAACGTTTGACCACCTTCTTGACGAGGAAATCGCCGCTGGGGAGTACACTCATGGGGACGTTCCGGACTATCCCTCGTTTGGCACTTCTACGGACAGCTACGAGTACGTAGCTAAACCCTTCTACAGTAACTGGGCCGGTTTCTCGACGCGGAAGACGTTTTCATGGAAGGACAAGTACCGCTTGTCGGATGCTCCAGACCGTCGTATCCGTAGACTCATGGAAAAGGAAAACAAAAAGATGCGTGACGAAGCTGTTCGGGATTTCAACGACGCTGTCAGGTTTCTCGTCACCTTCGTGCGTAAACGCGACCCCCGCTACCTCCCAAATACGCAAACGGCTGCCGAACGTCAGGAGTCTTTGCGAAATGCCGCCGCTGCGCAGGCAGCTCGTTCTCGCGCCGCGAATTTGGAGAAACTTTCCGACGCTACCGTCCCCGACTGGGCTCAGTCTCGTGACGATGGCGATGCAGGCGGGCACTTTGATGAGACCGAAGAAGAGGAATCTGAGGTGGAGGTTCTAGAGTGTGTGGTTTGCGACAAAACTTTCAAGAGCGAGAAGTCGTTCGAGGCACACGAACGCAGTAAGAAACATCTGAAGGCCGTACAGCAGCTTCGACGACAGATGAAGAATGAGGATGTGGAATTGGACCTCAACCTTTCACCGGTGCCGGAGAAGGTTACACCAGTCGACGATGAGGGTGGTCAGGCCGAGGAGCAGGCGGCAGACGAAGCTCCGGACCGTCCGCCAGGGGACTCACCTGCTTTGCCGACTGACGGGAAAGATGGGAACGTTTCTGGTAACTCGTCAGAACATGATGACGAGTACGCCCCTCGGGATGATGTTGAGAAGAGATTCTTTGCAGAGAGCCCTCTTGCCAACGCAGCCCGCGAAGACGCGAGCAGAGATGAGGATGGGCAGGCTGTTGCTGCTATTGACGCTCTGGATATCGAAGACGATGGGGACACACAGCCACAGGCGAAAAAGGTCGGCAAGGCAAAGGCGAAGCGTGAGAAGAGGGCAGCACGCCAAGCAGCGGAAGAGGCCAAGGGGAGCGCGGTAAGTATTGACAATTTCCCATTGACACAGGCAATCACTAACTTTGTTCCAAAGCACACATGCGGTACCTGCAAGGCGTCATTCCCCTCCAAGACGAGGCTTTTCAACCACATTCGCGACCTTGATCACGCAGCGCCATTACAGCAAAATCCAACAGGCGGTGGTAAAAAGAAGAGGCGGTAGATTATTATGTGTCATGGCGAAACAGCAATCCCATTTCTGCATACTGTAATTTATCATGCGGTGCCTGAAACCCCGTGAATGCCTCCGTCCAATCCGTCCTGAGTCCGATGCCCCTAGCCCCTACCTGGGCGCCTGGCCTGTTGATTCTTTCGAGCCAAAGAGAGGTCGATGCCTATTTACGCCGCAGAAGAATAGATATGGCCCAAACGCCCGACTCCACCTCGGTCATTGTTGCTTGCACCACCATTATATCTGAATTGACCGCCTCAAGCATTCAAAACGGTATCGTCGTCATCACTGAGGGTTTCCACTTCGTCGATGGCACTATCCCTCTCGCCGGCGCCATGGGCCATGGGATCATGGTCAGCGACATGAATCACAGCCTTGCCCTGAACATGCTTGACATTGCGACGCCACTCGGCCCAATCGTCTTCATCCTTGATCAGAAATCCGATGAGCATACTGGGATCCATTTCTCTGACGTGGAGTCTCCGCAGTCGTCGAGTATGCACGGTGTCAACGTCCGTATGGTCATATTTTGAAAGGTTCGCATAGTAGGGAAGAGCTGGTCTTGTGTGATGCGGGTCGAGGTAAAACAAGTAGGAGCCTTGTGCCCCTACAAAGTAGTGTGATGCCGAAGGTCGGCCGCTGCCACAATGTCAACACTTACTGTCTTCGCATTTAACGGAACACCTACCCTGCAATTCCCACAGATTGTGGCATTTGGAGAGCAGCAATAAGAGCATCCCAGTAGACAGGGGTGATCTTGTCGATTCCCAACCTCGTCCCAACTAGGATGAGAGTTGGGTGAAATTGAGAACCATTAGATTTAGCAATCTTCATAAAGTTATCCTCATAAACGTCTGGGCCATCGCCCGTTGAGTAGACCCTGAGAGGCTGTTCTTGGGCATTCACCAGAGATCTACCGTTGTTGTTAGAGGATTCGCAATGTCATGACGCATCCAATACGACTCACTGGATGCAACGGGCTGTCGCAGATGGACCAAACCATTCACCAGGGTATTTTCCACACGCCACTGCGCCATGTTGAACAAACTGGTGGATCGAGAAAGGTGCTCTCGGGTCGTCCGCAAACAAGGAAATAAGCCTACGCTCCTTCTCCGGCGTGTCACCCCGTCGCCAGTCTACAGCAGTCAGCTCCGCACGAAACGGCATGACGGGTAGGATGACGTACCTCGGCCGAGATCGGTGACAGCTATCGCGTTTGCCAGCAGCATTTGGCCAGATCGGATCATGCAGCCCCAGCCGCTGTCGGATGCGAAGCCGCCCTGGTCTACCAACTGGCTTTTGATTCGCATCGATAAGGACAGCGCTGAGGAAGCTCGAGGGTCGGTGGACTTGGCTATAAGCTGAAATTCTGAACGGTATGACATCCAGAACTTGGATTCGAAGTCATCTAGGAACGCGGAAGGCCAACCTCCATCCTGAACGGAGTAGTCGTCATCGTAGGCCAGAGACGACGAGAAGCTGCTGGACACAGACTCCGGCGGTGTCTCGGGATTTTTGGCAGCCGTGGCTGGCGATGCTTTTGAAGCTTTGGTCTGCTGTTCGGCAGTATCGATAGATGGCGGTGTCTGAATATGCTCTTGCTTGTTTTTGGCAGTTTTGGTATTCAAAGTATATGACCGCCCAAGACACCAGACGGGCAGATCGGCTTGGTAGTCGTTGGTAGGCTCCGGATCCCAGAAGATCTGGACGATACGGCGGTATCGGCCGAGGTCCACCGCAGCCATGGCAGATTCCATCGAGAGCAGCGAGTAGTTATGGCAGTCGGTAAGTGATGCGGTGCGGCCGAGAAGGAAGGGTAGGGAGGGAAAGGCGTGTCGATTAAACGTCGAGGCGGCGAAAAAATGGCCGTGGATGCCCTGGGTCGGATGTAGTCTTCGTGGTACTTGTTCTCACAGCTCAAAACGTACAAGAGTCGTTTCCAGGAGGAGATGTTCGCGACGCCGGAAGATGACAGTGTTTCGGCGGCGAGTTGTGGCGATACCGCGACGGCGTGGCCGGAACTTGAACGGGCAGCCCGCTGTTGGCACGAGGTGATCAGCTGCGGCGAGGAAGACTAAGGACCGTGGGGTTCGGGGAAGCGCAAAGGCACGAAGAGAGAAGCCTATCCGTAGGCAGCTACGTATCTGCAACAGCGGGAGAACAATGGAAGTAAGCAAGATCGCGCCAGTAAATGCCCAAGCCTAATAATACGTTGGGTGTAAAAGGTGAATAGGCAAAGTGAGGTTATGAGGCACCCTAGGTTAGGATAGAGTGGAAGCAGGGTGTGAATAACAAGCCAAGGTAGATAGATGCACCGTTCCAGTTCCTCATGTGGCCGATAACAGCCCGTCAGTCCCTGTGACGCACCGGCCACGCAGATGGCGGGGGTCTGGGGTGTTAGATCGTCGTCGGATGGATAGGTACGGATAGCTGTACCTGCTAACAGGTCTCTACTATCAAATGCATGACGATCAGTTATGAGTGTCTTAAAATCACGAGGCCCTCTTTTGATCGACAGGCAGCACCACCAGATCCATGCTCACATGATTCTTATCGCTTATCGATAAACAGCTTACCTACATAGCAACAATCCGAATCAAGCTACGTACTCCGTGCGCCTCGATACCTAGGTAGGGGCACCTACCTCACAGTGGGGTTGCTTCAGGAGCGGAATTTTTTCGACATCTCTTTTGTTTCCCACCCAACACCCTGCAGAGCTGTCGACAGCAGTCGATACTTCCTTCTCCCTTCAGGTCATCCGCACGATCCAGTGCGTAGAACCCTCTCCGACAGATACACCGCCGCATTTGCCATCAGCGGTGCATGCGCAGGTAATGCCACGTCGTGGCAAAAGAGGAGGTGGGCGAGCGCCGCCGGGCAGGCCTCCTCCTCATCTGCGATCAGGTCGTGCTTTCGACCGCCCGAATTCTAGTCCTACAAATGCAGGCCCAGCCGGTCAGTCGGAACTGTTTCTTAACACTTGTATGAACCGTCATTGACATAGCCCATGACAGGGTTTACTTTGCAAGACGAAGCTCGAAGCACTGCCCACCGTTCCTCGCCTTGGAGCGCCGATTCCCGACTTCGACATCGACCTGTCACGTTCGTGAGCACCGGGCCTATAGAGCCCTTGAAGCAGCTGGAAGAAGATATACTGCAAAACGAGTTGAAAAATCCTCACGAAAGCGAGACGCATGATGGAGAACCCAAATCTCTCGATATACAGGACGAGGAAGCACCGCTTCGCGAGTCTGAATCTCCTTCGGACCACATGCAATTGCCGGACACAACTTCAGGATTGGGCGCTGGGGATGTTGCAGCATCGACCATAGAGGATGACACTCTAGATGACCTACAGAACGCAGAAGACAACCGCGACAGCGTCGAACCCGAACCCGAGCCAGAGCCCGAGCCAGAGCCTGAGTCTACTGCGGAAGCACCCGCTCCACTACCGTTCTTCCTTGACGTCACTCGAGACAAGAAATTGCATCGTGCTCCTGTTCGCATTCAATCCCGCTCACCGTCACCTGCTGCATCCGACTCGAGCGACGAGGTCATCCTGTTCAAGGGCCGTAACAAGGCCGCCCAGACCACCAAAAACGCAGACAAGCCGTTCAACTTACGTGGCATACGCACGGAAATCAGGGTCGTGGAGCAGACTGTCAAACCAAGCGAAGCCAACCGCACAAGCATCTCAAAAAGTGACGAGCCCAAGTCACTTCGTCAAAGTATGAGGGATCAAAAACGCCAGCAGGAAGACGAATTGATCGCAGATTACATCGCCAACATGCGTGAGCATGGCGACGACGAAGGCCTGGTACCAGCCGACGCATACTCTCGGCGGGACATTGGTGGCTCTCTAAGTGAATCCGATAACATGGAGGAGTCTCTCCACACCGTGGCGGTCTCTGGCGATCCCAAGCCTGCGTCGGATGACGGTAGCGAGCCCGGAGATGCGCTTGAGGAGAGCGATGTAATCACTGAAGGCAGCGATGTGGATCGCACCCCCAAGAAGCGTCTCGACAAAGGCAAAAGTGCTCGAGTCGACGATGCGCTCCTAGCGGTTCTCGAGACAGATGCTTCGTACCTCGATTTCCTTGAGCACTCCAATGCCGAAGATGGGTCGCCACTGCCGAGAACTAGTGACCACGAGGGCAACGACGACGAAATTTTCAACGTTGCGGCTGATCGCTTCGCTAACGAAATCGACGACTTCGACTTTATGGACTGGGAACGTCCAGTCCTCAAACGTAAGAAGGGCGCCAAGAACAGAATACCCGTATTCAACATGTCAGACTCGGAGCTGGAGGAGAAGATGCGGACGGCGTGGAGCAACGACCGGATGAAAAAAGCAGAGAAGAAGCGAGAACGTCAGGCTCTTCGTACGCAAGGCCTGCTTGGCAAGCATGCCAATCCCGAAGATTTGAGGGTCAAGTATCCGGACGGCATGGGACTGGATCAAATTGCCGACGAGCTCAAGGCGTTTCTGCTGGGCACCAATGCCATGTGAGTATCGCTTATCCACGCCAAAGGTTTCGCTCAAGAAAGACAAACTAATTCGTTGGCAGCCTAACCCTACCCCCGATGGACAACCACGCTCGGAAGGTGATTCACGAGCTAGCCAACAAGTTCAATATCAAGTCGAAGTCGACTGGATCAGGAGACCAGCGACGACCTATGCTGCATCGCACGTTCAAAACCGCCAAATTCGCAGAAGAACCCTTCAACGCGGCAATCGCGCGCGTTGGTCGCAAATACTTCCCCCGCAACGATTCCGCTCTCCGGGCAGCTGTACAGCGGGAGTCGGCTCGGCGCGGCGGTGGCGGTCATGCGGGCGTCAATTATCGCGACGGTGAGGTGGTCGGCGGCTCCGCACCGGAACTGGGTCAGGAGAATAAGGGTCGCGCGATGCTGGAGAAGATGGGTTGGAGTAGCGGAACTGCGCTCGGCGCGATCAACAACAAAGGCATCCTGCAGCCCGTCGCGCATGTCGTGAAGCGCAGCAAAGCCGGGCTCGGATAACGCTCCGTCCGAGTGTTTTCGCAACTTCGTCCAAGTAGTTTTCGAAGCGTTCTTGGGGCGTCGTCGCGAGGGCAGCCGGACCCGAAAGTTAGCAAGAGCCAAAGCCTGTATTTCCCTGTAAGAGACATGAGCGCGCACAAACACAATCAGTTGAATCGAACCAGAACCGCAGTGATTTGTTCATGTGCACGAATTCATTCGTCCGAAAACCCTATTCTCAAGGTGTATTGTACAGCCCGCGAACCCCGATTGACCGTGAAGACATTGCCCCCAATAAAAGCAAACCATCCGTAACGCATTAAGAGACTCCAAGGATATTGGGAACCTTGGCAGGCCTCATCATGACACCCAAATGCCAAGTAAAATCCAATGCCCGAAAAGAAAAGCAGCGCAAGCATCCCTTATTTCGTGGAAGAGGAGTACTTGGTGACGGCCTTGGTGCCTTCCGAGACGGCGTGCTTGGCCAGCTCACCGGGCAGGATGAGACGGACGCTGAGAGAAAGGTTAGTAAGTGGGATAGTCAAATGGATCTCGGGTGGCTCACGAGGTCTGGATCTCGCGAGAAGAGATGGTGGACTTCTTGTTGTAGGCAGCGAGCTTCGAGGCCTCGGAGGCAACGCGCTCAAAAATGTCTGGATGTGTGGGTTAGAGACGCGTCTGACATGAGCAGATTGTGCGAGGCATACCGTTGACGAAGGAGTTCAGGATGGACATGGCACGGTTGGAGATACCGGTGTCGGGGTGGACCTGCTTCAGGACTGGATTGCAGAGTTAGCAGATTGTTTTCGAAATGGGAAACGCGCTTGTGTGACGCGACGCGTCGAGTACAGGTCGCGATGAGAAAATGTGCAAGGAACATACCCTTGTAGATGTAGGAGGAGTAGGTCTCCTTGCGCGACTTGGTGCGCTTCTTCTTGTCGCCAGAGGCGGCGGTCTTCTTGCCGGCATCCTTCTTCTCGGGGGCCTTGGAGGCGGTGGAAGGGGCCTTGGAGGCGGGCTTCTTGTCGGCGGCCTTGGGGGGCATTTTTGCGGTTGGGGTTGGTGAAGGTTGGAAAAGGTGAGGGTTGGGTTTGTGGTTGCGAATGTGGCGTCTGGCGACCGTGAATGAAGCTGGATGTGATGGAGTAGAAGAGTTGTTGTTGGAAGAATGAAGATTGGGGGGGTGGGCTGGGTTTTTGTAGCTGGACGCGACGGGCACTAGCGGCGTTACTGATTTTGATGCAAGGCCAGAGTGATTTTGGAGAAGGGGGGACTTTCTGGGAAGGAGCCTTGGAGGGGCCTTGGAGGGGCCGGGGGGGTGGGTGGTCAGTGGGTGGGTACTGAGGTGAGCAGCAGCGCTGCAGCACGGCACCGGTTGTTCAGTACCTTAGGTAGGTACCTTAGCGGGACCAATGTACGCCAGGGGAGATTCGCGACGGCGACTCGACGTGGTCTGTTCCTCCAGCCGCCAACAACTTTGGAAGTAAAAGAGAAAGGGAAATGGAAGCGGAGAACGCGACAAAACGGCTGTAACTGGGGTGCCAGATACGCACGCGTGCGCGCTAAGAGAAGAAAAAAATACATGCGGACGCCTTTTTTTTTTTTTTTTTCCTTCCCATTTCTGATTCGCGTATCACCAGGCGGCGGTTTCAGCCAATGATACCGGCAATAGAGCACGCATAGTTTCTAAAAGACCCCCTCTCGGTCTCAATTCACAGTCGACGGAACAGAAAAATGCACCATTCTGAATCGCCCAATTAGGAAATTTCTGGGGGAAACCCCAACGTCCCCGGCACATGCACACTTTTCAGTGCCTACCTTACCTAGCTATCTGTTGGATAAGCGATAAGGAGACTGCGATGGCGCGGCTGCCTCAGAACGCGTCTACTGTTTTTGGTCTTTGTTCTCATTCCCAGTTGTTCTCGATCGAGCCCCAATTGCGCTTGTGGGGTTATGGTAGGTACCCTGAGGATGGGATGCAAAGGTGACGAAAAAGACAGCATTCATGTATTTGTTTTTGGAGAGCCATGCATAGGCATGATATTGGCCATATTTGCAAGCATCGCGATAGCACACTTTCGCTGGGTAATAGACGCAACCGGTCACGTATTTACCAATAAAGAATAAAAAAAGAAGTAAAGGAACAAGACTGCCTTAGGTACTCTGCCACCGAGATGTTGTCGTTTGACCCATCACTCGCTGCGCTAGCTGGATCGGTCGCGCTCGACGCGGTGTAGGTACCTCCTACCTTAGGTACGCCGCCAGGGACCCGAGCCCGCTGCCAGCCATCTGCACACGCCCCAGTGGCCATATTCCGTGGGTTTCCTAGGTTGTCCACTGGGCGGATAGCTGAAGCACGACACCAAACGTGGAGACAACTGCATCCTAGATCACGGTGGTTCGCGACGCGTCACCCATGTGTGTTGGGATCTGGAGAGCACGTATCCGAGCAGCCGGAGAAGCCAAATTGGTGGGTTCTCTGCCTCTCAACCCTCTTCGACTCCCGAATTATCACGTCTGAGTCTCCAAAGCCGCAAGGCTGAATTCATCTGACACATCACCAACTGCCATGCAGGGATCTTCCACCCGACGAGGCTCTGTTTCAACTCTTGACCTGACCGGATCTGTACATACGACTACGTACCCGCTCAACTAACCGATCTTGTCACGACAGGCAATAGACCAAATCGATTGATGGACCAAAAATCATATGGGACCCAGGCCTCTGGGTCCGGTGCAGCGCGTCGTCCCGTATCTGACGCTCCTTTTTTTCCCGCCTCAGACCCAAAAATGTGAGCCCTGAAGTCCGGGAGAAAGACCCATTCCGTGATCGAGGCAAAAATGACATATCTCTTTGACAAGAAAAGAGAAAGCCCAAACCTTAGCTGAGAAGGGTCCGCAGGGGTCCAAGTGAAATTGTGGCCGAAAAATGCAAACCACGGGATCGAATCACGAAGGCGAGGTCCTAACCGCCGACCGATGGAGATGTGTCAAAGTGGTCGTCTGCCACAAACAAACAAACGAACAAGAGAAAATCCTTACCGCAATGGCTGAAGCACGCGGAACTTGGCCAGCTACACCAGTGGCTCAGAGTGAGCAAGCGATTTGGATCAGTAGAAGACGGAATAGATGAAATGCTGGGTCGTGATCGAATCAGAATGGGAATTAAAACGAACAACCAAAACGAAATCTCTCAAATCAGGCACCAAAGTCACCACTGGAGCAGCTGGAACTTGGAAGAGCGCATCGCGACTCAATGCCAGATCCAAGCCTTACTGATTGTGTTTTGTTTTCGTTGATCTGGCGGTCTCACGGTTGTCGAACCATGGAGAATCAGAATGTTGAGGAGGAAAGTTGGAAAGCATGGACGGATGTGAAAGAGAAGTGTCCATCATATGTGAGAAAGAATTGGGGAAGGCAGGGGGGAAATCGGATGGAATTGACCAGTAAGATAATTGGAAAATAGAATACACCAAAAATGAATGCAAAAGAGATGACAAGGAAGGGACGAGTCGCCGGGCCCTGCAGACAGGAGTCGCGGCGGGACCCCCGGATTTTATTTCCTAGCAGCACGGCAGAGGTCCAAACACTGGCCACTGGCAGCACGGGCAGGCAGCGGGGGCGGTATTTCAGATGGAGGGGTGCAGAGCAGGTGCAGGTAAAGAAGGCAAGGCCAGGGCGATACGTACCTCTGTCTTTAATCGCTCCTGCCAGCTCCAAAAAAAATTGATGCACCACAACATGGAATTTCTGCTTCCGGCTTAGCGCCCAATCACGCGCTGGTGATCCGTGATTGAGCTCCTCCAACGCGAAAACTACTTAACTTCTTGACTCCCCACCAAATTCACACTCTTCCCTCTCCATCTCACTTTTCTATCCACAACAACCGCCAAATCGCATCTCAAGTCGTACTCTCGCGTCTCGCACCAAATCAGCCTTTTTCTCCCACCTTTACCAACACAACCAACTCAATCAAAATGACTGGAGGCGGCAAGTCCGGCGGCAAGGCCAGCGGTTCCAAGAACGCGCAATCGTAAGTTTCTCCATCACCGAGCCTCGCCCAAGCCCAATGCGCACACGAGTCACGTTGACTGCCCCGCACCGACGCGTTTTCGCACTCATCGCACATTCTTGAATCATTCGGCTGACAGAACTTCTACAGTCGTTCCTCCAAGGCTGGTCTCGCTTTCCCCGTCGGTCGTGTCCACCGTCTCCTCCGCAAGGGCAACTACGCCCAGCGTGTCGGTGCTGGTGCTCCCGTCTACCTCGCTGCCGTCCTTGAGTACCTCGCTGCCGAGATTCTCGAGTTGGCCGGCAACGCCGCTCGCGACAACAAGAAGACCCGTATCATCCCCCGTCACCTCCAGCTCGCCATCCGCAACGATGAGGAGCTGAACAAGCTCCTGGGCCATGTCACCATCGCCCAGGGTGGTGTCCTGCCCAACATTCACCAGAGTACGTTTCTCTTTCAATCCTGGTACTTGCACGTGATGCTGACAATATCACAGACTTGCTGCCCAAGAAGACTGGCAAGACTGGCAAGAACCAGAGCCAAGAACTGTAAATGGGTTTTGCGGGTTTGGGTTTCTTTCGTGCTGGTCGGCTGCTTTGGGTTGTCATGACATCGGGGTCACGGTTCAGGGTTCATGGTTGATTTTCACGTTTGGGTTGTACAATAATACCACGGCCAGCGGAAGCTGTGGTTACGAATGAGAATACCTTTTGAAGATCATTTTTCTTTTTACCCTTGATGCGTTCTCGGCACTTCGTTCTTGGGAGCAAAATTCTGATGAGATGGGCGTCTCTGGACTTGTAAGTGTGAATCGTCATTTGTACGTGAATGTTCACGCTACGACGCGATTTTACGCGAATCTTCAATTGGACTCGCAGTGTCTCGCCAACGGGTCGGGTGGCGGGCAAGCGTCTGACAGCGGCCTAAGGCGAAGAGACATTTTGACCCGTTCATGTGTTGTGTTTTGTTTTGATATGGGAGTATGCTGTCTGCTAGTCCGAACACATCC